GGAAAAGTCCAGATTCGAATTTGCGTCCGCGGTCTGTAGTGATGGTTGAGGGGCAGCCGAAATTTGCTACCCATCGTTCGACGAAAGCGCGGGCCACTGTTTCAGCAGTAATGTCCTTAATCGGTACTGCTTCTGGCCATCGAGTGAAACGGTCTACGCATGTTAGGAGATATGAGTATCCGTTCGAGTCGGGTAAGGGTCCTACCAAATCTAGATGGACGTGGTCGAAACGAGCGTCAGGGGTTTTGAAAGAACCTAAGGGACATTTGTTGTGTCTGATTACCTTAGATTTCTGGCAGCTTACACAGGAGCGTGCCCACTCCCTCACGTCTTTATTCATGCCAGGCCAACAAAAGCGTTCGGCTATAAGTTCGATTGTTGCACGAGCACCTGGATGAGAAAGATTGTGCAACGTATTAAAGACGTTGCGTCGATAATGTTTTGGTACAATTGGACGATCCCTACCTGTAGATGTGTCACAGAGTAAAGTTTCCTTACCTGTTCCCATCTGCTTAATACTTAGTTTTAGAGTTGTCGAGGATAACTCATGCTGAAGATCAATGTCTTCTTTTTGAAGCTGAGCGAGTTTAAGAAGGTCGATTCCCTGGAAACTGTTCAAGGAATTTATTCGAGACAAGGCGTCTGCGACTACATTGTTAGCTCCAGAAATATGTTGTATGTCTGAAGTAAACTGCGAAATGTAGTCGAGTTGTCGAGACTCTCGCGGTGAGTACTTGTCTGAAGATGAATTTAAAGAGAAAGTAAGGGGTTTATGACCAATAAAAAGGGTGAATTCTCTTCCTTCGATGGAATGTTGGAAATGCCGTACAGCACAATACATAGCTAGGAGTTCCCTACCGAACGTGCTGTACCTAGATTCCGCGTCTAGCAACCGTATCGAGAAAAATCCTAAAGGTTGCCACGAGTTGTTAACCCATTGTTGTAAGACTGCTCCGATTGCTGAGTCGGATGCGTCTACTGCGACACTAATGGGCGCTTGAGTGTCCTGATGAGCAAGCAGGGTTGCTTTAGCGATGTGTTCCTTAACTGTGGAGAATGCTTTACGGGTTATGTCGTCTAAACTAATTGATTTCGCATTTCCACGAAGCTGATCGGTTAACGGTTTCATTAGGGATGCGCATTTAGGTATGAACCGTCTACAGAAACTTACGAGTCCGTTAAAAGTTCGTAAATGCTTGATCGTGGTCGGTTCTGGGTAATCCAAAATGGCCGCCACTTTGCTCCTAAGGGGTCGGATGCCTTGGGCATCAATGGTGTGTCCTAGGAAGTCTAAGGAGTTTGTTCCGATTTGGCATTTCTGTATGTTGACAGTAATGTCATGCCTTTGGAGTCGATCGAAAACAATGTCCAGATACTTGAGATGCGATTCTCTGTCCGGACTTGCTATTAAACAGTCATCAACATACGCATGTACGAAGTTGAGACCTCGGAAGACGTCGTCTATAAACCTTTGGAAGGTTTGAGCCTCATTTCTTAAACCAAAAGGCATTCGTAGAAATTCGTAAAGACCGAAGGGAGTGATGATGGCGGTTTTAGGAATGTCGTCAGGTGCCATCGGGATTTGGTCATAAGCTTTAACCAAGTCGATTTTCGAAAAGACAGTTGTACCTTTCAAGGTAGCTGTCAAATCGTGAATATGAGGCAGCGGGTAACGATCGGGAATGGTTTTAGCATTCAGACGCCGATAATCACCAGTTGGCCGCCAATCATTGCTGTCCTTTTTGGGGACCATGTGCAATGGGGATGCTCATGGACTATTCGATGGTAGAATTATCCCTAGGTCCATCATGTGGTCGAATTCGTTTTTAGCTAACTTAAGTTTTTCGGGAGCGAGTCTTCGAGCTTTCGAAAATACAGGTGGTCCTGTAGTCGGGATGTGATGTGTAACATTGCTGGTTACACAAGATAATTTCGATTGCGATTGGTATATCCCGGGATATTTGTCGAGTACTGATTGGTACAATGGGTCTATGGTGTGCTTAATCGTGACTGGGGATAACCTGCAACCGGAACAAGGAGTTACGCAAACGGATAACTTAGTGTTTCCGTCTATTAACCTTCGTGAGCGTGTGTCGATGAGTAGATTGTGGTGTTGTAACAGGTCCATACCAATGATTGGCATAGAGACATCTGCAACCACGAAAATCCAGTGTATGGGTTTGCGTAAACCCACGTTAAGGTAGACGTACCTTTTACCGTAAGTAGCGATCGGCTTTCCGTTTGCCGCCTGTAAACTTAAAACAGACTCGCGAAGTCTGTCGTCGGGATTTGCTGGAAGAACGCTAACTTCTGCGCCAGTGTCGACGAGGTAGCAAACTTTCGTGGTCACATCCGCGACATATAAGAGGCGGCTGTGTTCGCCGGCTACGGTTGCCGTTAACGCGTGCCGGCTGGGAAGTTTCCCGAAATCTTATTCGTGTCAGTCGATTTTGAAGTCGGATAATTGCAAGGTTTCCTGCAATTTCTGGAAAACTTACCGTACTGGTTATGTACCAGCACCAGTCGGGATTGTCTGTCTCTCGTGGTCGAGAGCCAGATCGCTTACGTGAAACGCTTCTACGCGGGTTTTTTGACAGACTACGGTCATTGCGAACTCTAAGATATCTTGTAAGCGTGTGACATAATTCGGCCATGTCAGTCGAGGTCGATCGGGGTTTTTCTTTGATAGTAAAAACCTCCGCCTTAGAAAATTTGGTGATTTCCAAGATTCGATCAGCAGATGCAGCTAGTTCATCTATGGCATTGTTTTGAAATGAAACAATCACTGCCTGCACCTGTTGAGGGAGTTGAGACAAGAAAAGTTGTCTAAATAGGTCATCATCGAAAGTTCATTGGCCGATGACTTCTCTCATTCTAAGCAACATGTCCGTCGCAGAATCATGTTGCAAGTCGATGTTATGGAAGAGTTGGTCTAACCGTTGTCGATCAGTTAGGTCTCCTCGTTTTAAAATCGATAGCTTAGGCGTTTCGTAAGGTTCAGGAACATCACTGGTAAACATACAAGGTGTTACGTACCTGTTAAACTAGCGCGGTAACGCCTTGACTACCGCGAGGAAACGTGTGCGCGAGTCCGTGATTCCGTGCATGAAAAAATCGGCCTCTGCATAGCAGAGCCAGGACTCGATATTGTCGGGCCAAAATGGCGTTAACTGAATCGAAATAGGGGGAATAGACTTAAACTTAAGAACCTTAGGAGAGTGTTCCGTCATAGTAATATAGATAACGAAAAATGTCTAATTAAAATATATCCGGGGAAAAAATTGCGAAAAAAAGTATATCACAATATATAAAATTCAAATAAAGAATAACAATGAATAATAATATTCCAAAATGGAACAGATTCACAGTATATTGACTTGGTGTACCAGATCACGTCGGGCTCACCAATGATGATGCAACGGATGTTCTAGTTTTACAACTAGCTACCAGTAGCACCTTCTATATTTGATTGTTCCCAGTCAGATAGGAATCAGAAGTCAGACGGGAAGAGGCAGTAAAGATATATTTGATTCGTTACCAATATATGGAGGACCTTTTCTATGAGCTGGCTAAAGAAACGTAGGAGCTGTGTCCTACGCCGTGTTGAAACGTGATCTGGTACGGATGCATGACCGAAAGCCTTCAGCTAAACAAGTCCACTTAAACACGTGGTCAGCATCCAATGTCGAACACTTAATGAACTATTGATTTTGTGGAATTATTTACAGCTACAATACCATACCACTCTCTCTGTAATCCATCGGCCAGGCCATCTTCCTACCTTACCACATCTAAAAAACACATAGAACCTAACCGTGTATGTGACTTATTTAGATATGAAGAGGATAAAACTGTTTTACACGAGAAGCGACCAACTGGGGACTGGGCCATTGCGCGATACGCATTGGTTAGCTCGCGTTAGTCGCATGTGATTTTCCTACTTTTCATTAATTGAACAATATTGCGATCATTCTTTTAGGGAGAAGCATGTTAACTTGATAAGTATTTAGTTAGAAATCAGCGTTGTTTCATTTACTCTAAGAACTCCACATGTAAACGTAATGCTTTCCCAAAAGGGACTGCTTTGTCTTATAAACCTGGACTCTTTTTAACCGTCCTTGAAGTATCACCACTAGTCAGAAAAAGCTTGTTTCACGATAGCTTGCTTGATTTTATATACAGATTTTTCAAAAAACTTCTGAAACTACTATTATCGAAGGTATATTTTCATGATATCCATGGATAATTACCGCTTTTGCGTACCCTGCTGTGATTCCGACAGGAATCAGTGTCTTCAAACTTGAGTGGTTACTAATATGATAACTATCTAAGTTATACTTTAGAACCAAATGGTTTTTTGTAGTATGCCGTTTGCATCGACTGAGCTCAGAATTCTGTTCCAACAGAATGTGTTGGATTATTTTATGAGTGATTGAAGTATTTTCTTAGGGACTTTATTGATTACTAATCCTGTATACAATGGCTTCATAAGCTTCGGAAAGAAACGTTAACAGATAACATCGGCATCTTCCAGAGACGTTTTCCTATTTTGTGATCGAAAATGTTCAATCTTCCGATATTATTTTGATATCTAAATGTCAATGTATGGTTTTCGAAGTTTCGAACAGGGAGGAAATGAACGAGAAAATGAGGACTTATTAGAGCAGTACAACATTGAACGAACTCATGGTTATGGAAAGCCTCATCAATTTTAGTCTGTTGTGTGGACACTTTCGATATATCTTATAGCAACTTACTTTACGGAGTAGATTTTGGACTCACAACTACAGTGGTCAAGGATATCTACTTAGACGTATGGGTATGAAGGAACTACTTACAGTCAATGTGATTCACTAAAACTAACAACAATGCAACTGCATGTTGAAAGTTGATTAGGAGAGTCGTCAGTCAGTTAATGGATTTATTTCTTGACACACGATTGGGATAATTCATGTCAGGATGTTTAGGTTGCAGCTATTGGATACTATGTTCTATTTAATCTTCGGACTAACTCAAAATTCCACCGTACTCATTGGCCTGGCGACTAGATAAGTATCACCTCGTTAATTCGAGGTCCTAAGTTTTGGAAATTTTAAGTATATGATAAAGACCTTCGGATGCCAACTTTACTGTTCACTAATATTACCAAGAGTGTGGAGAGTTGAATTGGGTAACGTAGTCTCACAGTTGAACTACCGCGACTTTATCCATTTCACTAAATATGATGAAGAAACCAATTTCAAAGACATTTAATTTATGTAAATTATATTACTATTGATAATTACGGACATCATTAACATACACTTTACTCACTTCAGTGGCAGTTTTCACTATAGTGATACTATCAGTGAAGTATCATAATTCTTCGTAAATCACGTAGACTTATGTTTTTACTACGTTACAGTCAGTTATTCTTTTGACGTGGTTGGTATACACAATTCCTGCCAATATTTTCTGAACACGGTGGGAAATACATTCAAGGTTCATTTAATCTTACACACTAACGTTCCTCAATACATAAGAGCAGTTCAAAAAGTCTACTCCATGTGGCTTATTGGTCAACAGCTGGTTATATAATGGTTCATGCTAGGTCAATTCAAAATTGAATTTGTCGCGCACCTTCTTCCCGTGTCAGTGGGGTTTAGTAAGCCACTGGTCTTCGCTTGATTGGCTGACCAAACGTTAGTACAAACATGTTTGATGTGGTTGTTATCGGTGCAGGTATATCTGGACTGGGAGCTGCCCACCTACTCACTCGGGAATCATATAGTGTTCTAGTATTGGAGGCACGCAATCGTCCAGGTGGCCGAATACATAGCGTGCGCCTACCCTCACTATCAAGTAATTTTTCTCGTATTGTTAATATCGCATAATTAAAGATTAATTAATACTTTGAAATTAATTTTTCTCACATTTATAAAACTCGATTTTCGCACTATAAATAAGAATTCAGTTAATTAATTATAATTATTTAACTACTGGGAACTTTAGTTATTAGATCGTCATGGATAGAATCCAAAACTTGTGGTTGTAATAAATAACAGTCTTACTGATTGCACTTAAATTTAAATTTAAACTATGAGGTCCAGGTCCCAGTAATCAAAAATACAAACTACACTTTTTTTCTTCGAATTACATATGTAATTTACAATTTATTTAATACTTGATAAGTTTGTAAAGAGAGTTTCTTCTCGTAATGGATTTATCAAAAAACCGCAACATCTAAAGATCACATATTTCGGTATGCAATTACACAAATATATGCGCTTAGCATGATAAATGATAACCAAAATCACTGGAATAGCAGTTATTTATTCTACATGTATATTTTTAGTAACTGTCACTTCTGGTTTACTAATTGCATTTTAGCCGTTGATCTTCGTGTACAGTTGTAGCTCTTCTGGATACTTCAACATATACCACCTATTTTCTTAGTAAACAATGCATTAACTAACTTAATTGTTCATCTTTTAAGTGTAATATTTATGCTTAATTATCCAAAATGTGGAGTCTCTAACTGTAGATTTAAATAGTTTTTCTTGAGATTTAATTTCATCAGTCACCTGACTTCATTTAATTAGAGTGGTAGTTGTCTATTATGTGTAAGTCTGAAAATCCAATTGACAATGCTTGTGTATTTGAACATGGAACAGCTGCATTAGGTTGTAGAACTGGAAACTAGAAACCTACGTACAGACAGATATTTTTGAAACCTATACATATCTACAAGTAATTGTGGCTAAGATTGGGGAGCGTGGTGCATCCTAGTAATAGTTATACTCCTTAAAATTCAGATGGTGTACTCATTTATTGTCTTTGTAGTACAGCAAGCAAAAACCCTGATAATGATTGGTCAGGATGTGCTTAAGGTAACAAAATTCATCAACCTGACTTTATCCACAACTTGAGATTGTTTTCCGTGACATTTTTGCGTTTACTACAGGTTACTATTCGTCAAAGTTTTCGAAGCTTTACCAACATATCATGGAGCCATGATAGTATTAGTTAAGACTTTAGTTTATTATTCCCTAAATTACTGTTTTATTTTGGGAGCTTTCACGAAACAAATGTGGCTAACATTTGATATATAACGGCTTCGTCTCTGGTATGTTCAATAGAACGAAACACCTTAGTTATTCCTTATTAAGTGTGCTACCACAGTGCAACGTGACCCAGTTACCTATACATCCAAGTCAGTTACAAGTTTACAAGATGAAAAAACCCGATGTAGTTCTTTCATTGTTAGCCAGCTAACATTAATACTTCCCACAGCAAACTACTAGAACTTAAGCGCAGTTAAATAGTTGGATCAATTCACGTCCACCAGTTGAATAGCAGGTGTTGTAGGTTGCCTCTACTTATAAAACTATTACTCTTTTATTGACAATTCATACCTGTTTTCAGTATTTGTTTCCACTTGCCCTATTTGTCATAAGCATGCTACTTTTATTATTTTTTAATGAAAACATTGTCGATGGTTCAAGAACATTACAAAAGTGGCTTTTTAATGAAATAGACTACTTTGCCGTAAGATCATAGCTTACGTTTACTAGCTACGATTGGTATTTCTATGTACTTATTACATGCGCTATAATCCCGGATTTTAGATTCTCAACTTAAGCTACACTCGTTGAATCATAATCATACCAACTGGCTACTCAAAACGAAGTAGGTGAAGCGGATGCTCGAACCTGCTACCTCATGATTAGTAGCCAAATGCTGTAACCACTTAACTATTCCATTTTGGGCTATAGACTAGCCACATACTTGGCATTGAGGTGAATTTTAGTTATTTGGTGTCATTGTAAGCAAGGTTTATAGCGTAAATACCGACAGTTCCCTTTAAGTGACTTCATATACTATTGTTTTGTCTTAGACAATAGATTCTAATGCTCTGTTTATCTCACATTAACTCAAACTTGTCTAGTGAAGAATACATAATACATGTCCTAATCGTCCTATCTAAGCCTATAAGCTTTTCTCTGAGTTTTAGGTTTATTTGTCTGTCATGTGCCTGCTCATTCTATATGTGTTTTTAGTTTTATCTTATTTTGAGAACTGATTTCTGCCTCAACATAGCTCGCTTAATGGTTCTATTACAGATTGACGATAAAGCCTAAACTTTCTAAATCAAACCTCAACTCTTATTCTGTTAATCTTCAATGACCATATTTGATAACCGTGAAATAGCAGCTCAAATTCGATCAATGATGAGGGGTCCGGCTCTTCATCGGTCTTATAATTAGTGCATTTTATATAATGTCAACGAAATGTTTCCTTGCTATGATTTCGTTGAGTTTAGTCCACTGGAACTAATACAGTTCCTCAGGCAAGCTAACTTCTTCACTTACTCAACTAGTTCACTTTATATGATCAGGTAAGTTTTAGGTTCACACTTATCCTAGAATAATCATTTCCGCTCAGTAGGTGCTAAAGTTGTGTCAGAAATTTCCAAGTTGTTCTAATATACTCGTATATGTCTGGATTGACAACCTCAAATTCATAGGCTTTGGTTCTGGGTGCTCTGAAAGCTCCTTTGTGATTATCACAATAGGGTTTTTGTCCTTTCTTACAAACTGGAACGATCAGCAACCGAGACCAGTCAGATAGGATTACATCCAATTCCCAAATTCTAGCTGAGATGTTTGCTAATCTAATAACTAAACCTGGAGCACCATCCTTAAAACCCTCAGGAGTTAATGTCATGTCTTGCTTCTCTCCCTTACTTTAGATTGCTTATAGCCTCAACCTCAATATTGGTTGGAGGACTTACATTAATTCACCATCCAGGTTATTTGAAATAGTGGGTAACTTAAGACCAGTTGAACTGTACTCTACTGTTCTTCACTTAGATCCAATCTCCTGGATTGTGAATGACTAGTAGTATTTTTTTTCCCGAGACAATCTCATTAACAGTAGTAATTTTAATACCCGTTTCCTTGTTAAGTGAAAGTTGTCTACTGTTACATATCGCTACTGCCTTCTCCATCTGTTCTGCTTTCGTAGCCCACCACTGCTTACATTCATTGCGTAGGCTTTTTTCAGTCTACGCTTAAGCTTATGATCATCCCAGCTGCTAGTCCTCATAAAGATGAATGATGTAATCCTAAAGGCCATTGAGCCGAAATTTCATTCAGCATTATTACTATTGTATTGCTTATATATTCTTATCAGTCTTGATCTTTGCTGTTTTTACTATTGCAGTGTATGTTAACTAATCCTCGATTTCGAATTCTTTACTCATCAAGTTAAATTGATAGGTTTTGTACACTTTTGGTGTTTTTTCTCCTCGATCCCTAGCACCTGTTTCTAATGTCCAATCAAGTATCAATCATGACAACCTCAGTACTTATCACTTCCATATTGATGAACAAAAACCTAATACGTCAGTACATGAATCATCCGATTCTGATAGTTCCATGTCATCTTCTCTTCCATCTGGTCACCAATCATTTGATCGTCAATTGGATGATGAAACTAATTCAGATTATTCTGGTCCGATTGATGTTGATCTTGGTGCAAACTATTTAATTGGTTGTTCAAATCGACAAGCTGACCAACCATTATTTCATCTAGCTCGTATGCTACGAATTCCTACAGCTGTTACTGCCGGTGATTTATGCAAAAAATACCGCGGTTGGGAATGTGTAGAAATAGCCAAGTGGCTTAATCATTTTACTCCTAACTTGCCGATAACTCCTGATCAAGTTGCTGATGGTGTATTTCTGTTTGATAAGGTTATTCATCTTACTGTTGATCGCTATATGAAAACAAAATCTAAAACACAATATAATCATTTTGATACTACAGTCAAAGTAAGTATTTAAATACAAATAATTATGCATTATTGTCATCGAAAAAAATATAGTTGTAACAACACTTTAGTTTGATTCGTTCATTATGCCTAACCTACTCATTGTTTGGTAATATAATGAATGGTTGGGCATATATTTAGTTATTTTTCATGTTGACAGATGCAGACTACCTGGTTGGGCTCCGCGTGACTATCGTAACCAATGGTTGGAGACTCTAGGTGACATGGCTCAGAATCGATCACAATGGCGTAGGTGTATACACTCTTTATCTTCCTTTAAACCTTGAGACTAAAATTTGCTTCATATCTCTCTTCCTTCCTATACTATATCCTTATATACAACCTATAATTTATATACTACTACCACCACTAAATTAATTACTTCTATGAATCCGGTGTTCATCTTGTTGTGCTAACGAGGTATGGCAACTTGGACCGATGCATAAATGTGCCTGGTCCTACGTTGTAGCTGACTGACTGACTATTTAGTTATTTGATGAATGCTGTCATTATTATTATTATTATTATTATTATTATTATTATTATTAACTCATTGCCGGGTACAGATTTATATCTTTGGCTTCGAGCCATACTTTATGTGTGAGAGTAAGTTATGCGACGTGGTTGGCTAAACCAAAGTAGATGAAGCGATGTTTGAACCTGGAAATTAGTGGCTGGAAGTCAAACGCTTTAACTACTGAATCACAGCTTGTGTCGATAGTAAGATACAGGCTTTTTTCCTGTTAGAGCTGTGGCAGCTGAGTTGTATCGCTTGACTCAACCTTACTCCACCAAAATATTTTTTGATTATTTAAACATTAGTTTATCATTTTCCATACATTTGTTTACTATGTTCTCTGATTTTATATATATCTTATGCTTTCTGTCTCTCTTTCCATTCAATCTAGAAACTTTTTGATAAAGCTTTACAAGATATATTTGACACTGAAGCTCAGTACGGGATTCGTCCTTCTGCTAATTTTCGTGATCATATTGAAGAAGGCATATTCTTATCTATAGTTAGCCGTTACTTAGCCTATGTAAATCCTATAGAACGCTTGCCATTATGCGTTTTAGATGATTTATGTGAAGTGGCCGACTCAAAATGGCAATCAAATATTATTGGTGGAAAATCTAGCATAAATACTGGACGACATGCTTTAAATGAATCATCTTTATTGACTCAACTTGTACAATCCTATCCTACAGTTGATCAACGTAAAGCTTATCATGCTTGGGCAGAAAGGAAATTAGATGCTTTAGAAAATAATGAAAAGTCTTCTTTACCATCGATTGCCAAAATTGTATGTGTTAGCTGGGAGGATCGTCTAGTGACTAGTCGATTTAGTGATCTATTGAATCCATTGCTTAAATCCGTAAATATAATCTACAATGCTGTAGTTACGGAAATCGATTGGAGTAGAGCTGGTAACACTACTACTACTACTACTACTAATAGTAATGATAATAACAGTAATATCAATAATAATGATAACAATAATATTAATAATTATAATAAACACCATAATCGAATATTAATAAAGGCCAAAGTGAAACGGAATGCCCATTTAACTCAGAATGGTGATGATAATTCGACATTGGATTCGTATGAAGAGCAAATTTATGAAGCCAAACATTGTATTATTACTGTTCCAGTTGGTGTGCTAAAAGGTTGGTTGTGTCTTATTTTACATATAAATAGCATTAAGTACTTCAAAATGCTCATTTGCTTTTTTCTTAAGTAATATCTTATTCCTCATTCAATGATAATCATTTAAAAAAAATTAAAAACTTAACAAACGAGGTAGGAGGTGTCCCAAATGATGTCATTAATTTTCAAGCCCCCAAATGCTCTGGTACAGCTGAGAGTGGGGAGAGTCCGCTCTCCTTCTCCAAATTCTCTCACATAGCCACGCGAATATAGCCTCTGCCAGGGAAGTACTACTCACTGCCTTCTCGTGGCGGTGGTGTTGTTTACGAAATTGAGAGGACAAAACGCGAATGTCCAGCGCTTTAACCGGGTTGGTGGATGTGGAGTGTCCACCTAGTGGAGTTGGAAAACCCTGATTCCAAACCAATAGTGCACATGGGCTCTAGTATCCTTAGGGAAAAATGACGTGTAAATCAATCGTTGGTCACCGGCTACCATGAGACTGCATCTCACCACGATGCTCCACTGCCTTGTGTATCAGACCTTTAGGTCAAAGGCTCGGGGTGTGGGCCCCTAAGAAAACTACCTGCTTCAGTTTGGGTACGTGGACAGTATCACAGTCCTCACACAAATCAAATGAGATTTGTGAGGCGCATATATATCTGGTGCCTGTTTGTACCAATATTTATGTGTTTAAATAATAATAATAATAATAATAATAATAATAATAATAATAATCAAGCACTAAAATGCTCCGATTGTATTGTGCCGTATTTTTACAAACTTTTTGTGATACCAAGGACAAGTGCAGAAAATCACTCTGAATGTAGTGATTAATGATGATTCATATGCAATAAGAAATCCAAAGTTTCAGTTTAATACTGTCAGTAGAAAATCGAGTATGAATGAATACCCTGTAAGTTGGTCATTTTAGATAAGCTCTGCGTGTATAGTTAATATTTTAAAGTAGATCAACAAAGATCTTACGGTGCTAGAAATTAAGTACGCGGGGTTCGTTTCTTCAGCTGAATATACAAATTCATTGTAAATGAGTCTGCAAGCGATATCGTCCTATCTGTAAAAAGTGCCTACAACTGGAAGATCTACTCAAACTTAATTGAACAACAGTGTTGGATTTGTGCCTCTAGTGGTGCTATCTAGGAAATAAGTAGATCATAACAGTAATATCCATCTTGAGATAACTTGATGTAATCTTTATCCCACTCTAAAGGCATTGGGTGTGATTGTTAGTTAATATCATTAGGAAATTAAAAAAAACATCAGTCAGTCTCGATAACTTCAAACAAATTAATGAATATTTAAAAACTAGAACTAACTATTGCCCAGTAATTATCATGGTTATTGCGTAGGCTCCTTATTTAATTTTCATTTCTCATCCTTTTCACAGTTTAAATATCGAAAAGGCTGTGTTCAAATTTATTAAGAGCTAGTGAGACTATCGTAGAAAAAGACTGATCAGTGGGTTGTACTTGTAGAGTCAGACGAAGAGTGGTTAGTTAGACATTTTAATGAACAGTTCAACTGGTTTCTGCAGGTACCTTCTAGTTATCCACTATAATTTTGGTGGAGTTTCGTTCTCTGAGATGCAAACTTTGGTCGTAGAGCTTTCATCATTCTTCTGATCAACATCATCAGCACAAAGTTCAAGTAAAATTGATTAGGAAATCCACATTTTTGGATTGACCACTTGTAAAATCGAGGCTTTCAGTCTCAGAATCACTTCTACAATAAGTCCTAGTATTGGTAATCCCGTTGGCGTTCCTTGCGTTTGTTCGTAGATTTTATTGTTGAATTGGAGGTACATTATTAAGCACAACTCTATAAGTTCAACTAGAGCTCATACTAAATACGTCCGTTAGACTACTAAGTGCTCTGAACTAAAATCTGATGGCAAAATGTTTCGATCAATTATGCCAAGTATTATCCGTTAAAGTTGTCTGTCTTCTTTAATCTTGTTTATGGATATGATCTTCGAGGTAACATTTTCTCATTTCTCCGATAATAACCTCTCATCCGGGAATTTTCTGGACAACTTACATTATATAATCAACGTGGTTCTGTTTAGCACGAATCCCGACATCATACAGAGTTTTCCCGACCGTTGCTGCTACCTTGACGTGGTGGTCGGGCTTGCCTATCGTGATGATCCAATCGGGCTATGTTGGTTGGAACAATCGTTCCTCAAGGTCCTACCATGCCAGACAGGTCGGTTGAAGAGCGGTGAGACTAAAAGCAGCAATCCCAAGGTCCGAAGGCGAAGTCGTACTGCTGACTGTACAGAGGTGTGACGGCAGTAAGGTGACAACCAGCATGACAGCGATACTGCCTTCCCACAAGGAGGGGTGGAGTTAGAAAAGGTCGACCCTAAAAATGCACACCTCGCCTTATCCCACGGATATCCATCTCCGGCGGTAAGGTCCTTTGAAGAACGGAGCTAACACATCAAAAATCCCCCACAAAAAGGTCGTGCGTGACCGGCCTCAAGCAGTTGTCCCTTGGGCACTTCGGTCACGCTCCCAGGTCGTTAAGACCAACACTAATCTAACTTCTTTTTCAGGTCCCTCAAGAAATACCCTTCCACGGTGTGGGCAGCCGGGAAGTAATACTAGCCCTCATACCCATAACTGCACACGAGACGAAGTTGGTCACTTTCAAATCCTTCCTACACTTAATAACACTCTTATCTCCACGACTAACCCTTCCCACGTCCTTTTATCACCTCGCATCGCTAGGGCAAACGATTCGAGTACACGGAACGTTATTCCTGGTCTCCTGAAACCACGCTCTAAACTACATGTAGGAACTTTTAATGTTCGAACATTGTGCCAAATAGGACAACAGGCTTCCTTAGCTAAGACTTTGGAATCTTACACCATCGATGTGTGCTGCGTCTCCGAAACGCGCATACAAGATCCGAATAGTGTCATTCATTTGACCGCACCTAATCAAAATAAAGTTTCATCTCGATACACACTTCGTGTATCTGGAAGCCCTGACGCTGCTTCCCGTGGCCTCGCTGGAGTAGGTATAGCATTAAGTCCTAGGGTAGAACTAGCTCTTTTAGACTGGATCCAAGTAGACAGTCGTCTATGCGCTGTCCGACTAAACGGATCAGTAAGGACCCGGAAAGATAGGGAAACTCGTCGTTGCCTCTTCGTCGTCTCTGCCTACTCTCCCACTGACTGCAGCTCAGACGATATAAAAGATGAGTTCTACAGGAAACTTTCTGACCTTCTCCGAGAAGCTAGGCGTTCTGATGTAGTAATAGTAGCAGGTGACTTTAATGCTCAAGTAGGTAAACTAAGTGAAAGGGAAAGACACCTGGGAGGATCTTATGGTGTGATGGCTCAAAGAACAGATAATGGCGACCGTCTGTTGCAGCTATGCTCAGATAACCGCCTATTTCTTGCAAATACTAACTTTAAGCATAAGGAAAAACATCTTTTGACCTGGCGACCCCCGAATTCGTCCCAACGTTGGACCCAATTAGATCACATCGCTATCAGCCACCGATGAAGGGGCTCGACTGAAGACTGTCGCTCATTCTGGGGCACATGTTTAGATTCAGATCATGCTCTAGTGCGAGCACGTATCTGTCTGCGTATAACTGGACGTAGGAAAGACAGTGCAGGGAAGCCTCTAAGGGTTCTACTTAATGATAGGCAAGCTAAGAATATATTTCAGGAACAACTAGAAAAACAGTTAGGCAGCCATGTAAATTATGCCCACCCCGAGGCAGCGTGGAATGACATCCGAAAAGCTGTGGAAACAGCAGTGATATCCGCTAGTAAGGTGAACCATAAGGTTAGGGAGAAACAATGGATCTCGGCAGCATCTATGGCACTGATAAATGCTCGAAAACTCATCCAACCTGTCTCTGAACATAACGAAGAGCGGAGTCAACTTAAGCGCAGGCTAATAAGAAGCCTACGTAATGATCGTGAACAGTGGTGGGTAGCGAAAGCAAGAGAGATGGAAAAGGCAGCGGCAATAGGTAACAGTAAGCAGCTATTCAGACTCGTTAAAGAAACCGGTATTAGGAACCCAAGTATCAGTGAAACCATCTCAGATAAAGATGAGCATATCATTCATTCTCAATCCAGGAGATTGGATCGATGGGCAGAACACTTTAGGGATCAGTTCAACTGGCCTTCAGCCACACTTCAATTACCCACGATCCCCAGTCGTCCTGAATGGCAAATTGATGTAAGTCCTCCAACTTTCTACGAGGTTGAAAAAGCTATAGGAAATCTGAAGCGAGGCAGAGCAGCAGGCCCTGACAGGTTGACCCCTGAGATTTTTAAGGATGGTGGTCCAGTACTAGCAGTGAGATTGACTGACGTCTTAGGTAGAATCTGGGAACTGGACGTAATTCTATCTGACTGGTCCCAATCGCTGATTGTGCCAGTCTATAAGAAAGGACAAAAATCCTCCTGTGACAATCACAGAGGGATCAGTTTGACTAACATAGTGTCTAAAATATTAGCTTCAATAATACTAGGTCGCCTAACCAAAGCTCGTGAAGAGCAGATTAGAGAAAACCAGGCTGGTTTTCGACCTGGACGTGGTTGCATAGACCAGATATTCACCCTACGTCAGGTCCTAGAACATAGACATACATTCAGACGTCCCACAATAGTATTATTTCTTGACCTTAAGGCGGCATTTGACTTCGTGGATCGTGAGGTTCTATGGCAGTGTTTGTCAGTGAAAGGAGTACCAAAGAAGTACATTAACCTCATAAAGGCTCTCTACTGGAACACAACTGGTCGAGTTAGAGCCTATGGCGAACTGTCACCAGAATTGGTTACCTCAAGTGGTGTTCGTTAGGGCTGTCCACTCTCCCCATTCTTGTTTAACTTTGTCGTCGACATGCTTTTGGAGATAACACTTTCATCAGCTAAACCTCCAGGAGTTGAATTTTTACCGGAAGGCTCACTTGTTGACTTAGAATACGCCGACGACATAGTTTTACTCGGTGAAGACGCTGACAAAATGCAGAGTCTTCTGACCACTATAAGCAACTATGCAGACATGTTCGGGATGCGATTCTCTCCCTCGAAGTGCAAAATGTTACTTCAGGATTGGGTTGCATCGACACCTGAACTAATGATAGGGAGTGAAGTAGTTGAACGTGTTGGCCGCTTCACTTATCTTGGGAGTCTCATCAGCCTTTGTGGTCTGGTGTGTAACGAAATCTCAGCTCGGATACAGAAGGCACGTCTAGCTTTTGCCAACTTGCGTCATTTATGGCGTAGGCGAGATATCCGTCTAGCAACCAAAGGACGGGTTTACTGTGCAGCAGTTCGCTCCGTTCTACTTTATGGCAGTGAAACATGGCCGATAAGAGTAGAGGATATTCGTAGGCTACTAGTGTTTAATCATAGGTGTCTTCGACGCATTGCTCGTATATCCTGGGACCACCGGGTAAGTAATGCAGTTGTTAGGAAACGAGTTCTAGGTAAGGATGGCAAATCGATTGATGAAGTAGTGAAACTTCATCAGTTGAGATGGCTGGGACATGTGTTACGTATGCCCAACTACCGACTGCCCCGACGTGCAATGTTTCATGGTGTAGGAGTAGGTTGGAAGAAAGCTAGGGGCGGCCAGACCAAAACGTGGCACAAATCAATGAAGTCACTGACAAGTGGACTGAGCCATGTTGGTAGGTGTAGACTACCTGGTTGGGACTCGCGAAGTGATAGCAACCGATGGTTAGAGACGTTGAATGACATGGCTCAAAATCGTTTGCAATGGCGAAGGTGCATCCACTCTTTGTGTTCTACTAACTTCTTATCTTCTGAATTCCTCATGTTTCTATCTTTTTCTCTTTCCAAAATTATTTCACTGTACTATACTCCTTCAATAATTTCTTCAAACCCTAATCCTTCCGATTACTGATTATGCTCCTACTACTTCTACCACTATGGGATTTGAATCGACAACTGAATCTCTGTGCTAATGTGGTATGGCAACTCGAACTGATGTACGTTGTGACTGACTGACTCATACAGAGTTCCTAAAACTTTCAATGGTGTTTCAAAAATGTTTGGAATCCATTTTAACTCTTTCAAATTCCATATGTTTCTTCTGTGTTCAATTTAAAAAATGAGAAGTAAATTATTTTAAAGATTCGTGCCAATTTCTTGTATTTTGGTAGTTTTATCAACTATGGTGCGTTAGCAACTGACGCATTTTATTACAGATACAAAATATCTATTATCTCTAATGCCTCATCTCATTGATTCCTTCTTAGTGTACTACTGATTTAAGGTGTGGCTGTTTGAACGGATGCAAAATTGAGCCAGGTTTTGCATTGTTTTTTCTACCTATGTTTTTCTTATGTGTCACTGAATGTGAAATCTGTTCTCAGCTTACAACTGTCTGTATTCATTCTACATCAAATGTTGTACGTGGTTAAGTGGTTCACTTTGACAGCCAACTTTTCTATAACCAAAGCACTCCATATGAGTTGCTACTACTTACTATTTAGCAACTGATTTTGTGTATACTTACTTACATCTGTTACCCTTCGTGGAGGAGTACAGGCCTCCCACCAACTCTCTCCATCCAATTCTGTCCTTTCCTGTTCTTCCCAGTTGCTATTCATTCTTTTGATTTCTGCTTCGAATTTCGACGCAGTGTGTTCTTTGGCCTTCCTCTTTTCCGTTCCTCTTAAGGATTCCAAGTTAACGATTACCTTGTGATGCAGTTTGATGATTTCTGTAATTTATGTCCTATTGCTCCACCGTCGACCATTGTCTTCAGTGACTTACTGCTTCACAACAGATACGGTTGAACTCCACTGATCACAGCTTCTCACTAGAACTCCAGGAATTACCTCTTGAAGCCGTTCAGTGCTTCCAGGTTTTTCATCATGGTCTAGCTTTAATTGAATCATAAATTCAACTATTAAATTACCATAATCTCCACAAAACCCCTTCCTGATAATTACCTTTATTAATTCAATATTTTTGCTTTGTAGGTCTTAGTTCGTCTTCAGCAATCACTTTCTATCCGGAATTACCATTGAATAAACGTCAAGCTATTGAACGTTTAGGAATGCCTAGTCAAGGTTCTGCTACACATGAAAAAGTAATTCTACGCTTTAAATATCCTGAACATGTGTTCTGGGATACTAGTGCAGCTCATCTCAAATGTCCTGATCCTCGTTTGCATATTCTAAATTTACATCGTTATGGTAAGTAAACATTTCGGTTAGTCAATTCGTATTTATCTTTAAATCTTGTTTAACTATTGTTATCAATGTCTTTTGTTTATAACATTCTAGGCTATCGGAAAGAGTATTGATATCAGAATCAACTAATTTGTGTTCATTCCTATTTCTCCCCTGTATTTTCAAAAAAAAGTTGAAATTTTCTTCTTGGTATCTATGATAGATAGCTAATTGATCAGTAGAGGTTCTATGTTTTAACCATGTCACCATATGACTATACATTAATGTATTATCTATATAAATTAGTCACTGGGTTACCAGCCAAAGTCATATTACACGAACCTGTGTTGACCATATACTATCGGTAAGGTTAATAGTAAGTTCATAAAGTTCAATATGTTGAAATTTTTGTACACTTTATTCTCTATTTTAGACAGTTGTAGACAATTGATAGGTACTGTTGCTTGATTTACTGTTCATTACCGGGGTATATTTATATGCTGTCTCAGACAACCGAATTATTTTCTCTTATCGTTCTGGGCAGTGGATCGGTGGCCCAGGGGTGAATGCGTTTGACTTTTGAACGTTACCCCACGTACTTCAGTTTAGACAACCACGTAGCATTACCAGAATTCGATTCAAAACGAAGTACATGAATCTGTGCTTGATAAACGCTCATTCATGAGTGTTGTCTCACCAAAATGTTAGTTGTATGCGGTAAAAAAAGTCAGAAGCGATTATATGCTATATTACCTTATGGTTATTGTGGTAACACTGATCTAACTTGCCCAGGGGAATCATGTAATAGACTTTGATTCGTAAGTTTTGTGTTCATCTACTTAAATTGAAGCAAGTAGTATCGCAGTCTAGTTGTTAATGAATTCGACTGTATCCTAAGTTCGAGCCCCACCCTTCTAGAATAGTTCCTCGGCAAAATGGTTTTATCTTCAAAATTTATATATGTTTGACTATGACTGGGTCGAAGTTAGGTAACTATTGGAAAACAGGGAAAAATGGGTAGCTGTTTTCTACTCTAAGACTCCTGAAAGGTGTACACGCAATACCAGCTACAGGTTGAAGCCAGGTCACATGATCCTACGTTGTAGCTAACTGACTGACTGACATAGTAAACGCGGTGCCTTTGAACTACGGGTTCCGAACTTAGTAGACCACATTTTCCAAGCCTGGGTCATTTATCAATAATGTACTCATTCGCGATGTACTCGTCAATAACTAGTTTCGCAACGTATTCTCTGAAAATTCTGGCTTTTATATATATGACTAAGCAAACTTTCATGTACATCACATTAAGTTTTAACAATACTAGATATTTTTATTTGCGAATAATTGTCATCCAATTTATTCAATTCTCAGGCAAACCGGGTGTTTTGTGCGCTCATTTATGGGGAGGATCTGGTTTCCATTCAGCTGGTCGATCGGATAAAGAAATTGTTGATATCATATTAGATTTATTAGACTTAATGTACAGTGGAAAATACAAACCTGATTCTGAAGTATCAGGTCGTAAAATTCCCGACCCAGTGTATTATTTAGTGACCCGTTGGTCTGAAGATCCTTTTGCTTTAGGCGCTTATACTACTGGGGAGCCAGGTAGCTCCGATGCTGACCGGTTAGTCTATTCACTAAGTTTAACTGGTTTGGATGCTAAAAATCAGCTGAAAATTGAACAGAAAGATGATGTGTTTATTGTTGACGATAGCCTTAGTAGCAATAATTTGAACCTTACTACTGATAATGAATTGACAATTCCACGTCTTCTGTTTGCTGGTGAAGGAACACTGACAGCTAAAGAAGCCAAGGTAAATTGTGTTTTATTTTTCCCATAAATTAAACACAATTTTAAAGTGAAAACTAGTAATTAAATAAATGTAGCTGACTGTTATCGTATAACACAAAGGGGTTTTGTGGAGACTTTAGTAATTTCATATAGTTAAGATCATGAGTCAGTTGAAGCTAGACCACCATGGAAAACCTGGAAGCACTGAAAGGCCGTTTCGTCCTGTTGTGGGACTCCTCAGCGGTGCGCATCCATGATCCCGCCTCGCGGGATTCAAACCCAGGACCTATCAGTCTCGCGCCAGAGCACTTAACCGATAGACCACTGAGCCGGCATCCAGCAGTGTTAATGTCTAACTTCAACCAATCCACGAAATTGCGCGACCAACATCCATTGTACTAAGGTAGATACCTGTCTCTACCTGACATGGATTAGTTCCACTGGTCACGACTTCTCACTAGAACTCCAGGAATTACCTTATGGAGCTAGTCACTAGTGAGCATATGATCATAGCGCACTGCTGAGGAGTCCCACTATAGGATGAAATGGCTTCCAGGTTTTCCATGGTGGTCTAGCTGCAACTGACTCATGATCTTAACTATATAAAATGTTATCATATAGTTTTGTTGTGTTACTGTTTTTTATGAGTAAGGTTAATTCTATCAGGAGAAATGATGTTTTCTATTCGAGGTCAAATGAATAGAGTATGGCCTCGAGTTTATCAATATTTGATTAGAAACTAATCATCTAGATCAGTTTATAACAACTCTACGTACAAAATATTGAACAAAAGTGTGTTGTTTTAAATTCCCATGTTTTACAACAGATTGTATGTATTGGGTAATCCAAATTAAATGGACAGTGTGAATCGACAAATGAGGAAAATCGAAGTATGCGCATCTTTACCCTTGAAATCTTTCCGAACTATTTCAGCAAGTTTTCGATTAATGATGTCTCCCATTTTTCTAGCATTTCTTATGAAGTCTATACATTCGTATTCAACTTAAATCAATTGTTGGCAGTTGGTGTCATCTCTGAGTCTAATAATAATTTACTTAGTTCCAATCTATCTATCTATCTATATCTATCTATCTATCTATCTATCTATCTATCTATCTATATATATATATATATATATATATATATATATATATATATATATAATGACAATGTGAATGATGCTAGATACAACTGAGTTAATGGGCGTAAACTCACATCCTTTTTTAAAATACTATACTTAAAAATATTACTGTTTATCTGGTGGCTTAACATTTCACGAGTAATGGTTCGAAGATATGAATAGTCGAATTATTGTAATGTACATGTACGTACTTTATATAGTTTCAAACTAGCATGTAGGAAACTGCATTGTATTTACTTATATTTTACATACCTACGTATTTGTTCTCTACTCCTTTCAAGGCCCCCAAATGCCCTGGTACGGCCTAGAGTGGGGAGAGTCAGTTCTCCCTTCGAAATGCTCTCACATGGCCACGCTTATATAGCCTCTGACAGGGAAGTCCTTCTCGTGGCGGGGTAGGGTGTTGTTTACGACATTGAGAGGGCGAATATCTGGCGCTTTAACCGGGTTGGTGGACTCGGAAAGTCCATCTAGGGGAGTTGAGAAACACTAATTCCAAAGGAATGGTGCACATGGGCTTCAGTATCCTGAAGGAACAAATGGCGTAATTACTTGAATTACGCCTGTTACCCCCAATGGAGCATAGGCTGCCGACCAGCATTCTCCAACTCACTCTGTCCTGGGCATTCCTTTCTAGTTCTATCCAATTTTTGTTCATTCTTCTCATGTCTGTCTCCATTTCTCGACGTAATGTGTTCTTTGGTCTTCCTCTTCTCCTTTGGCCTTCAGGACTCTATGTGAGGGCTTGTCTTGTGACACAGTTGGTTGATTTTCTCAATGTATGTCCTAACCACTTTCAGCGCTTCCCGATTTCTTCCTCCACTGGAATATGGTTTGTATTCTTCCACAGCGGAATGTTTCTGATAGTGTCTGACCAACGGACCCGAAGTATTTTGCGTAGACAACTGTTAATAAACACTTTCATCTTCTGGATGATGGCTTTCGTAGTTCTCCAAATTTCTGCCTCATACAGTAGAACTGTCTTGACATTTGTATTGGAAATTCTGATCTTGGTATATATATATCAAACTAAGGCATAAATTACGAGGTAGAGTGTCATTTCAGGTAGATTCTCATCTGTGTCTATATCTTCCTTGATTGTAACCAATTGACTACTGTATAGAGTCTTTGAATGAGGGCAGAAAACAACTGTTCATTACATGCACCATGATTTCCAATATTTCTTCAGCTAATATATCATCCTGTAACGTAACCAAAATTCAATCTATCTTGTATTATAAACTCATTTAGTATTGTTTGTTTGAATCTTCCCATTGATGTTTTTAGGACTGCAACTGGTCAGTCTCTAATTGGCATATGTGCATACTTTGCGTATTACCTCGATATAACCTAAATTCACAAGCATAGTAAATAGAGATGGATAGTGGATAGCAGTGGAATCCAGGACGCGGGTTTCGTCCTATTTGGAACTCCTATTTGGGCACATGTGCCAATTAGAGACTGACCAGTTGCAATCCTAACACATTGATGGGAAGATTCAAACAAGCAATACTAAATGAGTTTAAACTTCACCCCATCTCACAAGCAAGTGGCTATCAGGACTCAGTGGCCCAGTGGATAACGCGATGGCGAAGGTACTAGGTTCGAGTCCCAGATTGAACATCAACTCTGAGATGCAGGTACATCCAACTGACGAGTCCCAAATAGGACGAAACGCGCGTCAAACTGGATTCCACTACTATCCATCTCTGCTTATCTTGTATTATGTTTAATGCTTTGTTCATTTGTTGTATTTGAAATATTGAATTCATTTTTGTTTTTCATTACTTAGGAATGTACTCATGGTGCTTTACAAACTGGAATTGCACGAGCTATTGAATTATTACCATATCTTATGAAATCTAAATCAACTATACCTGATCCATGTATAATACGTGATTTAGAAATTTTACGTATCCATGCACAATCGAATTTTTCTAGTTTTAGTACTAAATTAGCTAGTTATTTATTTGGTAAAGTACAATTGAATCGTTTATTAAATTGTAATATAGCAAATGGTAAACAATATCGTCGGGTAATTTTAACACGTTCCGCCGAACATACTGCTAAAATTTTATCATATCATACTAATACTACTGATAATGATGAGAAAATGAATATAAAGTTTGATAATATCAATCATATAATTGCTACAAATACTCCATTCTCAAGATCATCATTCTATGGTTATCGTCGACGTTATAATCATTCATCTAAATCTTGTTGGAATACAGAGAATGAAAATTCTTGTAAATGTTGTTCATATGCTCATATTAATAAACGTTCACGTCTTACTACTACTGGACGTAGAGGAAGAGGTAGAGGGAGAGGCCGAATAAGAGGTTGTACAATTTATAATCAACGTGGTAATTTGAACGCCCAAATCTCACATGGTTTTATTGTGAAACGACCACGTGGAAGACCACCTAAACGACAAGGACATGCTGCATTACATGCAATTTCTAGAGCACATGTAAGATTTGTATAGTGTGTTATTCTGTTGGCCTGACTTTTCAGGCAAATAACTATTTAATCTTATCAGATAATTCATTTTATTCTTAATTGTGACTCATTAATTAAGTAAATGTTTAGGGTCCATACGATGGACATACTATGTGGTTATTAGCAATCTTAGATAACATGACGATATAGTTCCATATACGGACTTGAATCTTGTTTCAACTTTTTGTCACAAGAAACCATTTTTACATTTATTCTGGTTATGCCCCCAAATGCCCTGGTACGGCCGAAGGTGGGAAGAGTCCGCTCTCCCTCTCGAAATGCTCTCATTTGGCCACGCGTATATAATCTCTGTCAGGGAAGTCCTACTCGCTGACTTCTCGCATCAGGGGTGTTGCTTACGAAATTGAGAGGACGAAAAGCGAATGTCGAGCGCTTTAACCGGGTTGGTGGACACAAAAAGTCCACCTAGAGGAGTTGGAAAACCCTGATTCCAAAAAAATGGTGCACATGGGATCCAATATCCTGAAGGAACAAATGGGGGTATGAATCAATCGTTGGTCACCGGCTACCATGAGACTGCATCTCTTTACGATGCTCGACTGCCTTGTGGATCAGATCTTTAGATTAAAGGCTCCGAGTGTGATCCCCTAAGAATGTTGTGGCGTGTTCGCATGTCGGGCTAACCAGTTATGTTGTAGTAGCTTAAATCTGATTCCTTTTTGATCGTACGTACTGTCTATCCTCGTATGCAATAAGTGACGTTATCCGCGTTAGTGAATAACGGAGTTAAATAAGTCAAATACGAGAATGGATTTAGAATACATTCATTTTCTATACTCATTGATCTGGCCAGGGAATCAGAGTGGTGAAGCGAACAGAAGAGAGAGAAGCGTGAATGATGCGTACTTTGGAGATGGCTGGGAAGCCAATTCACTATGAGCATGCATTACTCAATATTTATAGTTAGACAAAAATGAATGACAGACTTGTGATGGACAAAATACGAAATGTGCATACACATACGCTCATATAAAAAGTTGTCAAGGTTAATAAGCGAATAATTAACAAGATCAAAATATGACTCATAATGGATAGGCGAATTGGCTTGGCCAGTAACTAGAATAAAGCATATGGGCTTAACATATAAACCGATACTACAAGAAAACCACCTGCTTCGGTTCAGTCACCTGAGCAGTATCACAGCCCCTATCGTTTTGTTCTAGTGTGATTATTTCAGTTTTGTGAGAATTCCCAATTAGATTATTTACACAACCAAGTCTTTGTCACTTTTTTCAGTTCACTGTTTAAATAAATTCTTTTAAGCCTAAGTTTCGTCAGTTATTTTTAATGTTAAGACCTCAAATAGGTATATATCTGTTCAATAGACATAAATGAAAGTAAATATTGGTAATTTATTGAACAACACAACTTAAGAGAAATAAAGAAGATACATACGACTGCTTCAATGTAATCAATCTTTAGGTCATTTCATTGATGCCCTGCTTTATGTTTAAGGCGTTCGACTTCCTACCACACCACTCTACCTACATCGGTTTGGGAAGCCGGGTAGTACCATTATTCTTCATACCTACTGTCTGGCTCATACCTAAGTATCTCGTCGATCAGTTAGTAAATAAAATCCAATTTTTGTCAGTGTGCATCATATATATATTGAATCCAACGACACTGGCGTTGTTCATAACTGACTAGTTGTTGATTTGTTTTTTTCTTCATTTCTTTTACAGCGTTATTTACGACAAGTGTCATCTAGACTGGCGTATAATCGATATAGATTGGAATCTTCCAATTTATTAGATAAACCATTTAACTCAGCATTACCATCCTCCACGTCATCAACACCAACAGTGTCTGTACGAGGCAGGGGTCGCGGTCGAGGTGGTAAACGAGGTAGACCACGAATACACTTCCCTCGTACTTATGAATCTACTGGTACAAGTTGGGGTAATTATCTATCTGAAGAAGATAGACAAGAAAGTTTATTACAATTAACTAATTTATTAAATGATTTTCAATCACCTACACGAAAATCTAAACATGTCTGTGTAACTATACCACAAGGATTATGTTTAAATACTGAAATTATTGTTGCTAATGGTGATACAACAAAAACATCGATATCAAAAGATGATGGAGTAGAAGAGGATGAAGAAGAACTTCTGTCGCATATTGAAGAAGATAATTCCGTTAATAATGATGATAGGCATCATTATGATTATTCAGTACGTGTTCTTTTCTCTTACTTTTTTTAATGCTCTCGTATAAGGTTTAAATGTTTGTAAACTATTGCTCTTTCAATCTTAACTGAGGTTTCTCTCATAATTAACAATGAAAATCAATGATTTAGTGATTAAAACAAGTATTAAACAGTTAGGTTCCATAAACTGTCCTATCCACTTTGGTATCAGACAACTACAGGTTTTATTGATAGTATTAGCTTTTAAAATAGTCAAGAAGTCATTGGTTAAGGCGTTCAACCATCAGAGTAGCAGTTTCGAATCTGCTCTTCACTTGTTTTGGCTTATGCAACCGGATATATATTACTGAGTCTTACACTTAGAGTGTTGTTCAAAGCAAACTACACGAATTTGTACTTGTCTGGTGAGTTAATAATTAATCAAATAATGTGTAACTCGAATTAAAAAAGACAGACTTGCACTAAGTTTTACTATTACTTATGATTCATGTAAGTTATATGCAAATTGCAGATGTTTGTATATGTAGTCGTCTTTAAGCCACTATTCATTGTGTGTGTGATTAAATGCACCGACTTGTAAAACTTCTTGCTTTTTTTGAGGTCATCATCACTGGCGACGAGGGTGAGGCATCAGATAAACAACAGCATAATTTCTGACTACTTACAGTGATATATTAAGCAATGGAAGAGGATGCGATGAAACAAATGAATATATCATTCATCAGAAATATTTTAAGGGGAACTAAGAATGATCCTCTATACATCTTGTAAAATAAGAATTTTTAAAAACTTTAGTTTGTTTACATACTAGACGGATAAAGTTAGATTTCATCATATGAATCATAGTTTAACTTAATAAATAAAATTTACCAACTTTAGTGGCGAGACTAAACTATACTGACGAGCCAATCAGAAGCTTTCGCGGGTTTTCAAGGTCACGACGCTAAGCTCGGTATCTGATGCTTACGTACGATCGGTTTACAGCGAATTTTAGCGAGGATGTGATAATTCAGCGTCTACAAGAGGAGTGATCATAAGATTTTGGCGCGAAATTCAATTATCCATTTCGATAAATAGAGTTTTGGCATAATAGCTGATGTCAGTTCGTGATGAAAACCCTAAGTATAATTCCTAGTCTTAACCATGAACTGTAAATCATAATTTAAATTCTTCACACATGTTTATAACCCTCATTTGGTCTTAGTTATTATGTTGACACTCTCAGGGTCACTCTAGCGTCGCTCAAAGGTCGTCCATAAATTATAGTCTCACCCTTAACCCTAAACCTTAACTCTAACCCTAAACCGTAAACCATACCAATATACCAACAACATTGAAGCTATGTGGTCGAGGCTAAAAGAATTTTCGAGACCTTATCATGGTTTCAGAGGTTGACTACTATGGAGCCATATGGATGAGTTCCTGTACCGGATGCACTATGATTTTAGAACTTCTGAACCTATATCTGACCTTGATAAGTTTTTGAGTCATGTAAAAGAACAGTATCCCCTTTAATTTTTGAGTTTTGTATAATATACTTTTGCTGTATACTAACTGTCTTCTGATTGGCTAATATTTCTCAAGGTCATTTAAGATTTGTTCAAAGGTCGTCCATAAAGTATAGTTTAATCTCGCCGCTATTTCTTATCCAATCAGCGCTAGTTGATACTTGGAGAAGACTCTTTTCATGTAAAAACTATAAATATAATGTCGTTTTTCTTATTTTGCTACACCATTGTGATCGATTTTGTGCCATGTCACCTAGAGTCTCCAACCATTGATTACGATAGTCACGTGGACCCCAACCACGAAGTTTGTATTTACCAATATGGCTCAGACTAGAAGTTAGTGACTTCAAGCTCTGATGTCACGTTTTGGTTTGGCCGCCCTTAGCTCTCTTCCATCTATTGCTAATAGTAGTCAGCATTGCGTGTCGTGATAATCGGTGTTCAGACATACGTAACATGTATCTCAACCATCTCAGTCGATAAAGATTCACAACCTCATCAACTGATTTACTATCATTCCTCAATACCGTGTGTCTAACCTCACTATTACTTACCCGGTGATCCTAACAGATGCGAGCAATATTTCCAAGACATCTGTAGTCAAATACTAGTAGCTTATGAGTATCTTCTACCCTTAATGGCCACATTTTGCAGCCGTAAAGTAGGACAGGGTGAATTGATGTCCAAGAATACCAAGCAATAGGGATAGCTAGATCGTAATAAGAGAAATTATAACACTTAGTCATCTTTTTTTTCTTCTTTTAAGACTAACATCAGATTTCCTAAGTATTATATTCTTTAGAGTTTCAATTGTATTAAAATTTGTTCTGTCTTATCATTTTTGTTTTGAATTTATCCATATAGGGTTTGTCATTGGAGAACAACCATGTGGATGTTATTCAATAGTATTAGTAGTAGTAATAGTAATAATCATAATTTGATGTATATATTATCATTATTATGTTGATGTGTAAATGTATTTATACTTATATGAGAGTTGCCAGCAACGGTTGACATCTCACTGCTTCTTTTCATCCATTTATTCCATCTTTTTTTTTAATTATATTTCTTTGTAAAGAAAGAGGATTATCTTTATTGTTCGTTTGTTTTTTCTTTTTGGTTTATCGCTTATGTTCTAACACTATTCATATTAATGAATGTTGTTGTTGTTGTTGTTGTTAATGATAATAATGATGATGATTCTCAACTGTTCACCAATTGATTGTATCCTTCTTTATGTATATTCACAATGACCAAGATGTATGTGTTGTATGGTATGGTCAAAGCATGCTTTATGATTGTTCCTCCTGTTCTTCTTCTTTTTCGTTTTGTGTACATATTTCTCTTTCTCAATGTGTGTGTGTGTGTTTTAATCTTTATTATTTTTTTTACATTTTAAACGAGAGAGTTACTAAATAAAGAATAAAAAGAAAACATACAAGATCTTTTCAAGAATCAAAATAGATTATATTGATAAGTTCAATGTTGAATCATTTTATAAGTATATTCTATTCTGGAACTCCACAGAGTAGTGCTCGTCCACAATCCCCGCCTCACGAGATTCAAACCCAGAACCTATCAATCTCCCGCACAAGCGCTTAACCTCTAGACCACTGAGCTGGCATCTAACGGTGGATGAGCAGTAATGAGGAGTCCTACAATAGAACAAAATGGCTGTCCAGTGCTTCCAGGTTTTTCATGGTAATCTAGCTTCAATCGACTCATGATTTTAACTAGAAAATTACTAAAATCTCCACAAAAAACCCCTTCAAATAATAAAAAGTTTGCTTAAATGTCTAGGTAAACCTATTTGTCAGTTAGGTAAGTGAGCGGAATACACCCATTAAAACAGTAAATAAGAATGATTGATTTAATAGACAGTTCTCTTTTCGGTGAATTCATTTTCAAAGCTGTACAATCGCAAATTTTATTTATTTTAACACATAAACATTGGTACAAAGGGGCACCGAATACATATGAGCCGCATAAATCTTATTTGACTTGTGTGAGGGCTGTGATAATGCACAGGTGCTTTCCTTAGGGGTCCACACTCGGAGCCTTTAACCTACAGATGTGATCCACAAGACAGTGAAGCATCGTAAGGATATGCAGTCCCATGGTAGCCGGTGACCAACGATCGATTCATGCGCCATTTGTTTCCTCAGGATACTGTAGCCCGTATGAGAGCATTTGGAGAGGGAGAGCGGACTCTCCCAACTCTCGGCCGTATCAGGGCATCTGGGGGCACAATCGCAAATACATATATACTTATTTTTTAAGGATCATAACAATTACTACAATAGTAATGATAATAAACTTCTACTAGACATAGTAACAGTGAGGTAGAATAAACAAAGGTATTAAGATCTTTTTAAATAGAAAAACTAGTAATCGCCTAATAGTTAATGGCTTAATTATTCATCAAAAGATAGATAGAGAAATTATCATTGGGAAAGGATAGCTCAGCATGATAAGATAAAATGTGAAATTCAGATGAAAAGTAATCATAGGAACAGAAATAAACCAGCCGGGTGTAGACAGTTTAAGGAGAAGATTGAAGTGGAAGGAGATGGCTATAAAGGAAGAAGAGTGTGAAAGAAAAAAATCATAAGACATTAGAATCATAGTAAATGAAGAAGTTTGGACACACAATTCTGCTTTTCTCAGATGTATGGCTATTGCTTCGGGAATGCTAAGAAGACGTAATGTAGTTGTCCTTGGAAAACTTCTACTTACCTTGTAGATGACTTTGATATCAAAGTCCGTCTTGATTGAGTGACTTGTGTTCACAAGGTGTTTAATTATCGACCCGTTTCCTCGTCTTAGCAACGCCGGGTGATGTTTTTGTATTTTTTTTGGATAAGGTACGCATCGAACAACTCCGCCTGTAGTTCCTCTGGGGGTTACTGCCGGTCCCAAGCCCGGGTAAAGGAGGAGGGATGGGCATGAGGTTAGCGAACCCATCCCTTAGAAAATCAACTCACTAAAAAACGCTAACCAGAAAAAATCATTTAAACTCTGCCCTGGGAGTAGAAGGAATAATTATGACGTCTCATGATGAAAGCCGAGTTCCTTCGGAAGTCATGAGGCCGATGCACCTTCTTACAACCAGAGCAACAATTTTTATAGGTACATGGAATGTCCGGACGATGTGGGAGACCGGAAGAGTCTTCCAAATTGCTGCAGAAATGAGAAAATACAACCTGGAAGGGCTTGGAATCAGTGAAACACATTGGACGCAGGTTGGACAACAACGACTGCCTTCAGGAGAACTTCTGTTATACTCCGGTCATGAAGAAGAAAATGCCCCACATACACAAGGAGTTGCATTGATGCTGTCCAGAAAAGCACAAAATGCACTTATAGGATGGGAATCTCATGGACCAAGGATCATTAAAGCCTCCTTCAGAACAAAGAGAGAGGGCATTACAATGAACATCATCCAATGCTATGCGCCTACCAACGACTACGATGAAGACGCTAAAGACCAATTCTACGATAGGCTGCAGTCGATCTTCAAAAGTGCCCAACCAAGGACCTGACAATTCAGATGGGAGGTCTCAATGCTAATGTTGGAAAGGACAACACTGGATACGAAGACGTCATGGGACAACATGGACTGGGAGGAAGGAACGAAAATGGTGAGAGATTTGCAAACCTATGTGCCTTCAATAAACTGGTCATAGGTGGCACCATATTTCCACACGAAAACATACACAAAGCCACTTGGATTTCACCGGATCACACTATACAGAATCAAATCGACCATATGTGCATCAACAAAAAGTTCAGGAGGACGATGGAGGATGTGAGAACCAGAAGAGGAGCTGATATAGCATCCGATCACCATTTGCTGGTCGCCAAGATGAATCTAAAACTCAAGAAGCAGTGAACAACGGTGCGGACAACATCACAAAAGTTTAACACAGCCTTTCTTCGAGATGCTGACAAACTCAACAAATTCAACATAGCCCTCAGCAACAGGTTTCAGTCCTTTCATGATCTTCTCAATGGAGAGGGAACTACCATGGAGAGCAACTGGAAAGGTATCAAGGAGGCAACCGTTTCAACATGTCAAGAGGTTCTGGGCCAAAAGAAGCACCATCACAAGGAATGGATCACTGTTGGTACACTGGATAAAATTGAAGAAAGGAGGAACAAGAAGGCAGCAATCAATATCAGCCGAACCAGAGCGGAAAAAGCCAATGCACAAGCCGAATACACAGAGGCAAACAAGCAAGTGAAGAGGAGCATCAGATTCGACAAACGTAAATATGTGGAAGATTTGTGAATGACAGCTCTAAAGGTTGCAAGAGAAGGATGCATGAGACAACTGTATGATACGACAAAGAAACTCGCTGGAAATTACCGTAAACCAGAAAGACCAGTGAAAAGCAAGGAAGGCAAAGTAATCACCGACATTGAAGAACAACGAAACAGGTGGGTAGAACACTTCAAAGAACTCTTGAATCAACTAGCTCCACTGAACCCACCCAACATCGAAGCAGCACCCACAGACCTCCCAATCGATATTGGCCCACCAACAATTGAAGAGATCAGCATGGCCATTAGACAAGTCAAGAGTGGCAAAGCAGCGGGACCAGACAACATCCCGGCAGAGGCACTGAAAGCAAATGTAACAGCAACTGCCAAGATACTACACATCCTCTTCAGTAAGATTTGGGACGAAGAACAAGTACCAACAGACTGGAAAAAAGGACTTCTGATCAAGATACCAAAGAAAGGCGATCTGAGCAAGTGCGACAACTACAGGGGCATCACTCTCCTCTCAATACCACGAAAAGTCTTCAACCGAGTATTGTTATACAGGATGAAGGATTCCGTGGACGCCCAACTTCGAGATCAACAAGCTGGATTTCGTAAAGATCGATCGTGCACAGATCAAATCGCAACTCTACGTATCATTGTGGAACAATCGATCGAATGGAATTCATTACTCTACAACAACTTCGACTACGAGAAGGCATTTGATAGCGTGGACAGGACGACACTATGGAGGCTTCTTCGACACTACGGCGTGCCTGAGAAGATAGTCAATATCATACGGAACTCCTATGATGGACTAAACTGCCAAATCGTCCACGGAGGACAACTCACCGACTCTTTTGAAGTAAAACTGGTGTAAGGCAAGGTTGCTTACTCTCACCGTTTCTCTTTCTCCTGGTAATCGACTGGATCATGAAAACGTCAGCGACTGGATGAAAGCACGGTATACAATGGACAGGCAGGATGCAACTTGACGATCTAGACTTCGCGGATGATCTGGCTCTTCTATCACAAACGCAACAACAAATGCAGGAGAAAACGACCAGTGTAGCAGCAGCCTCAGCAACAGTAGGTCTCAATATAAACAAAATGAAAAGCAAGACTCTCCGATACAACACAATATGCACCAATCAAATTACACTTGATGGAGAAGCTTTGGAGGATGTGGAAACCTTTACATATCTGGGCAGCATCATTGATGAACATGGTGGATCAGATGCAGATATGAGGTCGAGGATCGGCAAAGCAAGAGCCGCATGCTTACAACTGAAAAGCATCTGGAGCTCAAAACAATTGTCAACCAACACCAAGGTTAGAATTTTCAATACAAATGTGAAGACAGTTCTTCTGTATGGGGCAGAGACGTGGAGAACTACGAAAGCCATTATCCAGAAGATACAAGTGTTTATTAACAGCTGTCTACGCAAGATACTTCGGATCAGATGGCCAGACACTATCAGCAACAAGTTACTGTGGGAGAGAACAAATCAGATTCCAGCGGAGGAAGAAATCAGGAAGAAGCGATGGAAGTGGATTGGGCACACCTTGAGGAAATCACCTGATTGCGTCACAGGACAAGCCGTCACATGGAATCCTGAAGGTGAAAGGAGAAGAGGAAGATCATAGAACACATTACGCCGAGAAATGGAGACAGACGTGAGAAGAATGAACAAGAACTGGATAGAACTAGAAAAGAAGGATAGAGTGGGTTAACGAATGCTGGTCGGTAGCCTATGCTCCATTTTGAGTAACAGGCGAAAGTAAGTTAGCAAGTACGCATCGAACGACCTATATACCTTGCTCTACATGGGCAGGTAAATTGGTAAATGCAGATTCAGTTTCTTCACGTGCGATAATTTATCTTTAAGATTATTATTTAACAATTATTGACTGGAAAATGCTATTCGCAATGTTGCTGCGAAGAATGTCCTTTTTAAAGGGTCAGAAATTCTCTTTTAGACGTATGTGACTCTGTCAACCTTATACTCGATGTTCATGTATGATGTTTTCTTTTCAACTGAAGTTATTTGTGGTTTCGGTTTTATGTCCTCAATGAATATCGGAGGATACCTGTTTTTGATAAGTATGTCCTTCAAGATGCTCAGTTCTTCATCCATGACCTCGGGATTAAAAATTCTTTCTATTCGTGTAGCGAGTGATATTATTATGTTTCTCTTCCGACTGATGGAGACCCAGCTGCGGAAACTTGATAGTTAGCCTTTTCACATGGGTTTCCTGTAGATAGATTTTTTAAAACACATAAATATTGGCACAAAGGGGCACCAGATATATATGTGCCACACATACAAGTGGAAGTTTTCTATAGTCGTTTTAATTTTTATTGTTTTCTAGACTGGTTATGAAGCAATCTGCTAGTAATAGGTCAATAAGGAATCTAATTGCTATGCCATCTTTTTATCTATGAATTACGTCGTTTAATGTAAACTGTACATTGTGTTAGTTCCTTCAGATAGACTTCCAATATTCCGATGCTAATCTCATTATTATTTACGTAACTGCAGATAAAACTAATGGTCTATGTGAGTGTGTTATGTCCCTATAAGAATAGTGAATGGTGACTTTGGGACCCATTTACCAACCAATACTAAACTATTCATAATCGTGTCCCTCTTACTATAAGCTTTATTTTGACCTATGAACTATTGTTATACGATTTATCATTCTTGAATTATGTCCTGTTTATCGATTACTATCTCCCTTATTCAAAGCCACACTTGGCTAAATCTTGTACAAATGTTGTTTCCTATTTTACGGTATGATGTCTGTCTGTTTCGTATATGAACCCAGTATGATTGAAATAAATGACTCATACCGCAGAGACTGAGATTAGTGTTGTAAACTTAACTGACTTGGCTAGGCGGAAAACAGGACCGATAAGTAATCTAGACTGCTCACACGGGTTTTATGCGTTATTGGTCCGATCGATAAATCGCTGCTCTCTAACTGGCGGTATTATCACGTTATTCATTAACAGGGCATCCAGGCTACAAGTTGTAACAGAGTGAAACATTAGTGAATGATGATTCGACATCCAGAGATAGCATAATTTGGTCATTTACATTCACTTCTTGCATGTGTTCAATGAATTCAAAGTATTATGTACGGAGTGCCAGCCACTTTGTTATGGAGTTGTAAGGGAGTCCGTACATATCAAAAATTGGTCTGAAAGGTAGGCCAGGTTTGCATATTATAGGCAGACCATACAATCGCCGTATTATTGCATTTTCTTAGCATTCCCAAAACAATAGCCATACATCTGGTTTATTTCTGTTCCTATGATCCTCCTGATTACTTTTCATCTGAATTTCAACATTTTATCTTATCATGCTGAGCTATCCTTTCCCAATGATAATTTCTCTATCAGCTAAAACGACTGCAAACCTTTGCTGAGAAAGATAAATTGCAGCCAACAACCATCGAATTAATGCAATATCTACTTTTTAATCCCCACAAGTAACAGAGATTCGGGTAACTTGTTTCCACGTGACATATTTTGTGCAGTAATCAAACACAGGGTTCTGAATAATGATTGTTATATTTCTTCAACACTGAGACTTCAATTGGTTTGGAATCAGGGTTTTCCAACTCCTCTAGGTGGACCCTCCGTGTCCACCAACCCAGTTAAAGCGCCGGACATCCGCTTTTCGTCCTCTCACTTTCGTAAACAACGCCCCCGCCACGAGAAGGCAGTGAGTAGGACTTCCCTGGCAGAGGCTAAGATTGATGCTACATCTAAACACATGAAGGTTGGCTACATCTAAACACATGAAGGTCCGTAGCTCCATTAACCGCTTCACCATCATTACTTATTACCTTGTATTTAATCTTAGCCACTAATCATTCGATAATTCCATAATATACAAGTGTTATACTTCAAAAGTATCTTGAGAAAAATAAGATTAACAATCAATTGCAAGTCTATCTACGATGGGGTATGTTTCACATTCTCTAAGTAGTTTATAATATCACTACAATGTATTCAAGTACACATTCAGCTGAGAGATAGCGTAGAATATGCATTTATTTTTCTGAATCATTGGGGACTACTGGGATCTATTTTTTTGAAAAGAAAGTTCTGATTACCAAGACAGCCGTACAAAGTCTTGTCACTTCATATAACAATAATAAAGTCTACCATAGGTGTGAGGACGGCCCCCGGGTAAACTCAAAGAAAACTCTAGGAAGCTCAGAAACAGCCGAAGACATTCAATACAATCACGTTTCGGAAGAATATTTCAGAATCTCAACGTGTAGCTTCCCTATTGAACAACTGACAAAAACTACTATATACGGTTAAGATCATGAGTCAATTGAAGCTAGATTGCCAAGGAAAACCTGGGAGCATTGGACGGCGATTTCGTCTTATTATGGGACTCCTTAGCAGTGCACATCCATGATCCCGCCTCGCAAGATTCGAACCCAAGACCTATCAGTCTCGCGCTAGAGCACTTAACCGACAGACCACTGAGCTGGCATCCAGCAGTGTTAATGTCTAACTTCAACCAATCCACAAAATTGCGCGACCAACATCCATTGTACTGAGGTAGATACCTGTCTCTATCTGACATGGATTAGCTTCACTGGCCACAAATTCTCATTAGAACTCCAGAAAATCTCCACAAAACCCCCCTTTTGACTACTATATACAGTTTGGATGACTGTAATGATGATGACAGTTTTGTACCCTCTCACTCGTCTTCTGTCTTTGAACTTAAGACTTGAAAAGTTCTAGCGTTTGAGTACCTCAAGTAGTACGCAAAAGACTTTAAGTTCTAGATAATAACACTAACAAAGAGTAAACAATAAAGAAACAATAGAAGGTGTGTATTTACCACCAATCAATAAACGAAAAGGGTTTTATAAAAAAATCTTTGGATCATTATAAAATAGATACATATTTGTGTATTCATCACTATGTATCTAACCAATGTACAATTGAATGTTTATACAAGTCATTGTTTGAATAAGTTTCATTATTCAATGGATCTATATTTGTACATGTTTGTACAGATTTAGGTCCAAAATGATATAAACAACCTGTTTCAACAGATATATAAAGTCCTTGACATAAGATTTCACCTAAATCTTTTGAATTTTTATGATAATTTACATGATTTAATAATGGACCGAAACAAACTGATGTTATACGTGCATTTTCATCATTATCTGGAAGCTATTAAGGACAAAAGAAAACAAAGAAACGAGAATTAATAATGACATAAGATTGTATGTATGGGGTACGCCCCCAAATGTCATGGTACGGTCGAGAGTGGGGAGAGTCCGCTCTCCCTATCCAAATGCTCTCACATAGCAACACGTACATAGCCTCTGTCAGTAAAGTCCTACTCATTGCATTCTCATGGCCAGGGTGTTGTCTATGAAATCGAAAGGATGAAAAGTGAATTTCCGGCACTTTAACAGGGTTAGTGAACACGGAAAGTCCATCTAGGGGAGTTGGAAAACCCTGATTCCAAACGAATGGTGAACATGGGCTCCAGTATCCTGAGGGAATAAATGGTGTATGAATCAATCGTTGGTCACCGGTTACCATAGGACTGCATCTCCACACGATGCTCGACTGCCTTGTGGATCAGACCTTTAGACGAAAGGCTCGGCGTGTGACCCCCTAAGAAAACCACCTGCTTCAGTTCGGACACCTGGGTAGTATCACAGCCCTCACACAAATCAAATGAGATTTGTGTGCGGCATATGTATCTGGTGCCCCTTTGTACCAATATTTATGTGTTTAAATAAGTAAACAAATAATAAATAAATGGAGTTCAATTCAAAGTTAATTATTATTTAGAGGGTATACTACAATATAAACAATGTTATTATTTGACAGTTGAATTTTTGTCACAACCTAACCCTCAGCTGGAAGAATTTGAGTAGTGAATAGTTGTTTCATCATTAGTTGTATAGACGTTAGTAATGCATAAAACTTAACCTCCATTAAGTATGGAATATTACTTACTTACGCCTGTTACCCCTCATCGAGGAGCATAGGCCGCTCACCAGCATTCTCTATCCAACTCTGTTCTGAGCCTTCCTTTCCAGTTCTTTTCAGTTGTTATTCATCCTTTTCATATCTGATTCTATTTCCCGGCGTAATGTGTTCTTTGGCCTTCCTCTTTTTCGCTTCCTTTCAGGATTCCAAGTTAGGGATTACCTTGTAATGCACATTGGTGATTTCCTTAATGTATGTCCGATCCACTTCCAACGTCTTTTCCTAATTTCCTCTTCAGCTGGAAGCCGGTTTGTCCTCTCCCATAAAACGCTGTTGCTGATAGTATCCGGCCAATGAATGTTGAGTATTTTGCGTAAACAACTGTTTATAAATACTTGTACCTTCCTGATGATGGCCGTAGCAGTTCTCCACGTTTCAGCTCCATACAGTAGGACTGTCTTGACGTTCGTATTAAAAATTCTGACATTGAAATTGGTTGAGAGTTGTTTTGAGTTCCATATGTTTCCATAATGTTCTCCTATCCACGCTGTCAAACGCCTTCTCATAGTCAATGAAGTTGACGTATAGTGATGAGTTCCACTCAACTGATTGTTCCACGATGATCCGTAGTGTCGCAATCTGGTCTGTGCACGACCGATCCTTACGGAATCCAGCCTGATGATCCGTAAGTTCGGCGTCTACTGCGTCTTTCATCCGATTCAGCAGCACTCTGTTGAAAACTTTTCCTGGTACTAACAACTAACTGATGCCTCTGTAGTTCTCACATTGGATCAGATCTCCTTTCTTTGGTATCTTGATGAGATATCCTTCTTTCCAGTCCGTTGGCACTTGTTCCTCTTCCCAAATCTTCTTGAATACAAGGTGAAGCATGTTTGCAGTTATTTCAATGTCTGACTTCAGTGCTTCTGCTGGTATATTGTCAGGTCCTGCCGCCTTCCCACTTTTGATTTGTCTGATGGCCATCTTGACTTCATCGATCGTTGGTGGAGTGATATCTATTAGAAGGTCTGTGTGAGCTGCTTCGATGTTCGGTGGATTCAATGGGGCTGGTCTATTCAGCAGTTCCTCGAAGTATTCTGCCCATCTTTTCCTCTGTTCTTGAATCTCAGTGATTGTCTTTCCTTCTTTGTCTTTGACTGGTCTCTCTGGTTTGCTATATCTTCCTGCCAATTTCTTCGTTGTATCATATGGTTGTTTCATATTCCCTTCTCTTGCAGCATTTTCCGCCGCCGTTGCTAGTTCGCCCATGTATTTCTGCTTGTCGGCTTTAATGCTTTTCTTCACTTCCCTGTTTGCTTCTGCGTAGTCTGATTGTGCTTTGACTTTCTCTGCTCGTGTTCGGCTGTTGTTAATTGCTAGTTTCTTGTTCTTCCTTTCTTGAATTTTGTCCAGGGTTCCCATGGAGATCCATTCCTTGTGATGATGCTTCTTAGGACCAAGAACCTCCTGACACGTTGAAGTTAGTGCTTCTTTTATCCCTTTCCAGTTGTCCTCCAAAGTAGTTTCTTGTTCTTTCAGTAGATCCTGTAGTGCCTGGAACCTGTTGTGGAGAGTTATCTTGAATTCATGGAGCTTGTCAGTATCTCGAAGAAAGGCTGTATTAAACCTTTGTAGTGCTGTTTGTCCAGTTGTCCAGTGTTTCTTAAGCTTCAGTCTCATCTTGACTACAACCAGGTGGTGATCTGAAGCTATGTCAGCTCCTCTCCGGGTTCTCACATCTTCCATTGATCTTCGGAATTTTTTGTTGATACAGATGTGATCTATCTGGTTCTCTGTGGTTTGGTCCGGTGAGATCCATGTAGCTTTGTGTATGTGCTTGTGTGGGAATATTGTGCCGCCTATAACCAATTTGTTGAATGCACATAGGTTTGCAAGTCTCTCCCCATTTTCATTTCTTTCTCCTAGTCCATGTCGTCCAATTACATCTTCATATCCTGTGTTGTCCACTCCAACTTTAGCATTCAGATCTCCCATCAGAATGGTGAGGTCCTTTCGTGGGCACTTCTCTATAATTGATTGCAGCCTTTCATAGAACTGATCTTTATCATAGTCGTTGCTATCATTGGTGGGTGCATAACATTGGATAACGTTCATTGTGATCCCTTGCTTCTTTGTTCTGAATGATGCTTTGATTAAACTGGGTCCATGAGATTCCCATCACACAAGTGCATTTCGTGCTTCTTTGGACAGCATTAGAGCAACTCCCTGAGTGTGTGGCGCATTTTCCCCTTCGTGACCGGAGTACAACAGCATCTCTCCTGTACCTAGCCTTTGTTGTCCAGTTTGTGTCCAATGGGTTTCGCTGATTCCGAGTACTGCCAAGTTGTATCTTCTCATTTCCATTGCTATTTGGCTGGTTTTTCCTGTCTCCCACATTGTCCAGACGTTCCATGTACCTATAAAGAGTGTTGCTCTAGTTGTTAGAAGGTGCATCGGTCTCGTGACTTCCGAAGAATTTCGGCTTTCATCATGAGACGTCATTATTCCTTCAACTCCCAGGGCAGAGTTTAAATGGTTTGAATTATTTTTTCTGGTTAGCGTTTTTTTAGCGAGTTAGCTTTTCTACGGGATGGGGTCGCTAACCCCATGCCCAACCCTCCTCCTTTACCCGGGCTTGGGACCGGCAGCAACTCTAGAAGAGCTACCGGTGGAGTTAAGTATGGAATATAGGATCTTTAAATTTCATGGCAAGTGTTCATCCTCAATTTTTGAATGATTCATCATACACTATAACGACTGTTCCACATTTACTTATTTAATTACGCCTGTTACCCCTCATGGAGGAGCATAGGTCGCATACCAGTTTTCTCCAACCAACCTTGTCCTTGGCAATCCTTTCCAGTTGTTATTCATCCTTTTCATATCTGCTTCTATTTCCCGGCGTAGTGTGTACAGCGTTGTTTTGGCTACATATGAATGACCATTAGGACCCTGTTTTAGTTCAGTCTTATTTTTGATATCAATCAACATTGTTCTATGTAAGTAATTGTTCAATAATACAGAGGCCCGGATTAGGGAACACTTTGTAGACGGTAAATCAATAATTGTTCCTTATAGATGGGCTGAAATCAATGCTTTAACTTTTGAATCTCAAAGTACGGATTTTTTTTATGGTCAATGATGAGACTTGTAGTCGTCTCAGACTGATATTATCAGTAAACGGAGTTAGTAGTTTTACTTTCGAGTATATGAGAGAATAGATAATTGTTAATGGAGTTTCAAAAAACTCCCTTATCAGAGTCCCGAAAGGCTCGAAGACGTCGGTCAACATTTTATACAATCCACGTTGAATGGAAGCTTTTAAAAAAACCGAGAAGGTACAGAACCATGTTTCACGGGTTTCGGTTGAACATTTACCTATACTGCTAATATATTTGTTATGGCCCCAGAAATTTCCAGGGTCCCAAAGTCATGTATAACTCTATAGATACTCCTGTTTTTTTTTCTGTACAAGACCGGTTAAGAAGATACATTGAGCATATCAGTATCAGTACTTATCAATAATGTTAAGGTTGATTAGTGAACAAGCTATAAATATACATGAGGAATTTTGGAAAAAAGAAATTATCAGTTCTTTTCCATAACGACTAAATGTTGAATCATTCAATGGAGGGGCTTAGAACTTCATGACTAGGAGAAGAGTTAAACCAGACCTACAAAACATGACACTGATTTCTCATTGTAATCGATACACATAGAAGTAATCAGGACTGGCTAATTTTTGATTGATATCATGATTGATCTAAGCTTGAGGGAGTACGTATAGTGTTCATTAATTAAAAAAAGTTGAATCATAAAAATTCGAATGAATATAACTCATACATATAGAGACTTACCATATATGTTCGTACTGTATCTAATGTCCATGAATTCAACCATACTAATCGACCGCCTGGACCACCAACTAATAAACAATTCACACCACGACCTTCAGATACAGTTGAAAATGCCATAGGAACCAAAGGATAATAATCATTATCATTATAGATTTGTAACAATGATGAATCTACTAATGGATCATTGATTTCAGCTAGAAAATCTAAAATACGATTAGCTATCCAAACTCCAGAACAAGAATATACACCAAGCCAACAGACTAAAGATAAAATAAAAAATGAACAGAAAAGACCAAAAGAAGGAACCAATGAATATTGAATATAAAAATGATAAATCAATAAATGATGTTATCTGTCATCGAGTTCAATGACGGATTAATACTACTAACGTTTGATTGATGTATTTTATGAAATGGGGAAACGAATTTCCAAGTGAATAATGCTTTTGTGAAATATTTTCTAATAAACGGTTCATATTGTGGTACGGGTTACTTATATTCTTACGCCGGGAAATAGAAGCAGATATGAAATAGATGAATAACAACTGGAAAGGAAGGACCAGGACCGAGTTGAATGGAGAATGCTGGTGAGCGGCCTATGCTCCTCGACGAGAGGTAACAGGCGTAAGTAAGTTACTTATATTCACATAAGTAGTATATAATGATGAACGGGGGTTAAATGTATTTCAGTAGAAGATCGATAACGAAAGAACGGGAACGGAACGCAATTTGTAGCCTGAGATATTGAATGGTTGAAAGTCAAATGATGTTAGTAAATTTAGTTCAATTGATCCAGTTGTCGGATAAATATTATTTTCATAGTTGAAATCATGAGTCAATTGAAGCTAGACCACCATGGAAAACCTGGAAGCACTGGACGGCCGTTTCGTCCTATTAAAGGATTCGTCAGCAGTGCGCATTTGCGATCCCACACTCGCAAGATTCGAACCTAGGACATACCAGTTTCGCGCCAGAGCACTTAACCGTTTGGGCGATCGTGGATGCGCACTGCTGAGGAGTCCTATAATAAGACGAAACGGCCGTCCAGTGCTTTCAGGTTTTTCATGCGGGTCTAGCTTCAATTGACTCGTGATTTCAACTATGAAAATACTGAAATATCCACAAAAACCCCTTCTGATGAATAAATATTAGTTTAACTTATAAATAGAAATTAACAAAGAAACGATTTGATGATTGTGTCATTATTAACCAGCTATTTTTTGTAGTGTGAGCCAACAAAAACAAAATTACACTTATGACAAAAGGGAAAGAAATATGCTACAATTAAACTTGAATGACTTTTAAAATTAGGGAAAATTTTATCAAGATATGTATATCATTTGAAAAAACATACTAAGTGAATAACGCGATGGTGTTTGAAGCGAACGATACTGGGTTCGAGTCCCAGAGTGAACATTAACTCTGAAATGCAGGTACATCTAGCCGACGAGTCCCAAATAGGACGAAACGCGCGTCAAACTGGATTCCATTGCTAGCCACTATCCATCTTTGCTTATAAAGCTTGTGATTTCAGGCAATACTGAGGCAGTCCGCATAGGATGCACATATGTCAAAAAGAGACTGATCAATTGCAGTTCAATATAACAATGGGACGATACAAGTAAAAACAATAACAAGTGAATACTAAACTTTAGTTCATATTTATTGATTGTTTGAATTTTCCCACTGATTTTTAGGATTGTAATTGGCTAGTCACATTTTGGCATATGTACATCTTATGTGGACTGCATCGATACTGCGGTTTATATACAAATATCTTAAACCGAGTTGAATGATGGGTAGCAGTGGAATCCAGAACGCACGTTCCCTCCTTGAAAATTATCAATAGGAAGATTCAAGCAATCAATACAAATGACATAGAATCATCCCCATCAAACAATCCAGTAGCGATCTGGGCTCAGTAGGTAAGTGGATAACGTGTCGATGTTTGAATCAAAAAGTATTGATTTACAGTTCCGGGGTAGACATCAACTTTAGGGTGCAAGTAAGTCTAGTTGATGAGTCTCAAATAGGATAAAACATGCGTCCTGGATTCCACTGCTAACAATTATCCATCTCTAATTAAAATCTACCAAACTTTAGTAGAATTTTAATGAGGACATATGCTGAAAAGTTTACACAGTTAAATCTTAAAACATATTATTATCATCAAAGTTACATGATCGAAGAAAATGGATGAATTAAACCACTACTTAGTTTCATAGTCAAGAATATGAATACTGAAACTATCATGAAAAGCGATAAACTGTTGGAAGAACGTAAATTTTTAAATGATTGACCGGTGTCATCTTTTTTGAGACGTTTTTAATGCTTCATGAACACTAACTAGCTGTTAAACACCATGACATATCTTCGTTTCAATCAATCCATGTGGACAATCGCGAACACAAATTCTACCGGAAAAAGGTTGAAATTTGGAATAGAAAAGATTCTAAAAATACCAGAGTATTTTTCAGAACACTTGGGGACTCCGGTAAGTCAGCAATCAACAAACACATTGAAATCAATTCAATTGATCAGCCAATCACAAAAACACATGGACAAATATAAGATTGAGAATCATATGAAATGGAGATACAATCAAAATAAAGAGGCGTATAATGACAGATTAAATGTTAATAATAAAAGATCAAGATCGACTTCGACAGGATAAGCTGTGAGTCATGTGTGGAAAAATTCGAAGATTTCGCTTCTATCTGAAATTTGCGCTGATGATGTTGACCAGAAGAATAATGAAAGCTCCACAACCAAACCATCCGAAAGGAAATCTCACTACAATCTATCGAGTCACATTGTAGCCGCTAGTCTAAGTGGGTAAATATTGAGCTCATTATGTCGAGATGTTGGGTGATATACCGCTGACTCCCCTTACTACTTAACAAAGAAGGTACACAGTAAGCAAATAGCAAATAATTATCAGTTATCATAAACAAAATACTATGAAATCTTAAATAGCAGGATGTTTAGTAAAACAATCATTACGCCGAGAAATAGAGACAGACATGAGAAGAATGAACAAAAAACTAGATAAAACTAGAAACGAAGGCTCAGGACAGAGTGGGTTGGAGAAAGCTGGTCGGCGGCCTATGCTCCATTGGGAGTAACAGGCGTAAGGAAGTAAGTAAGTAAGTTAGTAAAACAATAAAAAAGACAAGCAAATATTGAATGATTACTTACCATTACAATTAGGATGATTCCATTTGGCTATAACTAATTCACCAGATGTTAAATTGAAGCATATTCCATCAATACGTTTAAAACTATTCAATAATATTGAATCATCATTGTTATTTATAAAATCAGATGTTGAATTACTAGTACTACTGCTACTACTACTATTTAAAATATTCTTCTTTTTCTTCATTTGTATATCATCATCACTTTTATTCATGGAATTCTCTACCGTAAGATGATTCGAGGAAAATTGTCTATGAGGTTGTTTCAAATTATTATGGTTATGGTAATCATGACCGGTCGTCGTCGTAGTAGTAGTAATGATACTATGACTTCGACTACTATTTGAACCTAATTCACCTAATTCATTTTGTTGATCATGATGATCATTAATAATATTAGTATTAATTGTTTGAATTAATGTTAAACGATATCTATCCCATAAACATACATAACCATGATTATCACCACTAGCAATTAAACTGTTGTTACGATTAATGACTAAACTGGTTATTTCATGTCCAGCATGACCATATAATTGTTTCCAACCGGTAATTTCCCATAAACCAGCTGTTTCTTTATTGTTATTCTCATTATGAATAGAATGATTAAGATTTGGAGAAGGATTCATAGTGGCAGTACTACTACTACTACTATTAATAGTAGTAGTAGTAGTAGTCGATTTTGAATGTTTCACGTTTGATTTTGTGGATCCTTTTCTTGATCGTTTGTAAATATTTACTGGACAATTTTGTTTATTTTCATTGAATGATGATTTATCCTGATCATCCTGAAATGATGGAAAACAAAATGTCAGAAGGGGTTTTTATGGATATTAAAGTAATTTTAATAGTTGAGATCATGAGTCAATAGTACCACCATCTCAACATGTACCTTCCCTATCGAACAACTGCCAAAAACTACTATATACGGTTTAAATAATGAGTTAATTGAAGCTAGACCACCATGAAAAATCTGGAAGCCATTTCATCTTATTGTGGGACTCCTCAGTGGTGTGCATCCACGATCCCGCCTCGCGAGATTTTCATGTGAGATTATACATGAAATAAGATGAATGAAATACAGAATGAAATATTATTAAACAGAACTATAGAGAAAGTAAAAAGAAATAAACAATATTTAAAATGGTAAGCAAAGATGGATAGTGGCTAGCAGTGGAATCCAGGATGCGCGTTTCGTCCTATTTGGGATTCGTCAGCTAGATGTACCTGCATCTCAGAGTTGATGTTCACTGTGGGACTCGAACCCAGTACCTTTCGCTTCAAACGCCATCGCGTTATCCACTCGGTCAACGAGTCCTGATAACTTGCTTGTGCAATAGGGTGAAGTTTATATTCACTTAGTATTCTTTGTTTGAATATTCCCATTGATGTTTAGGACTACGACTAGTCAGTCTCTAATTGTCATATGTGCATACTGTGCGTATTGCCTCGATATTAGCCTTAATTCACAAGCATGGTAAATGATTCTTGGAGTTGATTTAATGATTTAAAGGATAAGTTAATTAACTTTTTAACAAGTAAGATGTAGGATTAAACTCCACTTTACCCATTTCGATTGAAAACAAGTGAGTAATGGTGTTATACCAATCAGAATACAAACAATGTGGTTTAATGGATAGCTGGCTAGCTGAAGTCAATTTAAACGATCTTAGAAAAATCAGATATTTCTAAAAATAACTATGTTTATTTAGATTAATCTATGAATTCATTGGTCGTCTATTGAGGTTATTTATATTGTTTGCTGATTTGGAGTGAACTAATAGTAAGGCGTATGAAGGACTTTAATAACTATCTGATAAAAGAATTACTTCTCAAATGCATGACGAAAGACTAATTACGATTCAACAATGAACATTATAGACCATTAGATTGTGTAGCTATGTGATCCAAATGAGTCCTCTCCAGGCAGACATTGTGTTTGGTGAAGATTTGTAGCTCAGGTGAATGATTTTGATGAAGTTTTGTTCTCTGAGCTGGATGGTTTGTTCGTGAAGCGTTCAGAAAAACGATGAAAGCTCCACGACATTTGCATTAGTAACTTGAAAGTACTGGACATCCGATTCGTCTCAGTTCGGCAACCGCCCTTCTAGCAGTGCACACACATGATCCTGCACTCTGTACTTGAGTCCAGTACATTCAGTCTAACACGCGAACGTTTAACTTCTACACTATTTAACTAACATTGAATGGTATTAATGTCCAACTTCAACCAATTCACGACATTGCGCAACTATCTTCCATTGTTTTTGGTGGGTAACCGCTTTACACCCGACACGGATTAGCTCCACTGGTAACGGCTTCTCCGTAGAATTATTTCATTGTTATATAAGATATACATATTCTCACTAGATTAGATTGTTGATACTGAGATACAATATTATTTCAACTGTAAATGAGTAATAGTATAGTATGTTGAACATTTCTCACCCCAAATTCTATTTGTCAACTAGTACAAAAACTTGAGAGAGACTGAATAAAATGACTTAAAATCGTTTGTAATGGCTTCGGTGAATTAATTCTTTGTTTCCTCTTCATTGTAAGCTTCTAAATTCATAAGTTTTTTCCACTGATTTATACATTATTGTGTCGTATTATTGGTACCTAATCTTTTTCTATCACCACTTCGACTGTTATCTACCTCTATTATTCTTGGATTAGGCCAGATGATTTCATCTCTTTGTACTAATAATGTATGGCAACTTGAACCGATACGCATATATACCAGGTTCTACGTTGTGACTGACTAACTAACTGACTGACTGACTAAACCTAAGATACATACAGAGTTCACTGTCGACTACATTCTCATTTGAGCACAAAAAAGAAATGACTTTGTATACAATGACTTACTTGTGATAACCAATTGTCAATATATGAGATATCGTATAAATTTGTAGGCAATTGTCTTACATAAATTGATCCATAACAAGTACCAACAAATAATTGAATACCATGACTTGAACTAGGTGAAATAGTTAATGAAGTAATCAAAGATTTTCCAGTAATATCTAATGGAACAGGATTGGAATATGGTAATTGTAAGTTTATTTCATCATCAAGTTGATGATCATGACGATGTAGTACTGATGAAGAAGAATCTGAAGTTCTAAAAGGTTTATCATCAGGAAGATTAGTAGAAGCATTACAAGTACTATATGATTCCTCGGATAAACGTTTTATAAAAATATTCAGAGTTCTATTATCTAATAGAGATGGTTTCAATTTGATTAAATATGGTACAGGATATGATGGATCTTGTAAATTACTAATGTCTGGTAATAATGACACCCATATACATGCATTTGATTCACAGTGAAGAATTTTCCAATACCATGAAAAATCAGTTTGGACAGTTGTTGTGAATGATGATAAACGTGATGATGAAATTTCTGTGGAATGAGATGGAGATGATGATGATGACGACGACGACAGGAAACATTTACCAATATCATGATCAATGTTGAAATCGACCCAACCATTCCAAGAATGATATAATTTATCATTATTTATTGAAGAGATACTGTTAAGTTGATTCATATGATGAACCGAATGAGTGTCTTTTGTATTGAATTCACACCATATAGAACCGGTTAAATGACTAAGAAATGGTATTCTCAACATTTCAGAATGTTCCGGTGAATCCTTTGTAGTTGTCAATACTGATGACTTTGTATTGATTAACTGCTTCTTCCAGATTATTTCAAACTACACATATAACAAAAAGTAATAATTATCATAATCAAAAAGGCATACAAATAAGGAAAGTATTATTTTAATTAGATAAGGAATAGATCTAATATAAACAACCATTGAAAGCCTGAAAACATTGGACGACCGTACAGATCCTCAAACACACAACCGGAAATCAAATCAATGACCTTCGGTTTTGCGCAAGGACGCTTAACTTACAGAGCACAGACTAGGGTTACAATAATATACAGGTTTTGTTATGTCTGAAGCATTTTGAATTCACTAGTTAGCGAAAGGAATAAAGACTTGTGACCAGAGACCGATAAGCTAGCTGAATCTGACGCGTCCCTGACCCAGCTAACTAGAGTAAGAAGTTCAAGTTGGAAGTGGGAAAATATATTCCGTAAGCAGCCAGAAGCACAGCAATCATAAGGGGAAAAAAATCAAACGTATATATACAGCATAAAATTGTCCTTGGGCATCATTACAAAATAGCACATTCCAAGAAACAATGGACCAATAGCGTTAAGATAATTTACAAGAGCGAAATTCGACTCGAAGGTGAAAAGAGCTCTTTTGACGCGAAAACAAAGAAATTCAAACTTTCAAAATAAAATTAAATAATTAAGCCATTTGCCGAGTAAGTTCTGGGGATTTGACATCCCCAACAGGTTTAACTTTACGAGATCGAAGGTTTGGGGTTTAACCTCAGGTTGAAAGGTCGTAGAAAAACACTTCAGGAAAGTCCAAATTTAGGACGAAACGACCTAAAAGTACTTCCAGATTTCCAATGGTTGGCTAACTTAGATTGGTTCTTGGTCTTAATGTAATTGAATAATCTCTACAACCCATCTAGTGGAAATACTATTTATGAGAACACTGTTACTCAGGGTTATACGTTTTGCCTTATGCGAGAGTGATTAGTTGAACAGTGATGCCATTTGAAAGTATAAGAATGTAAAATGAGCTGAAAAATCAATATTTTGTTGATTTCTGAGTAAGAAAAACATATACACCCAATTTGAACTTCTATTTCATGTACTACGGAATAGATACACTAGCTGTATCTCTATAGAGTCCATATACAATAATTGTTTAGGTTAATACTTAGTACCCAAATATGTACGGTGACTTGATAGTTACAGAAATCAACAAATAGATTGCACGTTCCGATCGACTTGCGAGACATATTATTCGTAATCATCAGTGATATATGTCTTACATTTCCAACATGAGATAAACTAATTAAACTCAATCAATCAACCAGTTTTTTTCGTTATAATTTGTGACATCTCAGAAGACTGAGATAAAATGAACAAAAGAAATACTAAGGAAGTCGGAATAACATTGGTGTCAATGACTGGATACATTTGTGACATTAACCACTTCATGTAAGGTCTTTCAATCATTAATCATGATTATTCTACATTCTTATAAATTTTGTTGCTCTGTGGTCTTTCAAATCAGATATTGTGTTAAATATTTTAATGACTAAGTAGCCTTTAGATTTTTTACGGTTAATGTCGGTTGGAAGCCCCGATAAAGGAGAAAGCTTGGGCGTAGGGTCAGTATCCCCATCCCGTAGAAGACAACCGTGCTATAAAAAAAGCTAACCAGCAAGTAAACTTAAGGAGTACGTACTGGTAGGAAATCACATTTAAATATGATCAATAGGTGTGATACTTTATGAATTCAACCAATCAATTGTATACTTACAGAGTTCACCTGTGGACTACCTGCCCATTCACCCCACTTTAATCCAATCACAGTTTCTAATGGTGTGTTGTCCAGTTTAACTGATGAGTATTGCTTTTCAGTTACAGAAAATGTTGCATCTTGTAATGAATTCTTATCGTCAACATTGATATTATTAGAGCTAAATAATACAGGTGTAGAAGAACGTCTATCTCCAACATCCTCTTGGATCGTCATATTGGACATTGTATCAATAGATTTACTTTTAAATTTTGACGTCATATTCAGTTTGGCTTCATTAGAAATCGATAATTTACTGTAAGAATACAAAACAAATGAAATGAGACTATAAATAGGACATATAAATAGGCAAACTATCGAATTATTTATTTATTTAAACACATAAATATTGGTACAAGGAAGCACCAGATAAATATGCACCTCACAAATCTCATTTGATTTGTGTGAGGACTGTGAAACTGCACAGGTGCCCAAACTGAAGCAGGTGGTTTTCTTAGGGGGCCACACCAGGAGCCTTTGACCTAAAGGTCTAGTCCACAAGGCTGTGGAGCATCGTGAGGAGATACGGTCCCATGGTAGTCGGTGACCAACGATTGGTTCATACGCCATTCGTTCCATCAGGATACTGGAGCCCATGTGCACGATTGATTTGGAATCAAGGTTTTCCAACTCTCCTAGGTGGACTCGCCGTGTTCAGCAACCCGGTTAAGGCCGCTGCCGGATATCCGCTTTTCGTCCTCTCAATTTCGTAAACAACACCTCTGCCATGAGAAGGCAGTGAGTAGGACTTGTGTGGCAGAGGCTATATATTCGCGTGACATGAGAGAGCATTTCGAGAGGGAGAGAGGACTCTCTCCACTTTCGACTGTACCAGGGCATTTGGGGGCAAGTGAGTGCGAACGCACTGCCTTCAGGGAGAATTGAAAAACTATCGAATAAAGTCGAATTACGTTTGTCAATTCGAAGAATACATTGTCCTTGGAGTCGAAGTAAGCCATCAAAAGAACTAATAGTATTTGATAAAAACTGGAAAAGCGAGACCAGAACACAATTGGTTCAAGAACACAGATTGATACCCTATGGCTTAACAGGGGTAAAATCTTTGAGTAGTAGCTAGTAGTATTTTTAATGAAACATCGGATGTAGTCAGGAAAAATCATATATCTGTCAACCATGAGGCTGAGTAAATTGTGCAATGGTTCGTTCCACATTGCTTTACAGTTTTGAAGTGAAAGATGTATATTTGTTGCAAGTACTCAGTCAAAGATGTCTATGAAGACAATGGTCATAAACGGTAAAACCAATGAATTAGTGATCATGAAATTATACCAGGAAAAAAAAACGAAAAGTCAATAGATGAGGCTGTAGACGGCCATAAACTTAGGTTGGTTAGTAAACATGTTACACTTGCCAAACCATCGCCTTATTACAACGGTCAATGCTGACTGGATTCATAATAGGTTAAAAAAAAACCTACGGATGGGCTAGTTAAAACAAAGCACCAATTTAACTTCTGTTCTAAGTCATTGAGGTAGGTAAGGACTTTTTAGTTCAGAGGCAGGGAATACTCGTAATCAGTAGCTGGGAAAGTTCACTGATCTGACGTGAAATCGATTGGCTATCGATTATTATAAAAGCAACTTGGTATAATTTTGGAAATAATGAATTTACTTCAATGGTTAATCGAAAATATTCAACTAAACTCTATCCGTTACACAAATGTTAAATAAGCAATTCAATACGATTCGGTCAACAGTTGTTGTCATCCAAACTTTTGGTTTCTAATTTTTGAAGTCATTGTTGCCATTTAGTTAAAAAAAAATAAACATTGGGTAAAATAAGTTTTTTGATAATTAGAAAAATGATCTATGAGAAAATCAGATGTCAACCATATTGTGTTGAGGATGTTAAATCCCCAGAACTTACTTGATAAGTGGCTTAATTTTGTAATTTTATTTTGAAAATTTGAACTGCTTTGTTTTCGCTCCAAAGGCATTCTTTTCACCTTCGAGTCGTATTTCTCACTTGTAAAATTTCTTAAACGCTATTGGTCTGTTGTATCTTTTAGTGTGCTATTTTGCAATGATGCCCAAGGACAATTTTATGCTGTATATATACGTTTGATTTTTTTCCCCTTATGGTTGCTGTGCTTCTGGCTGCTTACGGAATATATTTTTCCCACTTCCAACTTGAACTTCTTACTCTAGTTAGCTGGGTCAGGGACGCGTCAGATTCAGCTAGCTTATCGGTCTCTGGTCACAAGTCTTTATTCCTTTCGCTAACTAGTGAATTTGAAACGCTTCAGATATAACATATTGATTGATTCATCATTTTCCCCCTCAAAGATACAGACTAACATCAAGTTCTTTAATCATGAGTTTATATTAGATGAAAACGATGGTAAGTTTTTATACAATTACTATGGAATTTTCTATTACTTGGAAAATGCTACATAGATAGGAAATGTTTTCTTTATGTAAAACATCTACACTGTTACCAGCAGGTCGTAATTTCATAAAAGCTGTTTCCAGAATGCAACCGATAGTAAATTTGAAAATGAATGGTAAAGTTGATAAACACTCTTTAACTCAAACACTGGATTAAAACAATGAAGAAACTTGGTCGGACACTTTCAATCAGCCTAAGTTGCTTGTGCACAAAGATTTTAGGATGTAAATAAAATCATTAGACAGATGTTTATTCAACAGGTAATCGAAGAACACAGTTAAATTCAACGCACTAAAAGGGCACCTGATACCAAGAGGCACAAAGATTGTTGACCCGTAATGAGCTTTAGAAAATTAGATGCGACTAAAACAAATTGTAACTCCGCCTGTAGCTCTTCTAGAGTTACTGCCGGTCCCAAGCCCGGGTAAAGGAGGAGGGTTGGGCATGGGGTTAGCGACCCCATCCCGTAGAAAAGCTAACTCGCTAAAAAAACGCTAACCAGAAAAAATAATTCAAACCATTTAAACTCTGCCCTGGGAGTTGAAGGAATAATGACGTCTCATGATGAAAGCCGAAATTCTTCGGAAGTCACGAGACCGATGCACCTTCTAACAACCAGAGCAACACTCTTTATAGGTACATGGAACGTCCGGACAATGTGGGAAACAGGAAAGACCAGCCAAATAGCAATGGAAATGAGAAGATACAACTTGGCAGTACTCGGAATCAGCGAAACCCATTGGACACAAACTGGACAACAAAGGCTAGGTACAGGAGAGATGCTGCTGTACTCCGGCCACGAAGGGGAAAATGCGCCACACACTCAGGGAGTTGCTCTAATGCTGTCCAAAGAAGCACGAAATGCACTTGTGGGATGGGAATCTCATGGACCCAGGATAATCAAAGCATCATTCAGAACAAAGAAGCAAGGGATCACAATGAACGTTATCCAATGTTATGCACCCACCAATGATAGCAACGACGATGATAAAGATCAGTTCTATGAAAGGCTGCAATCAATTGTAGCAAAGTGCTCAAGTAAGGACCTCACCATCCTGATGGGAGATTTAAATGCTAAAGTTGGAGTGGACAACACAGGATATGAAGATGTAATTGGACGACATGGACTAGGAGAAAGAAATGAAAATGGGGAGAGACTTGCAAACCTATGTGCTTTCAACAAATTGGTTATAGGCGGCACAATATTCCCACACAAACGCATACACAAAGCTACATGGATCTCACCGGACCAAACCACAGAGAACCAGATAGATTACATCTGTATCAACAAAAAATTCCGAAGATCAATGGAAGATGTAAGAACCCGGAGAGGAGCTGACATAGCTTCAGATCACCACCTGGTTGTGGCCAAGATGAGACTGAAGATTAAGAAAGACTGGACAACTGGACAAACATCATTACAAAGGTTCAATACAGCCTTCCTTCGAGATGCTGACAAGCTCCATGAATTCAAGATAACTCTCAACAATAGGTTCCAAGCTCTACAGGATCTACTGAAAGAACAAGAAACTACTTTGGAGGACAACTGGAAAGGGATAAAAGAAGCACTAACTTCAACGTGTCAGGAGGTTCTTGGTCCTAAGAAGCATAATCATAAGGAATGGATCTCTCTGGGAACCCTGAACAGAATTCAAGAAAGGAAGAACAAGAAACTAGCAATTAACAACAGCCGAACACGAGCAGAGAAAGTCAAAGCACAATCAGACTACGCAGAAGCAAACAGGGAAGTGAAGAAAAGCATTAAAGCCGACAAGCAGAAATACATGGGCGAACTAGCAACGGCGGCGGAAAATGCTGCAAGAGAAGGGAATATGAAACAACCATATGATACAACGAAGAAATTGGCAGGGAGATATAGCAAACCAGAGAGACCAGTCAAGGACAAAGAAGGAAAGACAATCACTGAGATTCAAGAACAGAGGAAAAGATGGGCAGAATACTTCGAGGAACTGCTGAATAGACCAGCCCCATTGAATCCACCGAACATCGAAGCAGCCCACACAGACCTTCCAATAGATGTCACTCCACCAACGATCGATGAAGTCAAGATGGCCATCAGACAAATCAAAAGTGGGAAGGCGGCAGGACCTGACAATATACCAGCAGAAGCACTGAAGTCAGACATTGAAATAACTGCAAACATGCTTCACCTTGTATTCAAGAAGATTTGGGAAGAGGAACAAGTGCCAATGGACTGGAAAGAAGGATATCTCATCAAGATACCAAAGAAAGGAGATCTGATCCAATGTGAGAACTACAGAGGCATCAGTTTGTTATCAGTACCAGGAAAAGTTTTCAACAGAGTGCTGCTGAATCGGGTGAAAGACGCAGTAGACTCCGAACTAAAGGATCATCAGGCTGGATTCCGTAAGGATCGGTCGTGCACAGACCAGATTGTGACACTACGGATCATCGTTGAACAATCAGTTGAGTGGAACTCATCACTATACGTCAACTTCATTGACTATGAGAAGGCGTTTGACAGCGTGGATAGGAGAACATTATGGAGACTTCTTCGACACTATGGAGTTCCTCAGAAGATCGTCAACATTATCCAAAACTCATACGATGGATTACAGTGCAAAGTGGTGCATGGAGGACAGCTGACAGGTGCATTTCCAGTAAGGACCGGAGTCAGACAAGGCTGTCTACTCTCCCCATTCCTCTTCCTTCTGGTGATTGACTGGATTATGAAGAATTCGACATCTGAAGGGAAATACGGAATACAATGGACAGCTCAGAATCAATTAGATGATTTGGACTTCGCAGATGACCTAGCCCTCCTCTCTCATACACACGACCAAATGCAGATGAAGACAGCAAATGTAGCAGCAGCCTCCGCATCGATAGGTCTCCACATTCACAAAGGAAAAAGCAAGATTCTCAAATGCAACACGGAGAACACCAACCCAATCACACTTGACGGCGAAACTCTGGAAGAGGTGGAAACATTCAAGTACCTGGGGAGCATCGTTGATAAACAAGGAGGATCGGATGCAGATGTAAAGGCGAGGATTGGCAAAGCAAGGTCAGCATTTCTACAATTGAAGAACATATGGAACTCAAAACAACTCTCAACTAATTTCAAGGTTAGAATCTTCAATACGAACGTCAAGACAGTCCTACTGTATGGAGCTGAAACGTGGAGAACTACTACGACCATCATCAGGAAGGTACAAGTATTTATAAACAGTTGTCTACACAAAATACTCAACATACATTGGCCGGATACTATCAGCAACAGCGTTTTATGGGAGAGGACAAACCAGCTTCCAGCTGAAGAGGAAATAAGGAAAAGACGTTGGAAGTGGATCGGACATACATTAAGGAAATCACCAATGTGCATCACGACTCAATCCCTAACTTGGAATCCGGAAGGGAAGCGGAAAAGAGGAAGGCCAAAGAACACACTACGCCGGGAAATAGAAGCCGATATGAAAAGGCTGAATAGTAACTGGAAAGAACTGGAAAGGAAGGCTCAGGACAGAGTTGAATGGAGAATGCTGGTGAGCGGCCTATGCTCCTCGACGAGGGGTAACAGGCGTAAGTAAGTAAGTAAGTAAAACAAATTGTGCTTAAAAAATTAAGTATATAGTGCTTCTAATCTCATGACTAGTATTCACTACTTCAGGATTGGGAATGTGATTGACTGACTAATCCTAACCAGCATGGAAAGTATATTCAGAGAGTGCAGATGATTTTATTATTTTATTTTATTTAAACACATAAATATTGGTACAAGGAAGCACCAGATAAATATGCACCTCACAAATCGCATTTGATTTGTGTGAGGGCTGTGATACTGCACAAGTGCCCAGACTGAAAAAGGTGATTTTCTTAGGGGGCCATATCCCGAGTCTTTGACCTAAAAATCTGATCCACAAGGCAGTGGAGCATCGTAAGGAGATGCAATCCCATGGTAGCCGGTGACCAACAGTTGGTTCATTCACCATTTGTTCCTTCAAAATCCTGGAGCCCATGTGCGCCATTCGTTTGGAATCAGGGTTTTCCAAATCCCCTTCACATCCACCAACCCGGTTAAAGCGCCGGACATTCGCTTTGATGATGAAATGTTAGAGTAAGCACAACACAGTAGTTAGACAGATCTAGGTTATTATCATAGACACTCAATGTATATACCAATGAGCTAATACATTTGATATATATATATATATATTTTAAAACTTACCGACAAGGATGAGGATGTTTATGAAATAATTGTTTTGGTGTTTGACCATAATTATTAATCATAGCTTCAACAGCTTGTGCTAATACACGATCATCTATTGTATCCACATCGATTGCACCAAAATAAGTCTAGTAATTATGGGTTTGTTTTGATTGATTAAGAAAATAAAATAATATTTTTTGGAAAATTATTAATATACTACTAAGAAAAAGTAGATAACAATGATTCACTTTCTAACTCATTAGTAATGATTCTCATGAAATCACTGACGGTTGGACTGAGATATATAGATGGATGTAAAATAAACTCAATCAATCATTGGGAAAGTTGGGTGATATGCTTCATAATTGATTAGAATGTCGTAGATGCAGTCAATTAGTCAGCTACAACTTAGGACCAGGCACATTTATGCATCGGTTCAAGATGCCATACCTCATAAGCACAACAAGTTGAACACCGGATTCATAGAAGTAGTTAATTTAGTGGTGGTAATATATAAAAGAAAGATTGTATATAATGATATAGTACAGGAAGAAAGACAGATATGAAGCAATTTTAATCTCAAGGTTTAAAGGAGGATAAAGAGTGTATACACTCTGTCAGTATTTGTATTTTCCTTCAGATGTTGATTTACAAAATTATCTTAAACTTTTCTATTCAATGAATTCCTTCTAATTTCTTGAATCATATTTTTTATATGTAATCTTTTCTCGTACTACTAATGTTCTTATTACTGTTACTGTGATGTATGCTACTTATATCGATAGACATAAGTAGTGTGTAATAACAGTTGGAAGCGGTAAACCTGGCAGCAGAAGGCTAAGAAGGTCAAGTCGAGCAGAATAAATGGGGAAAATGGAAAGAAATTACGAACGGGAAGAACCATACAGAATATGAAGTACAAACGATGGAAATTTGAAAATGAAGTATCAGTGTATGGTTCTCATATTTAACCAAGATATTCTGTAATTTAACTTTAAAAGCAAATTGGTGGTCTCTCACTTGAGTGTTAGTTCACTACACTACTGGACTGAAATGTATCTTGGTAATTTCATCCCATTGTGACAATATGTTATTGCGACGTGAACCGATGTACATTCGCGTCAGGTTCTACCTTGCTTGAGACTGAGCTGAACCGTTTCATTTGCAAAGCGTTTACTATCTTTCTAGAAAACAATATCGTTAGCAGTGGTACGAATTCCAAACAAAATTCTTTACTTTTTTTTATAGTAATATGAAATCTGAAATTTGTCAGAGCCTTCACCAAACAGGACTATGCCATTTGAGTATTTTAAGTTGATAAGTGGACCTCCTGGTAGAAGATCAATTCCTGAAAATTCAGTCGACGAGAACGTTATTTCCAGCAGTAGGTCTATGATGAAGTTAAACAAAAATGGGGATAGTGGACAGCCTTGACGGACACCACTTGAGGTTGTAAAATCATATGACAGTTCGCCATAAGCTCTCACTCGACTGGTAGTGTTCGAGTAAAGAGCCTTCATAAGGTTTATGTACTTCTCAGGTACACCTTTCAATGACAGACACTGCCATAGAACCTCTCGGTCTACAGAGTCAAATGCTGCTTTCAAGTCAAGAAAAACTATCATTGTCGGACGCCGATAAACATGTCTGTGCTCTAAAACTTGACGAATGGTGAATATGTGGTCGATACAGCCACGACCAGGTCTGAAGCCAACCTGATTTTCTCGTGTTTGGAGTTCATGAGTCTTAGTTAGGAGCCCGATAATTATTGAGGCTAGTATTTTAGATGCTATGTTAGTCAGAATAATCCCTCTATGGTTATCACAGGATGATTTTGGCCCCTTCTTATATATTGGGACAATCAGAGATTGTGATCAGTCAGATGGGATTACGTCCGTCTCCCAGATTTTAGCCAGAATATTAGTCAACCTAATCGCTAAAATTGGACCACCGTATTTAAAAAACCTCTGGAGCCAATCCATCAGGACCAGCTGCTCTTCCTCGTTTCAAATTACCTATAGCCTTTTGAACTTCAAGTAGGGTCGGGGGGCCTACTTCAATGTTCCATTCAGGTTTTCTGGGAATAGTGGGTAGTTGTGCAGTAGCTGAAGGCCAGCTAAACTGCTCCTTAAAGTGTTCCGCCCATCGTTCTAAACGTTTAAGTTGAGAGCAGATAAGGGTTCCGTCTTTTTCGGAGATTGTCTCACTTGCACTTGACTTCTTAGTTCCGGTTTCTTTTATTAGTCTAAAGAGATGTCTGGTGTTACCTACAGCCGCTGGCTTTTCCATCTCTTTTGCTTCCGTCCTGACGTTTCGATTGAAGAATCCTAGTTCAATTTTAATAAAAAAGATCAAGGTATTACTTTAAAAGCATGAAACAACCATAGGTTTTAAAAGAACCGATTCAGTAGAGAAATTATTTTAACACGATACAAACAATAAAGAATGTGTTTGCTCGGTGCTGTCCATTGAAAAGCAATGTTCGGATGTTTTCTCTCGAACGGGTGAAATAATATGAATCAAATATACCTAACAAACTATCGTTAAGAAACACATCAAAGTGTTGATTATCAGTAATAACGATGGAAGAAAAATAATAAGGCCTTTTATTAATGACTGATAGTCGATTAATTTGATATACCTACTTTAGATTGTGGATTACATTGTTATTTACTTGTTTACAGTTAAATCAACTTGTATCACATAACCAATAGGAATAAAGGATCCCTATATTCAAGAAGATCATTGGTATGCCAACAACAGTTAATCACGTATCCGTTTGTGAATATCAATAATTAATAATAATAATAATAATAATAATAATAATAATAATAATTTCATAGTTGGAATAATAAGTCAAATGAAGCTAGACCACAATGGAAAACCTAGAAGCACTGGATGACTGTTTCGTCCTATTATGGGACTCCTCAGTGGTGTGCATCCACGATCTCGCACTCGCGAGATTAGAACACAGGACCTACCAGAGCACTTAACCGATTTCAACTATGAAAATACTGAAATCTCCACAAAAACCCTTCTGATAATAATAATAATAATAATAATAATAATAATAATAATAATAATAATAATAATAATAATGAACAATGTAGTAAAAATATCTTACATATGGATGGTATAGATTCAAGGAATCTTTAGCATTTTGTCCAGATTGTTTATAACCAAATGATAAATCAATCCAATGTGATAAATTCATTGATACATAATCACTTTCTAATGCAGCACGACAAATCAATGTGAATAAACGTGGATCATTTTTACACCAACTATAAATGAGAGGAAAATGACGTACAGTATGAGAAAATTATTTATTTATGTATTTATTTGAACACATAAGTATCGGTACAAGGAAGCACCAGATATATATGCGCCACACGAAACTCATTCGATTTGTGTGACGGCCGTGATACTGAACAGGTGTCCAAACTGAAACAGGTGGTTTTTTCAGGAAGCCACGCCCCCCAGCCTTTGATCTAAATGTCTGGTCCACAAGGCAGTGGAGCATTGTGAGTTGATGCAGTTCCATGGTAGTCGGTGATCAACGATTGATTCATACGCCATTTGTTCCTTCAGAATACTGGAACCCATGTACACTATTGGTTTCGAATCAGGGTTTTTCAACTCGCCTAGATGGACTTTCAGTGTCCACCAACCCGGTCAAAGCGCCGGACATTCGCTTCTCGTCCTCTCAATTTAATGAACAACACGCCCGCCACGAGAAGGCAGTGGGTAGGACTTCCCTGGCAGAGGCTATATACGCGTGTCCATGTGAGAGCATTTCGAGAGGGAGAGCGTACTCTCCCCACTCTCGGCTGTACCAGGGCATTCAATCAGTAATAAGCAATACAGAACCTGACATTTATGTGTAACGGATTAAGTTGTTACGCTACATAAAGGTAACAAGATGGAATTATCAAGATAAATATCGAAAAACTAGAAATAGTATTAGAAGTAGTAGCAGTGGTAGTAAAAGAATCGTTTCTCATAAATAATATTGCTTGAGGAGAAAGAATCAGCAGAATAAAATGGCATAAGATAATTTTGAAACCCAGGATCTAAGAGAAGATAAAGAGTGAATGCGTCACCCAACATTTAGTCAAGACAAATCTAAACTAGGTAGTCTTATTCTACCAAAATGACTTATATTAACAGTAAGAAAACTTATGGATCAGTGACATATCTTGGTTTGGGTGCTCCGAGCTTTATTCCAACATGTGCTTACACTAGCTTACATCAGCTGTTGAGGTAGTCAATGGTTAGGCATATATAACACATATCCCGGCCACCTCAGTTGATGAATATTCACAGTTTCATCAACTGATTTGTATTTTATATCAAGTATCCTGTGTCTACTCTCAAAACATTAATCATTTAGTAGCTCTAACATACACAAGAAGATATCTTTAGTCAGAAACCTATAGTGTACGGATCGCTGCTACTCTTACAGGCCGTGTTTTTTAGCCGTACATCGAGACAGAGCAATATTTCGAAGATAAAAGATAAATCAACAATCGTACACAGGGATATGTACTGCAGTTATTGAGTATATGTGGTTTATACCAATACCAGATACCTGGTCAAACACTGACAGAGGTACATCGAAGTTTAAACCTATAACCCTATAGATGTCTAAATCAAACAGTCCAGGTTCAAAACGAGTTATTTAGTGACAACTGACGAAGTCAGTTAACTTGATACATGTTTATCACAAAGAAAAATCATATAAATAATAAGAACAAATTAGTTGGGATAAACAGTTGTCTACGCAAAATACTCAACATTCATTGGCCGGATACTATCAAGAACAGCGTTTTATGGGAGAGGAAAAACCAGCTTCCAGTTGAAGAGGAAATTAGGAAAAGACGTTGGAAGTGGATCGGACATACATTAAGGAAATCACCAATGTGCATTACAAGGTAATCCCTAACTTGGAATCCTGAAAGGAAGCGAAAAAGAGGAAGGTCAAAGAACACATTACGCCGGGAAATAGAATCAGATATGAAAAGGATGAATAACAACTGAAAAGAACTGGAAAGGAAGGCTCAGAACAGAGTTGGATAGAGAATGCTGGTGAGCGGCCTATGCTCCTCGACGAAGGGTAATAGGCGTAAGTAATTAGTTGGGAAATTACAAACAGCCAAGGAGCACTATACAGTTGTCGCCTTTTAGTTAGAAGCTCTTCAGAAGTAAACCAATACAACCACGGTCAGGTATCGAATCCAAGAATTCCTGATGCAATAACTCATTTAATTCTTATCGATAGGAATCAATTTTTATGATAAGTTCAATGATATGACACAAGTAACTACAGTAGATTCTTGAAAAAATAGACACTTAATAATGAATTCTTTTGATCAGTTTCAAGACTTCATCAAATCATTGTTTCAGTCCTTCTATATATTGTTGAATTCCAATTCCAAATGACCTCATTGTTACTCCAATTGTTTCTGTTACAAATGTCTATAACATCATATGATATTATGTTTCAATGTTACACGCTCACAAGAATATGGTTGTAAATAGATGAAGAGAGAAGCTACGAAATAGAATGATTTTCGGCTATTCTATTTAAAATGGTTACTTTCAGTTTTATTCAAAATTCATAAAGGATACTGTAGTAAAATTTTTCACTAATTCAGTAATAACATCAAAGATTGGGGGTATCGAATGAGTTTTCATTGAATTTCCACAAGATTATTAATTTTCCAATGGAGCTGAATATCAACGGTATTATTTATTTATTTAAACACATCAATATTGGTACAAGGAAGCACCAGATAAATATGCGCTGCACAAATCTCATTCGATTTGTGTGAGGGCTGCGATACTGCACAAGTGCACAAACTGAAGCGGGTGGTTCTCTTAGAGGACAACAACCGGAGACCTCCACAAAGCAGTGGAACGTCGTGAGAAGATGCAGTCATATGGTAGTCGGTAACCAACGACTGATTGATACACCATTTGTTCCTTCAGGATACTGGAGCCCATATGTACCATTGGTTTATAATCAGGGTTTTCCAACTCTCATAGGTGAACTGTCCGTGTCCACCAACCCACTTTAAGCGCCCATTTCCGTCGCCAATTGTTATATCTCAAGCGTTATGAATTCACTAGTAGCGAACGGAACAAAGACTTGTGACCAGAGACCGATAAGCTAGCTATTCTGACGCGACCCAGACCCAGCTAACTAGAGTAGGAAGTCCAAGTTGGAAGCGGGGAAGTTATATTCCGTAGCAGCCAGAAGCACAGCATTCATAAAGGGAAAACGTCAAGCGTATATATACAGCATAAAATTGTCCTTGGGCATCATTAATAAATAGCACACACAAAGAAACAATGGACCAATAGCGTTTAAGATAGTTTACAAGTGGGAAATATGACGTGAAGGTAAAAAGAGCGTTTTTGGCTCGAAAACAGCTAAATTCAAATTTTCAAAATAAAATTACAAAATTAAGCCACTTATCAAGTAAGTTCTGGGGATTTGACATCCCCAACACCTCCCCTTTTTAGTAACGAACGTTCTTGGGGTCCACTTGCATTCTGACTGTCTGTCGCCGTTGGCGCAGTGACCATCTTCGGGACCGTAGATCGACCTTTTGTGTTTCTTCTTGTGTAGGGGCGACCGGCAGATTGAACGTATCCAACAACATGTCCGGCGGGATCTTTCCTTCGGTCGTTGGGCGCGCTGGGGCTGAACGCTTGCGTAGTTGGTTTCGATGCCTTGTCCACCTATCTGCTCCCACCTCGACCTCGTACAGGACTCTACCTACCCTTCTAACCACACGTGCTTCGATCCAAGGATCATGATTTGCTCTGTAGTCTCGAGCAAATACTGTGCATCCAACGTTGTACATGGGTAGCTTCCGGGACGTGGTTTGTGCTAGTGGTGGTGTGGTTTTCGGTAGCATCAAGTTGTGGATAGTCCTCAACCTTCTTCCCATGAGGATCTCTGCAGGGGACTTCTGCTCCGGCAGTGTGTCGTTAGGAGTAGTTCTGTAGGCGAATAAAAAATTCTGCAGTGTTTCCACTGGCGTCCCCTCCCCTTTTGACTTAATCAGAGCCCTCTTGAACGTATCCACGAACCTTTCCGCTTGCCCATTCGATTGTGGGTGATAAGGTGGGGCGCGAAGATGTCTAATGGATAGGCGTTTGCAGAACTCTTGGAACTGTGTCGAGGTGAACTGCGAACCATTGTCGGATACAATAACTTCCGGTAATCCGTTCCGTGCGAACAACTCAGTCAAATGTTTCAGCGTCTGGGTGGTCGTTATTGGCGTGACGGGTACAATCTCCGGTCATTTTGAGAAGGCGTCGACCACGACAAGATAAGTGGTTCCGTTGACTGAACCGGCAAAGTCGACATGTATCCTAGACCAGGAATACTCAGGCTGTGGCTATGGAACCGGCGGCACCTTTGCATTGGACTCTGCTGCTTGCTGACACTGAACGCATTTGTTTACTAGATCCGTGATGTGCTGGTCCATGTGGGGCAAGTAAGCATAGCTTCTGGCGATAGATTTCATGATGACCAATGTGAAATTGTTTCATCACTTTTACGCGAAGAGACTCTGGTACAACCACTCTTTCACCAAACATCACTCAGTCGTTTACAATACATAGTGAATCTCGCTGTTTCAGGTTACAATATTTATCAAATTCACTAGGACCCAGCTTTCGAAGCAGCAAACGGACTTTCCAAGCATCATCTTGATTGGCAAAATCAAAAACCTGATTCTCCCTGTAAACCCACGTGATCGCTCATTCTCGGACACTGTTCAGTCATTGAGTCAACAGTTCGAAGATAATTCCTCGCTGTTCAACACACGCTACCGATGTTTGAAGCTGACTATGAACGAAAACACTGATTTTCTGACGCATGTGGGCATTGTCAACCGCGAATGTGAACGCTTTCGGTTGAAGTCGCTAACTGAAGATCAGTTCAAATCCCTCATCCTCATCTGCAGCCTCCAATCGCAAAAGTTCAGTGACATTAGAACACGGTTGCTCAGTCGATTGGATCAGGACCCTAAGCTGACTCTTAATGATATTGCTAACGAATATAAACGTCTAATTAATTTGCAGCATGACACTACTATGGTTCAACGTGGTGTTTCTTTTCACCCTGAAGTACATGTAGTCCAACAACCAACGTAACTTGTTAAATCCACCCAGCTATACCTAGTTCATCGCACTCTAACGCAGTCCAACAAGCAAAGACGAATCCTCCTGCTCCATGCTGGCATTGTGGTGCATGGCATTATGTTCGAAGCTGTCCATTTAAACAAAATCGTTGCAGGAAGTGTAAAGCTGTGGGCCACAAAGATGGATTTTGCCAAAATAAGAAGCCGAATCGCCCCAGAAGTACTAGAAAGTCTGCTCCCAAGCCGTGCACAAATTCGTTGAGTCTTGTAGCAACCTGTCAGAACTCAACCCCAGGTGAGAGAAAACTTATTACCATTAATATTAATGGGCATCCATTTAGATTGCAAATAGACACAGCATCAGACGTGACGATTCTCTCACAAAAATCTTGGATTAAAATGGGCAGACCACTTATGGCGACAACAACACAAAAACCTCGTACGGCATGCGGTAATTACTTACGTTTGTTGGGTTAACTACATTGTAAAGTGTCTTTTCGCGATTCGACGTTCACTGGGGTATGTTACATAGAACCAGTTGATCTTAATTTACTTGGCTTAGATTGGTTTGACCAGCTGCATTTAGCGGACGTCCCGTTAAACACCGTGTATCATCTAGTAAAGCAACCCCATGACCCGGAAGCATATTCAAAGGAACTAATGACGAAGTTTTCGACCGTTTTCCAGCCTGTTTTGGGTCGGTGCTCAGCCATGAAAGCAACACTTCGATTGAAACCTGGGGTTAAACCTGTTTTTCGTCCAAAGAGACCATACGCTGCATTATCGAAAGTTAAGGAATAATTTAATCGCCTTCAACGTCAAGGAGTTATTACTCCTGTCTCTTATCCCGCATGGGCAGCACCCATTATTGCTATCAAGAAGGCTAATGGTACGATCCGAATATGTGCAGATTTTTCCACAGGTCTCAACGCAGCCCTAGAACAGCATCACTATCCGCTGCTAGTCCCGGCAGATTTGTTCACTATGCTGAATGGTGGAAAGTTCTTTGCGAAGCTGGATCTATCTACAAGTAGAAGTGGCTGAAGAACCGAGAGAGCTACTCACCATTAATACACATCGTGGCCTGTTCCAGTATAATCGACTGCCGTTTGGAGTTAAGACCGGCCCATCTATTTTCCAGCAGCTAATGGATACCATTCTATCGGGTATCCCGGGGGTTGCTACTTATCTGGATGAAATCCTCATTGCTGATACAACGTCAGAACGGCTACGAGAACGCACAACAGCTGTACTACAACGTGTCAGCGATAACGGATTCCGGCTACGCCCGCAAAAATGCCAGCTTTTCTTGAAGTCCGTGAAGTATTTGGGTTTTATCTTCGATGCTGCAGGTCGCAGACCAGATCCCGAGAACATCCGAGCTATAAAAACCATGCTTACTCCTACCAATATCTCTGCTCTACGATCATTCCTGGGATTGGTTAGTTATTACTCAGTCTTCGTTCCATCGATGCATGACATACGCGCCCCACTGAATTATCTTCTGAATAAGGATACCAGCTGGAACTGAACAAAGGAGTGTGAAAACGCCTTTTGTAAGCTGAAGACAATTATTAGCTCAGAACTACTATTAACACACTACAACCCGTCCTTGCCAATCATCGTGGCCGCAGAAGCTTCAGCCTTTGGGCTCGGTGATGTCATTTCACATCAGTTCCCCGACGCGACAGAGAAAGCCATCATGCATGCATCGCGAACATTAACCCCAACAGAGAAGAAGTATAACCAGATAGAGAAGGAGGCTCTCGCACTGGTGTTTGCTGTACCCAGGTTCCACAAATTCTTGTACGGTCAAAGGTTCACGCTTCTTACGGATCACAAGCCTCTTCTCGCAGTTTTCTGGTCGAAGTCTGGCATACTAGCCCACTCGGCAAGTCGTCTTCAGCGATGAGCCTTGGTACTCTTGGGTTACGATTTCGAAATACAATACCGACGCACCCAACAATTTGGTCAAGCAGATGCCTTATCACGACTCATTAATGATCATTCAGCGATTGAGGAAAATATGGTAATCGCATCTCTGTCAGTGGAAGATCACGCAGAATGTTATCTGACAACTGCAATACGGGCATTGCCAGTATCCGAGTCAGACATACAAAACGCATCAAGGAATGGCCCCGTCATCAAGAGGGCGATGAGCTATATCACCAATGGGTGGCCGTCTGTTAATTTCGATGGAGACATGAAACAGCTGTATCACCGGCGAGATTCACTATGTATTGTAAACGACTGAGTGATGTTTGGTGAAAGAGTGGTTGTACCAGAGTCTCTTCGCGTAAAAGTGATGAAACAATTTCACATTGGTCATCATGAAATCTATCGCCAGAAGCTATGCTTACTTGCCCCACATGGACCAGCACATCACGGATCTAGTAAACAAATGCGTTCAGTGTCAGCAAGCAGCAGAGTCCAATGCAAAGGTGCCGCCGGTTCCATAGCCACAGCCTGAGTATTCCTGGTCTAGGATACATGTCGACTTTGCCGGTTCAGTCAACGGAACCACTTATCTTGTCGTGGTCGACGCCTTCTCAAAATGACCGGAGATTGTACCCGTCACGCCAATAACGACCACCCAGACGCTGAAACATTTGACTGAGTTGTTCGCACGGAACGGATTACCGGAAGTTATTGTATCCGACAATGGTTCGCAGTTCACCTCGACACAGTTCCAAGAGTTCTGCAAACGCCTATCCATTAGACATCTTCGCGCCCCACCTTATCACCCACAATCGAATGGGCAAGCGGAAAGGTTCGTGGATACGTTCAAGAGGGCTCTGATTAAGTCAAAAGGGGAGGGGACGCCAGTGGAAACACTGCAGAATTTTTTATTCGCCTACAGAACTACTCCTAACGACACACTGCCGGAGCAGAAGTCCCCTGCAGAGATCCTCATGGGAAGAAGGTTGAGGACTATCCACAACTTGATGCTACCGAAAACCACACCACCACTAGCACAAACCACGTCCCGGAAGCTACCCATGTACAACGTTGGATGCACAGTATTTGCTCGAGACTACAGAGCAAATCATGATCCTTGGATCGAAGCACGTGTGGTTAGAAGGGTAGGTAGAGTCCTGTACGAGGTCGAGGTGGGAGCAGATAGGTGGACAAGGCATCGAAACCAACTACGCAAGCGTTCAGCCCCAGCGCGCCCAACGACCGAAGGAAAGATCCCGCCGGACATGTTGTTGGATACGTTCAATCTGCCGGTCGCCCCTACACAAGAAGAAACACAAAAGGTCGATCTACGGTCCCGAAGATGGTCACTGCGCCAACGGCGACAGACAGTCAGAATGCAAGTGGACCCCAAGAACGTTCGTTACTAAAAAGGGGAGGTGTTGGGGATGTCAAATCCCCAGAACTTACTTGATAAGTGGCTTAATTTTGTAATTTTATTTTGAAAATTTGAATTTAGCTGTTTTCGAGCCAAAAACGCTCTTTTTACCTTCACGTCATATTTCCCACTTGTAAACTATCTTAAACGCTATTGGTCCATTGTTTCTTTGTGTGTGCTATTTATTAATGATGCCCAAGGACAATTTTATGCTGTATATATACGCTTGACGTTTTCCCTTTATGAATGCTGTGCTTCTGGCTGCTACGGAATATAACTTCCCCGCTTCCAACTTGGACTTCCTACTCTAGTTAGCTGGGTCTGGGTCGCGTCAGAATAGCTAGCTTATCGGTCTCTGGTAACAAGTCTTTGTTCCGTTAGCTACTAGTGAATTCATAACGCTTCAGATATAACAGTCAGCCAACATGGTTAAAGCTCCGGACATTCGCTTTTTGTTCTCTCAATTTCGTAAACAACAGTGATGCCATGAGAAAGCAGTGAGTATTACTTCCCTGACAGAGGCTATATACACGTGTCCATGTGAGTGCATTTGGAGAGGGAGAGCTGACTCTCCCCACTCTGGGCCGTACCAAGGCATTGGGGGGCATCAAGAATAGCGAAATAATGTTCACTTCCTTAGCATAAAGAATCAAATATAACACTCAGATCCCAAATGTTTGATATTATTTTTAAGGATGAAAAACAAAATAGTTCAATAAAATGATGTGATTAATGAAGAAAGGGAAAAGAACGTCATGACTCACGGTGGTAATTCAACATTATCTACACTATCACCTGGTTGTCGATAGCCTAACTTTAATCCACTCCGATTAATAAACATCTCTGGTTGAAAATAAAATTCTGGTACTAATTCTTTAACACATGAAACAGAAGTAGTGGCTAAACGCCATGTTGTTGCAATTGAATGAAATAAACGATCGGGTACATCGAAATTATTATCTAGAAAATGAAAAATACACATATATGAACTGAAATATTACGTTACTTATATATTCATGATTTAAGATAGTTGAAATCATGAGTCAATTGAACCTAAAACCACGATGGGAAGCCTGGAAGCACTGGACGGCCACCTCGCGAGATTCAAACCCAGTATCTATCAGTCTCGCGCGTGAGAAATTAACCATTAGACGTCTAAGCCGAAATCCAACGATGTTACTGTCTAACTTCAACTGATCTATGAAATTGAGCAACGATCTCGAGAGGCAGGATCGTGGATGCGCACTGCTGAGGAGTCTCACAATAGGACGAAACGGCCGTCTAGCTTCGATGGACTCATGATTTCAACTTTATAAAATTACTAAAATCTCCACAAAACGCCCTTCTAATATTCATGATTTGAAGAAAACAACATTGAAAGTAAGAATTAATCAATAAACAGTTCCGAAATTATATTTTATATTAGTTAGTAGGTCATTAACAATGAGTATTTACAATCTTGAAGGAATTCATTCATTTTTATCATCCAGCTTCATATTCAATCATTATTTCATATCAATATGTAGTACACAAGATATAAGGTCATTTATTTTAGTGACTACATTGTAACTAGATCGATAAAATGAGAGCAGCACTAAGAACCAGAAAAATATGATATTGGTTACAATGTAGTTACCAGTCAGTAAAAATACAAATTGAAAGAAATCAATTAACTTTTTTTAACTTGGTTTTCTAAGGTATGAGGTCGCTAACACCATGCCCAACCCTCCTCCTTTATTCGGGCTTGGGACCGTCAGTAACCCCCGAAGGAGTTGAATTAATGATGTTGTGTATTCAAATTGTGAATCCAATTATTTGGTCGATTACATTTGATTATTGATATGTCTGCATCATTATCAGTTAAGTAGGTATACAAGTGATGTAATACACAGTGCTTGTTTTTATATTCTTAATGGTCAAACAAGATAGGTGACATTAGGAAGCTATTGATGCACATTTTCCAGCCATCAGTAGTGCCGTTAAAAGTTATTGATCGAAAAGTATCACAGGTTTGAGATTTAAATCTAAAGAAATCTCTTAATTAATCGTATATCAGTAACTTATGCTATCAGACCTTTTAGTGTTAATCGAATACAATCGATCACATTATGATGTAGACAATAATCTCATTGGTTTAAAGTCTAGTGTACGATTTTGAGATGTTCAGTGGATGGAGACGTTATCCATAAACTATACGAGCCATCATTAATCTCCTGTAGGACTAATATATTTTCATAACTGAATACTAACTAATTTCATGCTAGTTTACTGCTAAGTACTGAATAGATTCTATCAAGTAAGTTGGAATCTTACTCTCCTAGATTTCCAAAATCCAAAATGAAGATGTACTATTCAATATAAAGTGATAGAAGGGAGAAATAGTGAAAAGTTCATAAATAAGGTTGTACGACAGCTAGAACCTGTCAGAAAGACAAAAAGTCGATTTTGAGAGAATTGATGTTCACAAACACAGAATTAATGAAAATTTATTTCGAAGATTAATTCATTTTACTGTTCGTACGTCATTCTACGGCTTTTCTTCAATGGATCGAAAGATCCATTGATATGTCAAGGAATTAAAGACATATCGCACATTGACTGAAGTTAGACTGTTGCTACCCATCGGACCTTGGGCTAGAGGTCTAGCTTTTGGACGAGAGATTGAAGGCCCTGCGTTCGAATTCCGGGTGCGAAGTCGTGGATGTGCACTGACAAGGGATCCCACACTAAGAGGAAGAGAGCCTTCCTAGGTTTTTAACAGTTGTCTACCCTAGACAGGTTCGCGATCTCAGTAATATAAACCAGCATTTAAGGACGCTCAAAACATATGTGGCCATTGTGAGGGGATTGCTGTTTCCTAATCCTTAACAGAGCTAAGCTACTCATGAACATACAAATACTGGATAACGTTAAAAATCCAAACTGTTAAGGGAAATAAGCTAAAAAATACACTTGAATAGTTCACCTTGAAAACGTAAATGACGGAAAGTGTATGGGGGTAGACGAACAAGAAAATGTAAAACAATTGCTTCATTTGAACAATGCGCTGGATAATGATATGGTGGACAAGCACTACTTAAATTCGATAAAGTAAACGTTTTTGATTTTTTTCCCAATCCTTCTGGATGTGACGTACACATTGTTTTGGATAGTAATTCAGCTTCATTAAATCGTGCTGCTACAGCTTCAGCTCTATCGTCTACTTGTACAGCTATTGGACGATCTAACCGTCGAAATGTAGTCGGTTGGGTTAAGTCTAACACAAGACTTTCATAATCCTTTAACAAAAAAAAGAAAAACCAGTACTTAAGTAAAACGAATTCCTTAACTAGTCAATGAATATTCTAGTTAGTCAATAACTAAGATGTATAACTTATATGTAAAAAAAACCAATTAAAGTAAATAATACAGTTGAAATCATGAGTCAACTGAAGCTAGACCTCCATACAAAACCTGGAAGCACCGGACGGCCGTTTAGTCCTGTTGTGGGACTCCTTACAATAAGACGGAATGGTCGACCAGTGCTTCTAGGTTTTGCATAGGGGTCTAGCTTCAATTGACTCATAATTACAACTATATAAAATTACAAAACTCTCCACAAAACCCCACTTCTGATAAATAATACAGTTTCAAATACTCACTGAAGGTAAACAATATGTATTAGGGTTTATTGAAAAAGAAGAATAGGAAAGCATACTTAACAAATCATAAAGTTAATAAGCATAGCAAACATCAAAAACCGGCTTTAGTCAAGCAACCAGTGAAAGCTTAGAAGGATTGAGGAACTGTCTCGTTGTAGTACGCAGCTCTTCATCAGTGGGGATTTACGAATCCAATAAGGTTTAAACTCATGATATTTAGGTCTTTTAGCAGGCACTAAGAATTTGGACTGTTGAATCTTTGTCCGAAGGTTTAGATTTCTAAATCAAATCAATCCTCAACCCTTTTCCAACGCCTCACATCCAACAATGCCGTTTCATTCTCTGAGCATGGTGGTTTGATTGTGGAGTTTACATCGTTCTTCTGAACGATATCATGAGCAAAAACTTCAGGTGGTTTGTGCGTATAATGTCTTTAAGAAGAACGATGAAAGCTCCACGATTAAACCATCCAGCTAGAAGGAAGAGACTCCACCTTAATCATCCACCTGATCAACAAATCTTCTCCACCATCTCAAAATACAGAATTTAAAGAAAAAATAGAGAGGAAAACATTTTACTATATTCACTTAGTATTGTTTGTTTGAATCTTCAATCTTTGCTTACAATGCTTGTGAATTTAGGCTATATCGAGGCAATACACACAGTATGCACATATGCCAATTAGAGACTGACCAGTTGCAGTCTTAACACATCGATGGGAAGATCCAAACAAACAATACTAAGTGAATTTAAACTTCACTCCATTGCACAAGCAAGTGGCTATCAGGACTCAGTAGCTGAGTGGATAACGCGATGGCGTTTAAAGTAAACGGTACTGGGTTCGATTCCCGGAGTGAACACCCATCCTGGTACATTCAGCTGACGAGTCCCAAATAGGACCAAACGCGCGTCGTGGGTTCCACTGGTAGCCACTATTCATCTTTGCTTACATTTCACTATATTATTAAAAAAAAAACAAATAGACATACACGTATAATCCATGGAAATATAGGATATTGCATTAAATCATTATAACTACGACCAGCAGTTGTGTTTAATTTCATCAAATAATCGAAATTTGATAATTCACCATTTAGCCATGCTTGTTGTATACTTTGTAATTTACATTTTTTTAATTGTGTAAAAGTAGAATGATGATGATGATGATGATGACGACGATTCGATGGAAGAGGACTGGATATTTCAGATTGTTCATCCATATTCTCCTCTAATAATGGGTTATGATAGCGATGAATACAAGAACATGAACGATGACCAATTAAAGGAGTGATGGTTTCAATAAAATTATCTCTGTCCTATAATTTGAGGGAAATGAATATTATTATAATATAAATATAACAAAATATGTAATTTGTAAAAACTAGGACAATATCACCGAACTGAGTCACAAGACAAGACCTCACATGGAATCCTGAAGGCCAAAGGAGAAGAGGAAAACCAAAGAACACATTACGCCGAGAAATTGAGACAGACATGAGAAGAATGAACAAGAACTGGATAGAACTACAAATGAAGGCCCAGAACAGAGTGGTTGGAAAATGCTGGTCGGCGGCCTATGCTCCATTGGGAGTAACAGGCGTAAGTAAGTAAGTAAGGACAAAATATAGATTTTGTTCGCTGAACTGGATGGTTTGGTTGTGGAGTTTTTCCTCTTTCTTCTGATCGGCATCATCAGAATAAATTTTAGGTAGATCATTAGCAAACAAAAGAAGTACAACTGCTCTCCGGTTTGCTGAAGCGATCGCGATAAAAAAACTCAAACTGGATTTGTGTACTCAAAAAGGGACAGTGATAAACTTATTACTACCCCGGTAATCCGTTTTTTTGTTTTGTTTTTTGTTTGCTTGTTTCACTTATGTTGTTATTAGTTTAATTTTGGTTAATATTCAGTTTTTATTATATTCCTCTCCCCTTACCCAAACCACCCTTTCTCTCAAACATGTCCGCTCAATTGTCTCTCTTAATTGTACGAACTCTCCAAATTTTATTCAATTATTACGTAACCCACCCTAACTGTTTTTAATTACTTCTAAAATAATCACACTTTTGATCTTACGCCACCCTTCATTGTAATACCTAATAACCTCTGACCTTTCCTTGCACATATATATATAGTTATCATTGATGACCTTTTGTTATTCCAATCCTTTGCATTCAATTATGTCCATTGTTCAATACTATTTATTACCCCAATGCTAAAACTCTAATACATATTTGGTCATAAGCAGCTGATGAGAAACCACGAAATGTAATTAATTCATACTATTCTGCATCAATATTTGTTTTGTCTTTATTTAAATTCATAAAGGGAACAAACTGCAAGAAGTAAAGTGATCGAATATCTTGACAGCTCACAGTTTGTCCTGTAGACTTGGATGTTGATTAGTTATGGCTGACATTTATTCTGTCATTATTTACATCTTTATTTTGATTGTATCTCCTGTTGATTTGATTCTTGATTCTATATTTGTTTATAATTTTTCTGGTTGATTTATAAATTGAATTGACTTTGACGTATTTGTTGATTGCTGACTGTCTTGAGTCCCAAGCACCTGGAAAATATTCCGGCTTCTTTGGTATACCCTCTATCCAAGATTTCAACATTTTCCCGGTCGAATATGTGTCCACATGTATTGATATGAACGAAGATATGTCATGGCGTTTGACCGCCAATTGATGTCTGTGTAAGCGAAGATGAAGAGTTCTTCAATTTTTTCCGATGCAGAGTTTTTCGCAATAATGTTCTTTTGTCATTACGCCCTTTGGTTTGCATAGGATTCATCCAGCTCAGAGAACAAAACTCCACCAAAATTATCCATCTAATCTACAAATCTTTCCCACCATCACATATTACAGAAATCAGAATTACGATAAAAACTATTAAAGTAATAATTAAAATTACAATATTACTACTGTTTAAAAGAAAGTAGTATGGTAATTCAGATAATACATATTTTAAAATGATCATAGAACAAGTCAGTATAACATTTGAAGAGAAAAATCAACAGTAAGTAATACTCCAGACTACATTGTAAAGTCCATAATAATAATAATGGATGGAATGAGTGAAAAATTGAGAAACAAAATATCATCAATTTGGATGGTACAAATTATAACTAGGTTACTCTTATAATGATGAATAGGTAAGAATCTGAAGCAATGTGAACATTCGCATCGATGATACACTTGTTATCATCGACTAGTGTATTGAAAAACAGAACTACAAAAGAAATTACTAGTACATATTCGGTAAATGGGATCATTTGAGAAGAGGAGGAACTTTTGTTAGTCAAAGAAGATGATTTTTTCAGTAGAAATGTGCTTAGAAAGAGTTCATCTGCATGTATATCAACACTTTTCTTTAGTTTATTACAAATTTATTGCGAAACAACTTTATTAAATTCACTTAGTATTGTTTGTTTGAATCTTCCCATTGATGCTTAGGACCACAGCTGGTCCATATGTGCATACAGTGCGTATTGCAGGGACATAAAGCTGAAGAGTCCCAAAGAAGGTGAAGTCGCACACGTCCTGGATTCCAATACTAACCACTATCCATCTTTACTTACAATGCTTGTGAATAAAGACTATATCGAGGTAATACGTGCAGTATGTACATATGGAGAATAAGAGACTGATCAGTTGTAGTCCTAAACATCAATGGGAAGATTCAAACAAACAATACCAATTGAATTCAAACTTCACTTCATCGCACAAGCAAGTGGCTATCAGGACTCAGTAGCTGAGTGGATAACGCGATGGCGTTTGAAGCGAATGGTACTGGGTTCGAGTCCTACAGTAAACATCAACTATGAGATGCAAGTACGTCCAGCTGACGAGCCCCAAATAGGACGAAACGCGCGTCCAACTGTACTACACTGTTAGCCACCATCCATCTTTGCTCATAACTTTATTACATGATTTGCAAGCAAAGTTACAAAGATATCAATCAGATAAAACAATAAATACATGACCACTGTTATAATTAGTTAAGGAAAGAACACACGTTTATTGTTAGAAGGGAACAAAAATAACCATCGTCAAATTCCCTAGAAGCTCAGAAGTGTTAGGAAATATTTTATCCAATACGCACTGAATGGAAGCCTTGCAGAAAAATATCTAGAAAATGCAGAACTGTCTCACGGTTTTGATGTTCATTATGGATCCAGAAATTTCCAGCAGAAGGTCATGTGTAATTCTATGGATACAATAGTTTTTTTCTGGACATAAACTAATCTGGAAGTAAAACGTTTACTCTCAATATGTGCCTTTTCTCTTTTGTTCAAGCTGACGTATAGAAGAGATTGGGGTAATCGAAATCGGCTAGGAATACGATTTAGGTGTATCAATAGCAAGGTTTACCATTTGTTTAAGGAAATTCATGATTTTGATTAATATGGAAACTAGTTATGATTACGCTTTTAAAGCAAAGTCGGACAATCCAAAACAAAAGACATTATCAGAAGGGTTTTGTGGAGATTTAGTATTTTCATAGTTGAAAGCGTGAGTCAATTGAATCTAGACCTCCATGGAAAACCTGGAAGCACTGGACGACCGTTTCGTCCTATTGTGGGACTCCTCAGCAGTGTGCATCCACGATCCCGTCTCACGAGATTCGATTCCAGGACCTATCAGTCTCGCACCACAGCACTTAACCGATAGACCACTGAGCCGGCATCCAACGGTGTCAATGTCTAAATTCAACTGGTCCACAAAGTTGAGCAATCATTCACCAATTGTCTTCAGTGAATGGATCGCACTGCTGAGGAGTCCCATAATAGGACGAAATGGTCGTCCAGTGCTTCCAAGTTTTCCATGGTGGTCTAGCAAAATTGACTGACGCTTTCAACTATGAAAAAATATCACTTGATATATTTATAAATATATGTATCTGACACAAATACTAATGTTATAGAGTGAACTATTAGTGACAATAGAGATGATATTAATAGAAACCATATAACTAACTTACCCAGTAGAGTCATATGCATTTATTTTTCAGGCACTCTTGTTATTGATGAAAACTAGTAGTTTAAACCCGAAAAAGAGATGTGGTGTTCGAACACACAACTTAATCAGTTAAAAGTTGTTGTACTTAATTTAATGAACTTACTTTAGAAGAATACATAGCAAAAAGCATTGGTGCATTTACATTTGTTTCATCAGGAAATATTTCTACCGCAATATCACGTAGTGAATATCGACGTGCTTCAATATGATGAATTGATTTGAAAGACCATGCAAACCATAATCGATTAGAAAGACTTTGATAAGGATATAATGATTCCTGAATAAGGAAATAAAACGTGATTTGACTGATGGATTTGTATATATACAATTAAAGATTTATTCTTTTTTATTTGTAATACAATTACTTAAGCCCCTAAATGCCCTGGTACAGCCAGGAGTGGAGAGAGTCCACTCTCCCTCACGAAATGCTCTCACATGTCCACGCGTATATAACCGCTGCCAAAGAAGTCCTACTCACTGCTTTCTCGTGGCATTACTGCTGTTTACGAAATTGAGAGGACGAAAAGCGAATGTCCGGCGCTTTAGCCGGGTTGGTAGACACAGAGAGTACACCTCGTAGAGTTGGAAAACCCTGATTCCAAACCAATGATGCACATGAGATCCAGAATCCTGAGGGAACAAATGGCGCATGAATCAATCGTTGGTCACCGGTTACCATAGGACTGCATCTCCTTGTGAATCTGCATTGTGAATCAGATCTTTAGGTCGACGGCTCCGGGTGTGGCCCCTTAAGAAAACCACCCTTTTTAAGTTCCAGAAAATAACAAAACTTTCAAAATAATATCGATGAAACCGAAATAACAATAATAATGGACTTACAATCTCAATAAATTGCACTTTTTTGCTGTCATTATCATTATAATCATCATTCATCAATAAATTTCTATTCAATAGTGGATCAGGTTGAAATCTTAACCACGATTGACCAAGTATTAAATCACCTTCAATTGGTGGAAAATGTAGTATACCAACTAAACGACATGCCCAAACAGCTTGAATATGATATCGGCTAGCTGATGCTAATTGTATTAATGGAATAGATGATAATGGTAAACATAATGGTAAATCATGCCATGTACAAGCGGCACCAATTACAGGTGGAGAAGGATTCATGATTGATGGTAAACCAATTAATGAGGCAAGTGGATGTGATTGACGTGCGGATACTGTAAAATTAAAAATATATAGCGAATAATATTGATATAATGCTACTTTTCTTTACAAATAGAATCAATATAGGAAGGCTGGCTTAAAGTTGAATACTAGTTCAGAGTGGGACTTACTTACGCCTGTTACTCCCAATGGAGCATAGGCCACCGACTAGCATTCTCCAACTCACTCTGTCCTGGGACTTCTTTTCTAGTTCTATCCAGTTCTTGTTCATTCTTCTAATGTCTGTCTCAATTTCTCGGCGTAATGTCTTCTTTGGTCTTCCTCTTCTCCTTTGGCCTTCAGGACTCTATGTGAGGGCTTGTTTTGTGACACAGTTGGTTGATTTTCTCAATGTATGTCCTAACCACTTTCAGCGCTTCCCGATTTCTTCCTTCACTGGAATCTGGTTTGTTGTCTCCCACAGTAACTTGTTGCTGATAGTGTCTGGCCATCTGATCCGAAGTATCTTGCGTAGACAGCTGTTAATAAACACTTGTATCTTCTGGATAATGGCTTTCGTACTCCTCCACGTCTCCGCCCCATACAGTACAACTGTCTTCACATTTGTATTGAAAATTCTAACCTTGGTGTTGGTCGACAATTGTTTTGAGCTCCAGATAATTTTCAGCTGTAAGTATGCTGCTCCACATCCTCCAAAGCTTCTCCGTCAAGTGTAATTTGATTGGTGCATATTGTATTGTATCGGAGAGTATTGCTTTTCTCTTTGTTTATATTGAGACCTACTGCTGCTGAGGCTGCTGCCACACTGGTCGTTTTCTCCTGCATTTGTTGTCGCGTTTGTGACAGAAGAGCCAGATCATCCGCGAAGTCTAAGTCGTCAAGCTGTATCCCGTGCTTTCCTCCAGATGTTAACGTCTTCATGGTCCAGTCGAAAACCAGGAGAAAGAGAAAGGGTGAGAGTAAGCAACCTTGCCTAACACCGGTCTTTACTTGAAACGAGTGAGTTGTCCTCCGTGGACGATTTGGCAGTTTAGTCCATCATAGGAGTAGTAAATAGTGTGCCATTTAGCATTAACGACTAAAGTGTAATTGAAACCTTGAAGGGACTGACGGTTGTTGTAAAATTTTAACCCGATTTATCCAGTTTCACATTTAGAGATTTAACCACTGAAGTATTCAAATTGTGCACCGGATGAAATGGGTTCCCATTAAAAATGTTTAGTTCCGCACCATCACATCTGCATCAGATCAGTTTCTTTGTTGTATTATTCCATTGTCTCATGTTTCCTTCTCCTACAGCCTTTTGCGCTGTCATTGCTAAATCTTCCACATATGTACGTTTGTCGGTTCTGATGCTTCACTTTACTTGCTTGTTTACTTCTGTATATTCATGTTGTGACTTGATTTTTTCTGCTCTTGTTCGGCTGGTATTGATTGCTGCCTTCTTTTTTCAATCTTATCCAGCGTATCAACAGTGATTCATTCCTTGTGATAATGCTTCTTGTGGCCCAGAACCTTCTGACATGTTGAAGTGATTACCTCTTTTATCCGTTTCCAGTTGCTCTACATAGTAGCTCCCTCTCCGTTGAGTAGATCATGAAATGCTTGATACTTATTGTTGAAGGCTAAACATAAACAGAAAAATAAATATAATTAAACACAATCTTTTCTTACATAGATTTGAACGTGAAGTTCTGTTTATTAAACGTTCAGCCATTGGTAAATGTGTATAATAAAATCGACAATGTTGACGTAATGAATCTTCCACAGGATCAACACACCAACCAAATGGAGCAGATTGCGAATGATAAAATAATCCTCTTTGTAAACGGAAACAAACAAATAAAATAAAAAATAATAAGGGTTTTATGAAAAAAGACATTTATTTTTCATTATTAAAACACATAAATGTTGGTAAAAAGAGGAACCAGATATATATGCGCCACATAAATCAAATGAGATTTGTGTGAAGGCTGTGATACTGCCCAGGTGCCCAAAGTGAAACAGGTGACCACACCCGCAGCCTTTAAACTAAAGGTCTAGTCCACAAAGTAGTGAAGCATCGTGAGGAGATGCAGTTTTATGGTAGTCGGTGACCAACGATTGATTAATACGCCATTTGTTCCCTTAGGGTATTGGAGCCCATGTGTACCATTGATTTGGAATGAGGGTTTTCCAACTCTACGAGGTGGACTTTCCGTGTCCACGAACCCGGTTAAAGAGCCGTACATTCGCTTTTCGTCCACTCAATTTCGTAAACAACAGTGATGCCACGAGAAGGTAGTGAGTAGGAATTCCGTGGCAGAGGCTATATACACAAGGCTATGTGAGAGCACTTCGAGAGGGAGAGTGGACTCTCTCCACTCCTGGCCGTACCAGGGCATTTGGGGGCAAGAAAATATCAGTTCGATTGTGTGTTTACTCAACAGACGATGTTTAGTTCTATTATCGCTTCTACATTGTTATTGATTATTTTGAGTATTGAGTGTTAGTGGATCCTATATGTATAAATTTACGGAATTGTAAGCTCTTTTATTCATATCACTTCCAACCTCTTATATAGGGACACCTCTCCCCATACACCAAAAAATCAATAACACTGTAACTCACAACTAGATACAAATGTACGAACGGCTCAACGTTGCACCAAAGGGATCAGTATTAAAATATTTAGTCCTAATGATTATAATTCTTACACTTCCAAACGAGACTGAAAAAGAGTTTCCACTTGAATCATGATGAAGTATACATATGTCACAGACTGTCTGACCATCACTACATCTCTCGATACTATAGTGATTGTAATTTATAAGCATATAAATAACTTTTATCAAACGACATAAAGCAAATAATTCATGTATTTCTATTATCCAGCTGCTTACAGCGGAAGTAGACAGAGGCGTTCGAACCAGAGACGTAGTAGCTGGAAGTCAGAAGGATCGACTATTGGGTAATGCCTTAAAAATGAGATTCAGCTAGTCTATGGATTACTTGAAAAAGAGCTTCATATTTCAAGTATCCCCAAGATTGTTTGATTTCGGACTGTGAGTAGCAGTGAAGTTAAGAAGGAACATTTTACTTCATTTGAAGATTGCACTTGTACCGACCTAAATAATAATGTTCACACTGAGACTTAAACTCGATATCTATCGTTTGCAGTAATGAACAATAAATTTGGTGCAAGCATATCAAGATGACGAATAACAGACTCAAAGAAACATCTCTAGTAAATATTGGCACTACTCAATAAACAAAGTAAAACAACCAATCAGAGCATAATTTTTCATAAGAAAAATTCAAATTTATTACCCTTTATGACTTAAATGTTCAGCTACACGAGCCCAAAGTACAGTTCCTAATGGGCCTACAATACGTTTACGTTCACTATAAGCATCTAACCATGCATTATGACCTTCAACGCATTGTTTACGTGCTTGACTACATAATTGTGGAATAGAAAATTTTCTTGGTAAATATTTTTTCGATGGAACATTCAACGATGAAAAGAGATTTTCATTTTCATTGCTAGTCAGTTTGTTATTAGTTGATTTTGGCCAAAACATTTGTATCAGCTGAGCAAGTATTGACTTGAAAAATAAACAAAAACAAAACATATAAGGAGTTAAAAAGAAGAGATTTGGATAATTCGGTTAGGAATACACGGAATCAGTGGAAAGTACCAAGTTGATTAAAATACATATAAAGAAAATATTGTAAGCATCTGATATGTCTTGTGGGTTGAACGCTTATTCAGATCCTAAGCTATACGGATAACCCCAGGCTAGCACTACTCAGCAACTTGAAGACCAGAGAGAAGACACGAGTAGCAGAGAAAACCTTTACTGCAGGGGATCAGTTTTGTACAGAAAATCGTAAGTATTTATAGATGTTTGCTTAAGTTAAATCAACATCCTAATTCAGCCAATCCAATAAACGACATATATTGCTACTGACCAATGGTAGCGTGCCACGTTGGAACTCCAGAATGTTCTGTCGTACTCTGATTGGTTGGGACTCTTTTTGAGCCTCTGGGGGCTCTGTTGGAGTTCGCGGGAAGCCGACTTAACACCTCCCCCGAATAAGACTTCTTCCTAGGGTCAACTTGTAGTTTGGTAACTGGGTTGCGACGTCGTCCCATTATTCTCGTCGTCTTCCCTGTCCACGGCTTCCTTCCAGTGTTCTTTGGCGTTTGTGGCGTTGGTGCGTCTAAGATTAAATCTAACGGGAAATTCGGCGGGTTACTTCGATTCTGCATCATTCTTTTGTCTTTAAGGATTTGATTTGTGTGTCGTATGCACATCCCAAAAGTTCCTCGAACTCTGTACAGAACTCTTCCCAATTTTTGTACGACTTCTCCTGGCTCCCATCGGTTCTTCCCGATGTAGGATTTAATGTAAACTTTGTCGCCGACACTGAAGTTCCGAATACTTGGATTGTGACTGCGCTCATCAACTAATTGAGATGGCAACATGGCATTGAAGACGGTTCGAACACGTCTTCCGAACATGACTTCCGCAGGAGACTTGCCGTCCGGAACATTCGGATTCGGAGTGGATCTGTAGGATGTTAAAAATTTCGTGATCACCTGCCCAGTCGGCCCTTCGCCTCCCCCCTTCAGTAATGCTCGTTTAAAAGTGTCCACGAAGCGTTCTGCTTGTCCGTTAGATTGTGGATGATAGGGTGGAGAACGAAGATGAGTTATTCCGTTTGCTTTACAGAAATGCTTAAACGATTCTGCGGCGAATTGCGAGCCGTTGTCTGTTACTAAGGTCTCTGGTACTCCAAAACAGCTAAACAGAGTAGACAGCTTGTAGATTGTTTCTGAGGTTGTACAATTTGGCATGGTATATACTTCCGGCCATTTAGTAAATGCATCTACGATAATTAGAAACATTTTTCCTTGGATTGGACCAGCAAAATCTGCATGAATTCTTTCCCAGGGTCCTGCAGGCGTAGGCCAATACTGAGGTTCGCATTTCACAGGATTTTTAGCGGCTTGAATGCATGATGGACAGTTACGGCATTTATTCTCGATATCTTTGTCCATTGACGGCCAATAAGCATAACTACGAGCCAACGATTTCATTTTATTTATTCCAGGATGGCCATTGTGAAACTGCTTAAGAACCTTGTGACGTAATAACTTCGGAATAACAATTCGATCACCGAACATAATACACGAGTCAACAACCATTAGTGAGTCCCGTCGACGAAAATATTGCAAAAGTTCTCCGTCAAGGCGATTGTTTGGCCATTTGGACGAGAGATAGCATTTGACTGTGCTCAGTATCTTATCGCATTCAGTGATCTTCTTGATAGTTTCAAAGGTTACTGGGAGTCCATTGATTGCGTCATCCAATACCCGATGAACTTCTTCCTCGGCTTTTATACTTGCTACAAGAGTCTCCTCTGGGGTTTTTGATTTGGAGCCTATTAATCTTGACAATGCGTCAGCTTGTCCGAAGGCAGTAGTAGACTGATACTTTATCTTGAAGTCGTAACCAAGAAGTGTGGTTGCCCATCGTTGGAGTCGGTTAGCTGTATGAACTGGAATACCTTTCTTTGACCCAAAAACTGCAAGTAGTGGTTTATGGTCTGTTATTAGAGTAAAATGTCGGCCATATATCATCTTATGGAACTTCTTCACCGCCAAGATAATTGATAGGGCCTCTTTTTCAATCTGACTATAGTTCCTTTCGGTCGTTGTCAAAGATCTGGCAGCGTGTGAGATAGCTTTTTCAGACCCATCAGGAAAAATGTGAGAGATAACTGCACCCACACCATAGTTCGAAGCATCTGAAGCGACGACTATCGGTAGAGAAGGATCATAGTGTGTCAATAAAAGATTGGAAGTCAGGAGTTGCTTGATTTTCTCGAAAGACGCTTGGCAGTCTGCAGACCAATTCCATCTCGTATTCTTTTGTAATAGGTTGTTTAGTGGAGAACGTAGACGATGGAGATCAGGGAGGAAGGTACCATAATGGCTGACCAACCCCAAGAATGATCGTAGGGTGGTAATGTCCCTGGGTCTAGGCATTGTTTTCACCGCTTCAATGTTCTCTGGTCGTCTTCCGTCTTTATCTATTATGAAACCCAGGTACCGTACTTGCTGCATATAGAAGTCACATTTTTCCGCTCGGAGTCGAAAACCATAATCGGCTACGCGTTCTAGTACCTGGTCTAGTTTCTTCTGCAGGTCCATTTTATCTACTGCCATAATTATGATGTCGTCTAAGTAAGCTGCTGCCCCTGGAATACCTTGTAACATGGTATCCATAATTTGCTGAAAAATAGAAGGCGCTGTCTTCACCCCAAAAGGTAGTCGGTTATACCGGAACAGACCTTTGTGTGTGTTGATCGTTAAAAGATCTTTGCTTTCATCAGATACCGGGATTTGAAAATATGCGTCTGATAAGTCCAATTTCGCAAAATATCTGCCACCGTTCAGCTTAGCGAAAAGATCTTCTGGTAAGGGCAACGGATACTGATGTGACTCTAGAGCTTCATTTAATCCTGTGGAGTAGTCTGCACATAGACGGACACTTCCATTCGACTTCTTGACCACCACTATTGGTGCAGCCCAGTTCGAGAAGTTCACAGGCTCGATAACACCCATTTGCTGAAGTCGCTGTAATTCTTGTTCGACTATTGGAAGAGCAGCATAGGGCACAGGTCTTTTAGGTCGAAAAATGGGAGTAGCTGCAGGCTTTAGAGTTAGCACTGCTTTAGCCTTCGTGCACTCGCCTAATCCTTCTTGAAACACGTCTTGGTGTTTTTGTAGCATGGCATTTTCCTGACTCCACTCTGAGGTGTTGTAAGTTGTGATTCGTTTACAGATACTGTTAATAGAGTGGTCTGCTAGGTCAAGTGTTTCTATAAGATCCAACCCCATTAAGTCGAGTGCTGGCTTCTTTGTAAGATACACTGTTGCATTTGTTGTTACAGCATTTTTAGACACAATACAAGGTATCTCTCCAACAATGTTTAACTTTCCACCTGATGCACTGTGTGCTATTTGTGTTGTTCGATGCACCGAGGGTGGCCCAATCTTCTTCCAAGTTTCTGGACTTATCAAAGTAATATCAGAAGCAGTATCAAGCTGAAGTCGAATGCGATGTTTATTAATATTCAAGGTTACGTACTTTCTCTGGCGGCACCTTCGAGCTTTGTTATGTGATACCAATATTCTTTTCGTTAATGCCCCAGACCTGTATTTCTTGAAGTAAGATTTTGCAAAATGTCGTTTATAGTTTCTTTTCCTGCAGCTGGTTTCTATATGGCCCTTTCGATGACATTTACTGCAACAATGTTCTTTATACGGGCAAAACCTCTTATAGTGCCAGCCTCCACATGCCCAGCATGGAGATGATGGTTTGTCACCGTTATTACGATAATTAGGTGTGCTGAAACCTTGCAAGGATTTTCTCTTGACTGCATTGACATTATGGGGACAGTTACCGTTTTCTACCATTGAAGTATCATGCTTCAAGTTCACTAACCTTTGGCACTCGGTAGTTACTTCCTGTAGGGTCATGTTAGGGCAGTGTTCAAGTTTACTTAGGATTCTGGTCCGGATATCAGCATCATCAGGAGAACGCAGGCTGCAGATAAATACTAAACATTTAAACTGGTCCTCAGACATGGACGATAATTTGAACCTCTCGCATTCACGGTTCACAGTTCCTGCATGTTTCACCCAATCATCTCCAGATTCTTTCGTTAACTTTAAACACTGATAACGGATATTAAATAAAGATGATTGCTCTCCGAAAATTTGGGACAGGGTTTTGACTGTTTCATCAAAACTAAAATCTCGTGGGTTCTTCGGGAGAATGAAGTTGCTGTAGCGTTCATGTTCCACAGTCCCCAGTTTTCTGAGAAGTATTCTGACTTTCGAAGCATCATTCAGGTTGCAAAGATCAATATAAAACAAATCTTCATACTTCTTAAACCACGACTCAAAAGTTATACCTGCTACACCATCAAAATTAAATTCATGTATGGCGTTAATGACTGAATCAGTATGTGGTACTTGTGATTCACTGGAAGCAGGGTTTCTCTCGGACAGGAGTAATTTCTGCATCAGGGTTTCCATGATTCTAATTTGGGACTCTTCAAACCTCTTTTCTTGACGCACCATATAGGCTTCTAATTGCTCCAGAGAAATATTCATTGTCATTTTCCCGTCGCCACTGATATGTCTTGTGGGTTGAACGCTTATTCAGATCCTAAGCTATACGGATAACCCCAGGCTAGCACTACTCAGCAACTTGAAGACCAGAGAGAAGACACGAGTAGCAGAGAAAACCTTTACTGCAGGGGATCAGTTTTGTACAGAAAATCGTAAGTATTTATAGATGTTTGCTTAAGTTAAATCAACATCCTAATTCAGCCAATCCAATAAACGACATATATTGCTACTGACCAATGGTAGCGTGCCACGTTGGAACTCCAGAATGTTCTGTCGTACTCTGATTGGTTGGGACTCTTTTTGAGCCTCTGGGGGCTCTGTTGGAGTTCGCGGGAAGCCGACTTAACAGCATCATTATATGAAGATGAGTTTTCTGTTGAATACTTACGTAAACTGGAATACGAAATAGTAGTTTAGTCATAATATAAGACTCCTTTCAGAAATAAACAATAAGAAACTAAAATGAAAGACAGAATCTAGGACTAGGAAGAATAATATAAAAGAACTCTCGTCTAAATTAGAGCGAATAGTTTCACAGTATTTGAACGCCGAGTTAATGTAAAACATTAAATAGGAAGAATAATATATTTGTAAAATCTCAGCGAAGTGAATTTCGAAGTAAATCCAACGTTTCGCCTGACAATCTGGTTCAAGAATTTTCAAGGAATTATAATCAAACATCAAAAATTATTGAACATAAATAGGTAGTACATGGTTCTCCGAGTTCATTATACACTTGAAAAGGTCATTCAATCAACGTTAACAATAAGTCTAAACTATGTATGTGTAAGAAGTGTGTGATGTGTAATGATAAGTGTTAATATAACAAATTGTATAGAAAAACGTAAGAGGTGAGAGGTGAAAATTACATTCACATTATATATTGCCACTTATCAATGAATTTATAATGAAAAACCTACAATTTGTAATATATGTGATATGAATCATATCTGTGTCACAGTATGTGTATAACAATGAAGATAATTAAACAAAATAAAAATATAAAAGGTGAAATTTGATGATCGTAATTTTTGACTGTATGTATGTGTCATTTTTAATGTTCCAATGAATTGTTTAACAAATTCCGATAATTATAGAAGGGATTTTGTGGAGATTTAGTATTTATTATAGTTCAAAGCGTGAGTCAATTGAAGCTAGACCATCATGGAAAGCCTGGAAACACTGGACGGCCGTTTCGTCCTATTGTGGGACTCCTCAGCAGTGCGATCCATTCACTGAAGACAATTGGTGAATGGTTGCTCAACTTCGTGGATCAGTTAAAGTTAGACATTAACACCGTTGGATGCCAGCTCAGTGGTCTATCGGTTAAGGGCATCGGCTCGAGACTGGTAGGTACTGGGTTCGAATCTCGCGAGAGCGGGATCGTGGATGCGCACTGCTGAGGAGTCCCATAATAGGACGAAACGGCCATCCAGCGTTTCCAGGCTTTCCATGGAGGTCTAGCTTCAATTGACTCACGCTTTCAACTATAATAAATTCCCATAAGACAATAGATTAGAATCATTGAATGTAATTTTGATATTTGATTATAATTCCTTGAAAAAGCTTGGACCAGATTGCCAGGCGAAACGTTGGATTTACTACAAATTCATTCGCTGAGATTTTACAAATATATATTATTCCCATTTAATGTAGGACTAGGAAGATTTTAAATTGAATAAGCATTCAATGGCCGAGTGGATAACGAGATGGCGTTTGAAGCTAAAGGTACTGGGTTCGAGTCCCACAGTGATCATCAACTCTGAGATGCAGGCACATCCAGCTGACGAGTCTCAAATAGGACGAAACGCGTGTCCTGGATTCCACTATCCATCTTTGCTTAAAATGCATGTGAATTAAGGCAATATCGAGGCAGTATGCACATATGCTAATTAGAGACTGACCAGTTGCAGTCCTAAACATTAATGGGAAGATTCAAACAAACAATACAAAGTGAATCAAAAAATGTTTAGCTACCACGTCAGAATATAATGGCTTATGTTCCTAACTACAAAACATGAAGAGTTTGGTGTTCGATTACAACCTTTATTGAACTGCAGTTTGCATAACTAATGAAGGTTGATAATAACAAATGCAAAAATCAGTTCACAACATCTTATCTACTTATCTAAAACTGATAAAGAAAAAATCATAACTATGTTAAAGAAATCATATGATTACACAATTTTTACCAATAATGGTAACCAAATATGATTCTTATCTAATTCGATTTTTTATATAGACGTGACTCTCTTCTCAATAGTTGTTACTTACAGTATCCTTCAGAGTTACATCCAAGTTCTCATTACTCCATACACACTAACTTGTACGATTTATAAATTGTTTGAATATCAAATTTCTCGATGGTTTATCTTTTTCCTATCTTGGCAACTAACTGTTGAAGTGTGGCGTTTATTTATTATTATTTATTTAAACACAAATATTGGTACGGAGGTGTACCACATATACTTGCACCACACAAATCTCATTTGATGACTGTCATACTACCCAGGTGCCCAGACAGAAGCAGGTAACTTTCTTAGAGGGGCACACACGGAGCCTTTGACCTAAAGATCTGATCCACAAGGCAGTGGAGCATCGTTAGAAGATGCATTCCCATGATAGTCGGTTACCAATAATTGGTTCATACGCCATTTGGTCATTCAGGATACTGGATCCTATGTGCATCATTGGTTTGGAATGAGGGTTTTTCAACTTCCCTAGGTGGACTTTCCATGTCCACCAACCCGGTTAAAGCACCGAACATTCGCTTTTTGTCCTCTCAATTTCGTAAACAACCGTAATGCCATGAGAAGGCAATGAATAGGCGTGCCAGCTACCATTACACATTCCGTAATGAAACCATTCAAATTAGACACAATCATTTCTTGATTCACAATTGCCATAAGCCCTTACCGAGCCTTAACAATCAAATTTTAAAAGAAGTAAAACAATCAGAATGACAAACCTTTTTATCATGAATCATAGATACACCTTTATGATTATTATTATTTGTAGATAATTTCACTTCTATAAATTTATTTAAATTAGGTAATGATAACATCCATTGTTCATTAGCTTTTTTATAATCCATTTGTATTAATTCACCATATGTACGATACAATTCAGATTGGGTAACATGACTGGATCTCTGTTGTCTATAAGATGATGATGATATCGATGGTAATAATAATATTGTATTACTACTGATAATATGATTAGTATTAAGTATCCTTTCAATTATTGTATACAATTGAGTTAGTTGCTGACTAATAAAACACTTAGACACAATATGAGTTTCTTTATTGTCATGATGATATGATGTTAAATATGTTAACCATATTGATATATTTTGATGTAACCAATATTTGATAGTAATTAGATTATTCCAAAATGTTGGTGAATACTAAACAAACAATGAAATAGATAGTAAGATATGAATAAATAAAAGTAAGAACTGATTTTTCGGCGAGACTATATATTATGGACGAGCCGATCAGAAGCGTTTGAGGGATTTCAAGGTCACGACGTCAATTTCAGTGCCCGAAGCTCATTTACGATCGGTTTACAGAGAACTTTACAGAAGACTTGACAATTGAGCGGCCAAAACAAATGAGACTACTAAGAAGTTTCTTTAATTTGTGATTGTGGTAATTAGGTGACTTGCAGACGTTGTGCAGACTACCGTGATGTTGTCCTTCGATGTAATATAAGTCGAAGGAAGAAGTTTGCTAGTTTAGGAACCTTTATAGCTCGATACAGATTGAGACTAAGGCATATTATAATAATTGCCGCGAAGTGTATGATAAAAGCATCAGTAACATAGGCTGCGAAAATCGCAGATGTTACTGAAGATTCGGCTGTTCAGTGGTACGAGCGTTCTGGGGACATATCCATAATAAAAATGATAAACTTACACGACCGTAGTACACACAAACAATAATGAAGCTATGTGGTCGAGGCTGAGAGGGTTTTTGTGACCTTATCATGGCTCCAGAGACCAACTAATATGGAGCCATATGGATGAGTTCCTCTACCTTATGCATTACGACTTTGGAACCATTGAACGTTTTTCTAACATTGACAAGTTTTTTGACCATATAAAAGAAGTGTATCCACTTTAATCATTTGGTTTTGTATGATATATTTTTACTCTATGCGTACTGTTTACTGATTGGCTAACATTTCTCAGGGTCACTTAAGATTCGTTCAAATGTCGTCCATGAATTATAGTTTCGCCGATTTTTCTTACAGAAAGAATCAATAAAAATAAACTGTATTTCACTACAAGTTGGAAGAAAGATAGAAGCGATTAAAAAATAAATAAAATTTGGAATCCGTCCACGTTGTTGTTAACTAAACAAATCAGTCATGTTAGTAGATGCAGTCAATCTAGTTGAAGTCTACACGATGATTACTTATAGTAGTTGCAAACATCTGGATCTTCAGTATAATCATTTCTTCATAAATATCTTTCGATGCTGATTTTTTAGAAATGTTTAGTTTTCTTTATTACGGCACTATGTTATTACAGTGTACTAATGATTCATGTTCTTAAGTGAATTTCGTCTAGCTTGTAGTGCCGCAATTCGTCAATCGTTTACTTCGATAACCGTTATAATTCTAATCTTAACGGCGAGTAAAATTAGAAGACAAAGGATAGCAGAAACTACAGTTTATTGTCGAATAACTCAGGTCAGAAAGTTAGCAACACCTGAGCGAATAATAACGAGCGAGTGAACAGGCGAATAAGCGAAGGGAGTAAACGAGGCGGAAATGACATGCATGGGAGATGGCTGGGAAGCCAAATCGAGAGCGAGGCGAAAGATGATGCGTATTGGAGATAGCTGGGAAGCCAATTCAATTTAAGTAAGCGTTAATCAACATTTATAGTCAGACAAAAATGAGTGACAGACATACGATGAATAAGATACGAAGTGTACACATATATGCTCATATAAAAGTATAGTCAAGGTTAATAAGCAAATGAATAACAAGATCAAAATACGACTCATAATAGATAGGCGAATTGGCTTGGCCAGCAACTAGAATAAAGTATATGGGCTTAACATATAAACTGATACTACAAGATATTATGTGGTAACGCTATGAGACATACATCCAAGACGTTGGTTTGATTTTAACAGATCAACTACAAATTGATGTCTATATAAGGAGAAAGTCCCATTATTCTCACTATAGATTTACTGAAAGCAATTGATAAATGTCTGTTGGCCTGCATGATAGTTGCTTATATTGGCATCTTGATTAGATAATCACCATGTGACTATAATCGACTAACTCCGAGAGGTGATTCCCGTAGTTCTAATGGGAAACTATTATCAGTGGAATTTAATCATATCATAATTGAAATAAATATCACCAATCAAAATGCATGACGTTCATGTATTGTCGCGAGTTCATAGAAGTTATAAAATGTAAACTATTAGATTCCGATAAAGCTGCCTACAATAGTACAGTTATAGCAACATGTGCATAACATAGGCCCAATTCCCCGTGAGATCATGGATAAATACTACTGAGGAATATTATAATAGGATAAAACAGCTCTCTAGGGCCTCATAGTTTCCAATGATTCACTAACTAAAATATAATTTGTGAAGTAAAACTACAAACAAAACAACAAAGGAAAAGAACCAAACAGTTTATAGAAACACTTTTAGTTCAGTTACAAATAGAAAAAAAATTTGTGAATTTCCGAAAACCATCAAACAGCGGCAAACATCCAATTAATACCAACTGTTTATAAATACTTCATTTGATGTAAGCTAATGGTTATTTTGAATTATAGATTAATGTTCCTTCTATGAAAATCGAGCGTCAACAGATACTTTTTTGTAGATGTAAAGATTAAGATTAATCAATTGACTGAATTTACATCAACATTCTGTGAACAATATGATTGACATCAATAGTTGAATGATAAGCAAATGATCTAATAATTCATGACTTACCACAAGACTAGAAGGTCCTAGATTTAGCTATTAATAGGGTCTAAACAGTGCACTACTACTAAAGAGTTTCATAAAATCACGGAATAGCTTTGTAGTATCACAAATTATCATTTATTTAAACACATAAATATTGGTACAAACGGGCACCAGATATATATGCACCGCACAAAAAATGTTATTTCATTTAATTGTGTAAGAGCTGTGATACTGCGCGGGTGCCAAGACCGAAGCAGGTGGTTTCCTTAGAGTCCCACACCTCAAGCCTTTAACCAAAAGGTCTGTCCCACAAGGCAGTGGAGCATCGTAAGGAGATTCAGTCCCAAGGTAGCCGGTGAACAACGATTGGTTCATACGACATTTGTTCCTTCAGGATACTGGATCCCAAGTGCATCATTGGTTTGGAATCAGGGTTTTCCAACTCTGTGTCCACCAACCCGCCTAAAGTGCCGGACATTCGCTTTTCGTCCTCTCAATTTCGTAAACAACAGTAATGCCATGAGAAGGCAGTGAGTACGACTTCTTTGGCAGCGGTTATATATGCGTGGACATGTAAGAGCATTTCGTGAGGGAGAGCGTACTGTCCCTACTCTCGGCCGTACCAGCGCATTCAGAAGTAGTAACACAAAAGAAACTAATCTGTAACCAATATCATATTGAAACGAATATCTTAATAAGCAATTCAAAACAATCTTCTTTATCAATCAACTTACCATCGATGGTAGGGTGGCTAAGCATGAATTCAATAAAACAGAGTCTTCATTAAATAGTTTTAATAAATATGTAATTAAGAAATCAACAACTACATTCATTTCTGGTAATTGTATACGTGATACAAGAATTTGACCAAGAGATTTTTTGTATAAATTCATAAAGTCATTAGTTGTTATATAATTTGAAAGATTCGGTAGTTTTAATAAATTACCATTCTGAAAAAAATATTTAAAAAAAAAGAATCATTGATAGAGATAATGGAAAAGCCATGTGAGATTCAATTACTTAATTGCTTACTTACGCTTGTTACTCCCAATGGAGCATAGGCCGACGACCAGCATTCTCCAACTCACTCTGTCCTGCCCCTTCTTTTCTAGTTTTATCCAATTTTCGTTCATTCATCTCATGTCTGTCTCCATTCTTTGGTCTTCCTCTTCTCATTTGGCCTTCAGGATTCCATGTGAGGGCTTGTCTTGTGATGCAGTTGGGTGATTTCCTCATGTAAAATTCAATAAATACACCTAATCGACTGTAATCATTCTACGGATCCACAGTCTGATTAAAAGGTTGTTTATATGATTCATTCAAATCTATCTAGATTTCTTCGTATCCAACTCTTTCAAATAGCCGAAGCTCTTACCATCCGTAAGCTTAAACCAGAACTATGAGTACAAAGGTAGTACGTCTTATTGTTATCCTTACCATGGCCATAATATTATTATTATTATCATTCTATTATTATTATTTTAATAGTTGAGATCATGAATCAATTGAAGCTAGACCACCAGTGAAAACCCAAAATAATTAAAAAGCCTCTTCATCCTCTTGTGAGACTTCTCAGCAGTGCGTATCCACGATACCACCTCGCGAGATTCAAACCCAGGACTTATCGGGCTTGAGAGCGCTCAATCTCTAGACCACTGAGCCGGCATCCAACGGTGTTAATGTTTAACTTCAAGTGATCCACGAAATTGAGCGGGATCGTGGATGTGCACTGCTGAAGAGTCCTACAATAGGATCAAACGGCTATACAGTGCATGTAGTTTTTCCATGGTGGTCTAGCTTCAATTGAATCATGAATTCAACTATATAAAATTAATGAAATCTCCACAAAACCCCCTTCTCATAAATTTATAATAAAAATTAAATCTAGAATCTTTCAATTCATAGAACAAGTAATATGCATGCCAAATCATCGCTTAATTATAAGTGCTCGTGTAGAAGTAGATTAGAAAAGTAACATGAGCGGTCACATCAAGAAACCATATCAGATCATGAAATCATTGTTAGTTAAGCTATATCAATATTCATAAACTGCACATAGTGAGGCTTTAATTCATGAATGACTTTAGAGCAATTCTAAAATGACTTAGAGAATGTCCACCTACTAAGTAGGACTAGTGAGGGTTACAAACCAATATGAAGAATTAGAATTATGAATTATAGTTGATATTTAAGGTTAGGAATTAGATTTTCATCATAAACTGATATCAGCTAAAATCCCAAAATGCTATTTACCTAAATGGATGAAAGAATTTCGTGCCAAAATCCAAGACGTGCTATCCTAAATCTGATTGGTTAGTCTACAAATTGTTATCTCACCCTACACATTCATTAAAGTAAATAGAATAAAAAAGGGATAGAAAAAAATAAACAGAAAAGCTTATTTTTAAGTAGTATGGCACTTACCTGAATATGTTGTACTGTAGTAAACATTGAAGTGATTATAGCTTGTTCTAAACTTTGTTGCATACGTAAAAATAAAACCTTCTGTTTTGAAAATAACAAATATATTTCTCTCATTATATGATATCCAGGATCCCTGTCATTGTCATGATGATGTAAAGAATACTTTGACAAATCAAATAAAGTTTGTTTTCTATCAGCAAAATCATGATGTTGATGGTGAGGAGTAGAAGGAGTATGGTAAGTTTGATGAATATTATCATCAATATCAATCTCTTTCCCTAAATCAATATTTAAACTTTGTATTCTTAAAGGAACTGAAGCAGTGGTTGTATTATTATGTTGAGATATTTCATGTATTGAACTTAATTGATTCAGCACATTGATAATATTTTCATCTCGATAAGCTACAAAAGAGAATTGCACGATATATCACATTTTACAACATGTGGTTTAGAAGGATTCTGTTGTTTGTTTTCATTGTTGATAAACTGGCCTATATTTTTCTCAAAGTTAAAATGATCTATGTTAAATAACTACCATTCAGTAACTTATTCATGCAATGGTATGAGAAAAATCTAGGTTCTGTCAATCCATTGCAACTCCCTGTTTGGATCATAAAGATAGTCAGTCAGTTAGTCATCTACAACGTAGGACCAGGAACATATATGCATCAGTCCAAGTTGCTATACCTCGTTAGCACAACAAGATCAACACCAAACTCATAGAAGTAGTTAATTTAGTAGTGGTAATATATAAGAGAAAGGTTGTATACAAGGATATAGTATGGGAAGGAAGAAAGTTATGAAGCAATTTCAATCTCAAGGTTTAAGAGAAGATAAAGATTGTATATATACACATAGGCCATTGTAATTGATTCTGAGTCACACAGAGTCTCCAACAATTGGTTATGATAGTCACGTGGACCCCAACCAGGTAGTCTGCATCCACCAACATGGCTCAGACTAGAAGTTAGTGACTTTAAGCACTGATTTTGGTTTGGCCGCCCCTAAAGATAGTGTTCCGATGGTTATAAGATACAAGTCAGTTATGTTGCTGCTATAGTTTTATTTTACATTCTTACAAAAAATTGAAAGGAACTCATGTAAAATCGGTAACAGAAATAACCATGTACATTTGAAACTAGGACAGAAAATTATGTTTGGTAAACGCATATAATGCTCATTTCTTTCAAAGAAGAATGAACATTCCACGCTATTCAAGCATTGTCTTACACACAGCCAGGTAAATGTGAGGACTTCAAAAAACGCTCCTTGCAATCCTTTAAAGATTTTTTTTTTAAAAAAACATGTTTTCTATAACGATAGGAATATTTTTCTGTGGCGTTATTTTTATTTAGACTCAAAAGAACCTGTAGAATACTTCAACAGAATCATTACTTAACAGTAAAAATAAGGTTTCAAGGCATGAAGTTATTTTGATCAAACAGTTATTGATAAATAGAAACCTGTTTTAATTTACAATGGGACCCTATACCGATGTGTAGACTAGAAAGGTGTCATATGGTATTTAAATCATTTCTTTAAACCACAGCTAATTTTTAACGCAAAATAACACTTAAAAGTCTTTATTTCATTTTTGTATTAGTAGTTTGAATCTTCCCATTGATTTTTAGGTCTACACAAGCTAAAAACACTACCTGAACCCACTAGCTAAATAGATATCATGAAGGGGCTTGAGTGGAACGGCATTAGGTTTGAGTCTCGGAGTGAATATCTCCTTCCGGATACAAGTACATCTAGCTAACGAGTCTCAAATAGTACGAGACGCGAGTCATGGATTCCACTGCCAGCCAACATCCATCCCTGCTAATAACACCCTATACTTTTGATTTAAACTATGTAGTAACATTCAATTACTCAGAATAGTACCTATTCATTCATGTCTATTTAGTGAATTTTCACCAGTTGCTAACAATCGTATTTATGCCGAGAGATATAATGTAACATTAAAGCATAAACAATACTCAATAGATTTTAAAAAAAAATTAATGTCAAAGTTAATGAAATCAAAATTATATAACACAATACGAATAATACTAATGTGGTGTGTGCTACTGATATTGACAGATATAAATAGTATCTATCATCAATCGAAAGAGAAATGCCTAGAAGCATAAGATTATAAAGATCAAAGAAAAGAAAACAACAACATAGAAGGATTATTATAGAAACGAAAGAACAATGAAATCTAAGACAATTGATTGACATTTTGCAAATGAATTATTTACAATGTGGTTACTACGGCGTTATGTAATTTTATATTCACATACATTCGATTGTCACCACTTGTGTTATTGTTCATTACACGAAATACAAAACGAATCTATATACATTAAAGTCAAGGCTTTATCTAACTTCTATACAAATCCATGAAAAATACTAATCGTATCAGTAATAATTTAACTAGTCAATCAAATGAACCATAATTATGGGTTAACATACGTGAGTAAATTAGTACATTGACGGTACAATTTAATATCCATACTAAATGATTATAATGTAATTTTAAATGTTCACAAAGATATTTAATATTTCCATCTTCAATATTTGATTGTGCATTATCTGTAGTAAGAAAAGAGAGAGAGAAAGCCAAATACACTAAAATATTAAAAATAGGTACAATAAAGTTGAGATTATGAGTCAATTGAAGCTAGAGCACCATAGAAAATCTGGAAGCACTGGACGGTCGTTTCGTCCCATTCTGGGACTCCTCAGAAGTGCGCATCCACGATTCCGCCTCGCGAGATTCGAACTTAGGACTTATCAGTTTCGCGCGTCAGCACTTACCCGATAGACCACTCAGCCGGCATCCAATAATCCATATTATTTAAGGTCTCTAAATATAAATGATGTAGTATGAAGGAATCTGTGAAGATTGTCAAACTTTCACAGCTTAGCCAGAACAGCATTGAAAACCTGGAAGCAATAGAAACTTGTTTCGTCGTAGTATGGAGGCTTTCTAGTAGTGTGCATTCAAGAACTCACTTCTGGAATCAAACTTATGATTTACTTACTTACTTACTTTCCCCTGTTACTCTCAATGGAGCATAGGCCGCCGACCAGCATTCTCCAACCCACTCTGTCCTGGGACTTCTTTTCTAGTTCTATCCAGTTCTTGCTCATTCTTCTCATGTCTGTCTCTATTTCCCGGCGTAATGTCTTCTTTCGTCTTCCTCTTATCCTTTCACCTTCAGGATTCCATGTGAGGGCTTGTCTTCTGACACAATTAGGTGACTTCCTTAAAGTGTGCCCAATTCACTTCCATCGCTTCTTCCTGATTTCTTCCTCTGCTGAAATCTGGTTTGTTGTCTCCCACAGTAACTTGTTGCTGATAGTGTCTGGCCATCTGATCCGAAGTATCTTGCGTAGACAGCTGTTAATAAACACTTGTATCTTCTTGATGATGGCTTTCGTACTCCTCCACGTCTCCGCCCCATACAGTAGAACTGTCTTCACATTTGTATTGAAAATTCTAACCTTGGTGTTGGTTGACAATTGTTTTGAGCTCCAGATGTTCTTCAGTTGTAAGTATGCTGCTCTTGCTTTGCCGATCCGCGCCCTCGCATCTACATCTGATCCATCGTGTTCATCAATGATGCTGCCCAGATATGTAAAGGTTTCCACATCTCCAAAGCTTCTCTATCAAGTGTAATTTTATTGGTGCATATTGTATTGTATAGGAGAGTCTTGCTTTTCCCTTTGTTTATATTGAGACTGCTATAAACGTATGTATGCCGTCGCCAATTGTTATAAACGTATGAGAGAGAGAGAGAGGATGCTGGTTATAACTTTAGGGGTTTCTGGTTATAACAGTCCTTTTACTTCTTACACGTATGTGGGACGTTAATTTATCTTAGACGAATATCTACACTAGATTCCCACCCAGTGTCTATTCTACAGGACTTCAACACAACTCAGATCAAGAACACGAGATTAGCCTGACTATAACGTCAATATATTTCACACCAAAATCCGACACATGGAACAGTCAATAAGTCGATACATAATAAGGATAGGGAAATATATATATAACACATAACACCTGTCATCCCCTCTAATGTCTGACTCATCGAGACAACCAATCATTGACATTCTCGCCCACACATCACCTCCCTCGCGAAGTTTGATCGTATGATTTCACTTCAGGGTCTACTTGAAAAAATTTCGTTTGATTCCGTTTCCTGAATGACCTTCGTCTAACTTCTGATTCTAGATCATTTTTTCTCGTTTCAACTTGTGGTGGTGGTGGTGGAATATCAAATGTATCACATAATACTTCCATTGGTAATGGTTTGAGTTTAGATGACTCATAAACACATTTTCTATCTCGCAGTTGATTTACATGTCTAATAATTAGTGTATTTTCGACCATCACTTCATATAATACTGTACCACGTCGTTTTTTTATAAACCCAAATATCCATTTTGGCTTGCCAGGCCGGAAATCCCGTGCATAGACTGAGTCACCTACTTTGAATTCTCGAATTTTCAGGCAATTCCCTTTGTTATTTTTTTGTAGTCCACTGATTCTGTCTTTCGGGTTCAAAACATCAAAAAATGTTCTAATCGGTCGGCCAAACATTATTTCAGCTGGAGACTTCCCATCTTGACAGTTTGGACTTGGCGTAATTCTATAGGAAATGAGAAATTGTTGCAGAGCCTCTTCTACGTTGCCTTCTCCTCCCATCTTTAAGAGAGCTCGTTTAAGAATATCAACAAATTTCTCTGCCTGCCCGTTCGACTTAGGGTGATACGGTGGAGTTCTAACGTGCTCGATTCCATTCTGTTTACAGAACTCCGCAAACTCTAACGACGTGAACTGCGTCCCGTTATCTGAAACCAAAACATTAGGTGTACCAAACCTACCAAATAGTTGTCTCAGATGTAGCAGTGTTTCAGACGTAGATGGTCTTCGTACCACATAAATTTCAGGCCATTTTGAGTATGAATCAACCACCACCAAAAAATATTGTCCACTTATTGGTCCAGCATAATCAACATGTAGTCGGACCCAAGGCTTTTTCGTTTCTGGCCATGACTGGGATTCTGCTTTCGGCACATTCAACGGTAAATCCCACAAACCAAATTTATCAATCCAATCAATACCTAATAGATTGATATTACAGATCCCGGATACGTAACATTTCCCGGTCATAGTCTTTTCACCAAACGTGAGAGGTAGCTGTATTACTCCAAGGAGAGTAATATTAGTTCCTGACGCACTCTTAGCATTATGACATGTAGGTTGATATCGGGGTCGACCCATTTTAATCCAAGTTTCTCTAGAAATTAATGTTATGTCAGACCCAGTATCGACTTGTAGTTTGACCGGTTTGCCATGGAAAAAAATAGTTACATACTTCCTTTTAGAGGAGAAATGCTCACTTTTTGTAGCCAGAACAACATTTGAGTTATGCGGCATTACTTTTGAAGTCTGCATCTTATTTCGTTTACGGAACTTATGCTCACGGTCAGAAACCTTCGGCCTACTTTTACAACATACTTGAGCATGACCATATTTACCACATTGAAAGCATACTCGTTTTTTAAAATAACAAACATTGGCAGAATGACACTTACCACATCGCCAACATGACGTTTTGTGTTTCACTTGATTCGGGATTTTCTGGGAGTTCGAATCTTTATTTTCATTTAAAAGATTTACGTAAAGCATTAATTCCCACGTGTTCACTGTTCCTTTCTACGAGATTCGTGTCATGCTTCAAATTAACCATTCTTTGACACTCTTCAGATACTGATTGTAGACTGATATTAGGATCTTGTTCGATTCTCATTAGAATCCGTGCTCTAATATCTGCATCTACTGGAGATTGTAATCCACATACAAAAATAAGGCACTTGAACTGATCTGAGGACATTTCCTGTAATCGGAACCGCTCACATTCCCGGTTCACGATGCTTGCATACCTTACATAATCGTCCTGTACTTTCTTTACAAGTTGAAGACACTGGTATCTAGTGTGAAAAATTGATGACCGTTCACCAAATATACGTGTCAGGCATTCAACTGTTTCTTTGAACGTGATGTGTGGGCGAGAATGTCAATGATTGGTTGTCTCGATGAGTCAGACATTAGAGGGGATGACAGGTGTTATGTGTTATATATATATTTCCCTATCCTTATTATGTATCGACTTATTGACTGTTCCATGTGTCGGATTTTGGTGTGAAATATATTGACGTTATAGTCAGGCTAATCTCGTGTTCTTGATCTGAGTTGTGTTGAAGTCCTGTAGAATAGACACTGGGTGGGAATCTAGTGTAGATATTCGTCTAAGATAAATTAACGTCCCACATACGTGTAAGAAGTAAAAGGACTGTTATAACCAGAAACCCCTAAAGTTATAACCAGCATCCTCTCTCTCTCTCTCATACGTTTATAACAATTGGCGACGGCATACATACGTTTATAACAGAACGTTATGTCGGATGGCTTCTTTGGGAGGATAAAATTACAGAATTTTTCATGTTCGGACACTCCGAGCTTTCGTAATAAGAATCTCAATTTCGAACTTTCGTCCCACTCTTTACATTCATTAATAAATAAATCCTCATGGCGTTTAAACCATGCCTCAAAAGTAACTCCACTTTCTGGATCAAATCTAAATTCAGTTATTGAATTTGCAATAGAATCCGGAGTCATAGTGGAATTAGACACATCAGTTCTTGAGGATATCGACATATTTTTGACTAATAATTCGATAAGAGTATTTTGCTGTTGCAATAAGGTTTTCAGATCATCCATTTTTGTTACAAAATTCACTTTAATTGAATATGTAAGCGTAGATCCGTTTTAATCACCGTCGCCAATGTTATAAACGTATGTATGCCGTCGCCAATTGTTATAAACGTATGAGAGAGAGAGAGAGGATGCTGGTTATAACTTTAGGGGTTTCTGGTTATAACAGTCCTTTTACTTCTTACACGTATGTGGGACGTTAATTTATCTTAGACGAATATCTACACTAGATTCCCACCCAGTGTCTATTCTACAGGACTTCAACACAACTCAGATCAAGAACACGAGATTAGCCTGACTATAACGTCAATATATTTCACACCAAAATCCGACACATGGAACAGTCAATAAGTCGATACATAATAAGGATAGGGAAATATATATATAACACATAACACCTGTCATCCCCTCTAATGTCTGACTCATCGAGACAACCAATCATTGACATTCTCGCCCACACATCACGTTCAAAGAAACAGTTGAATGCCTGACACGTATATTTGGTGAACGGTCATCAATTTTTCACACTAGATACCAGTGTCTTCAACTTGTAAAGAAAGTACAGGACGATTATGTAAGGTATGCAAGCATCGTGAACCGGGAATGTGAGCGGTTCCGATTACAGGAAATGTCCTCAGATCAGTTCAAGTGCCTTATTTTTGTATGTGGATTACAATCTCCAGTAGATGCAGATATTAGAGCACGGATTCTAATGAGAATCGAACAAGATCCTAATATCAGTCTACAATCAGTATCTGAAGAGTGTCAAAGAATGGTTAATTTGAAGCATGACACGAATCTCGTAGAAAGGAACAGTGAACACGTGGGAATTAATGCTTTACGTAAATCTTTTAAATGAAAATAAAGATTCGAACTCCCAGAAAATCCCGAATCAAGTGAAACACAAAACGTCATGTTGGCGATGTGGTAAGTGTCATTCTGCCAATGTTTGTTATTTTAAAAAACGAGTATGCTTTCAATGTGGTAAATATGGTCATGCTCAAGTATGTTGTAAAAGTAGGCCGAAGGTTTCTGACCGTGAGCATAAGTTCCGTAAACGAAATAAGATGCAGACTTCAAAAGTAATGCCGCATAACTCAAATGTTGTTCTGGCTACAAAAAGTGAGCATTTCTCCTCTAAAAGGAAGTATGTAACTATTTTTTTCCATGGCAAACCGGTCAAACTACAAGTCGATACTGGGTCTGACATAACATTAATTTCTAGAGAAACTTGGATTAAAATGGGTCGACCCCGATATCAACCTACATGTCATAATGCTAAGAGTGCGTCAGGAACTAATATTACTCTCCTTGGAGTAATACAGCTACCTCTCACGTTTGGTGAAAAGACTATGACCGGGAAATGTTACGTATCCGGGATCTGTAATATCAATCTATTAGGTATTGATTGGATTGATAAATTTGGTTTGTGGGATTTACCGTTGAATGTGCCGAAAGCAGAATCCCAGTCATGGCCAGAAACGAAAAAGCCTTGGGTCCGACTACATGTTGATTATGCTGGACCAATAAGTGGACAATATTTTTTGGTGGTGGTTGATTCATACTCAAAATGGCCTGAAATTTATGTGGTACGAAGACCATCTACGTCTGAAACACTGCTACATCTGAGACAACTATTTGGTAGGTTTGGTACACCTAATGTTTTGGTTTCAGATAACGGGACGCAGTTCACGTCGTTAGAGTTTGCGGAGTTCTGTAAACAGAATGGAATCGAGCACGTTAGAACTCCACCGTATCACCCTAAGTCGAACGGGCAGGCAGAGAAATTTGTTGATATTCTTAAACGAGCTCTCTTAAAGATGGGAGGAGAAGGCAACGTAGAAGAGGCTCTGCAACAATTTCTCATTTCCTATAGAATTACGCCAAGTCCAAACTGTCAAGATGGGAAGTCTCCAGCTGAAATAATGTTTGGCCGACCGATTAGAACATTTTTTGATGTTTTGAACCCGAAAGACAGAATCAGTGGACTACAAAAAAATAACAAAGGGAATTGCCTGAAAATTCGAGAATTCAAAGTAGGTGACTCAGTCTATGCACGGGATTTCCGGCCTGGCAAGCCAAAATGGATATTTGGGTTTATAAAAAAACGACGTGGTACAGTATTATATGAAGTGATGGTCGAAAATACACTAATTATTAGACATGTAAATCAACTGCGAGATAGAAAATGTGTTTATGAGTCATCTAAACTCAAACCATTACCAATGGAAGTATTATGTGATACATTTGATATTCCACCACCACCACCACAAGTTGAAACGAGAAAAAATGATCTAGAATCAGAAGTTAGACGAAGGTCATTCAGGAAACGGAATCAAACGAAATTTTTTCAAGTAGACCCTGAAGTGAAATCATACGATCAAACTTCGCGAGGGAGGTGATGTGTGGGCGAGAATGTCAATGATTGGTTGTCTCGATGAGTCAGACATTAGAGGGGATGACAGGTGTTATGTGTTATATATATATTTCCCTATCCTTATTATGTATCGACTTATTGACTGTTCCATGTGTCGGATTTTGGTGTGAAATATATTGACGTTATAGTCAGGCTAATCTCGTGTTCTTGATCTGAGTTGTGTTGAAGTCCTGTAGAATAGACACTGGGTGGGAATCTAGTGTAGATATTCGTCTAAGATAAATTAACGTCCCACATACGTGTAAGAAGTAAAAGGACTGTTATAACCAGAAACCCCTAAAGTTATAACCAGCATCCTCTCTCTCTCTCTCATACGTTTATAACAATTGGCGACGGCATACATACGTTTATAACAGAACGTTATGTCGGATGGCTTCTTTGGGAGGATAAAATTACAGAATTTTTCATGTTCGGACACTCCGAGCTTTCGTAATAAGAATCTCGATTTCGAACTTTCGTCCCACTCTTTACATTCATTAATAAATAAATCCTCATGGCGTTTAAACCATGCCTCAAAAGTAACTCCACTTTCTGGATCAAATCTAAATTCAGTTATTGAATTTGCAATAGAATCCGGAGTCATAGTGGAATTAGACACATCAGTTCTTGAGGATATCGACATATTTTTGACTAATAATTCGATAAGAGTATTTTGCTGTTGCAATAAGGTTTTCAGATCATCCATTTTTGTTACAAAATTCACTTTAATTGAATATGTAAGCGTAGATCCGTTTTAATCACCGTCGCCAATGTTATAAACGTATGTATGCCGTCGCCAATTGTTATAAACGTATGAGAGAGAGAGAGAGGATGCTGGTTATAACTTTAGGGGTTTCTGGTTATAACAGTCCTTTTACTTCTTACACGTATGTGGGACGTTAATTTATCTTAGACGAATATCTACACTAGATTCCCACCCAGTGTCTATTCTACAGGACTTCAACACAACTCAGATCAAGAACACGAGATTAGCCTGACTATAACGTCAATATATTTCACACCAAAATCCGACACATGGAACAGTCAATAAGTCGATACATAATAAGGATAGGGAAATATATATATAACACATAACACCTGTCATCCCCTCTAATGTCTGACTCATCGAGACAACCAATCATTGACATTCTCGCCCACACATCAGAGACCTACTGTTGCTGAGGCTGCTGCTAAACTGGTCGTTTTCTCCTGCATTTGTTGTTGCGTTTGTGATAGAAGAGCCAGATCATCCGCGAAGTCTAGATCGTCAAGCTGCATCTTGCCTATCCATGTATTCCGTGATTTCCTCCAGTCGTTGACGTCTTCATGATCCAGTCGATCACCAGGAGAAAGAGAAAGGGTGAGAGTAAGCAACCTTGCCTAACACCGGTCTTTACTTGAAACGAGTCGGTGAGTTGTCCTCCGTAGACGATTTGGCAGTTTAGTCCATCATAGGAGTTCCATATGATATTGACTATCTTCTCAGGCAGGCCGTAGTGTCGAAGATGCCTCCATAGTGTCGTCCTGTCCACGCTATCAAATGCCTTCTCGTAGTCGATGAAGTTGTTGTAGAGTAATGAATTCCATTCGATTGATTGTTCAACAATGATACGTAGAGTTGCGATTTGATCTGTGCACGATCTATCCTTACGAAATCCAGCTTGTTGATCTCGAAGTTGGGCATCTACGGAATCCTTCATCCTGTTTAACAATACTCTGTTGAAGACTTTTCCTGGTATTGAGAGAAGAGTGATGCCCCTGTAGTTGTCGCACTTGCTGAGATCGCCTTTCTTTGGTATCTTGATCAGAAGTCCTTTTTTCCAGTCTGTTGGTACTTGTTCTTCGTCCCAAATCTTACTGAAGATGATGTGGAGTATCTTGGCAGTTGATGCTACATTTGCTTTCAGTGCCTCTTATGATTTAAGATATGAGAAATCTACGATTTTCACAAATCCCTTTATATCAATAATAAATATTTCTGAATAACAGTTCGATTTAGGGTGGAACTCCGGAAGTTTTAACGAGAAACCGTGAAAAATGCAGTGAGACTATGTAGGTTGAGAGACAGTTATTCACTGAATGGAGTGAGTGAGGGTCGAACACTATCGTCAATTGATTGAAGTCAAAGATGTACGCGATTTTATTCCGGTTCAGCGACCTGAAGATCAAGCGTTAGAAGAATGCTTATACATACCTTTACCTTTTTGATACATTGGCTATGTTTATTTCGAGCTGCCTACAGTTCTTTACTACAATCCATTACGAACTGGATAAACTGGAATACTTATTTTTTTTTCATATGTACAAACACTTATTCAAATTTTATTGTAAAAGACCGATGTCGATCGAAATATTTAAAAAAATTTCCCCTAGATAAACTTACTTCCTTGTTGTTTATCTGTATTTTGTTGACTAAATGCTACTGATCTGTTAAGTTCTTGTGCCATTCGATCTAACTGACTCGTTGAAGTTTCCAAAAGACTGTGTAAAACTCGACGAACAAGACATCGACTAACTGGTCCAGGATTAAACTGTAGTTCTGAAGTTGAAATATGATTATAGAGAAAAATTGCAACATGAAATTATTGTTTAATAAAAAAATTAAGACAAGATACCATCCAATAATCTTTGAGTAGTACTTACTTCCTTATTTACAACTGTTACCCCTTGTGGAGGAGCATAGGCCGCACACCAGTACTCTCCATCCAACTCTGTCATGGCCAAAACAATCCCGTTCTTTCCAGTAGTTATTCATCCTTTTCATATCTGCTTCTATTTCCCAACGTAATGGGTTCTTTAACCTTCCTCTTTTCCGCTTCCCTTCACCATTCCAAGTTAACGATTGCCTCGTGATGCACATTGGTGATTTCCTGAATGTATGTCTGATCCACTTCCAACCTCTTTTACTAATTTCCTCTTCAGCTGGAAGCTGGTTTGTCCTCTATCATAAAACACTGTTGCTGATAGTATCCGGCTAGTGAATGTTGAGTATTTTGTTTAGACAACTGTTTACAAATACTTGTACCTTCTTGACGATGGATGTAGTAGATCTCAGCGTTTCAGCTCCGTACAGTAGAACTGTCTTGACGTTCGTATTGAAGATTCTCACTATGAAGTTAGTTGACAATTGTTTTGAGTTCCATATGTAGAAATGCCGCCCTTGCTTTGCCAATCCTCGCCTTTACATGTCTATCAGATCCTCGTTGTTGATCAACGATGCTTCCCAGGTACGTGAACGTTTCCACCTCTTCCATAGTTTTTCCATCAAGTGTGATTGGGTTGGTGTTCTCTCTGTTGTATTCGAGAATCTTGCTTTTTCCTTTGGGTATGTTGAGGCCTATTGATGCAGAGACTGCTGCTGTCTTCGTCTTTATTTGTTCGCGTGTCCAATTGGCGATCTCATAATGTTCAGTGATAGTATAGCGTCCAATCAGCAAGACTTATCAAATAGAATGATTTTATTCTATGGTTTGATCACTCCTAGATTTCTTACAACGTATTTCCCTGCCACACAACGGCACACGTAATGATAGATAGTGTTTAGAAATATGTAATAAATGTCTTAACCACCTCAGTTAATGAATATTAACAACTTCTTCAAGTGAGTTAGAACTTTTACATAGTACCTTTACATTCAACCTTTATACTTCGTACTTGATAATGTGGTAGATCAAAAACAGATATCATCACAGTGATCTTAGGGAATCTGAACAATGCTTCAAAGTATCGATGATCAAGCGCTAATGGCCTACAGTTATTCTCTATGTTTAAAAGATACTTTTCATAGTCTAAGAGCAATACACAGGTCCAGTGATAATGATTATCATAATATCCAACAATAACTTACCAGATTCCAAGTTTACAACATAACCATCATAATCTTCATTATTGAATTCAGGTTTCATTGAAATTAAATATTGAAGAAAAGTTCTTATCGATTTAAATCTTGATGAAGGATCCAGGGAATAATGAAAGATAGGAGAGGATCCAATACTAAATTTTTCATCCATTATCATCCAACTAGTTACACGACCAATTAAACGACTTAAACTAGTTAAAATAGGCATTAGAAGAGATGGGACATTATACATAGTTCTGTTAGTGCTGTTATAATCACTATTATTATTCATAAGTAATAATGAGTTGGCTTTATCCATGCCAAATTCTAATAACCAAGCCATATTAAATAATACTGGTAATAAATTAGATTTGATAGCAGAACTGAGAACACAATTATCTGAATCCTAGAAATGGGAATCAAAAGAAAATGTCGAATGAAAATCTTTTGAACAAAATAAGAAGCAAAAACTAAATTTCGATTTCATTCATTCTGCCATTTTGTAAGTGTAAGGATGGCTCGCTGGTAAACTCTAGGAAGTCTCAAGAAGCCCAGAAACAGCCGAAGACATTCCATCAAATCACTGCTATCAGAATATTCTAGAATGTTGATGTGTAGCTTCCCTATTGGATGGATAAGAATGACCCCCTATGTGTCTATTGGCTGTCAGAAATGATGATTTACTTCAAGCCAAGAACTACAAATGTATGAGATTTCTGTACTATACTTCGACACTGTTTTGGGGAATAAAATTCCTACTTACTAGTCTTCTCTCTTGTGACGTTGCGGGTTCGATCATTCAAGTAGTCTAGTAGTACGCGGCATAGTAAGAATCAAAGCTCTAGATATAACAGTTAGCAAAAAGGTTCTGTCACAGTGTTGGGAATGTTAAATCTCCAGAGCTCACTTGATAAATGGCCTATTTTTGTAATTTTATTTTGAAAATTTGAATTTCTTTGTTTTCGCGCCAAAAGCACTCTTTTCACCTTCGAGTCGTATTTCCCACTTGTAAAATATATTAAACGATATTGGTCTGTTGTTTCTTTGACTGTGTTATTTTGTAATCAGTCAGTCAGCTACAACGTAGGACCAGGCACATATATGCATCGGTCCAAGTTGCCATACCTCGTTAGCACAACAAGAGGAACACCGAATTCATAGAAGTAATTAATTTAGTGGTGGTAGTAGTATATAAATTATAGGTTGTATATAAGGATATAGTATAGAAAGGAAAAAAGTTATGAAGCAATTTTAATCTCAAGGTTTAAGGGAAGATAAAGAGTGTATACATCTACGCCATTGTGATCGATTCTGAGCCATGTCACCCACAGTCTCCAACCATTGGTTACGATAGTCACGCGGACCCCAACCAGGTAGTCTGCATCTGCCAACATGGCTCAGGCTAGAAGTTAGTGACTTCAAACACTGATGCCATGTTTTGGTTTGGCCGCCCCTAACTCACTTCCAACAATACCCTACACTAGTCATCATTGCGCGTCATGGTAATCGGTGTTCAGGCATACGTAACACATGGCCCAAACATCTCAGTCGATGAAGATTCATCACCTCATCAATTCATCTACCATTATTCCCTAATACCCTGTATCTAACCTCAGGATTACTTACCCGGTGATCCCAGCAGATGCGAGCAATATTTCTAAGACCTTTGTGACCAAATACTAGTAACTTGCGAGTACCTTCTACTCTTAATGGCCATGTTTCACAGCCGTAAAGTAGAACAGAGCGAACTGATGCGCAGTATACTCGTCCCTTAATAGATAGACGGATATCTCGTCTACGCCATAGGTGATGTAAGTTGGCAAAAGCCAAACGAGCTTTTTGAATCCGTGCTGAGATTTCGTCTGACACCAACCCATTAGGGCTGATCAGACTTCCAAGATAAGTGAAGTTGTCGACGCGTTCGACTACTTCACTCCCTATCCTTAGTTCGAGTGTTGACGCAGGCCAGTCCTGGAGTAACAATTTACATTTGGATGGGGAGAAACGCATCCCAAACATCCTGGCATTATTACTGAGTTCCAACAGAAGACTCTGCATTTTGCCAGCGTTATTTTGTAATGCTGCACAAGGACAATGTATTGCTGTATATATATGTTTGATTTTTTCCCCTTACGATTGCTGTGCTTCTGGCTGCTTATGGAATATATTTTCCCTACTTCCAACTTGAACTTCTTACTCTAGTTAGCTAGATCTGGAACGCATCAGAATAGCTAGCTTATCGGTCTCTGGTCACAAGTCTTTGTTCCGCTCGCTAACTAGTTAATTCGAAACGCTTCAGATATAACACAGAGAGACTGAATACAATTTGTTATAAAATTAAGATTGCGGACAGTATGATTAGAAAGGTTTTTTTTTAAACGAGGTTAAATACCGACATTATGATTATCTTTATAATATGACAAGCTTGACGTATGGAGAGAGCAGTTCAATACATTCACAGGGAATCAGCACAATTTAAGTGAAGACTGAATAATTGTCCGGAAGTTAACTCAGGAATATATTGCTTTCCTTTTGGAGGAACAGTCATCGAGTTTTTGACATAAAAGTATGATCTGTGGGAGAGTAGATTAATTTCAGAAGATTCAACCATATGATAGATAATGAACGAAATACATGCGTATATCATTCTTCCCCTTGAGATTCTGTAAACCAAATGTACTATTAGTTTGGAAACTGCCCTAGTTGGTTTCTACGTCATCATTAACAATGCTTAAGAGCCTAGTAATCGAATTTGACACTTCATTTTGTGCATAAATACTACCGCCAAGTAGAAGTAACGATTTAAAAAAGAGAATATAAAGACGCAACTATAGATGAACTATTGAGTGTAAACAGAAGCAAATTACAATAACCTATAAACTAAAGTTTAAAAAGGGAGTTTTGTGGGGATTTTAATAATTTTATATAATTTAGATCATGATTCAATTGAAGCTAGACCACCATGGAAAACCTGGAAGCACTGGACGGCCGTTTCGTCCTATTGTGAGACTCCTTAGCAGTGCGCATCTACGATCCCACTTGTGGTATTCGAACTCAGGACCTTTCGATCTCGCGGGCGAACGTTCAAACTCTACACATCCACGATCCCACTTCGCGAGATTCGACTATACAACGACCTATTTATATATGGTTAGAAGGTTATTCAACAGATCCATTTATGAATATTCAGCATAAATTGTAATCAAATGAATTCATAATACACAAACTAACCTGTAATAAAATAATTAAAGCATCCAAACCATAAATGCATAAATCAATCTCTGATGTAGTGATTTCATCATCATTGTCATTATCGACAACAGCAGCAGAAGAAGAAGAAGACGAAGAAGTAAAGTGATTTCCTTTATGATGATCATCTTGATTATATTTTTGATTAGATTTTACTTTGGTATGATTATCTATTTTTAATTTAACAATACAGCTTAATAATGCATCAATGAGACTACTAATTAATGTTGAAAATAACACTGGAAACGTAGATAATAGATAGTATTTGTGAAAATTAGGATTATTACAACGGTCATTATTATTATTATTATTATTATTATTATTATTATTATTATTATTATTAGTAGTAGTAGTAGTAGTAGTAGTAGTAGTAGTAGTAGTAGTAGTAATAGTAGTAGTAGTAGTAGTAGTAGTAGTAGGAGGAGGAGGAGGAGTGGTGATAGTAGTAGTGACAGTACTAGTAGTAGTAGTGGTGGTGGTGGTAGTAGTTGTAGTAATCTTATTAGCTGGTAATTCATTGTATCTGATATTATTGACATTGGAATTATTATATGCATTGTCAATGATATTTTCGAGTTCGAAAGAGATAATAGGATGATGATGAGCATGATGAAAGGAAATCGGTTCAGAGATAAATCCAGTTATATCATATGGAGGAGATTCGAATAAACAATTAGTTTTCTATGATTGTAAGGAAAAAAAGAAAAAAAACGTTTTACATCAAATAACTAAAAAAATTACCTAGCAACAAATATGTGAAATACGTTGAAATGACAATACATATAATGAGTTTTTAGACAGTACTGATATCGACAAAGTGGTAAACTGAATGGATTTGGCAATATACAATAAGACGGTTCAACGAAAATATACCAGCATCGAGATTTAAAGGCCCTACACTCGATCCTGGGTGGAATTGTGGTAGAGCACTGATGAGGAGTCCTAAGCAAGGATTAAAAACTTTTTCAATACTCTCTGTTGTTCAATAGTAATCTATAGGAGATCCATTTATGATATGAACTATTATTACGTAGGAAAATCTCTACAATTTATTTTTGTGATCACTAAATTGTCATAACCCATGAAGAATTATGAATGGCAACTTTTGAGGACTGTTTATGGACCAATGTGATATGTATATTTCCTATTGTATATTTGCTAAGTAACTTAACTTTTCATATTCGCGTCCCTCTTATTATAAGCTTTATTTTGACCTAGAGACTATTATTATACGATTTACCATTCTTGAGTTATCCCTAGTCAATTAATCACTGCATCTTCCTTCGATGCTCCACTGCCTTGTGGATTAGATCTTTACGCCAAAGGCTCCGGCCCCCTAAGAAAACCACCTGCTTCGGTCTGGACACCAGGAAAGCATCGTAGACCTCACACAGTTAAATGATATGACAATTTTTTTTGTGTGGCACATATATATCTGGTGCCCCCTTATAACAACAATTGTGTTCAAATAAAATAAAATAATACTCTACAAATTGACTAAACAACAACAATTCAATTATGGTGATTGTGAAGTAGTCAGTAAACAGTAGCATTGAATGATGTTGTCAACGAGAACACAAGTAGAGACAATCGAATGTTACTGAACACAAAATTATAGAATCTCTTAGTCAAATCTGATGCTATGTTTTGGTTTGGCCGCCCCTAACTCACTTCCAACCATCCCCAATACTAGTTAGCATCGCGTGTCGTAGTAGTCGGTGTTCAGGTATACGTAAAACGTGGCCCAACCACCTCAGTCGATGAAGATTCATCACCTCATCAATTCATCTACCATTATTCCCTAATACCCTGTATCTAACCTCAGGATTACTTACCCGGTGATCACAGCAGATGTGAGCAATATTTCTAAGACCTTTGTGACCAAATACTAGTAACTTGCGAGTACCTTCTACTCTTAATGGCCATGTTTCACAGCTGTAAAGTAGAACAGAGCGAACTACTGCTCAGTATACTCGTCCCTTAATAGATAGACGGATATCTCGTCTTCGGCATAGGTGATGTAAGTTAGCAAAAATCAAACGAGCTTTTTGAATCCGTGCTGAGATTTCGTCAGACACTAACCCATAAGGGCTGATCAGATTTCTACGATAAGTGAAGTTGTCAACGCGTTCGACTACTTCAATCCCTATCCTTAGTTCAGGTGTTGATGCAGAGCAGTCCTGAAGCAAAAATTTGCATTTAGAGGAGGGAAAAACGCATTCCAAACATCTTGTCATTATTACTCAGTTCTAACAGAAGACTCTACATTTTATCAGCGTCTCCACCAAAGAGGATTATTTCATCTGTGTATTCTAAGTAGCTTAGTGGACCCCCTGTTAGGAGATCAATTCCTGAAAGTTCATTCAACGAGAGTGTTATTTCCAGCATTATTTTATTTATTATTTATTTAAACACATAAATATTGGCACAAGTAAGCACCAGATATATATGCGCTGCACAAATCTCATTCGATTTGTGTGAGGGCTGTGATACTGTCCAGATGCCCAAACTGAAGCAGGTGGTTTTCTTAGGGGGTCACACGCCGAGCCTTTCGTCTAAAGGTCTGATCCACAAGGCAGTAGATCATTGTGAGGAGATGCAGTCCCATGGTAGCCGGTGATCAACGGTTGATTCGTACACCATTTGTTCCCTCAGGATACTGGAGCCCATGTGCACCATTGGTTTGGAATCAGGGTTTTCCAACTACCCTAGGTGGACTTTCCATGTCCACCAATCCGGTTAAAGCGCCGGACATTCACTTTTCGTCCTCTCAATTTCGTAAACAACACCCCCGCCACGAGAAGGCAGTGAGTAGGACTTCCCTGGCAGAGGCTATATATTTGCTGGCCATATGAGAGCATTTCAAAAGGAAGAGGTGACTCTCCCCATTCTCGGCCGTACCAGGGCATTTGGGGGGCATTTCCTGGGTCCTAGGTTCGAATCTCGCGAGTGCGGGATCGTGGATGCGCACTGCTGAGGAGTCCCATAATAGGACGAAACGGCCGTCCAGTGTTTCCAGGCTTTCCATGGTGGTCTAGCTTCAAATGACTCACGCTTTCAACTATTTCCAGCAATAGGTCTATAATGAATTTAAACGAAAATGGCGATAGTGGACAACCTTGTCGGACACCACTCAAGGTTGTAAAATCATATGACAGTAAGCCATAAGCTCTCATTTGACTGGTAGTGTTACAAAATAATATGTACAATGAAAAACATCTTACCTTATCAAAATGTTCAGTAAAGATTGTTTCACAATTCTTCATTAATGAAAATTTTTCTAATCCATGTAAAATTAAACCTAATGCACGATTTAATAATTTTTTTGAGCATAAATGACGATTATTATAATTTTTCAGGTCAACTTCTGAACTTGGATTTGTTATACACATAAACGATGTTGTCGGTAATAATAATCCTGTAGCGAATCTGCGTATTCTTGATAATTGAAATGGTATAATTCTATGTGACTGTGAAGTAGAATGATGATGAATTTGATGTAATGTTCCAGGAATAGACCAATCAAAATAAACAGATTGACTGAAATTTGATGATGATAATTGTTGGCATTTTTTTATCCATTTATTAGCTTCGAAATGTAACCAGATACAGTAACCGCTAAGAGCCTTTAATGAAAAGACAATATAATAAACAGTGAAGAGAAATGTCAGTCAGTCAGTCACAACGTAGAACTTCGTAAATCAGTTCGATTTGCCATATATATATATATATATATATATATATATATATATATATATATATATATATATATATAATGGATTCCATTGTGGTTAATGCTAACACCATCACTTATCAAAATTAGTAAACACATCTAAAAATCATATGTGCTGTATGTAATTTGGTAGGCTTTCAAACTGGCAACTAAAAAGCATATGGTACACACGAGTACAGCTAACTATCACATACAGTATTTTGGGATTGGGAACCAAAGTGAATTTTAAGCTGATCAGACAGTTGTTCCACCCCTTTCCCCTTTTAAAGTATGGGTGTCCATGCACATATGGTAACTTTTACGATCAAAAGGAAAATATGACGTCAGCATTAGCGCATGTATTAGCATTAGCGTATGTATAAAATCAAAAGACTTCATCTTTCAGTAAAGGAAAGTTTGGTTCTATGTAAACTGGCGTCCTGCTTGAACATCTTGACCATCTGTTACTGCTGTCTAGATATTTCACCAAGTTATCTAATTTTTGTTTGTTTTAATACATCATTATTTCTATTAGGCGCTTAAGCTATTCAGGTGCTTTTCTGAAAAATGTACAACCCTTTGTTGTACAAATTATGAAAAAACCCATTCGGAGATATTATGGTTGCTGGCAATATGCAGCGAAAAGAATGTACATTATTTAGATGTCAATTGACTGGACTGCTAACTTCTAACTGACGATCATTCAATATTTGTCTTCAGGGTCGATCAAGAAGTAAGAAACTGAAACTTGTTGAAATAAATTGTGCTGAGAATTCTGTATTGTACCAAAAATATAATACTGAAGAAAGCTAATAATAATAATAACATATCCACGATAGTTATTTAACGTCTCCAATTCAAAGCTACACTACTGAACTCTCCCCTGAATGAACAGTATAGTATAAATAATCTAAGGACTTTCAGTCGATTGCCTCGAACTACTTAATATATAAACATTGTATGAACAAAGTTGTCATTCTAACAATGATGACCACAATGCAACTTGATCAATAAAGTTCAATAGGATTCAAAATTAATTAGTATAAATATTTCATTCTTAAAGAAAGCCAGTTACAGAACTGATAAATCTGATCGTATTCCAACTAGTTTAGCTCGATTGAGTCATACTGATAGGTGAACCAGATTATAACTTCACAGCAGCAGATTTGGTCGGGGACAAACTAACATTTATAATTATAATGAACTTGCAAAAAGAAATAAGATTAGTCATAATCAAAGAAAATTTCTTTACAACTGACTTCGATAATTATTTGTTGGAGCGAATTTTTCGATACTCATGCAACTTCTATAGTTGATATAAAACAGGTTGAAACTCCTGCCATTTATGGCGTAGGCGAGATATCCGTCTAGCAACCAAAGGACGGGTTTACTGTGCAGCAGTTCGCTCCGTCCTACTTTATGGTAGTGAAACATGGCCGATAAGAGTAGAGGATATTCGTAGGCTACTAGTTTTTGATCATAGGTGTCTTCGAAGCATTGCTCGCATATCCTGGGACCACCGAGTAAGTAATGTAGTTGTTAGGAAAAGGGTACTAAGTAAGGATGGCAAATCGATTGATGAAGTAGTGAAACTTCATCAGTTGAGATGGCTAGGACATGTGCAATGTATGCCCAACCACCGACTGTCCCGAAATGCAATGTTTTATGGTGTAGGAGTAGGTTGGAAGAAGGTTAGAGGCGGCCAGACGAGAACGTGGTACAAATCCATGAAGTCACTGATAATTGAACTGAGCCATGTTGGTTAGGATCCGTGAAATGATAAAAATCGATGGTTAGAGACTTTAAATGACATGGATCAAAATCATTTGTAATGACGAAGGTGCATCCACTCTTTGTCTTCTACCAAATTCTAATATTCTGAATTCTTCATATCCCTATCTTTTTTTTCTTTCCAGATTTATTTCACTGTATTATACTCTTTGAATAACATCTTCAAACCTTAATCCTTCAGATTACTGCTTATAACCTTACTACATTTGGGATTTGAATTAACAATTGCATATTTGTACTAATGTGGTATGGAAATTCAAACTAATAAATGTACGTACAAAATTCTACATTGCTATTGATTGACTAAGTGGAGAACTGATTGAAACTTAAGAATTTCATACTTTCACAATAGATTCTTATTATTATCATATTAAAAAAATATACTACAATATATACTTACACATTCACGTTGTGATATATATGGATGTTTTATTAAACTATAAATTAACCATAATGGTGGTCTAATTGAATTACTACAATATGATTTCATTAATATATTACTATTATTATTATTATTAGTAGTAATATTAAATAAAATAGAATAATTTGATTTTAATTGATATAAATTCCAATGATTTGATTGAATAATATTTTTAGTAAATATATGAATAAATCCTTCATCATGATTATCTTTCATTATTGTTTCCTTTTTATTTATATCATTTAATTGGGATATATTTGGCTTCAATTTATTTTTTAAATATAAATTTGTTAAATATTCAATTGGAAAATGTTTATGCCAAATATAATTTAAACAATTAATTAAATATTTTGAAAATATACTATTTTGTTCAATATGTAATTGAACATAATTTAATATAAATTTATTAGTAGTATAATCAGTTTCCATAGAATTATTTAATTCTTTTTGTGTTATATGGTCTATAGGAATAGATTTATTATTATTATTATCTATAATGTAGAAAAAGAATGGAAGGATTAGTCAAACTTTAAAGATTTGATATATATAAGAATATTTGTCTTAAATTAAAGCGAATAGTTTTATAGTATTTATATGTATTTGAAAGTATGAGTTAATTGAAGCTAGACCACCATAAAAAAACTTGAGGGGTACTGGAAGGCCGTTTCGTCCTATTATGGAACTCCTCAACAGTACGAATCCACGATTCCACATGGCGAGCGAGATTCGAACCCAGGACCTACCAGTCTCACGCGCGAGCAATTAACCGATAGACCATTGAGCCGGCATACAACAGTGTTAATGACTAACTTCAAACAATTCATGTAGTCGAGCAACCGTTCACCAAATGTCTTCAGTGAGTTCTCATCTGACAACAGACGTGGTTGAACTCCACTGGTTAATGCTTCTCAATAGAACTCCAGGAAGTACCTCTTGAAGTCAGTCACTAGTGAGTATTATTATTATTAATATTATCAGAAGGGGTTTTGTGGAGATTTCAGTATTTTCATAGTTGAAAGCATGAGTCAGTTGCTCAACTTCGTGAACTGGTTGAAGTTAGACATTAACACCGTTGGATGCAGGCCAGCTCAGTGGTCTATCGGTTAGTGCTCTGGCGCGAGACTGGTACGTCCTGGGTACGAATCTCGCGAGTGCGGGATGGTGAATGCGCACTGCTGAGGAGTCCCACAATAGGACAAAACGGCCATTCAGTGCCTCTAGGTTTTCCATGGTGGTCTAGCTTCAATTGACTCGTGCTTTCAACTATGAAAATATATTATTCCTAGTTAATGTCTTCATAGATTTGGATTTGAACAACGTCCGGAAAAGAGAAGTTTGGTAGAAAAATCGAAATAAGAAATCACACTTTTCTATTTTGAAACTTATGTGATTCTGAAAGTCATGAAAACCATCAAAGTCGTATGATAAGTTTATTTTATTTTGAAAATATCCTTGTTCTTTTGATTATTCAATTATAAGATCGAATAACTGAATTTCTGGTGGTTGAAACTAGGTCAGAAGTCTTTCTTCAAATACTACAATTGACTGATCGACGAGTAGTTATCGATATCGTGTTTGTTTATTCCTTGAGATCGGATAACATTTAATCGAATTAATTCCAATGTGTTTTCTAACTTAAGCAGATGAAGTAGTTTTCACGGAACCATGACGCTAAGTCTCGTGTTAGCTGGCTCTCATCAAAAATTAATGCTTGAAAACCTAAGTGAACTGATACTCTCTGCAGAACGCGAAAGCTCGCCACCCAGCTTCACAGTCTGAAACGTTATTACTAAACTATTCAGATGGTCACTGACATCCTATAGGATTAAGTTATTTGCGATTGATTGTTCACTGAGTAATGACCAAAAATCATGTTTGTTATGTCAAGATTTGGAAATGGTTACCAAACTATTTATCAATACTTTATTCTCCTCATGTTTAAAATTGTTATTCCTTTTAGTATATTTGGCATGCAGCTAGCAATGGAGTACAAAATTTGTGTTTTATCTTAATTAGGACTGATTAGTTGAATATTCCTACCTTCCACCATTGATTTGCACAGAGAAACTTTAACTCGGTACCTTTCACTCCAAACATACAATTCGTCCTACATTGAGCTAATAAGTTCGAATAACTGATAATTTATTAAATCAATCACACACCGAATATGCTACAAACTTATTACACTACCTAGCATCAACGATATTTGCTTAGAGACTGATAAATCATTATCTTGACATACATAAAATTTGTCAAAAATTTAGTAATCAATCAATTATAAATGAATAGTTAAAAACAAACAAACAAAACTAACTAACCTTTAGATATATTACATACATTATTTTCTACATTTATTGGATCACTACTACCAACTGGTAAAGATGATATACTTACACCAGAATCTGAAATAACCATAGGGTACTTTATAGATTCCGTCATGTTCAATTGATCATCTTCATTACTTAACGATTGTTGTTGTTGCTGTTGGTGTTTCGATGTAGATGATGATAATGATTGACAGTAATTAGATTGAATTGATACTTCTCTAATTTGATTGTTTTCAAGATTACTTAAATATTGTGATTCTATTGGAGATTCATTATATGATATAAAAGAATCAATTAAAACTTTAGATGACTCTTTTTCAAATAAGGTTTGATTGACTTAAACGAAACATAAATTACAATACCAAGTTTAAGCTTTGAAAATATATACAAAAGCGAATAATAAGTAGAGACAATACAATCTTTCATAGTTGAAAGCGTGAGTCAATTGAAGCTAGACCACCATGGAAAACCTGGAAGCACAGGACGGCCGTTTCGTCCAATTATAAAAATCCCCAGCAGTGTGCATCTGCGGTTAAGTGCTCTGGCGCGAGACTGGTAGATCCTGGGTTCGAATCTCGCGAGTGCAGGATCGTGGATGCGCACTGCTGAGGAGTCCCACAATACACGAAACGGCCGTCCAGTGCTTCAGGGTTTTCCATAGTGGTCTAGCTTCAATTGAATCACGCTTTCAACTATGAAAATATCAAATCTCCATAAAACCCCTTCTAATAATAATACAATCTGTTTAACTAAGATTATCCGGGTTTTTTTTTCAATATTCAATATGTTCGCAGTATTCGATATCTTTAGACATGTATTCTATTCATTTTGTAGGTGAGTACTGCATTTAAGAGTGCAATTTTCACTGAAAACTCAACTTTATTGAAAAAATCTAAAACTAACTTTATATAAAGATGGATAGTGGCTAGCAGTGGAATCCACGACGCGCGTTTCGTCCCATTTGTGACTCGAACCCAGTACCGTTCGCTTCAAACGCTACCCCGTTATCCACTTGGCCACTGAGTCCTGATAGCTACTTGCATGTGCAATGGAGTGAAGTTTAAATTCAACTATCCATCTTTACTTACCATGCTTGTGAATTTAGGCTATATTGGGGCAATACGAAAAGTATGCTCATATGGAAATAAGAGACTGACAAGCTGCAGTCCTAACACATCGATGGGAAGATTCAAACAAATAATACTAAGTTGAATCTATATATATATATATATATCTGTTACGAACACGTCAGTGTAGCGCATCTCAACATATATTGGAAAATAGAGATGTAAGTGAAACCTCGATGAATAATTACACACTTTTATGCACTATTCATCTGCTTAACGAACAAGAAAGTGTTTGAAAGTGCTAAATACAGTACATTTACGAAATGGTGAAAAAAGCCTGGATTGTCGCAACCATTTATTTCTATGATTAACTAGAGTTCGGTAAACGAATAAAAAAAATTGAAATCTTGAAAATGAGCGATAGAATGCTGGTCGATGAGAATAATAACTAATGACTACCTATGAGAGCGAATTATTCACTTAAAGCCTTCAATGAATAAATATTAAAGACAAGACAACTAGCAAAACGAACAGGTTCTTTGCAAAATTATCAAAATGGACAATAAGTATGATCGAAAAACCACAAATGACAAGGGAGATTTCGTAGGTCACTTGTTGTTTAATGACTATTAGAGTTGATTCTCATTCATTTCATAAGATTCACTATTAAAGAATAACTTAAATACAAGACACTATCAGAAAATACCTCAATTGAACATTTCGTTTGTTTTTTTAATCGATGAAGTAGAAATGTTAACAGTGCAAACTGAGATTTCTTTTGTAATGTGTTGTGGGCTACTTATGTCCACATAAGTAGTATATGGTGAAGGTTAGGCATAGAATGTATTTTGGCAGAAAATTAATAACGAACGAACAGGAATGAAGCGCAATCGATATGAAAATGCATGAACAATGAAATTAGAGAAGATGGACTGATATTAACAGAAGGAACAGTGAAGATTGAGACAATTGATGGTTATTCTGCAAATTAACTGTTTACTGTATGGTTTATCAGAATTTAGTGAAATAGTCTGTAATTTGTGTTTAGATACATTCGATTGTCCCCACCAGTGTTCTTGCTCACTGCAGTAATATGATTTGAATAAAATTATTAGACAATTTATTCTGATGGAGTTTTGTTCTCTGAACTGGATGGTTTGGTCATTCAGAAGGACAATGAAAGCTCCACAACCAAACCATCCAGTTCACAGAAAAAAAATCCATCAAAATCATCCACTTAATTAACAATTCTTATCCACCATTACAATTTATTATATTATCAGAACGGGTTTTGTGGAGATTCAGTATTTTCATAGTTGCAAGCGTGAGTCACAAATTATAACTGTATAATAAATTGAAACATGGTGAATTCAGTATAGTAATCAAAATATATAGGAATAGATACAAGTGTAACTCAGTTGATAAGTCTAAATTGGAATAAACTTACGTTCACATATTCCTTCAGTACTATTACTCCTATTAGTTATCTCTTTATTATGCGTAAATGATAAGTATTCCCAATTTTTTAAACGTTCCGTATAGTTTAAACATTTCCGTGTAATTCTATGCCAAAATATATAATCATTGTCTAATGTTGATGATTCTGGCACTTTAGTTTCTAACTCATCATTATGATGATCAAGATCAACTTTATGATCGGGATCATCATCATCATCATTATTATGATCGGATATAGTATAAAATACTTGTTCAGCTGCAGATAAATACATATTAGCATCTAAATTAATAATTAAACGACACACATTCAATAGACATAATCGTTTGGAACAATAAAATGAATGAATATAATCAGTATTATTATCATTATTATTATCATAATACAATGACTGTTGATGGATCGATTCTAAAGTTGCTCCAGTTGTACATGTTTCATTGATCACTACAGATAATGAAAGACGATGGATTAGAAAATTCATTAATGAAGTAATTGGCCATTGTTCCGTGATACATTTTAAATGTTCATCATTCAATGAAGTTGTTTGTATTGAATGATGATGATGATGATCATTTTCTAGGAATAATTCCTGTGAAACAAAAAGTGAGGCGTAAATAAAAACAAACAGAGATTTGAAAGAAAATTACAAGAACAGTTAAAAATACATCTTAGAACTTTTGTTGTGGGTTTGTTCTCTGAGCTGGATAGTTTGGTCGTGGAGCTTTCATCGTCCTTTTGAACGACATGATCAGCACAAACTTGGAGCTACAAATCTTCTCCACCATCTCAACATCCCAGAACTGTTTGAGAAAACTTTTTTTAATATTCAACCTTGATAGAAGCGACTATGTCCACTGAGGTTTTCAGTTGGTCTACGATACATATGAATTAAGAGATAAAAAAATCATTCTAGTGCGAACGGTTCTATTGCCTATGAATACAGTGATCTTGAGTGATGTTAGAGGTATGAGGGCAGTCATCACTTCCTGGTTGCCCACACCGTGGAATGGTTCTTCTAGAGGGACCTGAAAAGGAAATTGAGTTAGAAGTGGTCTTAATGACCTGAGAGCGTGACCGCAGTGCCCAAAGGACAACTGTTTGAGGTCAACCACACACGACATTTTTGTGGGTAATTTTTGCGTTAGCTCCATTCTTGCCGCCGGAGACGGATATCCGTGGGATAAGGCGAGGTGTGCATTTTTAGTGTCGGCCTTTCTTAACCCCACCCCTCGCTGTGGGAAGGCAGCATCGCTGTTATGCTGGTTGTGCGAGGGAAACACCTTACTGCCATCACACCACTGTACAGTCGGCAGTACAACTTCGCCTTCGGACTGATTGAACGGTTCTATTGTGAACACGGTAACGGCGTCTGGTTGCCGCTAGCAGGCGAAGAAGACAATGGGAAAAAAACCTAATATTCAAGCTCAGTATAAGTAGTAACAGAAATATAATCTTGAGGCACACAGAAAACCAACACTAAAAGTAGTGGGAACCAATCATTAAAGAGTCGAGATTACTTTAAAAACTTAACTAGAAAAATGCACACGACTTCTAAATTATTACCAATTTTATAATGTATAACTCGGACTGGGGAGGCGAAGTTCGATTCACACGTCCTCGTTGTGCCTCCTAGATCATGGGACTGTTTCCATGAACTAACGTGAGCGGTGACCCGGGTGGTGGAGAATGGCCTAATCAACCACTTTACCAATACTCAAGAACGATTACGAATGCTACAAAGAGCCACTGCATAATTACTGAGGGTTCAAAAGAGTGGTAAAATAAAAATCAGACTGCCCAAAGTATAACAAAAAGACAAAAAAAGACTTCCCGACATTGAGTATGCGGATGATATTGTCTTACTGTGCGATAATGCTCAAGCCATGCAATCTGCACTTAATCAGTTGGCAATCAAGGTCCGCAGATACGGTATGTGCTTTAAACCCTCCAAGTGCAAAGTACTACTACAAGACTGGCAGGATTCTCATCCTGTACTCACCCTGGATGGTGAGCATATTGAAGTAGTTGGTTGGGGTTCGAGAGATGGTGCAACACAATGGCTAGTGACGTTATCAGATATGGCTCAGAATAGAAGCCAGTGGCGAGCCTGCTGTAACCTTCTTTTGGTTATAACTTTCTTAACAGAGTGAGCTTTTCTGGTTGTACATTTCAACTCCCCTCACCATTAATTTTTTCATGCATCTTACCCCTTTTTCTTCTTATTTTCATTGTTTTGTGTGGCGCATATATATCTGGTGCCCCCTTACACCAATATGTAGGTGTTTAAATAAATAAATAAACCATTACTTTAATACAAACTAACTCGAAATCCAGTCAATGTTGCCATAATTAATTGCCATTTATCTAATATAGACAAATTATACAATTTAATAATGATGTTAGATGAATTTGACCATTCATTACAATTTATTAATAATTCAAATAATCCAGGTATTAAACCATAATTCAATAAAATTGATTTCTTTGATGATTTAGAAAGATGAGTTGAATTATGAGGACCGAGTCTAGATTGTTTTTGTTTCGATGAAGGATACCAGAATGATTGTGAACCAAATAAGAGAAGACAACGTAATAAACTTGGATTGATCAATAAATGTACAGTAGATGATGAAGGCTCCATTGAATTGTTCCATAAATTTTTTATAGGAAGTGTTAATATGATTTCATTGAGTAAAACCTATAAAGGTAAAAAGGTTAGGTAAAAACTGAGGATAGAAAATTAAAAATTAAAAAAAAAAAACTGTTAGCGGGAAAGAAACCGGATTAAGGCATGTTATGTACAGGATCGTGACGGCGCACGCTGATTGGCTAATTCTAAACCAATCACTTCTGGCAAATTATTTGAGAAACATCTAGAAGCTTGCTTATGCATGAGTCGATCTAAGCAAGACCACCATTAAAAACATGAAAGCACTCAACAGCCGTTTCGTCCTAGTATGAAAATACATAGCAGCGGTAATCCACAATAATGCATGCGGGACTCAACCATTAAAATCATTACAATCTACAGAAACCCCCATTCTGATATTATTCATTATATGTTCACCAGTAACTGGCTCCGAGACCATGATCAAAAAAGACAAACTGAGACTCTGCATTCTACATGAATCTAGAACAGAGATCAATGTATCAGTTACATTTGTGAACATTACATCAAACATAAGTTTCCACTTGCTATAATCCCGATAAGAATTATGAATGGTAACTTTTGAGAACTATTATGGACCAATATGATATGTATATTTACCATTGTATAATTGTTAAGCAACTAAACTATTCATATTCATGTTTCTTTCATTGTGAGCTTTATTTTGACCCTTGGACTATAATTGTACGATTTACCATTCCTGAGTTATATCCAGTCTATTAATTACTGCTTCCCCTATTCACAGCCACATTTGGCTAGCTCTTGTACAAATGTTATTTTCCATTTCATGATACAATGTGGTCTGTTTAATTGGTATATAAAATCTATGTGTTTGAAATATAAGGATTCATACTGCAGAGGCTGAGATTGGTGTTCCTGACTTAACTGGCTGGGCTAGGCAGAAAGCAGAGCCGATAATTACTCTAGACTGCTCATACGCGTTTTTTGTGTCATTGGTCTGATCGATAAATCGCCGCTTCCTAATTGGCGGCAGCACAAGTTATAACACCACTAGAGATTCAGGATGGATTCTCACTAGTTAGTGTATAATTATAATTTTATTAGGTAATTTATGAGGTTGTGTCAGTTACAATTAAATGTAGAGCATAATACAAATATACGTCAACTCAAGTTGTTACATCATATCAATTGAACCAAAGATGAAATTATTATGAGGGATAACAAAGGAGTTGGAATAACTGTGTCAGAAACAAATAATAAGAAAGACTAAATATCAAAGCATATCCTTCAATAAAAAAGGTATGAAAACATACCGATGAAGAAACACTACAACTCAAGAACAAAAGGAAAATAAACATTTCAACATAGTGCACGCAGTAAAGAGCCACCTAGACTAGTGGCCACATTGCAAATTGATCGCATTCAATCAGCACTAAAAAAGACTTGACACGCATGACATTGATCACCACACAGTGATCAATCAATTGTGATTACATCTCAGTCCTACAGGAGGTCAGTCGCTGCCCGAATAGCTCAGTGGTAACGTCTCTGACTGTGAAGCTGAGTGACACGGGATCGAATCTGTCAGGGAGCACCAGTTCCCTTAAGATTACAGGTACACCTTGCTGACGAGTGCCAAGTAGCACGAAACCCGAATCCAGGGTTTCCTGTTGACCACCTCCAACCACCACCTTATCTCAACATTGATCCACTTAGACTAGTGGCCACACTGTAAATTGATCGATAGCATTCGATCAGCACTAAGAAGGACTTGACACGTATGACATTGACTACCACCCAGTGATTAATCAATTGTGAAATTTCAATCCAGAATGCAACAGTTGCTTACATTCCATAGTTCTACAGTTCACGTCAAATTATCGCAAAGACATGTTTTTCAAAACAAACTTTCATTAAATCTGAGCAAATTATTGTTTGAAGAGAAACACTGATAGAACAATAAAAAGCTACTTACTTTCATAATTTTATATGATTTCGACGAGATGGTATTAAATTCTGGATGTTTAAATAGACGAGCTAATAGACAATGTCCAAAACTTAACGGGACAGGTTTACAATTTAATTGGTCATTACAATTTTGATATAACCATGTATTTTTATGTCGTCTTTCCATTGAATTCTCTATTCCAGGATGTGATAATGCTGGCGAATAAAATTTTCCATACATTATAGTAGAATGACGTAACATTGTAAAGAGTAATTTTAGTCCACATGAAATCAAATCAGAATTGTGTGATTGACATATAAGCTGTATGGATGAGAAGAAATCGTAGTGAATAAAAGTAATAATAATAATAATAATAATAATAATAATAATAATAATAATAATAATAATAATAAGTAATGGATATTGATTATAATTATGACTTTGGAAGCATTGTCTCCATTCAGAACCTAATGCTCAATGGTGACTACTTCCCAAGTGGATTCCCCCCCCCGCCAACACTTTTATTGAGAACCATGACATTGACTGCGTCAAAAAAGTCTGTATTAAGAGACTATATAAACGAAGATTTTGAATGTGAACATTAAAAATCTTTATTATTATAAAAATGTCTTTATAAAATACGAAATTAAGTTTTATTATTAATACGTTATACATACCTCCTCCTGTAGCTCCTCCGAGGGCTACTGACCATCCCAAGCCCACACAAAAGAGGAGGGTCGGGTATGGGGTTAGCGACCCCATCCCGTAGAAAACCAACACGCTAAAAAAACGCTAACGAGAAAAAATTATCCAAACCATTTAAACTGCCCTGAGAGATGAAGGAATAATTGTGACGTCTTATGATGAAAGCTGAGTTCCTTTGGAAGTCATGAGGACGATGCACCTTCTCGCAACCAGAGCAACAATATTTTTTATAGTAAAACACTATACATAACTTTCTACTGTTATTTATATCATGTGTTACTGTTAGCACTATAATCTTGACCTATTTGCAACTTACCTAGCAAGTTTCATTTCTCATTCTTATGTAAAATATTGGAAATTACATTGATAAATACGTACACCAAGTACCATGTTGTCTATGTCAGGCTACTTTAAAACGTATCTCTCAATGTTGAAGCTCACACTGTATATACATTAAATTGAGGTACACTTCGACAGGCTAAGACACAAGCAGGACTGAACAAACGTCTTTTATTCCAGTGCTAACCAATATACAATAGGTTCAAGACATTAGAGTATTAATAGGCTTAAGATCCATATATTGCAAGAAAGGTCGATCAAAATTTAGACCTGGATATCAGTAATCCACTTACAACAATTGAGTAGTATAAAGTCCTTAAAATTAATAATAATCGATTAAAATAATAATTTAAATGCAGTGATATATGGCAAAAAATATCCCACAAAAACTTACTTCACCAAGAAGGCAAACAGCTACTTCAATACCTCCATGGGGTTCAAAAACTGAGTCGAAACTTTCCCGATAGCAGTAGTTAACACAATGAGATAATGATTGGTGTTTATCAGATGAATATATGCTCCTTAATAACCATAACCTTTTTTTAGAGGAATGAGCATAACTAGTTAAATAAGAGAGGTATAAATAGAAAGGTGAATGAAGTCTCAATCATTGATAATATTTAAACAAGTAACTGAAAAGATTGTACATAGATATCATCATATTTACACATCAGTATAGCAATTTATATACTACCACCACCACTAAATTAACTACATCCGGTGTTGATCTTGTTGTGCTAACGAGGTATGTCAACTTGGACCGATGCATATATGTGCCTGGTCCTACGTTGTAGCTGACTGACTGACTGATCAGTCTAGCAAACAATCATTAAAGACATTTGAAAGTAATTCGTTAAGACCAAGGCTCTGAGGGTTTTCTTTACTTCAACAAGAGTTAGGAGACCAATACTACCTTATCATTCAGTTAATAGGTAGATAATAAGAAACTGGGAAGCATTCATTGATCTGTTGAATTGTTCTCAATAAGCATCAACATATACAAATACTTTAGAAGGTAAAACAAGAAATAAAAAAAACAATATTATAAAAAGTAAATTTCGTGGAGATTAGTTAACAAAAGAATTTCAGGAAGTCATCCTGAAGTAATTTACAATTGCTCTGGATTTAGTTTATATTCATAAAATTCGAACTCAGGACCTAACAGTCTCGCGCCAGAGCACTTAACCACTAGACCACTGAGCCGGCATCGATGGTGTTAATGTCTAACTTCAACCAATCCACGACGTTTGAGCAACCGTTCACCAATTGTCTTCAGTGAATTGATATCTCACAACAGACGTGGTTGAACTCCACTCAGACTAGTAGGTTCTGAGTTCGAATCTCGTGAGGCGGGATCGTGGATGAGCACTGCTGAGGACTCCCACAAAACGGCCGTCCAGTACTTCCAGGTTTTCCATGGTGATCTAGCTTTAATTCATACATGATCTTAACTATGAAAATACTGAAATCTCCACAAAACCCCTTCTGCTTTATGATAATAATAATAACAACAATAATAGTTTCCGAAAGAATTATAACTTACACAATTCGAATTGTATTTTTATCAAATGATTTAAAATGTTGATTAACATCAGCATTTACCAAGTGTATATCATCCACGGTATCATTGTTCACTTCTGTTGTCAACGATTCATTACATTCCGTTGTACACAATGATTTCGGTAAAATGAATTGTACATAAGTAAGATTATTACTCAACAAAATGATGAATAAATGCTCCTTTAAAAGAAGAAAAAGGAAAAAGGAAATGAATAAAAAGAATAAAGTATTCGTGAATTCGTTTCAAAACAAACAACACAGATGCGGGGTTTCGAAGATTTATTATTGAAAACGATGAAACTAAATTAACTGACGACGTCGGATAAACCAATCGAATTACAATGGTTCAGTGTTAAACATTTTTTGGACTATCTGATAAGCAAAATGAAACCGGATATATAGGAATGATATTCATTAGTTAATAAAGTTGAGAAGAATATATGTGATGATCAGTCTTTGTTAATAGATTACTATTATTACCATTATAAGCTGAGATGGATAGTGGCTAGCAGTGGAATCTAAGACGTGCGTTTCATCCTATTTGGAACTCGTCAGCTGGATGTACCTGCATCTCAGAGTTGATGTTAACTATGGGATTCGAACTCAGTACAATTCGCTTCAAACGACATTGCGTTATCCACTTAGCTACTGTGTCCTGATAGCCACTTGCTTGTGCGATGGGATGAAGTTTAAATTCATTTAGTATTGTTTATTTGAATCTTCCCATTGATGAGTTAGGACTGAAATTGATCAGTATCTTATTGACATATGTGCATACTGTGCGTATTGCCTCGATATAGCCTTCATCCACAAGCATTATAAGCAGAGATGTTTTATTATAAACGTCCGGAAAAAGAATAATGGAGAACACTAAATAACAATACGCACGAGTTAAAAGTAGGATAAAATGGATATCCTGGACGCTCTAGTCAAAATCCTAAAACAGTTTAAAGAAATTTCCTAGAAAAAATTAACAAATAAAATATTATCAGAAGGGGATTTTGTGGAGAATTTTGTGATTTTATAGATGAGATCATGAGTCAATTGAAGCTAGACCACCAAAAAAGACCTGGAAGCGCTGGACGGCCGTTTTGTCCTATTATTGAACTCGTCAGCAGTGCGCATCTACGACCTCGCCTCACGAGATTCGAACCCAGGACCGACAAATTTCGCGCCAGAGCACTCGACTGATAGACCACTGAGACCAGTGAGATCATATGTTTACTAGTGACTGACTTCGAGAGGTAAATCCTGGAATTCTAGTGACAAGTAGTGACCAGTGAAGTTCAAACCACGTCTGTTGTGAGATAGGTATTCACTGAAGACAATTGGTGAACGGTCGCTGAACTTTGTGGATTGGTTGGAGTTAGACAGTAACACCATCGGATGCCGGTTCAGTGGTCTAGTGAGTTAGCGCTCGCGTGCGAGACTGGTAGGTCTTGTTCTCGAATCTCGCAAGGCGAGGTCGTGGGTGCGCACTGCTGAGGAGTCCTACAATAGGACGAAACGGACATCCAGTGCTTCCAGGTTTTTCTTGGTGGTGTAGCTTTAATTGATTCACGCTTACAACTATGAAAATAAAATATTGATAACAGTAAATCATCAAGAAGTAACATACTGAACAATATCTTTTTAAGAATCTTAGCCAAAATTCTGAATGAATTAAAGATTGAGCTTTCATTAATAACTGACTGATATAATCATGATGATGACGATGATTACTTTTCAATATTGAATCCTTTGATGCATATCTACGTATAAATGCATGAAGTATACAATTAGCTGAATTTCGATAGTATGCACTTGATTCAATCGAGTCGAAATAACCATTGAACAATGGACCTAAAAGGCTAAGTGATAAAGCAACCTCTTTTATTGAATTGTTAAAATAATTTTCATTCTGATACTTTGACTGTTGTGAGAGGTGTTTATAATGATGCTTTGAAGATTTCTTTTTGCATTTCAAGAAGTAATCAGTGGATGAAGAAGACATTCTTTGCACATTAGAGGGTAAACCTAGAAGAGAAAGAAAAACCAGAAACAAAATCCAGAACATGTAGAACAGAATTAGTGATTTTTAATGTCGAAGACAAAAACAAATTCTGGGGAGAATGACGATTGAGACAAAAAAGAACAAACAAACATTTATCAGTATGGAGTCGTGGAGATGATCGATTATCATTGAAGCCATGAACTAATCTAAGTTGAACTACTGTTTAAATCTTGGAAGCACTATACGGCTGTTTTGCCATAGTATAAGACCGTTTAGCATAATCCGTTACCAGTGGAGTTATACTGTATCGAGTGTGAGGAAGATACCCATCGGAGACAATAGAAAATGGTCGCACAATATTGTGGATTGATTGAAGTTAGAAATTAACACTGTTTCTTACCGATTCAGTGGTCTAGAGGTTAAGTGTTTACGCACGAGACCAAAGGTACTGGGTTCGATTCCTCCGTGCGATGTCATGGATGCTCATTCCTGAGGAGTCCTGCATTAGGAAGAAATAGTCTTCCAATGCCCCCATGTTTTCAATAGGAAACAAATAACTATTCGATAAGCTTGTTTAGTGTTAAGTAAACATACACTATTGATTCCGAAAGTTTAACTTCTAAAATAAATGGTGCAAGATCTTTTGTGATAATGTTGGCTTACGATAGCCAGTATAAATCCCTTTGACTAAGATATTGTGTACTACAAATTTTTTACCAATAAGACATCACTCTTCGAGCAGGAAATGCCATATGTTAAACGAGATTTAACACAACAGTATTCAAACAGCATTAGCAACTAGATTATTTGTTTCAGTCTCGTGGACAATTCATTTTTAATTGAACAACTCAACTGTAGTGGTGAAGATTTGCAGCTTAGATGGATGATTTTGATGGAGGTCAATAAGAACCAATCAACATCGAGGTACACAGGACAAGCTGTGAATCACAGGTGGAGAAATTCAAACACTTCACTTCTACTCGAAGTTTGTACTGATGATATCGTCCTGAAGGACGATGAAAACTCTAGGACCAAACCATCCAGCTCAGAGAATAAACCTACATCAAAAACACCTTTCGGTGGTTTTGTTTTCTCGTAATCTAGAGACCACAAAGCTGGATATTAAGAATTCCAAACACGCACTGATTCGAAAATTTCTCAATGATGTTTTGAAACACTGGACACACTCTTGATATTAGTTAGTATAGTGATCAATAATGTCTGTCACTTGAACACTTGAGGCTGAATTTCTAACCACTTTCTAGCACGCCAAAATCTACTGTGCTTGATCCAGGGGAAAAATTGAAGACAGTTTGAATAAAGAAGATTGCAGGTACGTTGGTGCATTTGATATTCTAGGGGTTTTTGAAAATATTTTAACATTGGTAACTACATAGGTGATTACTTAATCAGGACATGATGATTAATACATCGTTTGTTTTTGAATTCTCTGAAGGGTTACTACTGAACACTGACTAAATAAAATATTTTCTCAGATTCAGAAGATCCTAAGAGAAAATCTCGAGGATTCTGAACAATTACAAAAAAAATTTACAGATAAACATTGACAAATATATTAATATAACTGATTTTTTCTATCTATGGAACAAGGGATTGGCTTAAAAGAAAGCTTACCAGTAAATAGAAGTACATTTCCTACATCAAAAGTATTTCTTCTACATTTTAAAGAAGAGTATACATTAGTGACATGACCAAAACGTATCATAGGAGGTGTAAACTGTTGTTGACAATTTATATGTGGATTGGAAAACTCTTTGTTAATCAATATTAGTTCACCAATAGATTCAAACCAACCATTGATTACAAGGGATACCTTAATTAGTAGACAAATAAAAAGAATCAATCCATCAAATTATGATGAAAAATAAAAACTTAAGAAGGGGTTTTGTGGAGATTTACTATTTTTCATAGTTGAAAGCGTGAGTCAATTCAAGCTAGACCACCATGGAAAACCTAGACGGCCGTTTCGTCCTATTATGGGACTCCTCAGCAGTGCGCATCCACAAAGGTCCTGGGTTTGAATCTCACGAGAGTGGGTTTGTGGATGCGCACTGCTGAGGAGTCCCATAATAGGACGAAACGGCCGTCCAGTGTTTCCACGTTTTCCATGGTGGTCTAGCTTCAATTGATTCATGCTTTCAACTATGAAAAACTGAAGAATAAATCTTATTTAAATCAAAGGAAACTGTCCAAATTTCCGCGATTACTACTTTTCAGGACTTGCAATTATTCAAAGAAATCATCATACTTTTGATTTGTTGAATAATGGGTCACATAAATCACCTGATATGCTCAAGTATCTTCATAAAATGTTTACAACCAAATATGCAAATAATTACCGCTAAATCTAAGCGACACTAACCCTGCGACTATTTAAGGAATGAGAGATCATATTGAAATTTACACTCCTTGCGGCGCTTGAATATGGATCAACTAGTTCCATATTCTGAGACATTAAGTGCTAAGATGTTCAGTTTGTGAACTGAATGACAAGATTTTAAACACTAAAGTGATCGTAAGTTCAATCAAGGCTCCACGGCAACTAACACAAAACCTATGGCTAAGGTTTCGTACACATTACCTCCAATTATTTAAAATATATGGGAATTGCCACCCAAGTATCCTTGACAATCAATAATTAAAACCACTGACTTCAATCATAGCGATATCTATTCTCCGTAAATTATACTTTACAACTTAATTATTGATGAATTAACTTTACTTTTCACTCAGTCAATCAGTCACAACGTAGAACTTTATACGTACGTACATCAGTTCGAGCTGACATACCACATTAACACAAAGATCTAGTTGTCGATTCAAATCCCATAGTGATAGAAGTAGTAAGAGTATAAGCAGTAGTTGGAAAGACTAGGGTTTGAAGATGTTATTGAAGGAGTATAATCGAGTTAAATAAATTTTAAAAGAGAAAAAGATAGAGACATGAAGAATTCAGAAGATTAGAATTTGGTAGAACACAAAGAGTGGATGCACATTCGCCATTGCAAACGATTTTGAGCCACGTCATTCAAGGTCTCTAATCATCGGTCACTATCATCTCGCGGATCCCAACCAGGTAGTCTACACCTACCAACATGGCTCAGTCCACTTGTCGGTGACTTCATGGAATATTGCTACGTTTTGGTCTGGTCGCCTCGAGCTTTCTTCAATCTACTCTTACGCCGTAAAACATCGCACGTCGGGGCAGTCGATATTTAAAAAAGTAAAGAAACAAAACAACTAAATTAACATACTTTTGCATTTAAGTAGTTTATCCATTCAATATATAAAAATAAATGATTCCATTCTTCATATATATTACATTCTTTAGGAAAATCTAAGCATAAGTCACCAAGCAATTGAATGTCATTTGTATTCTCCTCTAATGATAATGTATCCTTTTTATTTATTGAAATTTCAACAATACGAATATATAGACATGAATAAATGGATGATATCCATATCTGAAAAATCAGTTACAACATATGAAATGAGAAAGAAACAACATTAATAACACATACAAATTACAAGTTGGGATCACATAAAACATTAAAAACAGTGGTCTAGTGGTTAAGCGGTCGCACGCGAGACTGATAGGTTCTAGGTTCGAATGTCGTAAAGCAGGATCGTGGATGCGCGCTGTTGAGGAGTCCCACAATAGGACGAAACGGCAGTCCAATGCTTCCAGGTATCTTAATGGTGGTCTAGCTTCAATTGATTAATGATTTCAACTACAAAAAGAAACAAATCAATTAGATTTGAATATTGAATTTCTTACTTCTATTAAAGCGCTACTGAAAGTAGAAGTATTAAAAGATACTTTATTTGTCGATGAAAAATATTCAATAGAGAAGAATTGTGAAACACAAATCAGTAGAAAGTAGATTTGTCTTATCAGTATAGGGTTATGAAAACTGTTGAGTTTTGATTGAGATCATGAATCGACCAATGCTAAACCACCATAGATAATCTGGCATATTAGTGACTAGCTTCAAGAAGTAATTCTCATAGTTCTAGTAAGAAGGCGTGACTAGTCGAACTAATCTGTATCAAGTGTGAGCAAGTTAAACATTAAACACAATTAAAGATGGTCGCACAACATTGAAACTGTTGAATGACGGTACAGCTAGTTTTATTTCAACTATTTCTTGTCATGATATTAACATCCTCTTAAAACATACTTTCTCCCAGTCTCTTTCCTTTTATAATCACAACAATCTTCTAGTCTTTGATCATATCAAAATTTTCGTATTACAATAATGTAATAGTAGATATCCATCATTATTAACCATGCAACCATGTAGTACACTTACTTACTTACGCCTGTTACCCTTCGTCGAAGAGCATAGGCCGCTCACCAGCATTCTCCATCCAACTCTGTCCTGAGCCTTCCTTTCCAGTTCTTTACAGTTAACATTCATCCTTTTCATATCGGCTTCTATTTCCCGGCGTAGTGTGTTCTTTGGCCTTCCTCTTTTCCGTTTCCCTTCACCATTCCAAGTTAGGGATTGAGTCGTGATGCACATTGGTGATTTCCTTAATGTATGTCCGATCCACTTCCAATGTCTTTTCTTAATTTCCTCTTCAGCTGGAAGCTGATTTGTCCTCTCCCATAAAACGCTGTTGCTGATAGTATCCGGCCAATGTATGTTGAGTATTTTGTGTAGACAACTGTTTATAAATACTTGTACCTTCCTGATGATGGCCGTAGTAGTTCTCCATGTTTCAGCTCCATACAGTAGGACTGTCTTGACGTTCGTATTAAAGATTCTGACATGTAGTATACTACAATGTGTAAACCTCTTACAACCATGTGAATAAAACCCTCAGTAAAAATTTACTCTTAAGTTACATGATGTAAAAAATCATATCACAACGATAAATTAAGATACTAAATCAATATACTTAGTTACAATTCAACAAGTTGTAACAATACTGATATATTAACCACGGATATATTCTATTTAAGAAACATATAAAACCCTGAGTATATCAGGTTACTATTTAAAAAAGCAATTTAATGAAAGACACTTTTGTGTATAGATGTGTGTATAAATGAAACTAAAATTCGATACAAATTATTTTTAAAAAAACAATGATAAACAAGATTTCAGACGTAAAATTAACCTAGAATAGTACAGTCATAAAATAAAGAATGTAGAACACAATACTTTACAACTTGACTCGCAAATAACCTGGTACAGACGAGAGTAGGGAGGGCCTACCCTCTCTCTCTCTCAAAATGTTCTCACATGGCCTCGCGTATATAGCCTCTGACAGGGAAATCCTCCTCACTGTCTTCTCACGACATTACAGTTGTTTACGAAATTGAGAGGACGAAAAGCGAATGTCCGGAGCTTTAATCGGGTTGGTGGGCAAAGAGGAGTTGGAAAACCCGCATTCCAAACCATTGGTGAACATGGACTCCAGTATCCTGAGAGAACAAATGGCGTATGAATCTATCGTTCGTCACCGGCTACCATGGGACTTCATCTCCTCACGATGCTCCACTACTTTGTGGGTTAAACCTTTAGGCCGAAGGCTCGACGTGTGGCCCACTAAGAAAACCACCTGCTGCTGTTCGGGCACCTGGACAGTTCTCACACAATTAAGTGAAATGACAATTTTTTTGTATGGCACATATATATCTAGTGCCCATTTCTACCAATATTTGTTTGTTCAAATAAAATAAAATAAAACTCTACAAATTGACTAAACAACAACAATTCAATTATGGTGATTGTGAAGTAGTCAGTAAACAGTAGCATTGAATGATGTTGTCAACGAGAACACAAGTACAGACAATCGAATGTTACTGAACACAAAATTATAGAATCTCTTAATCAAGTCTGATGCTATTTTTTGGTTTGACCGCCCCTAACTCTCTTCCAACCATTCCCCAATACTAGTCAGCATAGCGCGTCTTGGTAATCGGTTTTCAGGCATACTTAACACGTGGCCTAACCATCTCAGTCGATGAAGATTCATCAACTGATATACCATCATTTCCTAATACCCTGCGTCGAACCTCACCATTACTTAACCGGTGATCCCAGAAGATGTGAGCAATATTTCTAAGACATCTATTGTCAAATACTAGTAATTTAAGAGTATCTTCTACTCTTAATGGCCACGTTTCGCAGCCGTAAAGTAGAACAGAACAAACTGCTGCGCAGTATACTCGTCCGTTAATTGATAGATGGATATCTCGTCTTCGCCATGGGTGGCGTACGTTGGCAAAAGTCAAACGAGCTTTTTTGAATCTGTGCTGAGATTTCGTCAGACACCAACCTATAAGGTCTGATCAGTTTTCCAAGATAAGTGAAGTTGTCGACGCGTTCGACTACTTCACTCCCTATTTTTAGTTCAGGTGCTGACGCAGGCCAGTTGTGAAATAAAAAAATTGCATTTAGAGGAGGGAAAAAACGCATCCCAAACATCTTGTCATTGTTGCTCAGCGTTTTCAAAACACTGCAAAAAACAGTAAGTTCTCATTAAGTATGTCAGTGACCATATTGACCATTTTTAAATAAATTAAGTGAAATTATTAACACGAAATTCTTTTTTTTTCGGAAAAAAACTGTATTCTCATACTTGAAGAGAGAGATGACTATGGTTAGTTGAACAAGGTGGCAATGTGTTCGTTGTATCTGTCGATGATTGATATCCAAATTGATTAGTGTGACATACGAATGAAGACAAAATATCCAAACTAATTAAATGTTGTAAATGACTTAATTGAACATATTGGAAAAGATCCATTTCAGATAATCCATTGAACTTAGGTTTAACCTTCTGAAAAATAATCATAATAATAAATATTATTATTATTATAACAAAGTTAAGTATACACTATGACGAAAGGGATATAAAATATCATTCTATTGACTCTCTCATCTTTGCCTTTCTTCCTGTATGTGCTTCAATACGTGCAGATCGGATGACATAAAGTGAGAATACCACAGAAGAGTATCAGTTCCAAGGCATCTAGAGACTATCATTCAATTAAACAGTCATACGCAACGTAGAACCTGATAGATATGTGCATGAATCCAAGTTATTACAAAATACTAGCATGAAGACCCACAAATTAACTGGTACGGCCGAGAATGGGGAGAGTCAGCTCTCCCTCTCGAAATCTTCTCACATGGCCACGCGTATATAGCCTCTGATAGGAAAGTCCTACTCACTGCCTTCTCGTGCCACGGGTGTTGTTCACGAAAGTGAGAGGAATGTTTGGCGCTTTAACTGGGTTGGTGGATGTGGAGTGTCCACCTAGGGGAGTTGGAAAACCCTGAATCCAAACTAATGGTGCACATGGGCTTCAGTATCCTGAAGGAACAAATAACGTATGAATCAATCGTTCGTCACCGGCTACTATGGAAATGCATCTCCTCACGATGCTCCACTGCCTCATGAGTTAGACCTTTAGGTCAAAGGCTTGCGGTGTCGCCCCCTAAGAAAACCACCTGCTTTGGTTTGGGCACCTGGGCAGAATCACAGCCCTCACACAAAAGTGTGGCGCATATGTATCCGGTACGCTTTGTACCAATATGTATGTGATTAAATAAATAAATAATTAGCATAAAGAGATGAATATATAAGGATGAAAACCAAAGTACTATGCGTTGTAGTAATATCAGAGGTAGTAAAATTATTCAGGTATAAAGAATATGATTCAAGAGGAAAAATGAATTTGTGTCACTAGAAAATAAAGTAATTTTCAGATTCAGGATCTGAGAGAAGATAGAGTTCATGCATCCAGGTCAATATAACTGAGTTTAAGAGATGTTGCCCAACATCTCCAACCATTAGTCATGATAATCTTATGGACCCCAACCAGGTACTCAGAATCAATCTATATAGTCCAGACCTTAAGTCAATAACTTTATGGACTAGCCGCACGTTTTAGTTTAGCTGCGTTGTCGGTTGTTGTAAATGCAGGTAAAAGCTTGGACTGATTCAATAATATAACAAATCCTAATCAATAGTATACTTGAACTGTACTGAGCATAAAAAATCAAAGTCTTTCACGTAGATAGGGACATACGGTGTGATTCTGAAAGCTAAAATCCAGCATTATTAATTGTAAGAGCTTGTATTTTCTATTTTCAATATTCAAAATGAGATCGATCAGTCATTGTAAGTCAATTTAGTTCCTCTAAATAATAAATGTAACTTATCAGGAGTAGTGAGTATATTAGCTCGGAAGTCAAACTGGTGCTCAAGACGATGATCACTGGATTATACTTCCAATGTGAACAAAAGCAAAATGATTAGTATATATATCTGCTATATTTGAATAGATTTCAAGATCACCGAAAAATCGTTGAACGAAACGAAGGATCAATGACACAACGACAAGACAGCTAAACTATTCCAATGCGTCCCAGCCTCGCTAGCTATAGGGAGAAGTCCAGGTTAAGAAGAGGGAAAATGTATTCCACAAGCAGTCAGAAGCACGAACATCAACAACAAGCACAACTCTAGCGTATATATATAGCATAAAATATCATTAGGACACGTCACAATAAAGCATATTAAAAGAGGGAACAACCCAAGTAGGAAACACAATATAAGGGTGAAAATGGCAGCTGTTGGCATGGACGTGAGAAATCCAAATTTACAAAGAAAAATCACAAAAATAAGCCATTTACCAAGTAAGTGTTGGGGATCTAGCAGCCCCCTCCCTAAACAATATCCAATCCCTCATATATTGAATTCGACTGTTAACTATAATTACAATTTTTGTCAACATATTTGTTTAAATTTAAAATAACGTTTGTTCATATTATTTTATATTATTTATTTTATTTAAATACATAAATATGGGTACAAGGAAGCACTAGATATATATGCGCCGCACCCGGTGAAAAACGATTGGTTCATACGCCATTCGTTCCTTCAGGATACTGAAGCCCATGTGCACCATTAGTTTGGAATCAGCGTTTTCCAACTACCTTAAGTGGACACTCCACATCCGCCAACCCAGTTAAAGCGCCAAACATTCCTCTCACTTTCGTGAACAACACCCGTGGCACGAGAAGGCAGTGAGTAGGACTTTCCTATCAGAGGCTATATACGCGTGGCCATGTGAGAAGATTTCGAGAGGGAGAGCTGACTTTTCCTACTCTCGGCCGTACCAGGGCATTTGGGGGCGTTTGGTCATATAGGTAACGTGGTAGTTTGGAATCTCTATACAACAATTAACCAATGATTCCTCATATTAAAAAAGAGAATAAAAAGATTTCACTGGAGAGAAAAAAAGACTCACCACATTATTTAACTGTTTTCCATGGAAACAAAACCAAGTCGATAATCCTAAACTATGATTATCAGTAGTATAATTAAACGAAGTCAAGGAAAGTGATTTATTACTCGATTGATTAACGATGAATGATAAAGGACAAATAAGATTTAATAATTTTTGATATAAAATTTGATTATTGCCAATTTCATGTGGATTATCTTCAGATGCCAATACATAAGAACAATTATGAGAACATAGATTAGTAAGTTGTAGGATAGGGTAACATAGCTGTCCATATTGATCATACAATAGATGAGTGTTTATTAATTTTGGCCAAATGGTATATATTGTTGGCATTAGAATATTATTTCCTTGAATCCAATCAATAAGTAAGTTGAACATTTCACGTGTAAACTTAAGGAGAGAGAAAATGAAAAGGAGAGTAAAACTATGATGAAATTATGGAACTTCATAAGGCGTATCAATGAAGGGGATCTTTATAAGGAATTGATGTGGCATTAGAAAATATAACTCATAAATGATAACTTATGTTCTTTTTGTACTTATACTGCTTACTTACTTACTTACACCTGTTACTCCTTGTGGAGCACAGGCTATCAACTAGAATTCTCCAACCAACTCTGTCCTAGGCTCATCTTACCAGGTGTTTCCAAGTGCTATTCATCTTTTTGATGCATGAATCCAATGGCTAGGGTAATGTTTTATTTGGACTTCCTCTCTTCCTTTTCCTTTCAGGATTCCATGACACAGAATACTTTGTGGTGCAGTTCAGTGATTTCCGCAATGTGTACAATTCACCTCCATCTTCTTTCTCTACTTTCCTATTCAACTAGGAGTTGGTTGGTTTTCTGCTACAGTAGATTGTTGTTGGTATCTGAGCGAAGGAACTAAAGTATCTTGCGCAGACAACATTTTATAAATAGTTGTACCTTTTTGATGATGATTGTAGTAGCTATCTAAGTTTTAGTTTCTCTTGAAGCCCTTCTGGAGTTACTGCTGATTGCAAGCCCGGATAAAGGGAGAGGATTGGGCGAGAGGTTAGCGAACCCATCTTGCAGAGAAGAACTTCTCTAAAGAACGCTAACTTAAATCGCTAGGGTAAATAATTAAATGTTTAATGAGTTTGCGGAGATCACGGACTGATCCTATTTAGACAATTCGTAATTAGGATGTCTCATACTACGACGAAACATCATCAGTATACGACTATCCATAGGATATGCGTACATTTACAGTGTGGATATGGTATTGTCTACCAACCAGTTTGTTCATACGATGAATTCCGAACGAATATGCAAGTTAGTCACATAATGAACAAATAACTCTTAGACAACACATTACGAACACCTTGAGTCTGACTGGTAAACATTCAAATTCCCGATAAAATATAAAACCCACGAGTGAAGCTGTAGATTCTTCATAGTAACGCGCATCAGTAAACATAAACTTTATTCTTAAGGTTTCGTCTATCGATATGAAATAACTTAAATCAATAATATTCATATTGTAAATATCTATTTTGTAGATTTTGTCAATTATCTATGAGAAAGTTAAACACGACACTGATCATTGATTCATAAGATATTATCACAATATATAGCTTGTATTTGTCACAGTATGATCTGAGCTGGTTTGTTCCTGAAAACCAGGTAGCATTGGGCAGGCTGATACTCAGTAATGCTCGATCATTCACCCATGAGCGATTGAACTCAAAATATCCAGATCTTGAAGTGAATGTTTAATCATTAGAGCAGCTTGGTTTAGATCCAATGTTACAATTCCAATCTCAATCACTTTGTGATATAATGCAAAGATTATAAGATCTCTACCTCAGTCAGATCATCGCAATACGTAAGTAATAAACTGACATCAAAATATAAAAAAGACAGTTGAACAACAACAGTTAATTAATAAAAACTCTCTACTTACATATGGATATATACTATTGATTGTATGAAGCATAATAGGCTTTGTGTCCTGTTCTGTAAGATTATCATCATGATCCGTAATCCGGTGGTATTTATGCTTGTTATCATTGTTAAGACTATTACTGCCTTCAATATTTTGTATCTGTCTTAAATCTTTCAATATCAGCTGTATAAAATATTTTACAGATTTCACATTTAATACACCAAGAGATTGTGAATAGTCTGTACGAAATTCAATTGGTCGAATATATTGTGGTATCATGAAACATCGTAATAGATCTAAGCAGGTTAATCGAATAACTAGATGTATATGTGCGTATTTGCATAGAGATAAAGTATTGAATAGAAAAATAGAGAAAAAGGAAAGAGGTTACAACTGTGCACAGAACAAAATGTACACAATAGAGATAAATAAGAACAATTGTAAAATACTAATATAAGCGCTTGTAAGGATTGTTGATTTTCATCATATGCTCAGTGGGAACTAATTTCAAGATAATTCTAGAATTCTAGTGAGACGTAGTGATTAGTGGAACTTAACTATGTTAAATATGAAACAGTTACCCGTACAACAGAAGTGGAAAACGGTTTGGCAATGTTGCGAGTTAGTTGAAACTAGATGTGTACGTCAGGGAAATCTACCTCAACATACTGGGGGTAAGTGCATTTTATGAGGCCTGAAGGTTCATGGTTTGGTCTGAGGTGTGGTATGGATGCGTGCTGCCGAGAAGTCTCATTCTAGTACAAAACAGGAGTTCAATGCTCCTTGGTTTCCTATGGATGTCTAGCCTAGTTTGATTCGTGATATTAATAAAATTGTAAACCAGTTCAAGTTCAAAAACATTTACAAAAAGGCATATCTCTGCATTGAAAATCATACAATCACATTTGATCACTTATAGTTTTCATTACTATTAAAATACATAGTCTGTTCACAAAATACACGAACAAAGACTGAGGATCTAACTGATGATGACTAAGGACAAAGTTCCAGAATATTCATGAAATGCTAAAAACTATTCATGAAGAAAACATGATGAATGCATTACAGTATGGATCATAACAAGTAGGAGAACCATGTAAAATGATAAGTTTTCTGGACATTTGTCAGTAATATTTCCCGAATTCCTAACCAATACTATTTGCGTAATAGTTAGTGATTGGTTGGAGAATCTAGATGATATAGCCCAGAATCGGTCAAAATGGCGTAGGTGTATACACTCTTTGTCTTCCTTTAAACCTTGAGACTAAAATTGCTTCATATCTCTCTTCCTTCCTGTACTATATCCTTATATACAACCTTTCTTTTATATATTGCCATCACTAAATTAACTACTTCTATGAATCCGGTGTTCATCATGTTGTGCTAACGAGGTATGGCAACTTGGACCGATGTTTATATGTGCCTGGTTCTACGTTGTAGCTGACTGACTGACTATCCCTTTTGCCTAAACCAAATTAGGTGAAATATATTTTGAACCAAAAAAGCATTGGTGATTGAAACCTTTGTAAATTAGTTCATATATGATCCTTTTAAAAAATAAAATGTCATCTATCATCAATAGTTGCTTTAAATTAAAATCCCCTGGTACAACCGAGAGTGGGGAGAGTACGCTCTCCCTCTCCAAATGCTCTCACATGGCCTCGCGTATATAGCCTCTGCCACAGAAGTCCTACTCACTGCCTTTTCGAAGCATAACTATTATTTACGAAATTGAGAGGACGAAAAACGAATGTCCGACGCTTTAACTGGGTTGGTGGATGTAGAGTGTCCACCTAGGGGAGTTGGAAAACCCTGAATCCAAACTAATGGTGCACATGGGCTTCAGTATCCTGAAGGAACAAATAACGTATGAATCAATCGTTCGTCACCGGCTACTATGGAAATGCATCTCCTTACGATGCTCCACTGCCTTATGGATCACATCTTTAAGTCAAGTTCTCGAAGTGTGACCCCCTAGAGCATATATATCTAGTGCCCCTTTGTACCAATATTAATGTGTTTAAATAAATAAATATACAATAAAAGATAAAACTTTTGATTAGAAACCCAATTTCATTTAGTCAGGTTAAAAGTAAATGTTACAAGAAGAAATTAACTTACTTGGACACTTTGATAAATTAGTCATTAATTTTAAAATCTCTTCAATTAAGTGATTTATGTGAACCTAATAAAAGATATAAATACAAACAAATCATAATAATAATAACACTCTGCAAGTGATAGAAATCGATCCAAGTAGAAATCAAAATTTCATGCATCTGGAAGGAATCTATCCAGTACAGATTTCCATTCATCCTGCTACTTACTTACTTACTTACTTATTTACTTACACCTGTTAGTCCCAAGGGAACATAGGCCGCCGACCAGCATCTTCTATCCTGAGCCTTCTTTTCTAGTTCTATCCAATTATTGTTCATCCTTCTAATGTCTGTCTCACAGTATTGTATTCTTTGTTCTTCTTCTTTTCCTTTGGCCTTCAGGATTCAATGTGAGTGCTTGCCTTGTGGCGCAGTTAGGTGATTTCCTCAATGTGTGTCCTATCCCATTCTGCTACTACATTATTATTATTATTATTATTATTATTATTATTATTATTATTATTATTATTATTATTCGTAGGTACATACATATGTGCCACACAGGTCACTTCATTTGTGTGTGGGTTGTGATACTGCCCGGGTGCCAAGACAGGAGTAGGTGGTTTTCTTAGGAGTCACACTCGAGCCTTTGACCTAAAAATAGTGAAGCAACGTCAGGAGATTTGGTCTCATGGTAGCCGATCACCAACAATAGGTTCATACGCAATTTGTTGTTCCGTCGTAATGTGGGTTACTTATATCTACGTAAGAAGTATATGGTGATGGTCAGACATAGAATGTATTTTGGCAGAAGATCGATAAGGAAAAAACAGGAACGAAGCACAACCGTTATGAAAATTTATAAAAACAATCAAATCAGAGAAAATGAACTGATATTTGCAGAAGTAACAGTTAAGATTGAGATAACAGATTGTTATTTAGCAAATTAACTGTTTACTGTATGGTTGTAAGATTATAGTGAGATGGTCTGTAATTCGTGCTTAAATAAATTCGATTGTCCCCACCCGTGTTTTTGTTCACTACACCGTCAGGACCGTGGTACCCATGTGGACTGTTGGTTTATAATCAAGATTTTCCAACTCCCCGAGATGCATCCCTTATATCCCCCAACCCGATTAAAGTACCGGACATTCGCTTTTCGTCCTCTCAATTTCGTAAACAACAGTAATGCCGTTTGAAGACAGTGATTAGGGCTTCCTTGGCAGTGCTTGTATGCACGTGACCATGTGAGAGCATTTGAAGAGAGAAAGTGAACTTTTCCTACCCTCAGCCGTACCAGGACATTTCAGAGCGCTATTATATTGCCAGAATAACCTTATTGAGTGATGTGTGCTACTTATAACGACAGATATAAGTAGTACATAGTAGGAATTAGAAGCAGAATGTTTACCGGCAGAAGATTCAAATAAAGAGAAGAGGAAGGAAAATAGAAAGCAATCGAAATAACAAAAATATTTGTTATATCCCAATGAGTAATAAAAATATATTTATTAATGACTTGCTACCCATTGCTCAATTTCTTTAAAACGATTAAGTCCAACCTTAGCATTGATACTTATATTCAATGTATAATTTTCATATTTTACAAAGACACTTTATGACTTAATATACAATAAATAATTGGTTTGTTGTACCTTAGTTGTCGGCCACTACAATTAGATAATTCATCCTCAGTAGCTAGGTGGATAACGTGATGGTGTTTGAAGTGAACGGCACTTAGTTCGAGTCCCAGAGTACACATCAACTATAGGTTACAGGTACGTTTAGTTGACGATTCCCAAATGGGACGAAACACGCGTTCTGTATTCGACTGCTAACCACCATCCATCTTTGCTTATAATACTTGTGACTTGAAGCAATATCTACGCAATCCGTATATGATGCATGTATGCCAATAAGAGACTTTACAATTGTAGTCCTAAACATCAATGGGAAGATTGAAACGAACAATACGAAAATGAACCATATAAACCACTCATCATCATAATTTTAGGCCGTCAGAAAATTTATTTAAAGTTTTACTTTCATAGACTAGGTGACGTATTAGGATATTCTTCAAGCTTGTTGAAATCTGACGTACAGAGGTTGGCTATTATAGATTTTTTGTTGATTCCTGCGTTATCGGTGTAACTTCATTTCTATAACATATTTCCACGGTTCACGATTAACGTAGAAAATAGAATTATACAACTCAAACCAACAGTACGCTTTCTACATTCTCATAAAAAATCCCCCCCCCCCAAAAAAATGTAATGACGTCGAGTATGTGAGGCCAATGAGAAAAGTAAATGTATATTCAGGATCTAACAATACCAAACGAAACGATTATAATACTTACTTGTAAATACTTATCTTCAATAGGATGCGGTCCATGAAGATTTGACTTAAATATACTAAAATAATTGGCGGTAATCAACGACAGACAATTTGACCATATATAATTTTCACATTTCATTGAAACATTGACAGTTTCCATAGGAGACAATGATGATTTGATATGTTGACAACAATTAAATAATGATAGATTATGTAAACTTAATCGAATAAATAATCGTGTTGAAAAGACTAATAGTCGAACTGATTGTGGATTGAATTTGAATGTTGATTCATTTTGATTTGTATGTTGTGACATATCTGTTCAATAGAAGCGAGAGATAAAAGAGAATTTACTATGGATCAAAAAGATAATGATATGCTGGTAAAGATTATTTCATTGTAAAATAATCATGAATCAATTGAAGATAGACCACCATGGAAAACCTGGAAGCACTGGACGGCAGTTTCGTTTTATTTTGGGACTCCACAGCGCTGCGCATCCACGATCCAATCTTGCGGGATTCGAACCCGGAACTTATCAGTATCGCGCACGAGCGCTTAACCTCTAGACTACTAAGCCGGCATCCAACGGTGACCAGTGGAGTTCAATCAGGTCTGTTGTGAGATAGAAACTCACTGAAGACAATGGTGAACGGCTGATGAACTCCGTGGATTGGTTAGACATTAATACTGGTGGATGCCGGCTCAGTGGTCTAGTGGTTAAGTGCTCTGGCGCGAGATTGGTAGGTCTTGGGTTCGAATCTCGCGAGGCGGGATCGTGGATCGAACTGCTAAGGAGTCCGACAATAGGACGAAACGGCCGTCCAGTGCTTCAATTGATTCATGATTTCAACTATAAGAAATTACTGGAATCTCCACAAAAACCCCTTCTGAAGTAGAAAGTATTAAACTGACAGTTAAAAATAAGATTATACAAACAGAACAAGACAAAGACCTTAATAAATATATAGTTAACAAAATGTAGAATTTGAATGGGTTCATAGAAATGTTCCTAATAACAAAGCTAATTTAGATGTGTCATTTGTAGAAATAACTTTGTGACCTCGATTGCAAACATAATAATGTTTAACTATGAATTGGTATACATACAATAAAAATTGCATTTATTTACTTAAGTAACAGTATCTGTAAATGAGGAATATACATCGCATAAACCAGCTATTCTGAATTTTTACAAGACTTCTTGAGTATCTCAAGGGTTACATTTCAGACTACGAAGATAGGCGACATGAGGTCGAATCCTCAAGAGAGTACCAATTGCCCCAAGATTACAAGTACATCTTGCCCACATATGTCATATAGCAGGAAACCTAGGTCTATGAATTCTTGTCGAATAACTTCAATCGCCTAACTCTTTAGTATGTAGAGGATAAATTCCTCTATATCTGACTCCAATAAATAAATAATATCCCGCTAACTGATTATTTACTGCAGGCTAAATCCCGTAGTAGAATTACGGGTTTACTTGAGATTCTTCAAAAGCCTGAACACCAGTTATAGAGATAGTTTATTGTTGAAGCTTGGTAAAAATTCGCAAGCGTACAGATAGCAAGCACACTGGGAAAGCAAGTGAGCGTATGTGTGTGGGTGTGAGTGTTAAAAATCCATATATATTTTTGAGTGTTAATGAATTGTGGATAAATTATTGATTGTCTTTGTTTACAACCAATGAGAGAACAGAATAAGGATTGATGTGCAGACATATGCGCTCAATCAGACTCACACATAAATTTACAAAGTGGATTAAATGTTAAGATTACAAAGAGCACACAAAAAATACAGTAGTTGAATGGGTTTGCTACAAGTATAATCCATGCAGTGTCGAGTTCCTTGAACTAGTGATCACATTACAAATCAATTGATGGAATTTGATTAGCATTGGCAAGTAATAGATAAACGTGACATTGGTCATTATATATATATATATATATATACAAAGACTTACCAAAATAACGATTATTCGTATAAGTATTTGATGTTTCATGTATCGATTCATCAGAAGTTAATGATGAAGAAGATAGTGATCGTTCCTCAAAGTTTGCAATAGATAATGTTATGTTATTATTATTATTACTATTGTCACTACTATTAGCAATAGTAGTATGGTTCACGAAAGAATTTTCATTAAATGTGTACTGGATAAAATGTACAAGAAATTCATAAAAATTATTAATGCCATATAGTCTAATGAATTGTACTTGTGTAAAAGCATCTTCTAGTATAGTGAATAATTGATCAATTGAATTGTTATACTTATCATTGTATGAATCCCCACTATTCAATGATGACTAAAATGTGAAAAAAAAAATAGTAGTGTAATAAAAACAAGAGCACGATTGAAGACAATCGAATGTATTCAAGGACAAGATTACAGACTATCTCATTACAATCTTATAACCATACAGTAAATAGGTAATTTGCAAACTATCAATCAATTCACTTAGTATTGTTTGTTTGGATCTTCCCATCGATGTGTTTAGGACTGCAACTGGTCAGTTTCTAATTGGCATATGTGCATACTGTGCGTATTGCCTCGATATACCTTAATTCACAAGCATGGTAAGCAGAGATGGATAGTGGCTAGCAGTGGAATCCAGGACGCGCGTTTCGTCCTATTTGGGACTCGTCAGCTGGATGTACCTGCATCTCACCCCATCGCACAAGCAAGTGGCTATCAGGACTCAGTGGCCGAGTGGATAACGCGATGGCGTTTGAAGCGAGGGTACTGGGTTCGAGTCCCAGAGTGAACATCAACTCTGAGATGTAGGTACATCCAGCTGACGCGTCCCAAATAGGACGAAACGCGCGTCCTGGATTCCACTGCTAGCCACTATCCATCTCTTCTTATCAATCAATTGTCTTAATCTTAACTGTTCCTTCTGCAAATATCAGTCCGTCTTCTCTGATTTCATTGTTTATGCGTTTTCGTATACATTGCGCTTCATTTCTATTCGTTCCTTATCGATTTTCTGCCAAAATACATTCTATGTCTGACTATCACCATATACTACTTATATGGATATAAATAGACCACACCACAATAGATGCCTATCAAAACTTAATTATTACTATGAAAAGAAAGACAAATTGTGTATATATGTGGATTTGTGTTAATTATAGAAATCAAGAATATACTATTTTGATAATCATACTATCAAGCATATACATTAATTTTCTCTCAATCTGATATTTTATTGATCAGAAAGGGTTTTGTGGAGAATTTAGTATGTTCATAGTTGAAATCATGAGTCAGTTGAAGCTAGACCACCATCGAAAACCTGGAAGCACTGGATGGCCGTTTCATCCTATCATGGGACTCTTCAGCAGCGCGAATCCACGATCCCGTCTCACGAGATTCGAACCCAGGACCTAACAGTCTCGCGCCAGAGCACTTAACCGATAGACCACGGAGCCGGCATCCAACAGCTTTAAAGTCTAACTTCAACCAAGCCACGATTTTGAGCAACCGTTCACTAATTGTCTTCAGTGAGTCGATATCTCTACAACAGACTTGGTGGATATTTTATTGATATTTTATTCATTAACGTTTATGTGAGTTTGTTGGAGAGACCTAGAAAATTCCTCGGAAAAAGCCGAAAATATGGCTCTGAAAACGTTGAGAAGCATCTTGTCTAATCAGCATTCAATGCAAGTTTACCAGAAACATCTATAAAGTGAAAAGTCAAATGTCACATTTCTAATTGCATGATTGTTTATCCTGCTACTATGTTTAGTAGCGTACCAGAACTTTCTAGAAACCCAAGGCGATTTAAAATGCTATAAATACCCTTGATTATCTGTACATAAACGAACCTCGTAGTAAAGTATAATTTCTATATTTCGCGCCTTTTCTCTCGTGTTAACGCAGCCGTATAGACTTAGTCTGGAGGGTTACTAGAAGATCTTACGAAACCGAATTAAGCATTGAGTTAAGAGATTTATCAGATTTATCGCTAATGTCAAAGTTTAGTTAGACTGCATCATTTACATTAACAGCGTAAAGATGTATATAAAATAGTTGATTTAAATAAAATCTAAATCAAAAAACAATTAACTGAATATAGTTTGAAAAGCTTATCATGTTCTTTAGGTCTTTTTTTTCTTTCCAGTTATAGATGATTATTAGAACCAAGTAATTAGACTGGAATCTTCATTTATTACACCCTATCATTTCAAGTATCATGTTTTAGTCATCTCATTACATAAATACTGTTCTTTGACTATCGAGTTCTATGTAACATTTATCATTCCAAAACGCTTATTGCATTGTAACTATACCATTCTCACGCTCTCGTTATACGGCTTATACAAGAAAACAATGTGCTTACAAGGGTGATGGCTATTATGGTATATGTTGCAATAATAGTCCTGTACTCTACAATGTTGTCACTTATATGTATGCATTTATATACTTAATACTATTATAACCCTTGCGAGACGATAGCAATCGATGGTTAAAGACCTTGAATGACATGGCTCAAAATCGTTTACAATGGCACAGGTGCATCCACTCTTTGTGTTCTGCCAAATTCTATTCTTCTGAATTCTTCATGTCCCTATCTTTTTTTCTCTTTCCAAATTTATTTCACTGTATTATACTTCTTCAATAACATCTTCGAACCATATTCTTTCGGATTAATACTTATACTGTTACTACCTCTATCACTATGGGATTTGAATCGACAACTGGATCTTTGTGTTAATGTGGTATGGCTACTCGAACTGATGTACGTACGTATAAAGTTCTACGTTGTGACTGATTGACTAACTGATTGAACTCTTATGACAAAGGTTCAAACAAAACAATCTATACATTATGTTTTCTCAAATAATGTAAATTCATATTTTCTTATATGTTACACTCACTTCTATGTCGATCCGATCATCCTTGTGAATTAGAATGTACCATATAATGATTTTCAAAAGATAAATTATTACAACCGAACTTAATGAAATAATAATCTTATAGATATCATTCTATGACTACAGATTTAAATGTCACTTAGATATTGAATTAACATAATGGGACTACTTATTTATTGAATATCAATTTGTAAATTAGAATTTGAACTAAGTTGTTTATGTAGAGATGCATGAAACTACCCATTTGGCTGAACTGTAGATACTGTGATACTACTTAGGTGCCCAGACTGAATTAGGTGGTTTTCTTAGAGGGCCACACTCGGAGCTTTTGACCTAAAAGTGTGATCTACTAGGCAGTGAAGCATCATAAGGAGATGCAGTCCCATGTTAGTTGGTGACCAACGACTGGTTCAAATGCCATTTGTTCACTCAGACTACTGGAGTCCATGTGCACCATTGGTTTGGAATGAGGGTTTTCCAACTCCCCTAGGTGGACTCGCAGTGCCCACCAACCCGATTAAAGCTCCGGACATTCGCTTTTCGTCCTCTCAATTTCGTAAACAACCGTAATGTCGTGAGAAGACAGTGAGGAGGATTTCCCTGTCAGAGGCTATATACGCGAGGCCATGTGAGAGCATTTGGAGAGGGAGAGCGGACTCTTCCTATTCTCGTCCGTGTCAGGGTATTTAGGGGGGGATTCAAATACGTGATCAACTAATTACTTTATACGCTAAACTATCGCTCCCAGAAATAATATAGACGTTTTGTGAACTAGTAAACATCGTTGATGTTAACCAATATTGAACAAAAATTCAATTTTCATAGTCAAAAGCATGAGTCAATTGAAGCTAGACCATCAAGAAAAACTCAGAAGCACTGAACGGCCGTTTCATCCTATGTAGGGACTTCTCAGCAGCGCACATCCACGATCTCACCTCACAAGATTGGAACACAATACCTTTCAGTCGGTTAAGTGTATATATATATATATCCATAATATTGAAAGTAACATACCTCCGTATTTGGTATTATTTCCAATAAAACAATAATTGGAGGTAAAATTAAAGAACTTAATTTATGAACATTTTCCAAATGATCAATATCAGTATTCATTGAGAATTTGCCTTGGATAACTTTATTAATAAATGATATACTAAGTTCATTAAAATGTTTTTTAGAATCGTAATTTGAATTTTCAACTATCATTAATGAATGATAAAATAAATTTTGATTAAAATTAATCAACATTGGTGGATTTAACCAATTTGAATGGGAAATTAAAATAAGATAAGCTAATAATTCCCAATATGATTTGATTTCTTCAAAAATCTATGAAAATAAAAGGAGAAAAGATGAATATAATCATGATGATGATGAGAAGGATTAGGTTGCTGTTGTTGTTTACGAAATTGAGAGGACGAAAAGTGAATGCACGACGCTTTAACCAGGTCAGTGGATATATGTAAGGATGGCTCGTTGGTAAACTCCAGAAAGCCTAGAAAGAGCCGAAGATATTCCATCCAATCACTGTTAGGGGAATATTCTAGAATATCGACGTGTAGCTTCCATATTGGATGGATAAGAATGACCCCCTATGTGCCCATTGGCTGTCCGAAATGATGATTTACTTTCAGCCAAAAAAACTATAAATACATGGGGTTTTTGTACTATATTTTCACACTGTTTTGGGGAATAAAATTCCTAATTACTAGTCTTCTGTATTCTCTCTTGCGACGTGCGGGTTCGATCGTTCAATTAGTCTAATAGTACGCGGCATAGTAAGAATCAAAGCTCTAGATAAAACGATATAGAACATCCACCGAGGGGAGTTGAAAAACACTCATTTCAAACCAATGGTGCACATGGACTCCAGTATCCTGAAGGAACAAATGGCGTATGAACCAATTATTAATCACCAACTACCATGGGAATGCATCTCCTCACGATGCCTCTCTACCGCCTTGTGGATCAGATCTTTAAGTCGAAGACTTCAGGTGTAGACACCTAAGAAAACCACTTACTTCGGTTTCGGCACCCGGTCAGTATCACAGCCCTTACACAAATCAAATGAGATTTGTGTGGCGCATGTATGTCTGGTACCCCCCGGTACCAAAGTTTATGTTTTTAAATAATATTAATGACTAGTAGTAGAATCCAGAAAGACGAGATTTTTCAATATACAAACCATCAACTGAGTACACCTATATCCTGATGTTATTATTTTCATTGGGTTTCGAGCCCAGTACCACTCCTTTTTAAAATGTTGACACATTATTTAATAAACCATTAAGTTCAGATATTTATATCGAGACAAAACGCGCAGGGTACACATTTGCTAACAAAGACTGATCATAACTTAACCGTAATTACGTGTTATTATAAAAAGCTTAAAAATTAATAGAATCAAAAATACAGAAAAATGTTAAATGCAGTTGTTGGGATATTTCCCTTTTTTTATTTACCCTCAAGAAGAAAAAGATAAGTATCTTGGAATTCATAAACCCTAAATACGATGGATAGAAAGCTAGTTGTAGCAAATAATCTGATAGGAAGCTTTAGTGATCCAATATTACTTACTTACTTACTTACGCCTGTTACCCCCCTTAGAGGAGCGTAGGCCGCACACCAGTATTCTCCATACAACTCCGTCCTCATCAATCCTTTCCAGTTCCCATTCATCCTTTTCATATCTGCCTCTATTTGCCGACATAATGGGTTCTTTGACCTTCCTCTTTTCCGCTTTTCTTCCGGATTCCAAGTTAGGTATTGCCTCGTGATGCAGTTTGGTGTTTTCCCACATGTAGGTCCGATTCACTTCCAATGTCTTTTCCTAATTTCTTTTTCAGCTGGAAGCTGGTTTGTCCTCTCTCACAGTAGGCTGTTGCTGATAGTATCCGGCTAGTGAATGTTGAGTATTTTGCGTAGACAACTGTTTATAAATAATTGTACCTTCTTGACAATGGATGTAGTAGTTCTCCACGTTTCACCTCCGTACAGTAGGACTGACTGCCTTGACGTTCGTATTGAAGATTCTTTCTTTGAAGTTGGTTGACAGTTGTTTTTAGTCCCATATGTTCTTCAATTATAGAAATGCTGCCCTTGCTTTGCCAATCCTCGCCTTTAAGTCTACATCAGATCCTTCATGTCTATCAACGATGCTTAGTGATTGAATATGGGAGGGAGATATTAACTGTTGAAAATATTGATAGAATGTATTTTTGAATGAATACAATTTAAATTTATCTAAGACAAGTCGCAATATTATAAAAATGGTGCTGAGAGTTCATTGACTTAATCGAATTCCTAATATTGAATAAAGTTACTATTATTGTCATAAGTTCAAGGGTGATTCGTGGGAATTATAAAGTTTCCATAGTTACAATAACGCAATGATCATAGTTAGACCGTCATTGAAAGCCTAGAAGCATTACAAAGGCGTTTCGAGCTATTATGAGACTTCTTTCGCAGTACATATCTACGACCCCACTACAGAAGATTAGAACCAGAACGTTCGGTCTCGAGTACGAATGCATAACATTTATACCACAGAGCTGGTATCCAATGAAGTGAATGTCTAATTACAGACAACACTTAACATTCTATGATTATCTTCCATTATTTGAGGTGGATAACTGTATCACACTCAACATGTTTGCACTCCGCTGGTCACCGCTTTTCACTAGAATTACAGGCATTGCATCTTGAAGCCGGTCGATAGTGAGCAGATTATATTTATCAGTATATTTGAGAATATAGAGGCAGTGGTGTGGATAAAATCCGTTCTCGATTCAAACCGTTATTACTATCAAAGCTATTGAAAATATTCAAGAAGTTAAGGTAACTTTGTATTATTGTAATAACTTATTTAACAAAAAGTATATTACAAACAATTCAGTGGTCACACAGAGTTAGAACAAACTTCTTACCTCCGAATTCGATGTATGCAGTAACTTTTCTGATTCATTTAAAATATCAAAAAATAAGCCAGCTGTGGAATACATCAAACGTCTTTGAAACAGTCCGTATTCTTGCATTAACGATAATTGAATGTGGCCACTGGAGACTGTTGAACGACAATTCAACTGGACAGTTAAAATATTATTAACTAAACATCTATGATAATAATAAATAAATAAATGAAAAGTTAACACAAATTCTACAGTTATCATTACAGAATCGAAATACAAGTAAACTCTGTTAATTCAGATAATGCTGAAATTATAAAACATTGTCAAACACAAAAGTTGGGCTCTGTGATCACACATTTAGGTCGTCCAGACGACAACTAACCAAGTTTACGTTTTAAGTATTGGAAAAAGAAATACCAATTCCCTGAAAATTTCAAATATAAGTTAATCCCGAGCGCCAACCAGTATATAACGTTTCCAAGGTTTCCGTTGATTACGTTTAATCACTGGAGTAAACTCAGATCGGACGTCACATTTAAACTTGATTGACAGACTTTGATTAGATCTAAAAACTGGACAAATATGATATTGATTACTACTAGGTGATTAATCAGGACTGGCCTGAGTCAACACCTGAACAAAGTATAGAGAGTAAAGTAGTCGAACGCGCAGACAACTTCACTAATCTTAGAAGTCTGATCAGCCCTAATCGGTTGGTGTTTGACGAAATCTCAGCAGGGATTCAAAAAGCTCGTTCGGTTTTGCCAAATTACGTCTCACACCTCACAACAGATCCGGTTGGACTCCATTGACCACGCCTTCTCACTAAAACTCCAGGAAATATCTCTTGGAGACAGTCATTAGTGAGCATATGATAATTATAATCAGAGAAGGGTTTTGTGGAGATTTTAGTAATTTAATAATTGAATTCATGAGTCAACTGAAGCTAGACCATCATGGAAAACCTGGAAGTACTGGATGGCCGTTTCATCCTAGTGTGAGACTCATCAGTAGTGAGCATGCACGATCCAGCCCTCAGTATTCGAACCCAGGACCTGTCGATTTCGCGGGTGAACGTTTGAACTATAGACAGCTGAACCGGCATTCAACGGTTTTAATGCCTAACTCCGTCCAATCCATGAAATCACGCCACCGTCCACCATTGTCGAAACAACCGTCTAATGCCTCCACGTTTTCTACGGTGGTCTACTTTTAATTGACTAATGAACTGAACTATAAAATTATTAAAATCTATAGAAAACCCTTCGATCTAATTAAAAATTCTATTTCAATTAATAAATTCAGAAAACTTAATCATTTGAATATTTTAATGTCATATACCTTGTTCAAATTACTCAATAGGGTTAGTTTTTATAGATGCATTCATAAGGAACTGATTTTACACAGAGTCATTACTGTGAAACACTAATGATAGATATATTTGCTTAAAGCAAACAGTTACATATTGGACAATCAATTATTCAAAAAACAAAACAAAAATAAATTGAAACTATATCATACAGGCCCCCAAATGACCTGGTACGGACGAGAGTGAGGAGGGCCCACCCTCTCTCTTGAAATATTCTCACGTGGCCACGTGCATACAACTACTACCAGGGAAGTTCTACTCACTGCCTTCTCGCAGTATAACTGTTGTTTGCGAAAGTGAGAGGACGAAAAGAGAATGTCCGGCTCTTTATCTGGGTCGGTGGACATAAAAGTTTCATCTAAGGGAGTTGGAAAACCCTCATTCCAAACCAATGGTGCATATGGTCTCCAGTATCCTGATGGAACAAATGACGTATAAACCAATCGTTGATCATCTACTACCATGGGACTACATCTCCACACGATGCTCCACTGCCTTGTGGATCAGACCTTTAGGTCAAATGCTTCGGGTGTGGCCCCCTAAATAAACCACCTGCTTCAGTTTAGGCACCTGGGCAGTATCATAGCTCTCATACAAATCAAATGAGATTCGTGTGGCGCATATGTATCTGGGGCCTCTTTGTACCAATATTTGTGTTTAAATAAATAAATACCATAGAGAATAGTTGAATATTTAAATAAATTACTTACTTTAATAAGGAATATGAATTTCTTATATCCTTTCTATATATTATATTATCCATTAAATCATTATACATTTTCCAATTATTTATAATAATTAAATGATTATAATGAAATAATAATTGAATTTTGATTCCAATTAAATTCATAAAACATTCTAATATCGAATTCAAATATAAACAACAATCCCCATCATCTTCATTTTCTTTTTGTTCCTCATTAATGCTGATTTCATGGAATATTGGAACGATTACATAATCTATTACGTAATCTATTAATATAATATGATTATTATTATTATTATTATTATTATTATTATTATTATCTATATTCAATTGTAATTGTTTATATTGTATTTTATATAATTGATATAAAAATTTAATTTTTAATTTATATAATTTTTTATAATTAATTAAATATTGATTTAAAATTTTTTGTAATAAATTAATTTTTTGATTTTTAATTAAATTAATTAAAAAATTATAAATAATATAAAAATATAAATAATAATAATTATCATTACTATTATTAGTATTATTATTATTACCAATATTATTATTATTAATATTACTATTATTACTATTATTAGTATTATTATTATTATTATTATTATTATTATGTAAGGGATTAGATATATGAGGTAAAATGTAGAAATATAATCTGAATAATAAATCAAATATCCATTGAATACATTGATCATTTAAAAAATATATAGAATAAATAGATGTGATATGTATATATAGAAATTGTAATAATAAATAATAATATATTGATAAATTATGTATAATAGTAGTATCATTAATAAGTAGTATAATGTCTGCTTGAGATATTAAATAATCTAAGAAAACAAGTAAATAAGGAAATTTTTTATTATTAATGAGGATATGATTGTTTATTTGTTTATAATTTAATAATTGTTTATCTAAATCATGAAGATTATGAAATAAATTCATATAATAGTAATAATGATCATCATTATCATTATAGTTATACTTTATATAAGTAGTATCATTATGATCATTATCATTATATAATAAGTCATTATTGTATAATCCGTTTGTAAATTGTAGACTAGTTAGAAATTTATTCATTTCATTATGCCATTGATGATCAATATGAAAATATTGAGGATTCATATAGATGAAGTATGTGAAAGTATCAATTAAAGTTAATTTTAAAGGTAGACAATGAATAGTATCATTTGAAATAAACCATTGAATTAATAATTTCTTTAAATTTGATAATAAATTATCGTTGATAGGAAGATTATTATTTGATTTTTGATAATATTTTAAACAATTATATATGATTGATAAATTTTCAAAAATAATCACCATAGTTACTAAATGGGAATTATTTCTGAAAAAAAAATCAATAAAAGAGAAATGATTAGAAGGCGGGTTTTGTGGACATTTTAGTAATTTTATATAGTTGAAGTTATGAGTCAATTGAAGGTAGATCATTATGGAAAACTTGGATGCACTGGACGGTTGTGGATGCGCACTGTTGACGAGTCCCATAATAGGACGAAACGGTCGTCTAGGGCTTCCAGGTTTTCTATGGTAGTCTAGCTTCAATTGACTCATGACTTTAACTATATAAAAAGAAATTCATATTAGATATTTTATGATCAAAAGTTATTAGACAAAAGTTATTAGAAATTTATGAAGATAACCAATACATATTTTGATGAAGTTTTGTTCTCTGAGCTGGATGGTTTGATCGTGGAGCTATCATCGTCTTTCTGAACGATATCATCAGCACAAACTTGGGTAAGAGGTGAAGTGTTTGAATTTTTCCACATATGGCTGACAGCTTGTCCTGCATATCTCGATGTTGATTGGTTGTTGTTGACCTTGAATCTGTCATTGTTTATTTCTTTGTTTTGGTTTTATCTCCCAATCGTTTGGTTTTTGTACACGACAAGCTATGAACAACATGTGGAGACATTGAAACACTTCACTTCTAACCGAAGTTGGTGCTGACGATTTCGTTCAGGTGGACGATGAAAGCTCCACGACCAAACCATTCAGCTCAGAGAATAAAACTCCATCAAAATCATTCACTTGAGCTACAAATATTCTCCACCATCGCAACCAATGCATATCCTAGGCCTATTAATAAATGAAAACGTATATTTAAATACCTTCAAGACAAATTGTGAAAGTTAATATGGAATAGTGTCATAATGTATAAAGTACTCAACCTGTAAAGTTATTTTGTCTCATATACATTCATTCAAGAAATCATCAGGTCTCATCATTTCTTCATCTAAACATGTTGACTAAAACCTCAAAACAAAAACCTGTGTAAGTGATAAACTCTATAAAATAGTAAACAAAGATAGATAGCGGCTAGCATTGGAATCTAGGACGCGCGTTTCGTCCTATTTGATACACGTCAGCTGGATGTACCTACATCATAGAGTTGATGTTCACTCACGCACAGTATGTACATATGCCAATTAGAGACTGACCAGTTGCAGTCATAAACATCAATGGGAAGATTCAAACAAACAATACTAAGTGAATCTATAAAATAATGTTTTGATCAAATGATTTCTTGAAATCAATCAATCAATAAAAAAATCTATTTTAAGTGCTTTATATCACTTCATTACATCATAAAATCTTGTTCTATTATCGATTTCAAACGATTGCATCATTAAGTGTCGTTACCTTTTTTTGCAAATCGATAATCTTATCTTAACGAACTAAGCTTTAATTATCAGAAGGGGCTTTGTGGAGATTTAGTATGTTTAATAGTTGAAAGCACAAAGACCCTTCTGATAATAATTATAATCATATGCTCACTAGTGACTTTGGGAAGTACATCCAGGAGCTCTAGTGGGAAGCAGTGACCAGTGGAGTGCAAACCACGTCTGTCGTGAGATAGAAACTCCCTGATGACAATTGGTGAATGGTTGCTCAATTTCGTGGATCAGTTGAAGTTAGACATTAACACCATCGGATGCCAGCTCAGTGGTCTATCGGTCAAGGGCTCTGGCTCGAGACTGGTAGGTCCTGGGTTCGAATCTCGTGAGGCGAGGTTGTGGATGCGCACTGCTGAGGAATCCCATAATAGGACGAACTGAGCTTTGTTTACTTTATTCATATTTATTATTAGAGTTTGTTTATATATTTGAACACAAATATTGGTACGAAGGGGCTCCAGATATATATACGCCACACAAAACAATGAGAATGGGAAAAGAAAAGAGGTAAGATGTATATAAAAAATAAAAATATTAAGATTAATGATGGGGGGAACTGAAATGTACAACCAGAAGATCTTTCAGTTAAGGAAGTTATGACCATTCTTTATGAAGTAAAAGAAAAGTACAACAGGATCACTATTAGCTTCTATTCTAAGCCGTGTGTGATAATGTCTCTAGCCACTGTGTTGCACCATCTCTCGGACTCCAACCAGGGAGTTGTGAAGGACCAACAGAAGCTAGCCCTTTGCAGCTTTCTTTCATACCACGACACCATGTCATACACTGACCTCCTCTCCGCTTTTTCCAACCAGTCCCAGAGTCGGCAAACAATGCACGACGTGGAATTCTCTGGGACGACATTCGTAGAATATGTCCAAACTACTGAAGTCGGTGTTTCAAGATGGTGACACCAATTGAATTATCGTCTCTGTGCCCGAACACACAATGCCGAACTTGTGCATTACTAACATGGTGTTGCCATTGGATGTCAGCAATGCTTCGGAGACAACGATGATCAAACACAGAGAGTCATTTAACATCCTCAGCTCGGAGATGCCATGTTGGCAGATACAGACTACCTGGTTGAGGTCCGCATGACTGTCGTAACCAATGGTCGGAGACTCTGTGTGACATGGCTCAGAATCGATCACAATGGCGTAGGTGTATACACTCTTTATCTTTCCTTAAACCTTGAGATTAAAAAATTGCTTCATAACTTTCTTCCTTCCTATAGTATGTCCTTATATACCACCTTTCTTTTATATACTAGCACCACTAAATTAACTACTTCTATGAATCCGGTGTTCATCTTCTTCTGCTAATGAGGTATAGCAACTTGGACCGATGCATATGTGTGCCTGGTCCTACGTTGTGACTGACTGACTGAATCCCGACCGTTGCTGCTACCTTGACGTGGTGGTCGGGCTTGCCTATCGTGATGATCCAATCGAGCTATGCTGGCTGGAACAATCGTTCCTCGAGGTCCTACCATGCCAGACAGGTCGGTTGAAGAGCGGTGAGACTAAAAGCAGCAAACCAAAGGTCCGAAGGCGAAGTCGTACTGCTGACTGTACAGAGGTGTGAAAGCAGTAAGGTGTTTCCTTCAGACAACCAGCATGACAGCGATGCTGCCTTCCCACAAGGAGGGGTGGGGTTAGAAAAGGTCGACCCTAAAAATGCACACCTCGCCTTATCCCACGGATATCCGTCTCCGGCGGTAAGGTTTTTTTTTGAAGAACGGAGCTAACACAAAAACTACCCACAAAACGTCGTGTGTGACCGACCTCAAGCAGTTGTCCCTTGGGCACTGCGGTCACGCTCTCAGGTCATTAAGACCACTTCTAACCCAATTTCCTTTTCAGGTACCCCCAGGAGAACCCTTCCACGGTGTGGGCAACCGGGAAGTGATAACTGCCCTCGTACCTCTAACAGCACTCAAGACCACTGTATTCATAATCAATCTCCTTCAATTCCTACTATTACTTCTACCTTGACTTTCAACACTAAACTTCTTCTTCCGGTTTCCTCCTCAAGTGTCACCATGGCCAACGATTCTAGTGCGCGAAACGCGATCCCAGGTCTACTAAAACCTCGCTCCAAACTACACATTGGAGCCTTCAACGTACGTACCCTATGCCAAATCGGTCAACAGGCCTCCTTAGCTAAAACCTTAGAGTCGCGTACCATTGATGTATGCTGTGTCTCCGAAACACGCATACAGGATCCTAGTGTGGTCATTCACTTGACCTCACCTCGCCAAAATGGACAGCCAACGAAATACACCCTCCGTGTATCTGGCGACCCGATGGCTAGTTCTCGTGGACTTGCAGGTGTAGGTATAGCACTAAGTACAAGGGCAGAACAGGCACTATTAGAATGGATCCCCGTTAACAGTCGCCTGTGTGCTGTCCGGCTAAATGGCTCCGTAAGAACTCGGAAGGATAGGGACACACGTCGTTGCCTTTTCGTCGTTTCTGCCTACGCTCCCACTGATTGCAGCCATGATGAGGTGAAAGATGACTTCTACAGAAAGCTCTCTGAGCTTCTTCAGAAAGCTAAGCGCTCAGACATAGTAGTCGTAGCGGGTGACTTTAATGCCCAGGTAGGCAGCTTACATCAAACAGAAAGACATCTAGGTGGGTGTTTTAGTATTCCGGCTCAACGAACCGATAATGGTGATCGTCTGATGCAACTATGCTCAGACAATCGTTTATTTTTAGCAAGCACTAATTTTAAACATAAGGAGAGACATCGTCTAACATGGCGACCACCTGCACCAAACCAACGATGGACTCAAATAGACCATATTGTCATCAGTCATCGTTGGAGAGGCTCAATAGAAGATTGTCGCTCGTATTGGAATACTTGTTTAGACTCTGATCACGCTTTAATACGAGCACGCATTTGTCTGCGCCTCAATGGACGCAGGAAAAGTAAACTAAGAAGACCCGTTAGGATTGAACTGGAGGACGAGAAAGCCAAATGCGAATTCCAGAGACAACTGAGTTCACATCTAGGCAGTTCTGTAAACGAGACTGACCCAGATGCTGCTTGGAAAGACACACGAACAGCTGTGGAAACGGCAGTAACATCTATTAGTCATTTAAACCATAGGGCTCCAAAAAACCAGTGGATTTCTTCTAAGTCTATTTCACTGATGGATTCGCGTAAACTCATACCATCAGGCTCTGAACATGACGAAGAGCGTAAACAAATTAGATCTAGGTTAACTAAAAGTCTAAGGAACGATCGTGAGCAGTGGTGGGCAACGAAAGCAAAAGAGATGGAAAAGGCAGTGGCTGTAGGCAACACCAGGCAACTATCCAGACTAATAAAAGAAACCGGAATTAAGAAGTCAAGTGTAAGTGAGACGATCTCGGAAAAAGATGGAACCCTTATCTGCTCTCTACCCAAACGTTTAGAACGATGGGCGGAACACTTTAAGGAGCAGTTTAGCTGGCCTTCAGCTACTGCACAACTACCCACTATTCCTAGAAAACCTGAATGGAACATTGAAGTAGGCCCCCCGACCCTACTTGAAGTTCAAAAGGCTATAGGTAATCTGAAACGAGGAAGAGCAGCTGGTCCTGATGGATTGGCTCCAGAGGTCTTTAAATATGGTGGTCCAATTTTAGCGATTAGGTTGACTAATATTCTGGCTAAAATCTGGGAGACGGATGTAATCCCATCCGACTGGTCACAATCACTGATTGTCCCAATATATAAAAAGGGGTCAAAATCATCCTGCGATAACCATAGAGGGATTAGTCTGACTAACATAGTATCTAAAATACTAGCCTCAATAATTATCAGGCGCCTAACTAAAACTCGTGAACTGCAAACACGAGAAAATCAGGCTGGCTTCAGACCTGGTCGTGGCTGTATCGACCACATATTCACCATTCGTCAAGTTTTAGAACACAGACATGCTTATCGGCGTCCGACAATGATAGTTTTTCTTGACTTGAAAGCAGCATTTGTCTCTGTAGACCGAGAGGTTCTGTGGCAGTGTCTGTCATTGAAAGGTGCACCTGAGAAGTACATAAACCTTGTGAAGGCTCTTTACTCGAACACTATCAGTCGAGTGAGAGCTTATGGCGAACTGTCATATGATTTTACAACCTCAAGTGGTGTCCGTCAAGGCTGTCCACTATCCCCCTTTTTGTTTAACTTCATTATAGACCTGTTGCTGCAAATGACACTCTCGTCGACTGAGTTTACAGGAATTGATCTCCTATCAGGGGGACCACTAAGCGACTTAGAATACGCAGATGACATAGTCCTGTTTGGTGAAGACACTGACAAAATGCAGAGTCTTCTGTTGGAACTGAGTAATAATGCCAGGATGTTTGGGATGCGTTTCTCCACATCCAAATGAAAATTGTTACTCCAGGACTGGCCTGCGTCAACACCTGAACTAAGGATAGGGAGTGAAGTAGTTGAACGCGTCGACAACTTCACTTATCTTGGAAGTCTGATCAGCCCTAATGGGTTGGTGTGTGACGAAATCTCAGCACGGATTCAAAAAGCTCGTTTGGCTTTTGCCAACTTACGTCACCTATGGCGAAGACGAGATATCCGTCTATCAATTAAGGGACGAGTATACTGCGCAGCAGTTCGTTCTGTTCTACTTTACGGCTGTGAAACATGGCCATTAAGAGTAGAAGACACTTGTAGGTTACTAGTATTTGACCACAGATGCCTTAGAAATATTGCTCGCATCTGCTGTGATCACCGGGTAAGTAATAGTGAGGTTAGACGCAGGGTATTAGGTAACGATGGTAAATCAGTTGATGAGGTGATAAATCTTCATCGACTGAGATGGTTGGGCCATGTGTTACGTATGCCTGAACACCGATTACCACGACGCGCTATGATGACTAGTATTGGGGACGGTTGGAAGAGAGTTAGGGGCGGCCAAACCAAAACATGGCATCAGTGCTTGAAGTCACTAACTTCTAGCCTGAGCCATGTTGGCAGATGCAGACTACCTGGTTGGGGTCCGCGTGACTATCGTAATAAATGGTTGGAGACTCTAGGTGACATGGCTCAGAATCGATCACAATGGCGTAGGTGTATACACTCTTTATCTTCCCTTAAACCTTGATATTAAAATTGCTTCATATCTCTCTTCCTTCCTACTATATCCTTATATACAACCTTTCCTTTTATACTACCACCACTAAATTAATTACTTCTATGAATCCGGTGTTCACCTTGTTGTGCTAAAGAGGTATGGCAACTTGGACCGATGCATATATGTGCCTGGTCCTACGTTGTAGCTGACTGACTGACTGAATAGCAATTTTAATCGCTGAAAAATTCCCCTCATATTAAAACAATTATATGAACGAAGAATATTCTTTTCAATAATTTCTCATCGGGTACTCTATAATTATAAATTAATAATCCATAAAAGAAGATTGGCCAAGTTTAAGGCAGAGTACATCAATTGAAGAAACTGTAATATGTGAATCAAGGATTGTTTGTCATATAAAATAAGATCGAATCGTTAATGTTTTTGGGATGACTAATATGAAGTGAATTAAAATCGTAAGATAAATTATCAGAATATATATAGTTGACATGGGGGTGAGAGATAGAACAATGGGATTACAAATCGGAAATTACGTAATATGTAGAATTATATAAATTAGGTCAGATATAGTAGATAGGGGGTGGATGATAAATAAATTTCTATAAAAGGTTAGCAGGTGTGATAATAATAATAAAGATAATAATAAGAATAAGAATAATGACTGATAAGATGTGTAGATAAGACTAAGATATAGAAATGTTTTAGCCCATTTAGTTCAGACGGGACATAGAGCCGACATTGAGCAATCTTTCACAGTAATATATCGTGTAAATAGCAGTCTACCTAATTCTGTCAGACAGAGAATCCTGCAGACGGCTGAGGCAATTGCTATTCGGATCAAAAAGCCAGAGCTCTGCATCCAAAAGAAATATGTACAGCCACTCCTTTTACCCTGGCCAACTTCAGGGTCAACTTGTTAATAATCAATTTTGTAATAAGGTGACATTAATTTGATTAATGTTCATTTCTATATCTTAGTCTTATCTACACATCTTATCAGTCATTATTCTTATTCTTATTATTATCTTTATTATTATTATCACACCTGCTAACCTTTTATAGAAATTTATTTATCATCCACCCCCTATCTACTATATCTGACCTAATTTATATAATTCTACATATTACGTAATTTCCGATTTGTAATCCCATTGTTCTATCTCTCACCCCCATGTCAACTATATATATTCTGATAATTTATCTTACGATTTTAATTCACTTCATATTAGTCATCCCAAAAACATTAACGATTCGATCTTATTTTATATGACAAACAATCCTTGATTCACATATTACAGTTTCTTCAATTGATGTACTCTGCCTTAAACTTGGCCAATCTTCTTTTATGGATTATTAATTTATAATTATAGAGTACCCGATGAGAAATTATTGAAAAGAATATTCTTCGTTCATATAATTGTTTGAATAGCAATTATTGAAAAGAATATTCTTCATTCCTATAATAGTGTTTTAATATAATAGGAATTTTTCGGGCTTTTAGTCTTAAAGTTTCTTTCCATCCTCACTATACTATGATGATGTATGTTCAACAATTTTTTTCCAGTTACATTCGTTTATGTAAATAATTAAACCCAATTTTTCATTGTGATTTTTAAATGTTACACTCAGTAAACGATTGATGAGAACCCAATGAAATAAGTGTTATATCTAGAGCCTTGATTCTTAATATGCCGCGAACTACTTGACTACTTGAACGATAGAATCCGCAACGTCGCAAAGAGAGAAGACAAAGACTGGTAAGCAGGAAGTTTATTGCCCCGAACAATGTCAAAATATAGCACAGAAATCTCGTGTATTTATAGTTTTTGGCTGAAAGTAAATTATCATTTAGGTCAACCAATCAGCACATAGGTATCAAACTAATCCATCCAATGAAGAAGCTCCACGTTGGCATTTCTAGAACATCCCCCTAGCCCTGATTGGATGGAATGTCTGCGGCTCTTCCTGGGCTTCCTAGAGCCTCCTCGACTTCACCTGTGGACCATCCTCACAATAAGATAAGACAGATTTATCTCTATTTTGAATTTTTGTTCTCGGTCTCTTCATGATATATTAATATCAGTACTAATACTAATATGCCCCCAAATGCCCTGGTACGACCGAGAGTGGAGAGGGTCCTCCCTCTCACTCGAAATATTTTTACGTAGCCACGTGCATAGAACCACTGCCAAAGAAGTCCTACTCCCTGCCTTCTCACGGCATTACGGTTGTTTACGAAATTGAGAGGTGGAAAAGCGAATGTCCGGCACTTTAATCGAGTTGGTGGACACGGAAAGTTCACCTAGGGGAGTTGGAAAACCTTCATTCCAAACCAATGATGCACATAGGCTCCAGTATCCTGAAGGAACAAATGGCGTATAAATCATTCGTTGTTCACCTGCTACCATGGGACCGCATCTTCTCACGATGCTCCACTGCCTTATGGATCAGACTTTAAGGTCAATGGTACCGGATGTGGCCCTCTAAGAAAACCACCTGTTTCGGTTTGAGCACCTGGGCAGTATCACTGCTTTCACACAAATCAAATGAGATTTGTGTGGCGCATATGTATTTGGTGCTTCCTTGTACCAAAATTTTTGTGTTTAAATAAATACCAATACTAACAATACTAGTGATAATAATATGACTTCACATGAAATTGGTTGCTACTCAGTGATAAAATAGTCATTTGTAAAAATACTTGATTACCAAATCTAGAAATATTTTAATCATGTCTTGAACCAACAGTTCTGTTATTGAAAACAAATACTTTAACCACTGGAACATCGCTCCACACACACAAAAAAAACATTTATAAGCAAAGATGGATCGCGTTATCATGATAGCCGCTTGCTTGTGCGATGGGATGAAGTTTAAATTCACTTAGTATTGTTTGTTTGAATCTTCCCATTGATATTTTTAGGATTGCAACTGATCAGTCTCTTATTGGCATATGTGCATACTGTGCGTATTGCCTCGATATAGCCTTAATTCACAAGCATTATAAGCAAAGATGGATGATGGCTAGCAGTGGAATCGAGGCAAAACACACATTATGCACATATGCCTATTAGAGACTGACCAGTTTCCGTCCTAACACATCGATGAGAAGATTCAAACAAACAATACTAAATGAATATAAAAACACTTATATCCTAAAATTTTCAAAAAATCTTTAATTAATCGTTATTGTTACAATTCTAACGTTCAAGTCTATCGGTTAAGGGCTTCGGCTTGTGACTGGTAGGTACTGGGTTCGAATCTCGCGAGAGCGGTTTCGTGGATGCGCACTCCTGAGGAGTCCCATAATAGGACGAAACTGCCATCCAGTGCTTCCAGGTTTTCGATGGTGGTCTAGCTTCAATTGACTCATGATTTCAACTTTGAAAAATTCTATATATATAAAAAAAGTATCACTTAGTTTACTTACTTAGTCTTAGTAAACTTTTCATAAATCGATATAATGACATTTTCTAATTCTGTTAAAATATTCATATTGAATGTTATTAATACATCGTTGTATTGAATTGAATATTCTTCATTCATATGTATAATAAACTGGATCAGATTGATATATTTACAAAGAATAGTTATTATATGAGGATATGTACAGCAGAATTGAGGAAGTTTAGTAGTCATATTCTTTGTTAAATAAGTCTGCAATAAATCTATATTGAAAGAATTTGAATGTTTAGGATACAGAACACGTTGATGAGGAATTGATGTAGACTTTGAACAATCAAATAGATGAAGATGATGTTTAGTAGGTGATTTATCATTTTCACTATAAAAAAAAAATATATTGAACAAACTATTTAGATGAGTTTTTTTATTAAAACAAAATGGCGAAATATAAATTGTGAAAAAGTGTCTAAACATACAGCAATTACAGGATAGATAATCTCTATCAAAGTATGGAACTGTCATTACATTGAATACAACATGAATATTTATTTTAATGTTTCACATCACAAATTTACATTAGTTAGACAACTATTGAAAGAATCGAACATTTACTTTGTCTTAGTATAGCACTCCTCGGAAATAAGTAATCAAAAACCTACTACAGATTGAATTCGAAACATTTAGGTCTCATAATAAGCCGTCAACCTTTAGAAAATTGAGTTGATAGAGAAAAATTATTGGATACCATCAAATTTGGCCAAAATATTAAAATATCTTACAAATTTTTGCTTACCTCGGTTAATTAATACTCCTTAAAGGTAATTATTTAACTCCGCTCGTAGCTCCTCTGGGGGTTACTGCCGGTCCCAAGCCCGGGTAAAGGAGGAGGGATGGGCATGGGGTTAGCGACCCCATCCCGTAGAAAATCAACTCGCTAAAAAAACGCTAACCAGAAAAAATCATTCAAACATTTCAAACTCTGCCCTGGGAGTAGAAGGAATAATTATGACGTCTCATGATGAAAGCTGAGTGCCTTCGGAAGTCATGAGGCCGATGCACCTTCTTACAACCAGAGCAACAATTTTTATAGGTACATGGAATATCCGAACAATGTGGGAGACCGGAAGAGTTTTCCAAATTGCTGCAGAAATGAGAAAATACAACCTGGAAGTGCTTGGAATCAGTGAAACACATTGGACGCAGGTTGGACAACAACGACTGTCTTCAGGGGAACTTCTGTTATACTCCGGTCATGAAGAAGAAAATGCCCCACATACACAAGGAGTTGCATTGATGCTGTCCAGAAAAGTACAAAATGCACTTATTGGATGGGAATCTCATGGACCAAGGGTCATCAAAGCCTCCTACAGAACAAAGAGAGAGGGCATTACAATGAGCGTCATCCAATGCTATGCGCCTACCAATGACTACGATGAAGACGCTAAAGACCAATTCTACGATAGGCTGCAGTCGATCTTCAAAAGTGCACAACCAAGGACCTGACAATTCTGATGGGAGGTCTCAATGCTAATGTTGGAATGGACAACACTGGATACGAAGATGTCATGGGACAACATGGACTGGGAGAAAGGAACGAAAATGGTGAGAGATTTGCAAACCTATGTGCCTTCAATAAACTGGTCATAGGTGGCACCATATTCCCACACAAAAACATACACAAAGCCACTTGGATTTCACCGGATCACACTACACAGAATCAAATCGACCATATCTGCATCAACAAAAAGTTCACGAGGACGATGGAGGATGTGAGAACCAGAAGAGGAGTTGATATAGCATCCGACCATCATTTGCTGGTCGCCAAGATGAAACTAAAACTCAAGAAGCAGTGGACAACGGTGCGGACAACATCACAAAACTTTAATACGGCCTTTCTTCGAGATGCTGACAAACTCAACAAATTCAACATAGCCCTCAGCAACAGGTTCCAGTCCTTTTATGATCTACTCAATGGAGAGGGGACTACCATGGAGAGCAACCGGAAAGGTATCAAGGAGGCAACCGTTTCAACATGTCAAGAGGTTCTGGGCCAAAAAAAGCACCATCACAAGGAATGGATCACTGTTGGTAAACTGGATAAAATTGAAGAAAGGAGGAACAAGAAGGCAGCAATCAATATCAGCCGAACCAGAGTGGAAAAAGCCAAGGCAAAGGCAGAATACACAGAGGCAAACAAGCCAGTGAAGAAGAGCATCAGAACCGACAAACGTAAATATGTGGAAGATTTAGCGATGAGCGGAAAGGCTGCAAGAGAGGGAAACATGAGACAACTGTATGATACAACAAAGAAACTTTCTGGTAATCACCGTAAGCCAGAAAGACCAGTGAAAAGCAAGGAAGGCAAAGTAATCACCGACATTGAAGAACAACGAAACAGGTTGGTAGAACACTTCGAAGAACTATTGAATTGACCAGCCCCACTTAACCCACCCAACATCGAAGAAGCACCCACAGACCTCCCAATCGATATTGGCCCACCAACAATTGAAGAGATCAGCATGGCCATTAGACAAGTCAAGAGTGGCAAAGCAGCGGGACCAGACAACATCCCGGCAGAGGCACTGAAAGCAAATGTAACAGCAACTGCCAAGATACTCCACATCATCTTCAGTAAGATTTGGGACGAAGAACAAGTACCAACAGACTGGAAAAAAGGACTTCTGATCAAGATACCAAAGAAAGGCGATCTCAGCAAGTGCGACAACTACAGGGGCATCACTCTTCTCTCAATACCAGGAAAAGTCTTCAACCGAGTATTGATAAACAGGATGAAGGATTCCGTAGATGCCCAACTTCGAGATCAACAAGCTGGATTTCGTAAGGATAGATCGTTCACAGATCAAATCGCAACTCTACGTATCATTGTGGAACAATCAATCGAATGGAATTCATTACTCTACAACAACAACAGTAACAGCCGTAAGTAAGTAAGTAAGTAAAGCAGGACTGAAAGAAACATCTGTTTCTTGATGGGTTTAGTACCGTCAACAGTACGATTCCACTTTTTTTAAAACTTGGGTACATTTAGGTACATACTTCTTAATTTCGCATGCTGCTCCCAATGGAGCATAGGCCGCCGACCAGCTTTCTCCAACCCACTCTGTCCTGGGCCTTCTTTTCTAGTTCTATCCAGTTCTTGTTCATTCTTCTCATGTCTGTCTCTATTTCCCGGCGTAATGTGTTTTTCGGTCTTCCTCTTCTCCTTTGACCTTCAGGATTCCATGTGAGGGCTTGTCTTGTGACGCAATTAGGTGATTTCCTCAAGGTGTGCCCAATCCACTTCCATCGCTTCTTCCTGATTTCTTCCTCCGCTGGAATCTGATTTGTTCTCTCCCACAGTAACTTGTTGCTGATAGTGTCTGGCCATCTGATCCGAAGTATCTTGCGTAGACAGCTGTTCATAAACACTTGTATCTTCTGGATAATGGCTTTCGTAGTTCTCCACGTCTCCGCCTCATACAGTAGAACTGTCTTGACATTTGTATTGAAAATTCTAACCTTGGTGTTGGTTGACAATTGTTTTGAGCTCCAGATGCTTTTCAGTTGTAGGTATGCTGCTCTTGCTTTGCCGATCCGCGCCCTCACATCTACATCTGATCTACCGTGTTCATCAATGATGCTGCCCAGATATGTAAAGGTTTCCACATCTTCCAAAGCTTCTCCATCAAGTGTAGTTTGATTGGTGCATATTGTATTGTATCGGAGAGTCTTGCTTTTCCCTTTGTTTATATTGAGACCTACTGTTGCTGAGGCTGCTGCTAAACTGGTCGTTTTCTCCTGCATTTGTTGTCGCGTTTGTGATAGAACAGCCAGATCATCCGCGAAGTCTAGATCGTCAAGCTGCATCCTGCCTATCCATGTATTCCGTGATTTCCTCCAGTCGTTGACGTCTTCATGATCCAGTCGATGATTAGGAGAAAGAGAAAGGGTGAGAGTAAGCAACCTTGCCTAACACCGGTCTTTACCTCGAACGAGTCAGCGAGTTGTCCTCCGTGGACGATTTGGCAGTTTAGTTCATCATAGGAGTTCCATATGATATTGACTATCTTCTCAGGCACGCCGTAGTGTCGAAGAAGCCTCCATAGTGTCGTCCTGTCCACGCTATCAAATGCCTTCTCGTAGTCGATGAAGTTGTTGTAGAGTAATGAATTCCATTCGATTGATTGTTCCACAATGATACGTAGAGTTGCGATTTGATCTGTGAACGATCTATCCTTACGAAATCCAGCTTGTTGATCTCGAAGTTGGGCATCTACGGAATCCTTCATCCTGTTTATCAATACTCGGTTGAAGACTTTTCCTGGTATTGAGAGAAGAGTGATGCCCCTGTAGTTGTCGCACTTGCTGAGATCGCCTTTCTTTGGTATCTTGATCAGAAGTCCTTTTTTCCAGTCTGTTGGTACTTGTTCTTCGTCCCAAATCTTACTGAAGATGATGTGGAGTATCTTGGCAGTTGCTGTTACATTTGCTTTCAGTGCCTCTGCCGGGATGTTGTCTGGTCCCGCTGCTTTGCCACTCTTGACTTGTCTAATGGCCATGCTGATCTCTTCAATTGTTGGTGGGCCAATATCGATTGGGAGGTCTGTGGGTTCAGTGGGTGTATATAAACGGTAAACACAAATAAAATATACTTACTTTTCAAAATCAGGAATGCAATCAGTGAAATCAGCTCTTTCAACTGATTTTTTGAAACGTGTTGAGGTAATATTTCTTCTGATTGCAGACTTATATTGATGCTTTCTAGTTTTTATAGGAAATCGATCGATAAAATTTGCGTCCGTAATATCTGAATGTGATACATCATCATGAAAAGAACTACCTATTTTTTCGTATATACAAATGGTATTCCAATTTATGGAATTCTTATAGCACCTGCAATTATATTTCCCACTGAAATCGCAAATTGACGAAGAAATTCGATGTTCATGTGAATCTAGAACGAGATACAATTACTTTCAGTCACGTATTTTAAAAACAGTAAGATTGCTGAGAAGAAATTTGAACAACACAACTTTTAGGTGAGAAAAGATGTGATGTACAATAAACTGGTAGTGAATAATATTCCATACGGCAATAATTTTTATAAAACCCGACACTAAAGTGCTAGTCAGTTATAAACAATAACATGGAAAATATGTGCACCATTCCCATCTTGCCATATCAAAATCACAGGGACATCGAACTGCCAATATAAGTATCAAATTAGACGAATCGTATCAAAGCATAAGTAATAAGTGACTTCTGAAAGGATAACTTCGTGATGGTCTAAATACAAAGGAAATGCTGAAAGTCTGAACTTTGTCTCACAGTTCAAACTGCACTCGTTTTTGAGAAAATACAACAAGTCAGAGCAAAAGTTGGAACAGATGCATAAACAATAAATTTTACCTACACATCGGAAAACTAGAAAAAAACTACGATTTTACGGACTGTAAACACAAATATCATTATTTATTATTAAAAAAATAGGCTTTTATTGAAATATTGGTCACAAGTTTAACCACTAACAACAATACAAAACAATTTTTATCCCATATATATTCTTAATCATGCATATTTTTTATCACAACTAACCGCCAAAAGTGACTAAAGTTTGCAAAAAGACAAGGAGAAATTCGGGTGTATGCTTAGAGACCTCCAAGCTATGCAAAGTGATTAGTGTTTTCAACTACTACCTTTCCTGAGATTATGAAAATCGCTGGCATATCACGGTTTTGAGACGTTTCACGCTTATATTTCGAGAAGAAAGCTTAAATAATTTGTAAATTTTTGTTAAAAGATTTCAGAAAAACCAGATTTTCGAGATTTTTATCAAACAAGATAGTGTGATCTGCACATTCTGAAGAATTAGTTTCACTGAGAAGTAGACGAAATAGAAAGCTCGTGTTAAAACCCACCATATTTTAAGGGGCAGACAGTAAATTTTACTGTTTTATCAATATTATACGCATGTCATTCTGAAATGAAGAAGACATCACTGCTAAACATTTGTGTCGATATCGAAGGATCAGTTAGAGATTCATAAAATAAACTGGAATCAAGAATGATTGACAACAAACCACAAAGTATCACCAGGCATGATTTGATTGTCATTTTGTCTAGCATTTTAGAAAGACGTGGACACGAAAATTAAAACCTCTCCCTATGACGTCGTATTCCATTCGTTATTCAACGGATTTAATACACGAATTTTGTTTTTTTTTACCAATAATGTCCACAATGCTCCGGATACTTTTGAAAACTGAAAATAAAAAGCAATGTATATTCATGATCCGTAGCCTATTTTAGCATAGAATGATAATACGACAAGTCATAAACAACGAAATGGCTTTTGATATGTAGTGAATTTACACATCCTTCAATTCTGAGTTAAAAGTGATATTTTTACATTATTATACACTATTTTCCCAATACTAAAGTAATTTGTAGAAACATGAATTTATTTAGTCGGTGTGACGCATTGATTTTCTGTTTATTTGTTATCAAAACTTACGCCCATAAACTGAATACAGTTTGGATAACTTGTATTCAATAATAACAAGGTTTTTCACGCAAACATATTTCGTTAGCACATTTTTATGGCTTAGGAGTGATGCTTAACCCACCATTTTGGATTTCCTTGCATATAAGTTGCAGAGTTGATGACAGTATGTGTAAGCTGCAAAAGCAACATGATGGAGAGTAGTAGCCATCACACTGTGTATAATGTAAACAAAAATCTTCCACTTCCAAACATGAAAGTATGAAAATCATTTTGTATAATACAGTGAGGTCAGGAAATCCCACGCCCGATTTCAAGCACTGAAAATTGAGTGAATGTTTATAGTTCGCCAAGTGAAGTAACAAAAAGTCCCTGAAACAGGACACATAGCTAAAATAGAATAGTGAACTCTGACTACATTTACTTAAGTGGAATATCAAATGTTCCGAATCGGCGACTAATAAAACTGTATAGTAAACTGACAAATTCTTTCAAATTGTATTCAGACAACTAAAATACAAGTCAGATAAAGAATTTGCAAGATATACGTCTGAAGAGGAATTTTTTAACTTCCAAAGATATTTCAAAACAGCATTCATGGTCATTTGGTGGATCTAAACGCTCCTAATATTGACAATGTATTAAGAAATCCGTTTGTAGGTCATCATCTATATATGTATATACCGCCTTGACTTCAGGGTCATATAAACTTCATATAGAGCAAATAGTCATGAAAAAATATAGACTGTTGTTTTATACTTCCATTCGAAAAAGATAGAAAAATTGATGGCTTATGGCCCGAACGATTTCTCATATAATCTGACTTTCTTTTGTAAGTGTCGATAGATGAAGTTCCATATACGAGTTGACCTCAATTCAGATTTATGTAATGATGACAAAAGGTCCACAGCATATGTTGTTTCTTTCTATCAAGCCTCTGCAAGTGTCCGTCCTTCCTTCAAATCATTCATTTTACGGAGAGAACGCCACACCTTGGGTACCACATCATCAAGCATTTGGGTTACCGGATGTCGAACGGTTCACTGATCCTCGTCAAGATCAAGGACAACCAACATGCGATAGTTAATTCGATGTCATGGACTTGTTCATGCATCAGTGATCACACTCACTTCCTTTTACCTACTCATAATAATATATTCCTCCAATAACGTCATTTATGTTGTTCGGTTTCTTAAACACCCATAGTACCTGGGTATGACAAAGATTAATCCATGGTAGGCACTAACCGCGTGGTGTGACTTCGACGTGAGCGGGTTGGCCTTACTCGAGTGAGCCCTACATCATCCAACACAGAGTATTTACGTTAGCGATCTGTAACAGGTTCCAAGAATTAGTCGATCCAAGAATCGTTCCAAGAATTAGTCGATCAGTTTGAAAACCTGTATGCTGCTGAGTTGTCCTGATTTGGTAAGAAGAGCATTAGAGGACATTTCAAGTTCAAAATTATTTCTTAGTATTCGATACATCAAAATCATCAGTAAGGCAAAGTAAAAAGAACTAGCTTTTCAAGCCAAACATTGCATGCTGAAATCCGGAGTTCTGGATTTGCACCGGTAGCTACTCTCTGTGCCTTTTGCAAGATTATTGGGTCGTTTTTCAAGTATGAGCTCTCAGTCTGAACTCGGTACCTAATTTGGTGAATATCCATCTTAGGGCCCATATATTAACCCATATATGATCTCACTGCAGTGGACAGTGGTCATCTTAATTGTAATTACATTTGGACTAACTGAGATCTTGTGATTCATACTGACCAAGTTCTCCACCAGAACCTTTGTCTCACAATGCTTCTGACTGTCATTTGGCAAATTTGCGTTAATTGCACTGCTACAATTATTTTCTGAATACGAGTACCTCCAGAGTATGTATGTATGTAACATATTCAGATTTTATTACGGACGCAAATTTTATCGATCAATTTCTGCATCTGTTCCAACTTTTGCTCTGACTTGTTGTATTTTCTCAAAAACGAGTGCAGTTTGAACTGTGAGACAAAGTTCAGACTTTCAGCATTTCCTTTGTATTTAGACCATCACGAAGTTATCCTTTCAGAAGTCACTTATTACTTATGCTTTGATACGATTCGTCTAATTTGATACTTATATTGGCAGTTCGATGTCCCTGTGATTTTGATATGGCAAGATGGGAATGGTGCACATATTTTCCATGTTATTGTTTATAACTGACTAGCACTTTAGTGTCGGGTTTTATAAAAATTATTGCCGTATGGAATATTATTCACTACCAGTTTATTGTACATCACATCTTTTCTCACCTAAAAGTTGTGTTGTTCAAATTTCTTCTCAGCAATCTTACTGTTTTTAAAATACGTGACTGAAAGTAATTGTATCTCGTTCTAGATTCACATGAACATCGAATTTCTTCGTCAATTTGCGATTTCAGTGGGAAATATAATTGCAGGTGCTATAAGAATTCCATAAATTGGAATACCATTTGTATATACGAAAAAATAGGTAGTTCTTTTCATGATGATGTATCACATTCAGATATTACGGACGCAAATTTTATCGATCGATTTCCTATAAAAACTAGAAAGCATCAATATAAGTCTGCAATCAGAAGAAATATTACCTCAACACGTTTCAAAAAATCAGTTGAAAGAGCTGATTTCACTGATTGCATTCCTGATTTTGAAAAGTAAGTATATTTTATTTGTGTTTACCGTTTATATACACCCACTGAACCCACCCAACATCGAAGAAGCACCCACAGACCTCCCAATCGATATTGGCCCACCAACAATTGAAGAGATCAGCATGGCCATTAGACAAGTCAAGAGTGGCAAAGCAGCGGGACCAGACAACATCCCGGCAGAGGCACTGAAAGCAAATGTAACAGCAACTGCCAAGATACTCCACATCATCTTCAGTAAGATTTGGGACGAAGAACAAGTACCAACAGACTGGAAAAAAGGACTTCTGATCAAGATACCAAAGAAAGGCGATCTCAGCAAGTGCGACAACTACAGGGGCATCACTCTTCTCTCAATACCAGGAAAAGTCTTCAACCGAGTATTGATAAACAGGATGAAGGATTCCGTAGATGCCCAACTTCGAGATCAACAAGCTGGATTTCGTAAGGATAGATCGTTCACAGATCAAATCGCAACTCTACGTATCATTGTGGAACAATCAATCGAATGGAATTCATTACTCTACAACAACTTCATCGACTACGAGAAGGCATTTGATAGCGTGGACAGGACGACACTATGGAGGCTTCTTCGACACTACGGCGTGCCTGAGAAGATAGTCAATATCATATGGAACTCCTATGATGAACTAAACTGCCAAATCGTCCACGGAGGACAACTCGCTGACTCGTTCGAGGTAAAGACCGGTGTTAGGCAAGGTTGCTTACTCTCACCCTTTCTCTTTCTCCTAATCATCGACTGGATCATGAAGACGTCAACGACTGGAGGAAATCACGGAATACATGGATAGGCAGGATGCAGCTTGACGATCTAGACTTCGCGGATGATCTGGCTGTTCTATCACAAACGCGACAACAAATGCAGGAGAAAACGACCAGTTTAGCAGCAGCCTCAGCAACAGTAGGTCTCAATATAAACAAAGGGAAAAGCAAGACTCTCCGATACAATACAATATGCACCAATCAAACTACACTTGATGGAGAAGCTTTGGAAGATGTGGAAACCTTTACATATCTGGGCAGCATCATTGATGAACACGGTAGATCAGATGTAGATGTGAGGGCGCGGATCGGCAAAGCAAGAGCAGCATACCTACAACTGAAAAGCATCTGGAGCTCAAAACAATTGTCAACCAACACCAAGGTTAGAATTTTCAATACAAATGTCAAGACAGTTCTACTGTATGAGGCGGAGACGTGGAGAACTACGAAAGCCATTATCCAGAAGATACAAGTGTTTATGAACAGCTGTCTACGCAAGATACTTCGGATCAGATGGCCAGACACTATCAGCAACAAGTTACTGTGGGAGAGAACAAATCAGATTCCAGCGGAGGAAGAAATCAGGAAGAAGCGATGGAAGTGGATTGGGCACACCTTGAGGAAATCACCTAATTGCGTCACAAGACAAGCCCTCACATGGAATCCTGAAGGTCAAAGGAGAAGAGGAAGACCGAAAAACACATTACGCCGGGAAATAGAGACAGACATGAGAAGAATGAACAAGAACTGGATAGAACTAGAAAAGAAGGCCCAGGACAGAGTGGGTTGGAGAAAGCTGGTCGGCGGCCTATGCTCCATTGGGAGCAGCATGCGAAATTAAGAAGTATGTACCTAAATGTACCCAAGTTTTAAAAAAAGTGGAATCGTACTGTTGACGGTACTAAAAAGATATTTGTTGTAGACGCAGAAGTTACGTAGAAAAATTTAAATCTAGCTCGATAACAGAAAAATTTTACGATGTGTTGACACGTAACTCAATGTGTTTTGTGAAGAACAGATTTTTAATTAAAAGTAACTTTTAGGACAGATAAAAATATATATCAAAATGCTGCAAGCAACCAGCACGCTTCTGACATCAGTTTATCTTATTATCGAAACTGAGTTTGCAGTATATTCATAAATAAACGCTGCAGAAAAACAAACTAACGCATTAGCCCTGAAGTCATTTTGTAAGGTTATAATACGTCAATCGCTATTCTGCAATTTATAAGGTTGAGAATCATGAAGAGATAGTACAGACACTCGATTTACCAAAGGTTTTCGATACTGGGTAACAAAGCATTTACATATCAGAAAGCCAACCCAAAACCTAATTTTGACGCGTATGGGTCGCCTACCCAGATTTTTTTCGGTCAAACAATCTCGAAAATACTTTGGTTGTAGTTCCTCGTCAAACATATATTTAGGATCCCAATGGCCACAGATATCCAGTGAGCATAAGAGCTCATTATGGGTCAAACACCACGACCTTGATATTCTTTGGTGTAACTCCACGATACTGGTTGAAAAATCAAAGGAAAGATAGATAGACATTCCGAGTCACACACAACATCGGTCTGAGCAGCATATATTTACCAGATAGTCACTGGTCGATTGGGAATGTTAGGTTCTCCGTCTTTGCTATCCACAGTAGATTTTTAATGGGACAGATTCCCCAATAATGAACAAAGGATAGTCGGCATAAACCCTACAGTTTTACAATAACCTATGAATTCACATCCTCAGGACTAGTGTAAGCATTCAGGGTAGCCAACATTCACTCGAAATATATCTACCTAAAATTTTGAAAATGCAGTAATTCTGCAAATACAACAAACGAAAATACCTAATACATCGCGAATCGCCACCTAATTTGATGCATAAGAAAGAATCACATCTATGTAAACAATTCAAATTACCAATGACTTAGTTGACAAGTGAACAAACTACCTCATTTACTCATTATCGACTGACATTATCAATTACAAATCCATGACTGCTTATTAAAAGCTACTTCTATGTAACAACCGACAGTACTATTTAGCTTCTCAACCTTAGTTTGATAAAGAAGGACCAAGAACTCCGATCGCAACAAATGGACGGTCAAGGAAACAGGTCGCCTAAGAAGCATTCTGGATTCAAACTTGAAATTCGTGACTTCTGATCACATTCAGTTATGCACATTACTAAAACTTCAGTTCGTGTCTGACGAAATCTCAGCACGGATTCAAAAAGCTCGTTTTTATTTTGCCAACTTACGTCACCTATCGCGAAGACCAGATATCCGTTTATCAATTAAGGGACGAGTATACTCAGCAGCAGTTCGCTCTGTTCTATTTTACGGCTGCGAAACGTGTTATGTAGTAGCGAAGACATAAGTACGGGTAACTTGCAGGACCTACTATTGGACTATCATTCTTATTGTATAACTATTCGGTAACTAGATTATCTAAGCTTTATTTTGACCTATTGATTATTACTATATGATTTACTGTCCCTATGTTATGCTCAGTTTTATTGATTATTGTCTCCCACGCTTACAGCCTCATTTGGCCTGGTTTTGTACAAAAATTATTTTCTATTATATGGTATGATGTAGCCTGTCTATCTGATATATAAACAAAGTATTCTTGAAATAAACGATTCGTATTGCCGAGGCTGCTATTGGTGTTTTGGATTCAAGTGGACGGGTTAGGCGGATAAGGACCAATAAGGACGCTAGATTACTCATACTAATCGAACGTCATTGTCACAGTGTGAAGGTCGTTGAAGTCGTATTCTATTGGTGGACAATTTACGCGAATTACGTCCTTGTTAAATTCGTAAGGTCATAACGAATCAGCGACGACCTTGATCAAGTCATAACAATTGGCTATCGCCTAGGTCAAAAACATAACAAACTGGCGACGGCTAGGTCAAGTCATAACAAAACGTGGTCACCAAGAGTAGAAAATACTAGTAAGTTACTAGTATTTGATCACAGATTCCTCAGAAATATTGCTCGCATGTTAGGATCACCGGGTAAGTAATAGTGAGGTTAGACGCAGGGTATTAGGAAATGATGATAAATCAGTTGATGAGATCATGAATCTTCATCGACTGAGATGGTTAGGCCACGTGTTAAGTATGCCTGAACACCGATTACCACGACGCGCAATACTGACTAGTATTGGTGATGGTTGGGAAAGAGTTAGGGGCGGCCAAACTAAAACGTGACATCAGTCCACAAAGTCACTAACTTCTAGTCTGAGTCCTGTTGGCAGATGCAGACTACCTGGTTGGGGTCCACGTAACTATCGCAATCAATGGTTAGAGACTCTAGGTGTAATGGCTCAGAATCGATCACAATGGCGTAGGTGTATACACTTTTTATTTTCCCTTAAACCTTGAGATTAAAATTGCTTCATAACCTTCTTCCTTCCTATACTATATCATTATAAACAACCTATCTTTTATATACTACCACCACTAAATAAACTACTTCTATGAATTTGGTGTTCATCTTGTTGTGCTAACGAAGTATGGCAACTTGCCCGATGCATATATGTGCCTGGTCCTACGTTGTAGCTGGCTGACTGACTAAAACTTGAGAGATAGAATATTGTAGCAAACATTATTTTACTAAGAGGTAAAAGTAAGTTTAAAATAGGAATGAAATACAACGTTTTATATTAAGAGAATTAAATAAAGTCTCAGATTATTAAATAAGAAAAATGATACGATAATTACAATTCATTAAACATTAAAACCTCAAGTATTATGTGATATGGTCTACTTCTTTGTAGGATGGAATATCTACATTGAAGATTTAATTAAAATTGCAATAAAAATATCCACAGATCTCCATCTTATAAAATAAGGTTCAAGAAGAAGATGGGTGATTTGAATATTTTTACAGATGGCAATGTCTGAAGAATTGATATAGAATGGAATGAAACTAATATTAGTTTGTTGGATGATAATAAGAACAACAACGTCGATCATGGCATACAAAGACATAAACTATACAATTTAATCATCATCGTCATCATCTCCAAGTAAACCGATTGGCCATTCTGCAATATTATAACGAGGTAATGAACCTTCAAATAAACGATCTAACCAATTGGATAAACCATCTAATAATTCACTTTCAAATAATACACCATCAGTTATTTGATGTCTTGACTTTAAATGTGAATGATTGTTATTAATATTAGATTGATGTAAATCTTCTTCATCATCTGACTCTAAACCGAATGCACGACCAAATATATGTCTACGTCGTAGGCGCTTACCTTGACTTTCAATGGACAATGATTCGTCCACATCTGATTCCTACATGTTTTATAAATATAGAGAGAAGAGAATTGAAATGAGATAAAGGAAAAAGTAAGAAACAAAATATTTCCAAAATATACAGAAATTAACAATTGAGTGTTTAGTGTTTGTTGGTTTTTTGCCACCAAATGCCCTGGCACAGCCGAGAGTGGGGAGAGACAGCTCTCCATCTCCAAATGCTCTCACATAGCCACGCGCATTCAGCCACTAACAGGGAAGTCCTACTCACTGCCTTCTCGTGGCGGGGGTGTTGTTTACGAAATTGAGAGGACGAAAAGCGAATGTCCGGCTCTTTAACAGGGTTGGTGGACACGGAAAGTCCATCTAGGAGAATTTGAAAATCCTGATTACAAACCAATGGTTCACCTGAGCTCCAGTATCCTGACGGAACAAATGGCGTATGAACCTACAGTTGGTCACTGACTACCATGGGAATGCATCTCCTTACGATGCTCCACTGCCTTGTGGATCAGACATTCAGGTCAAAGGTTTCGGGTGTGGTCCCCTAAGAAAACCACCTGCTTCAGTTTGGGCACCTGGGCAGTATCACAGCCTTCACACAAATCAAATGGGACTTGTGTGGCGCATATGTATCTGGTGCTTCCTTGTACCAATGTTTGTTTGTTTTATAGTATGAGGATAAGTGTCGACTAGTCATTGAAAAAAGGCTAAATAATACACAAAATGACACTTAAACAGTCTACAAAAAGAAGTTATCGTAAAAGTGGATAAAAGGAATACAGAATAACATAGATAACTGAGTTTTAGACGGTAATGAGGAATGGAAGCACTCAAATTCAATCAATAAACCTATTACGATAAATTGAATGTGTAATCCTGTCATGTTTTAAATACAATAGTTGGCACACTTGAGATGTCAAGTATGCATCTACTTACAAAATGTTTCATTTTAATGAAAAATTTGACAAAATTCAGTATATAAAACTCATCAAGTTACAACTCAATAGTCTTTAGAATGCATTTCTCTTCCTAGAAATGCAAACGTTTGCATTAAAACTGGTTTGAGTCAATACATGACCTGACTATAGATTATGAAGTAGTTGAGTTACTTAATAGCTTCACTTGAAAGTTTCATTAGTAATGTTGAGTCATTGATTGATAAAACAACAATACGGATTCAGAAGGATTGCTTGGATTTTCTAAACATGCGTCAGGCGCGACATAAGTATGATATTGATCTCAAAATCAAAGAGAACGAATACTAAGCAGTAGTCTGTTTGTTTTCGCTTTGTAGCTATAGGATGTGATTTATGTGGTAAATATATATATATGGGTTGCTTATGTTTGGCGATAGACGTTTTTGAAGAATCATCCTCATAGAATGGAACGACTAAGTGATTAATGATGAGGTTAAACGTAGGACCCCAGGTAGGGATGGGAAATCGGTTAACGAAGTAGCAAACCATTATCAATTAACGTGATTTAAACATATATTCAAATGTCTTTTGTTCCAATGAACTATGCAGACTTGCATAAGAATAAAATAGGTTAAAGTTAGCTAACAGCAGCATCATTACATGAAGTAATTGTTTGCTGGATTAAGTAATGTCACTAGACAAAGACTATCTAATTAGGACCCTTGCACCGACCGTTATCACTGGTTGGAGATTATACGTAGCATAGATTAAAATTAGCCATGGTGGAGTAGATGTATTTATCATTTTTTTCTTCAATTTTCAGTTTTAAAACTACTTTATCCTTCTTATTCCTCGAATTCGCTCCTTATGGTGAAAGTATACTTTAGGAATGAGCCAATAAGAATTCAGAACGCAGCTTTTAGGTTTTTTTTTGTCATCACAGTAAAAAAGAGTGTCCAACACATCAAATGTCTAATTCTGTCTCGACAGATCGTATGTAGCAAGAAATTTGATGCTATCTCCAATTCCCTAACTTATACCTTGAATTCTGAAACAAACCGCCATCTGATTGCATTACATTCCATGGACGAACTAATCAGATAGTGCTTCTTCTCTTTTCAAGGGGAATTCATTCGTCCATATAACCACATAGCATTTTTACATTACAGCTAATGTCAGTATTCGTAATGAAAACCCTAACCCAAACAAGGTTCATTGTGAGGACTCTGGAAAGTCTTTTTAAGGGTTCAAAAATGTGAACGATCTATATCCATTAGGATGAGTTTATATGTCATTGTTTTGATGATTTACAGACAAACTAACCTGTAGAAGATATTAATAGACTCATTAATTGTGTACAATCTGTTCATATAGTAACATTATTACTTTCGTCTCAATAAACTAACCAGTTAAAAAAAGCTATCTTCTAATTGGTTAGAAACTAGTTGATAATTCGTCGATGTTACTTTAAACTAACCAGTAAAATTTACTATCGCCATTCTTTCTATTTGAATCATAATTTACAAAATTATTCCACTTTCTGATGATTAATACTACTATTATTTCCACCCACCCTCTATGCTAATGTGGTATGGAAACTCGAATTGATATACGTACGTACGAAGTTCTACGTTGTGACTGACTGACTGACTGACCCATCTATTTATTTATTCAACCTCGCTGAACTATGAAGTATGTGCAAATTCAAAGCCTAATTTAATCATAACCGACTGATAAATGTACACAGAATCACTAAGGTGAAATGCCTAAAATAAATAAAATTCATTCTTAGCGATTGTTTTTATTCGTGTAATGAAATAGTTTAGACATAGGAATAAATGAAAATTATTATAATCATCAGTCACAACGTGGAACATCATACGTACGTACATCAGTTCGAGTTGCCATACCACATTAACACAGAGATGCAGTTGTCGATTTAAATCCCATAGTGGTAGAAGTAGTAAGAGTATAAGCATTTATGTGAAGGATTAGGGTTTGAAAATGTTATTGAAGGAGTATAATCCAGTGAAATAAATTTGGAAAGAGAAAAAGGATAGGGACATGAAGAATTCAGAAGATTAGAATTTGGTAGAACACAAAGAGTGGATGAGACTTCGCCATTGTAAACGATTTTGAGTAATGTCATTCAAGGTCTTTAACCATCGATTGCTATCATCTCACGAATCCCAACCAGATAGTCTACATCTATCAACATGACTCAGTCTAATTGTCAGTGACTTCATGGATTTGTGCCACTCTTTAATACAATTTTTTTTAAAAAGTAGACGCAAAATTTTAAACTATGCATCACTTACAGAATTTTCATCAGAACTACTTTGAGAACCTGGAATTAAAGGATGATAAAGATTGAAATATCGTCGATAACCATTGACAGCAATAACTGTCCCAACGCAGTTCACTGGATTAATAAATAAAACTCCATTATTATTATTATCAGTAGTATCATTCACTTTCCTATTCTTTTGCACAGTTTTATTAGAACGAATATGTATTGGTAAATTTGATCTGGTAGATTCAAGCAATTTTGCAAGCCAACCAGAATATCGATCCATGGAAAGACAAGCACGTTGAATTTGACTTCCACTAATGAAAGAATAATATTTTTTTTTAAAATAATTTTCGAAAATTAGTAAAACTTAAATGATAATTATAAACAAAGATGGACAGTGGCTAGCAGTGGAATCCAGGACGCGCGTTTCATCCTATTTGGGACTCGTCAGCTGGATATGGCCATCAGGTCTCAGTAGCTGAGTGGTTAACGCGATGCCATTTTAAGCGAAAGGTTCTGGGTTTGAGTTAAGGCTTAAATATGATCAAGATGTGTTATATGTAAATTTCAAAGATCATTTCAAACGAAAGAGATAGCAAAGTTCTCTGGAAGGTAAAGAGTTACAGTCAATTTAAAAAAGTAAATTATGTAAATAGAACATACAATAGGCCAACGTAATATCGGGTTAACTGAGATAATAATAATAACAGAGATAAAAAAAAGTCCATATGAACTGAGAAAAAACGACTTGGTGAATACTGAATATAACAAGATAGAGATAAACATAAACTAAAGGTTTGTAGTATGCGATTTATGCATTGAGAGACGCGATTGTGCATCATGGTAAACAGTGACTGAATATAACACTTTTGATGCATAAGTTGGATTCTTCGCAGATGATAGCAACGACTTCAGCTATGTAGATGGGTCGTAATTTTACTGATCTAGGTAGATTGTTTAAAATAGCACAAAATAGATCGCATGTGTTTGAACGTGAGTTCAGCTATCTAACAGGTGAGAAAAGATCACACCGTTAGTAGACCTGGAGTCTTCTTTACATAACTATGCCGGTACATGTTCACAAACACGCAAGGATAAGGCCTTCTGAGTAAACCATATGCTTTGCGAAGCAGTTGAATTGATATGTATGCATGGAACAGCCCATCATCAGTATTTTATTCTTGATTCGTTGTGTAAGTGTACTGGTTAGATTGATGTGACATGAGACTTACCAGGGTTAAACGTCTTCTCAATAGATCTTCTAGATCGAGGTGTTAAGTTGTCGTAGGACTTTTATATACTGACACAACTGTCGCACACAACTAGCATGTTACCTATGTACCAACAAGAGTATTCACATTGTATCGTGTAGTGGTCGTTTTGAAATTTAGCTGAAAAGATACTGTGCGTGACAATAGTGTCAGCATATAAAAGTCACTGAACTGTTTCAATAATGTTCATTCTGATATTAAATTCATCGGATACGAGGACTATGAGAACAGTATAGCTTTAGAGGACATCCTTTAGTCAGAAAGATGGACGAATTAGTAAAAAGGAATCAATTTGAAAATAATACATTGACTAGTCAGTACACTCATTTCCACAGCTTCACACCTCTTCAGTATAAAATTAATCAGATTAACCATTTCAACCATAAAACCAGACCATAATGTTCTGAGTTTAGTGTGTATGAGGAAATAAATAAGCTGAATATAGTATGAAGTAACGGATATCGAAATAATTTTACTAAGATGTATTCGTCTGAACTAAAAAGAAAACAATCAAACCTACCAAACTCGACGAGTTTTGAAGTCAAATTGATCACGTAATCGGTTATCTTGATTACTTCCACGAACACATAATACTAGAAGTCTGAAACCTTTAGGCGCATCACGAACAAGACGATCATACGTGGAAGGATTTAAGGAGACAATAGGAGTAAGTGCAAATGATCTAGACATAAATACAAAACAATAAAGATTTATAGTACTACTATTAGTTAAAACTTTAGATTTGACACTTACAACATTTTTTTGTAATTCCCAAAGACACGGTTGTCTTATTACTTCGAAACACCAAAAACAAACGTATTCAATGATCAAAAGACATCATCCTAATGGTAGAAAATATGGACTTTTAATCTACAGCAGAATTTCAGAGCTCAAAATCAAACAAAAAAGGAGGCTTTCAGGATGTTCTTAGCATTTGTAAGTTGTGGTCTCGTACCTCTATAATAAAAGCACACGAGTTGTGCATCAAAACCATAAACAACTTGTGACTATTCGTTGAACTTTTAGTTATTGTGAACAAAATTTTAGGAAAAAGGGAAGTTCCGTGGGTTAGTAAAGGAAAAGAAGACAATGGTTCGATTTCGTGGATTGAATGAAGTTAGACATTAACACCGTTGGATGCCGGTTCAGCTATCTAGAGTTTAAACGTTCGCCCGAGAGATCGACAGGACCTGAGCTCGAATACCACGGGCGAGATCGTGGATTCGCGCTGCGGAGGAGTCTCACACTAGGATGAAACAGCCGTCCAGTAATTCCAAGTTTTCCATAGTGTTCTAGCTTCAGTTGACTCATGAATTCAATTATTAAATTACTAAAATCTCCACAAAACTCTTCTCTGATTATAATTATCATATGCTCACTAATGACTGTCTCCAAGAGGTATTTCGTGGAGTTCCAGTGAGAAGCTTTGATCAGTTGAACCCAACCAGGTCTGTTGTGATATAGTAACTCACTGAAGACAATGGTGGACGATAGCACAATTACCGTTGCCTTTTATCGCGTTTTATTGTGATATTGTTGTCTATGATTGTATGCATTTTTCACAATCCTTATAAGGGTGATAGAGGGGATAAGTCAGCAAGACTATAATTTATGGACAAACCAATTAGATATAAGATAACAGGACTTGAATTTCGGAGCAAAATTCATTCATCCATTTGGCTAAATAGAGTTTTGGCATTTTAGCTGATGTCAGTTCATTATGAAAATCTTAAATGTAATTCCTAACCCTTACCATCATTATTTATTTATTATTTATTTAAACACATAAATATTGGTACAAGGAAGCACCAGATACATATGCGCCATACAAATCTCATTCGATTTGCTTGAGGGCTGTGATACTACCCAGGTGCCCGAACTGAAGCAGGTGGTTTTCTTAGGGGGCCACACTCGGAACCTTTGACCTGAATGTCTGATCCACAAGGCAGTAGATCATTGTGAGAAGATGCAGTCACATGGTAGTCGGTGACCAACGATTGATTCGTACGCCATTTGTTTCCTCAGGATACTGGAGCCCATGTGCTTACTATTCTCCTATTGCTGGTCCAATGAAGTTTTGATTCGCAATATAGTTTGATTACTATTCCTCTATATTTACCTAGGCATAATTTCTTCTCTTTTTATTGTTTGGTAGTGATAATTCGAGAACTTTAATGAGGATAATTGACTTTCTAGTTTGTAAACCATCATTAAGTTAGATAGGTGATGAGGAAAACACTAATTATCTTAAAATCTTTATGTATTCAATTAACAACATAATACTTATAGCAAATTGACCACATAATAGCAAATGAGATGTTGCATTAAGTCAGTCAATTACAACGTAGGACCAGGCACATATATGCATCGGTCCAAGTTGTCATATCTCCTTAGCACAACAAGATGAACACCGTATTTATAGAAGTAGTTAGTTTAGTGGTGGTACGATTGTAAATAAGGATATAGTACAGAAAGATATGAAGTAATTTTCATCTCACAGTTTAAGGGAAGACAGTGTGTGTATATACACCTAAGCCATTGTAATCGATTCTGAGCCATGTCACACAGAGTCTCCAACCATTGTTTACGATAGTCACGCGGACCCCAACCAAGTAGTCTGCATCTGCCAGTATGACTTAGACCGGAAGTTAGTGACTTCATGGAGTGATGCCAGGTTTCGGTTTAGCCGCCCCTAACTCTATTCCAACCACCACCAATACTAGTCAGCATAGCACGTCGTAGTAATCGGTGTTCGGGCTTACGTAACACACGTGGCCCAACCATTTCAGTCGATGAAGATTCATCACCGACTTACCATCATTCGCTAATATCTTGTGTTTAACCACACTATTACTTACCCGGTGATCTCAGTAGATGAGAGCAATATTTCGACTACTTCACTCCCTATCCGTAGTTCAGGTGTTGACACAGGCCAAGGAATATCTAACTAGACTGAAACAGTACTTCATTGATCCTTGATTATGAATAGCTCTCCCGAATGACACATCAATTCAATGATAAAAACCACATAAATTACAATCAAACAGTAAAGAAACAAAAATAAAACATAACTACTGACCCTTCAGGAATTCTACACTGACTGCTACTGTTGTTATTATTATTATTTTTATCATTAATATTACTGTTTGATGATAATGATGTATTAACACCTTGATTTGTTTCATTGTAATGTTTCTCTGTAGTACATTTATTCTGCTGTTCATTTTTTGTTGCTTGTATAAGGGTTGAAATCAAACTGAATAATAGTAAGCCAATGATAATCATAAAACTTGAGAAAACAAATGCCAATGGATGATTTACAAGGCTGTAAAAAGAAAAAAAAGAGCAAAGACAAAAATTTAATTTAGTAAAATGATTAAAGAATGATTATATAGATAAACTGGATTACGATTATTTGGTCACAAATGACTGTTCGTGTATATTGGGTCCAGAGAGTGAGAGATATTGATGTTAAATGCAGGATAATAAGCAAACAATGACAAATCAATCGATATATTAGTGAATCTAAGTTGACTGGGATGATTTGGAAATGCATTACATACAATAAACATCAGCATATGAGAGAAAGCACGGGGTAAAATGAACAGCTAAGAATGAATTGCCCCCAAATGCCCTGGTACGGCCGAGAGTGGGGAGAGTCACCTCTCCCTCTCGAAATGCTCTCACATGGCCAGCGAATATATAGTCTCTGCCACGGAAGTCCTACTCACTGACTTCTCGTGGCGGGGGTGCTGTTTACGAAATTGAGAGGATGAAAAGCGAATGTCCGGCGCTTTAACCGGGTTGGTGGATGTGGAGTGTCCATCTAGGGGAGTTGGAAAACCCTGATTCCAAATCAATGGTGCACATGGGCTTCAGTATCCTGAGGAAACAAATGGCGTACGAATCAATCGTTGGTCACCGACTACCATGTGACTGCATCTCCTTACGATGCTCCACTGCGTTGTGGATCAGACATTCAGGTCAAAGGCTCCGAGTGTGGCCCCCTAAGAAAACCACCTGCTTCAGTTTAAGCACCTGGGCAGTATCACAGTCCTCAAACAAATCAAATGAGATTTGTGAGGCGCATATTTATCTGGTGCTTCCTTGTGCCAATATTTATGTGTTTAAATAAATAATAAATAAATAAGAATGAATTAGACGATTTTGACTTACAGATGACATAGCCCTCCTATCCCATACACACGAACAAATGCAGATGAAAACAACTACTGTATTGCAGCAGCCTCTGCATCAATAGGCCTTAACATACACAAAATAAAATGCAAGTTCCTGAAATACAACACGGAGAACACCAGCCTAACCACACTTGATGGTGAAACTCTGGAATATTTGGGATTTTTCACGTACATGGGAAACACCATTGACGAATAAAGAAGATCGGATGCAGATTTAAAGGTGAAGATTGGCAAAGCAAGGACCGCATTCCTACAATTGAACAACACATGCAACCCAAAACAACCGCCTGTAAGCCGACATCAAAGTCACAATCTTCAATAAGAACGTCAAAACAGTCCTACTTTATGGAGCTGAAACGTGGAGAACTACTACGACCATGATCAGGACAGTACAAGTATTTATAAACAGTTGTTTACGCAAAATATTCAACATTCACTGGACGGATGCTATCAGCAACAGCCTACTGTGGGAGAGGACAAACCAGCTTCCAGCTGAAGAGAAAATTAGGAAAACATGTTGGAAGTGGACAGGATATACATTACGGAAATCACTAAAATGTATCACGGGGCAAGCCCTAACATGAAATCGTGAAGGGAAGCAGAAAAGAGGAAAGCCGAAGAACACATTACACCGGGAAATAGAAGCAGATATGAAAAGGATGAATAACAACTGGAAAGGATTGACCAGGACAGGGTTGGATGGAGAGTGCCGGTGGGAGGCCTATGCTCCTCCACGAGGAATAATAGGCGTAAGTATATACTTTGGAGCCATAATGATGGCTGATGTAAAGGTCAGTTGGAAAAAAGATAATGATGGCAAAACCGAAGATCGGAACCAGTCCAAGAATTCATTAACCACCAGACAGACGTACTGCAAACAGGTTAGGGTCAGCCATATAAGCACGACAATTGTTTGGAGACGTTGTATGATATGGTTCAGAAGTGATCACAATACAATAAATGCAAACAATTCAGTCTTCAATTAGATTCTGATTTTCGTGAATATTTTAGTTTTTCATAACACAAAATCATAATCTCCCTAAAAGCAAACTACATTGCTTCGATGTACCATTAGAACTACTACAACCTAATGAGGAAAAGATGTAATTTGGCGACCTGCTTGAATATCTGGGTTAACTGTTTCTGCCATCTAAATATTTCAACAAGTTATCTAACTCTTTATTTTGCTTTAACACCTCATTATGTCTATTAATCACATAACCTAAACAGGTGCGTTTATGAAAAGCTTAGGACATTTCGCTGAACAAATTACAAAAAAGTACAATAAGAGACATCGTAGTGGTTGTCAATATGCGTTGAAGAGAATGAACATTAATCGGATGTCGGCTCCCGAGCTGCTCAGTTCTAACTGCAGATAACTAATTAAAAAGGTGGACTAACTTAAATTTCTACTAAGTCAAAACACGTATCGGCACTAAAATTAATGCACGCAAGCAAAGGTATGAAAGTTTTATAATACTTTACGTGTGACGAACAGGTTTTTTAGAGTTTACCTAATAGTCAATAACCTGTATTTTTAAACATGTCTCTAATTAAAAAGTTGTACAGTCTCTCACACTCAAAACCACTTTTGGTTTGATCTTGTATAATAATTATTTTATAATTCATGATATGATACGGTCTGATTTGCTTGTATATAAACTGCTTTTGTATAAAATACATGATTTATACAGAGGAAGCTGAAATTGTATTCTGGACTCAAACGGATAGGGCTAGTTGAGAAGAACCAATAAGAACTCAGAATTGATTCTAGGTTGTTTGTACTGGTTAACAAGATATTGGTTTGGCACAGTATCAAGGTTGCATAAGTCACTGATCTGATTGGCGATTAAGTCGCGTGAAATTTGACGGGGCTTAGGACACAACAGCATGTTGGTCAACGACTACCAAAGGACTGTATCTCCTAATGTTGCTCTATTGCCTTATGAATTAGATATCTAGATCAAAGGCTCGGAGTATAGCTTACTATGAAAGCCACCTACTTCGGTTTGGACGCCCGTGGAGTATTCTAGCCTTTACACAAATCAAGTGACTTGCGTGGCACATATGTGCCCATTTGTACCAATATTCATGTGTTTAAATAAGTAAACAACAGGAGTGGAAGAACAATGGAGTTTGTAGCGGACAACTCAACGAAGATGTGCAAATGGTGTATTTAATGTATTGTTTTCATATTTTACATATTTATTATTATTTATTTAAACACATAAATATTGGCACAAGGAAGCACCAGATACATATGCGCTGCACAAATCTCATTCCATTTGTGTGAGGGCTGTGATACTGCCCAGGTGCCCAGACTGAAGCAGGTGGTTTTCTTAGGGGGCCACACTCGGAGCCTTTGACCTGAATGTCTGATCCACAACGCAGTAGATCATTGTGAGAAGATGCAGTCACATGGTAGTCGGTGACCAACAATTGACTCGTACGCCATTTGTTCCCTCAGGATACTGAAGCCCATGTGCACCATTGGTTTGGAATCAGGGTTTTCCAACTCCCCTAGATGGACACTCCACATCCACCAACCCGGTTAAAGCGCCGGACATTCGCTTTTCGTCCTCTCAATTTCGTAAACAACACCCCCGCCACGAGAAGGCAGTGAGTAGGACTTCCGTGGCAGAGACTATATATTCGCTGGCCATGTGAGAGCATTTCGAGAGGGAGAGGTGACTCTCCCCACTCTCGGCCGTACCAGGGCATTTGGGGGCAACAATTTTACATATACTGTGTAATTATCCAGTTGGCTTTTCGCCTGCCGACGTCTTCGTTCTTTAAATGAGGTGATTTAATGCTTAGAGGAAAAAAATGTGTAACTGTAGTCTGTCTACGTGTTCATCATAAGTTAACGTCAACATAGAAGAGAAAAAATATATCTGAATAACTAACCTACTGAGAAGAGAAAGAGAAAATCAACTTACTCAAACATCGAATGTCCAATATCCACAAGAATCTGTAACAGCCTATTTCTCATTCTAATCCATATTGACGCTACTAATTCATCAGTCATTAATTCTTCAATCATACAATCTTTGAGTAGATACCATTGAGATGCCATTTTATCAATCGAATGAGTGAGATGATTTGATGGACTAGTTAATTTGTCAGTAGTAGATATCATCTGGATAATACTTTTTAAATCATTCATTAAGGCAGTATGCATTTGTTCGGTTGATTTCAGTATTATACTTTTTAAATCATTTGGTTTAAGCATTTTCTCATTTAAATGAGTTCTTGGATGAGACATTGAATTAGTGGGAAGAAGTTGATAAACTGTCTCAGTTGAAGTGATACGCCAAATTAATGCTAAACGGCCTATATTGTCTAGAGTATAAAGAAAAAATTCCCGAAAACTTGATGAAAACACTATAAACAGGTAAGAATTTTCAGAAGTTTAACGGGCACAACAAAACTTCTCGACATTTGAAGTGAGCCTATAGTTCATGCAACTAGGTTCAGACTACTTGGCTGTTGTATATAAGTATCAGCGCATTCATGAGTTCGTGCAGATAATTTGACTTCGATAACAGCTATACGTCTGTCACATCGTATTACCGTGATTCACGTATCAATCGGGATTGTATCTATCACTTCGACAGACCTGAACGTGCATCATCAAACCACTTCATAGCCATCATATAAACCCTATTCTATCCTAGTTAGGCACTGAAAAAACGCAATTTCACTAATATTTTATTTATTTATTTATTTAAACACATATATATTGGTACAAAAGGGCACCACGTACATATGCGTCACACAAAATAATGAAAGTAGGAAGAGAAGGGATGAAAAGATAAGGCGGACTGAAATGTACAACCAGAAGACTCTTTCAGTTAAGAAAGTTAGAACCATTCTTTATGAAGAAAGTAAAAGAAGGTTGCAGCAGGATCGCCACTGGCTTCTATTCTTAGCCATATCCGATAACGTCTCTAGCCACTGTGTTGCACCGTCTTTCGGACCCCAACCAAGGAGTCGTGAAGGTCCAACAGAAGCTAGCCCTTTGCATCTCTCTTTCATGCCACGACACCATGTCATACACTGACCTCCTCTCCGCTTTTACCAACCAGTCCCAGGGTCGGCAAATAATGCACGACGTGGAAGTCTCTGGGACGACATTCGTAAAACATATCCAAGCCACCGAAGTCGGTGTTTCAAGATGGTGACACCAATTGAATTATCTTCTCACCCGAACACACGATGCTGAACCTCTGCATTACTAACATGGTGTTGCCAGTGGATGTCAGCAATGCTTCGGAGACAACGATGATCGAACACAGAGACGTCTAACATCCTCAACTCGGAGAGGCCAGGTTTCACAAGCATAGAGCAAAACTGCTCTCACCGACGCGTTGTAGATCCGACTTTTTACAGCCAGACTAACATCACGAAGGCGCCAAAGATGGCCCAGATTGGCATAAGCCGCTCTGGCTTTCATTATACGTGCATCAATCTCATCACTCACGCCACCACTATCACTTATATAGCTACCTAGATACACGAACTTCTCAACTACTTCGATCTGCTCACCATCCAGGGTGAGTACAGGATTAGAATCCTGCCAGTCTTGTAGAAGTACTTTGCACTTGGAGGGTGCAAAGCACATGCCGTACCTGCGGACACTGATTGCCAACTGATTAAGTGCTGATTGCATGCCTTGGGCATTATCGCACAGTAAGACAATATCATCCTCATACTCAAGGTCGAGAAGTCGTTCTCCAGGCAACATATCCACACCGCCATTACTTACATCCATCAGAGCTGTTTCCAGGATGTCGTCGATAGCAAAGTTGAAGAGGAATGGTGAGATTGGGCAACCCTGCTTAACCCCACTGCTCGAATGGAACAAGGGAGAAAGGTGGTTGTATGCCCTCACTCTGCCTGAGGTGTTCGTATACAGGGCCTTTAAGATGTTAATGAACTTCTCAGGCACACCCTTCTTCAATAGACAATCCCAGAGAACAGTCCTGTCCAACGAATCGAAGGCAGCCCTGATATCAAGAAACACTACGATTGTTGGCCTGCGATAAGTATGACGGTGTTCTAACATTTGGCGAAGGGTGAAGATGTGATCAATGCATCCTCGACCAGAACGAAAACCAGCCTGCTCCTCGCGAGTCAATCGTTCTCGGGTTTTAAACAACCTACGAAGAATGATAGAAGCCAATAGTTTGGACGCAATCGAAAGTAGACTTATCCCCCGATAGTTATTGCAGGAACAACGTGAACCCTTTTTACAGATAGGGACGACTATTGACTCATTCCATGATGTTGGAACACTTTCTTGCTCCCAAACCTTTCCAAACAACACAGTCGATTCCTTAGTCAGAAAGTCGCCACCATCTTTAAAAAGAGCCGGAGGTAAGTCATCTGGGCCCGGTGATTTGTAACGTTTCAAGAGTTGGAGTTCCTTGCGGACTTCCGCCTCGTTTGGTGGATCAGTCGTCACCGGCCATGGGGGGCAGGACAAGCTGGTTGATGTTGCCGGAGCAGCAGGCCAGTTGAACTACCCTTCGAAGAATTCCGCCCATCGTCCAAGACGTCGACAGATGTTAGTGATTGGCATCCCGTCATCCTCGTAGATTGTTTCACTCACACCAGACTTCTTGCTGCCAGTGGCTCGGATGAGTTGGAAGAGCTTCCGGCAGTTACCAGATGCAGCTGCTGCTTCCATCTCATTAGCACGCTCCGACCACCAGGCTTCCCGGTCCTTACACAAGCTTTGCCCGATTTCATTACGTAACAGCCTTCGTTTGTGGTCAAACTCACGGTCGCCCGGAGTAGACCGACGGGCTTCCATCAGTTGTAAGGAGCCAGAAGAAACCCAGTGCTTGTAAGCGGGACGTTTCGCGAAGCCGCAAGCGGCTTTACTCGCCATTTTCATGGCGTCGTGAAGATGCAACCAATGCTCATCTATACTTTTCGGTGGGGTGGTAGCTAGCCTAGAGGCTAGCTCAGCTCGATACTTACTTGCAACAGAAGTTGCAGCCAGTTTACTAATATCAATCCGTTGGTGGTGGTCAATCCTTCGGCCACTAAAAAGTAAGGTGGGATTGGCGCAGACCAGGGCATGATCAGACTCCAGATAGGTACTCCAAAAGGAGCGGCAGTCTTGTACACAACCACGCCAGCGGTAGCTGATCGCGATGTGATCAATCTGAGTCCAGGCTTGGGATGCAGAGGGAGGACACCTAAACATGTCAACATTTGGAAAATCGAATGGCATCAATGCATTTTATTATGCAAAAGCTATGTAGATAAATGATTATTATTTATTTTATTTAAACACATAAATATTGGTATAAGGAAGCACCAGATACATATGCGCTGCACAAATCTCATTCCATTTGTGTGAGGGCTGTGATACTGCCCAGGTGCCCAAACTGAAGCATGTGGTTTTCTTAGGGGGTCACACTCGGAGCCTTTGACCTGAATGTCTGATCCACAACGCAGTGGAGCATCGTGAAGAGATGCAGTCACATGGTAGTCGGTGACCAACAATTGACTCGTACGCCATTTGTTCCCTCAGGATACTGAAGCCCATGTGCACCATTGGTTTGGAATCAGGGTTTTCCAACTCCCCTAGATGGACACTCCACATCCACCAACCCGGTTAAAGCGCCGGACATTCGCTTTTCGTCCTCTCAATTTCGTAAACAACACCCCCGCCACGAGAAGGCAGTGAGTAGGACTTCCGTGGCAGAGACTATATATTCGCTGGCCATATGGGAGTATTTCGAGATGGAGGTGACTCTCCCCACTCTCGGCCATACCAGGGCATTTGGGGGCAGTGGTTTGCGTCGGCCGGGAATGATAAAATCTCCAGATAAGGTAGAATTTACAAATCCATGAAAATTTAGGAACCAGGTGTTAGATTGCACTTAATTCTGGGTAAGGTAAAGTAAGTTGTGTTACTTTTATGGTCAAGTTTTTCCCGTTTCCTACTTTTGTCAAGAGGTAGCACCGCCAAGAGGGGGAAACTTACTTCCATTACACTCAAGCATGGTCAGTCGTACGACATCGCCCTTGGACATTTACGTTGTTGCGTTTAGACTTCTTTCCAACTAACCTACCTGAAGTATCAGGATCTTAAGAAATGAGAATTACAACCAATACAGCTTGATTGGATTATTATAATAAACGAGCTCGACCACCGCTTCAAGGCGACAGCTACGGTCGAGCCTCCAAACCAACTTTCCTCTCGATAGTGTGGGATTTTTAGCAATGATTTTTTTATTCCAGTGATAGTGAGAGCGTTAAAATATACTATGAGACACAAACACACGCCGACTACGAAATCCTAAATGAATTTTTTATGATAATCTTTAAGTCACACTAAAGATATCATTATACTACAATTGAAAACACTAGTAAAATATGTATAGAACTATTGAAGATTATTCAATTCAGTTTAATCAATCAAACTTTTTTTAACTAACCTTCGTTAAGTAGATTACACGATTCATTTGAACATGTAGAAGATGTACTTAATTTTTGCATCAAACTAATCTGACGATCCACATAAATGTGTACAGGCATAAAATGATAACTATGTTGATTTGTATGATATAATTTTAATAAATCTGCTTGAGATAGTTGTAATGTACGGCGTAACATAGTCAACCATATATCACCCCAACTGTTTATTTGTTCAACATTTGATTGCTTTGAATTTAACAATAATACTAAGCATAAATGACGATGATTAGAATGATCATTATAACGTTTATCTGATTCTAAAGCATATTTACTGGTTGGTTTACTTCCATCAGTTGGGCATAAATCTAATAGTCGTGCACGACTATATATTCTAGGGATATTTAATTGACTATAAGCTAACATTGCATTATCCAATAAAGTAGGTGATAGTTTTGTAGCTGACTGACGATAGACAGGTATGCTTGAATCTTCATGATATATCAATAAGGTCTCCTATGGCGAAAAAGATAATTTCTAATTTAGGTTGATTATATTTACTATAAAACAATAACAGCTAGATAAGTGTTTGAAAATAAACTAACTAAGAACTGGATAATTCATCTACCTAGGTTTAGAAAATTTTTAAAAGTAAAAGATTTCAATATTATGTGATAGAACGGTACAATTCCATACAGTGGTCTTGAGTGTTTATTATTTTATTTATTTATTTAAACACATAAATATTGGTATAAGGAAGCACCAGATACATATGCGCCACACAAATCTCATTCGATTTGCTTGAGGGCTGTGATACTGCCCAGGTGCCCAGACTGAAGCAGGTGGTTTTCTTAGGGGGCCACACTCGGAGCCTTTGATCTGAATGTCTAATCCACAAGGCAGTAGATCATTGTGAGAAGATGCAGTCACATGGTAGTCGGTGACCAACAATTGACTCGTACGCCATTTGTTCCCTCAGGATACTGAAGCCCATGTGCACCATTGGTTTGGAATCAGGGTTTTCCAACTCCCCTAGATGGACACTCCACATCCACCAACCCGGTTAAAGCGCCGGACATTCGCTTTTCGTCCTCTCAATTTCGTAAACAACACCCCCGCCACGAGAAGGCAGTGAGTAGGACTTTTGTGGCAGAGGCTATATATTCGCTGGCCATATGAGAGTATTTCGAGATGGAGAGGTGACTCTCCGCACTCTCGGCCGTACAAGGGCATTTGGGGGCTGTTAGAGGTATGAGGGCGGTTATCACTTCCCGGTTGCCCACACTGAGGAAGGGTTCTTCTAGAGGTACCTGAAAAGGAAATTGGGTTAGAAGTGGTCTTAATGACCTGAGAGCGTGACTGCAGTGCCCAAGGGACAACTGCTTGAGGTCGGTCACACATGACCTTTTTTGTTGGTAGTTTTTGCGTCAGCTCCGTACTTGTTGGAACCTTACGGCCGGAGACGGATATCCGTGGGATAAGGCGAGGTGTGCATTTTTAGGGTCGACCTTTAATAAACCCACCCCTCCTTGTGGAAAGGCAGCATCGTTGTTATGCTGGTTGTCCGAGGGAAACACCTTACTGCCGTCACACCTCTGTACAGTCAGCAGTACGACTTCGCCTTTGGACTTTGGGTTTGCTGCTTTTAATCTTACCGCTCTTTAACCGACCTGTCTGGCATGGCAGGAAAGATTTTTCCAGCCAGTATAGCTCGTTTGGTTCATCACGATAGGCAAGCCCGACCACCACGTCAAGGTGGCAGCAACGGTCAGGCCCTAAGTCGTAGCTGACTGACTGACTGACAACTCCATACGATTTGACGAACCAAAATTTAGTTTCATTTTAATCTAAAGTTGTGGATTATTACGAAACAGAACGTACAAGAAACTCTCTTGTTGTAAAACACGACAATAGACAAGAGGTATTCATACTTACTGTGAGAAGTTACAAAATATTTAAATAATACATATAAATAGCCTTCAATCGTCAATTTGCATATTTCGGTGTGTTCAACCATCTTAAGTGTCTTCTCGTCTATTCTTAAAGTGCCATGCTAACGCTGTGCTTTTGATGCACTGAAACTCTTCACTCCATCTTCAAATGTGGCAATATCGACGTTACGCTCTGCTACATTCTACTTACAAACAATCTTGTGATTGGTGTCTACTACACTATGAGTGAAAGTGAACTAGGTGTGAAAGGCTTTGAATTCACGATATTATAATTAAAATTTTCGTTCTCTAGCTGATATCAGTTCATGATGATAAATATACAAATCATTTCATTCAAAAGCACTATATACATTGCAGAAAATGATAACTTCAAGATACTATACAAAATGTGAGACAAAATGAAAATTATAATGTAAACCAGATAAAAAACTTATATAAATACATAGATGCAGATACATATATACACAAATACACTAGGACTAACCTCATTTGGATTTACATTGAATTTCTTAACAAGATTATGATTGCTACCAGTTTCAGAATTAATATAACCAGCTGCTAAATGATCTGCTGCTCTGAAAGCAGCCACACAATACCGTAACGGTGGTAAAGTTAATGGTTTAATAAGGACCATTCTGGGTCGACTGTCACGACGCCAACCATAATGAAAAGTATTAACAAATGTATCATAATCATTAATACTCTGTATTAATGGTGTATCAATTGTTGTGCTAAGAAATGTTGGTAACGCCTTAGACAGTGAAGGATTCGATTTCATAATTGCACTTCTTAATGCATCAATAAGACTATTATGACTGAAATCGCCTCGAGAGTAATAAGTAACCTGAGGATTTCCGAAAAATAAAGAACAAAAACCAAGATAATCGCAGTCAAAATGATTGAAGAAATAGTTTATTTTCTTTGTATCAGAATTACAAAAATCACTTTATAAGAATGTTGTTTAGTTGAGGGAAGTTTATCATGTAAACATTGTGAAGCCGTAGTTTATTTGCTTAACATGATACAACTCAACTGCTAAGGTTTTGAGGTTGAAATTAAGCTTCAATCGCTAAAACTGTATTGATCAGAAAGTTTCTGATATATCATTGTGAAACATGACACCTCAGGGCTGAGGATTTTCAGTGACTCAATATTTGACCAGTATTGCCTCTGATCATTAATATATGCTGACAAGAACGTATTGGGTGGATAAATCCGGAAGGCGGTCAGTTAGTTACACATTATAGTGGAGTGACTCTTTTGTTGGGACTATGTAACTCATTGGCTTGAGATTTCAACAGATATGAACCAGCATAAAGTGCAATAGTGACCCTGCTATATCTTTCTACTACACCATTTATAAGAGTAAGATGAAAATAAGTAACTGAAATTCTATTTTAGTTATTTTCTTAAGCGAACAGTATTCTTCGTCAACAATATCCCTGTTTGTAAGCAATCAATGATCAAAAATGAATAATTTAAACTTCATGCAACCACAACAAGGTTTTTCATCAAAAGGTCACGCTCCATAGTTCACTAAACTAAAAATCAACTGTCTTATCAGCATTCACAATTTAACTTCCTGTGAGCAGCATAACAGTAATGTCAGAGTACAACAAAAAACTTGAAGGGAAAAAGGTCTGCTCATATTAGCTGATATCACAGGTATGAATAGAAAAAATTTAGTTTATTTAAAAGGCATAGGTTTATGTATTCAGCTCTCAGTCAACGTTGTGAATGACAGTTACAGTTGTGAGGCTGAACGATACCACCTGGTTGTTCAGATCGAATTCGTAAGAGCGTGGTCAAGAAATCAGAACTAATGACTGGAAGTCAAGTATTGTAAACAATAAGCGGCTGCCCCGTAATGATTGTAATTACATATGTTGTCTGCTTAAAAATTCCACAAAAAAACTTTTACCATACATTAGTGAAAACTTTTCCTGACCACAAAATACAACTGTATCTATATTGAACCCTTTCAGAAAAAAAAAACAAAAAAAAAGCTAACCTGACCATCAACAACTATTGTCACACTCGGAACATGTAATACGCGTAGCTCTTCACGCAGTGCAGAATCATGTTCTAAATTAACACTAGCCACAGTAATCCCCAACGGAGTTAGCTCATCTGCTAATTGTGACCAAATGGGACGAACTTGACGACATGGGAAACAAAAATCCGAATAACCATATATGAACAAAGGCACCGTTCGAGATCGAGGGAGATGGGTTAGGCGATAGCTTCGAAAGTCGATATTCTTTAAACAGCAAATAAAAAGATGAAACTAAATAGTGGTAGAATAATTTATAACTATTGAATTCGAATAAATATTTTCGGAGTAGTTGGTCACAGAATTAATCTAAGACTATCAATAATCTTGCTGTTGATTATATTTCCTTGACAAAACTTGGATCAAACGGCCAAGTGAAACGTTGGATTTTAGAAAATAGAGAGTGCCAACGTTAAACTTGGACGACCAAACTACCGACTAAAATATGTGAAACCTGGAAAATAAACCACATTACTAGAGGTCCAGTCGACTTGTGAGTATGACAGTAGGGTGCAAAGAACAATTGTTGGTAAGCAACTATAAACAACCTTTCTTTTAGTGATGACTTTTCGTGTTTACTTCACGCTGTATAAACATTATGCCAGAAACCACAGTAGTAAAATAGAATATGATATTTTAGGGGCGAAGTCTTAACCTTGCCTTGCGTCTGAGAGAAAACAACACTACATAAGATATACTATAATTATTTCATCAAAACGACGCCTAAAATGTGATAATCACAACATTGCTAGTGAAAATACTTCAGCGAGACTATAATCTATGGACGAGCCAATCAGAAGCTTCATAACTTGAGGTATAGACGATTAAGCAGTTGAGTAGTAACCTCGATATTATATTTACGGGAAAATCGAGTTTACCTTCAACGTTCTAAATAGAAACAGAAGGTACGAAAATTAACAAAATAATCATTATCTGCTGCCAAAGTCAATCTGTTTCCAATCAACGTAAAGCCCGACACGAATGTGTATTGGTTTTGATTGTTAGTTGTGCAGCAGTATTGGGAAAAATGAGAAGCAAAGAAAACGGAAAAGTTTCAAACGTGATGAAAGACTAAAACCCTGGATTATAAATAATATTTGAACATTATTTTCATCACTTAATGACAAATTTGCACCTGATATGCGCTCAGTTTTCTTGTCTTCCAAAACAGAAAATCTACGAGGACACTCCAAAAAAGTTTACAAGCCCAGAACAAATTACTTGTAAGCTGACTACCGACTTCCCCATCGAATAATCAACGAGTGGAATTCATTACCTCAGCACGTGGTTGAGGCTCCATCCGTCGACTCCTTAAAAAGAAAAAAATCAGCTGAGAGACCATTATTGTCAGGACTAACACAGGCCATCAAGAATCCTGTCCTTTCCAAACTGAAACTGATTATGATGAGTAACTTGCATAGTTACTACAATCATGCATAAACTCACAAGCCTATATGAATACTGAGTAGACTAAGTTAATTCCTGAAGTATTATGTCTTTAGATAGCTAACAGTATTCTCTTCAATATATTTACTGCAGATTATGATAGGACTTACAAGGACATTGACTGAGAATTGTGGGGCACGGTTGAAACCTGGGAAGAAGTCAAAAAGCTCTTCAAATGAAGGGTGCACAAATTCGTGACGGTAGGGATAATGTCCAGGGGGAGGTTGACTCCCATCTGAATGAACTTTTCCGAAAGTATCATACTCATGCCGTTTCTTAGAATTGGATAGTACCTAAATAGGGTACATAAATAGTAGAAAAGCTATTGGTATTAGTAGATCGCTACCTCATAAGCCTCATTTATTTCAATGAACTTTTTGTTTGCTTTTTCTGTAGGATTCTTATCCGGATGCCTGAAAGTTTAATAAACAAAGCCTATGGACTTCGGAAACTTACCATTTCTTCGCTAGTTTTCTATATGCTGTTTTAATTTCTAAATTTGAGGCAGACTTAGATACTCCAAGAACATCATAGTAATCACAAGTAGTATAACGGATGAATAGAGCCAACTGAATAAATAGTGATAATTTCATCCCCTGAAACGCATTACTCAAAAGGACCGGGTTAGTGAATGGAGACTTGTATATTTAAGCCAAGAAGAGTAGCAAGTTAAATATGCATTTGTAGACAATTTTCAGATATTACACACATTTAGGTTTCTGTGATCCCATTAGTATATAGAGGTAGATAAGTCAGAGAAACATGTAGTGTATCGGTAACTAAGTCCCCAAAATAAGCAAGTTTGTAAGCTTTCAACATTTATACTAACCTCGTTAATACAACCGAGCATACCTAGCTGAAGTAGCTCGGTTACGTAATCACACCAGTTGACGAGCGCGTTCGCTGTGCTACAGATACCTTGCAACAACTACTAATAGTTTTCTAAATATATCTTCGGATTACTTCACTTCTGGCTTACGGTTTGACTGAGCTCGCATACTTTGAATACAAAGGTATAATCTGTAAAGGCAATGTCAAACTCCGAAAACTGTGGCATCGTTAGTGATGAGACCAAAATGATCTGGTATACCAAACAGTAAAGTGTTAGTCATTTTTGATGGAACATTATGTACCATTTTTCAAATTTTAATTTTCATAACTTGCGATTTTGTTTATATATTTTTGGATATTTCATTGGTATATTCTATATCATTACGAACTAACAGAAATCTAAGCTATTTAAGCTCAAAACTCTCTCGCTCTCAAACTTCCAGCTCATGCCACTCTGGCACGACGGTATAGAAGCCTAGTTATGCTACTGTAGCTGTAAATAATTCCCAAAAATCAATAGCTCATTAAGTTTTCGACATTGAATGCTGACCACGTTGTTTAAGTGGACTTGTTTAGCTGAAGGCTTTCGGTCACGCATCCGTACCAGATCACGTTTCAACTCCGCGTGGGACACAGCTCCTACGTTCATTAGACAGCTTATAGTAAAGGTTCCTCGATATATTGGTAACGCATCAAATATATCTTTCCTACCTCCCCTCGTCTGACTTCTGGTTTCTATTTGACTGGGAACGAACGATTATAGAAGATACTACTGGTTGCTAGTTGCAAAACTAGAATATCAGTGGTGAGACCGACGTGATCTGGTACAGCAAGCCAATATACTGTGAGTCTGTTCCATTTTGGAATATTATTATTCATTGTTATTCTTTATTTGAATTTTATATATTGTGATATGCTGTTTTTTCGCGAATTTTTTTTCCCGGATATATTTTAATTAGACATTTTTCGTTGTCTATATTACTATGACGGAACACTCACCCAAGGTTTTTAGGTTAAAGTCTATTCCCCCTATTTCGATTCAGTTAACACCATTTTGGCCCGACAATATCGAGTCCTGGTTCTGCTATGCAGAAGCCGATTTTTGGATGCACGGGATCACGGACTCGCGCACACGTTTCCTCGCGGTAGTTAAGGCGTTACTGCGCGAGTTTAACAGATACGTAACACCTAGTATGTTTACTAGTGATGTACCCTAACCTTACGAAACGCTTAAGCTATCCATACCTTCAAAAATTATGGAATCCCTAGTATTCGAGAGCATACTAGAACACTTATCATCCTAAAGGTTCTTCTCGCCTCAACAGCATGGTTTCAGAAAAGGTCATTCTTGTATGACCAACCTGCTGACTGCAGTGGATAGATGGACAACCATCATTGATCTCAAGGGGAAGGTTGACGTTATCTACCTGGACTTCTCAAAAGCTTTTATAGGGTCAACCATGCATGTCTTATCAAGAAGCTTGGACGATTGGGTATAAAACCCCCTTCAATTGATTGGATCACTTCATATTTAGAAAACCGACATTTTAAGGTCAGGGTTAACTTCACTCTCTCTCAGGATATGGAATGTCCTAGTGGGGTCCCCCAGGGTTCAATACTAGGACCTCTTCTCTTCTTGATTTATATTAACGATCTTCCTCAACAAGTTTCATCTGATTTACTGCTCTTTGCTGATGATGATGTGAAACTTTGGAGAGAGATACGTAATCATAATGATATACTAGTTCTGCAGGAGGATCTGACTCGACTTCAAAGTTGGGCAGACGACAACGGACTTACCTTCAACACTTCAAAGTGCAAGGTAGTCCATATGAGACATGTTGCAGACTAAAGTTACAACTTAGGTAACTCACCTCTAGAAGTTTCCCAAGTTGAAAAAGATTTAGGAGTGTTGGTACCCTACGACCTGAAATCGTATGCGAATTGTGACAAAAACGCCTCTCAAGCAAACCTTGCACTGGTAACATTGAAGCGCATTTTTGGCCAGTTTGACGGTAGAACCTTCCATATAATCTTCAACAGTTTTATTCGTCCCCACTTAGAGTACGGAAACATAGTATTTCCTCCCCCCCCTCCAAAAGGATAAGGTCACTCTGGAACGTATACAACGTCGAGCCACGAAATCAGTTCGGGGTCTCAAATTCAAACCTTATGAAGAGCGCCTCAAATCAGTTAACCTTTACCCGTTAGAGTATAGGCGTCTTAGAGGTGATCTTCTTATGACTTATAGTATCCTTAATACTTCTGGTCATCCCCTTAAACAACTTCTTAAGATTAGTCATAACACTAATCTCAGAGGTAACACCCAGAAATTGGAGACCCTACATAGCAGAACAGACTGCAGACACAACTTCTACTCCGTTAGAGTTGTCAAGTGCTGGAATTCGCTGCCGACTGAGCTAGTCCAAGCGACCTCCCAGGAGTCCTTTAAGAGAAAACTTGACTTATTCTTAAGGACTAAGGATAACATATTATTATGATTTACCAAATTCTTTTTTTCCCTCTATTATCGTTCATATACCTAGGTTTTTGCCTGGAGGTATTGGTGATCCACTGCTACCAGACATGGAAGCCCGTTAAGTGAAAGCTTCTTCTATTCCGTCCTCAACCATTTAAACCATTTGAACTGATTGACAACGGTTAGACCAACTCCTTAACAATATCGACTTGCAACGAACTTTCGATGATGGCCTATTTAGACAACTTTTCTTGTCTAAACTCCCTCAACAGGTGCAGGCAGTGCTTGTTTCATTTCAAAACAATGCCATAGATGAACTAGCTGCATCTGCTGATCGAATCTTGGAAATCACTAAATCTTCTAAGGCCGAGGTTTTTTCCATCAAAGAAAAATCTCAATCGACCCCGTCTGACGTAACCGAACTATGTCACACGCTAACTCGATATCTTATAGTTCGTAATGACCGTAGTCGGTCAAAAAACCCGCGTAGAAGCGTTTCACGTAAGCGATCTGGCTCTCGACCACGAGAGCCAGACAATCCCGACTGATGCTGGTATCATAACCAGTACGGTACGTCTTCCAGAAACTGCAGGAAACTCTGCAATTATCCGACCTCAAAATCGACTGACAGGAATAAGATTTCGGGAAACGTCCCGGCCGGCACGCGTTAACGGCAACCGTAGCCGGCGAACACAGCCGCCTCTTATATGTCACGGATGTGACTGCGAAAGTTCGCTACCTCGTCGACACTGGCGCAGAAGTTAGCGTTCTTCCAGCAAATCCCGACGACAGACTTCGCGAGTCTGTTTTAAGTTTACAGGCGGCAAACGGAAACTCGATCGCTACTTACGGTAAAAGGTACGTCTACCTTAACGTGGATTTTCGCAAACCCATACACTGGATTTTCGTGGTTGCAGATGTCTCTATGCCAATCATTGGTATAGACCTGTTACAATACCACGATCTACTCATCGACACACGCTCACGAAAGTTAATAGACGGAAACACTAAGTTATCTGTTTGCGTAACTCCTTGTTCTGGTTGCAGGTTATCCCCAGTCACGATTAAGCACACCATAAACCCCTTGTACCAATCAGTACTCGACAAATACCCTGGGATATACCAATCGCAATCGAAATTGTCTTGTGTAACCAGCAATGTTACACATCACATCTCGACTACAGGACCACCTGTATTTTCGGAAGCCCGTCGATCCATAGTTTAAGGAAAGACGACCAGACGCTGCTAAACGAAGCAAGCTATCAGAAGAGTGTTCACCAACGACAAACTCTTTGGGTTTAAACTTCTGGCTGGTCACGTCTTAGGGGCATCACTACCTCACTAGAGGGGGAGTGATCCGTAACTGTAAATAATTCCCCAAAATCAATAGCTCATTAAGTTTTCGACATTGGATGCTGACCACGTTGTTTAAGTGGACTTGTTTAGCTGAAGGCTTTCGGTCACGCATCCGTACCAGATCACGTTTCAACTCCGCGTGGGACACAGCTCCTACGTTCATTAGACAGCTTATAGTAAAGGTTCCTCGATATATTGGTAACGCATCAAATATATCTTTCCTACCTCCCCTCGTCTGACTTCTGGTTTCTATTTGACTGGGAACGAACGATTATAGAAGATACTACTGGTTGCTAGTTGCCAAACTAGAATATTCGTGGTATCCTCACTACACAGAAGCTGACTTCCGTGAACACATGTGAAAGACCCACGTGCACAATTCCTCAAAATAGTGAAAGCCCCAATGAGCGATTTTAATAGGTGCATCACACCTAGTATGTTAACTAGCAGTGTTTCGGAACCCTACAACATTTAAATGATACTCTTATTAGATGTGGAGACCTGATTGACCTACAAAGGTTAGAGCAACCCATAAACAACACCAAACTGCAACATGACATAGCAGCAAAAATGTTTCTTCGAACGCGAGAAATCACTGGTAAGCTGACCTCTGACGAAGGCCAGTTTAATCAGCTTTACCTGTCTAAGATTCTCCGACAGAGTGAGATAGGGCTTGTCTCAATTCCAAACAACTCTGTAGACGAACTGCATGTATCTGCCGACGGGATTCTAGAGACCAACAGAACTCCAAAAGCCAGGGGCAACTCAATCAAACAAAAACAAGAAACGGAACGAAATGACGTCGCCGATCTCTGTCATCCTCCAACACATTACCTCATTATTCGTCATGACCATGGGCGCTCCCGAACTCCACGAAAGAGTTCTTCAAGGCGAAGATCCGTCTTTTGACCACGAGAAATAGTTCAT